AAGGTTTCCCATGTCATAGTGGTAGGCGTATAGTATGACAGTTCTAAACATGGTCTGGGTGCTCAACCAATCTCTCGATACGGTCGATATACGAGTGTAGCCAACGTAGATCTCTCATCTTTCTTCCTAGCTCTATCGAGTTGTTTAAGCTCATATTGCTTTCCAATATCCTCGACAACTCTATTCTGATCCTGTCTATTTCCCATGTCCGTGAATATTCTGGGAGAGTTCTCTTCAAGAAGAGGGGTCGAATATCTAGGTTCTATAAACAAAGACGGGCTGGAGTAATCGCCATCGGGGGGAGTGTTGGGAATCTGAGAAGGTATAGTATTGGGCTTCATGGGATAGTCGATGAATGGCTTTAGAACCTGGTTCATTCTATCGGCTAGATGACGAATTAATCTAACTAGCATCACAATTTGTGCAGTTGAAGATAGCGACCAGTCGTAATTATTGTTAGTACTGAATGTCGTGGCTGGGAATGATAAGCTTTGGCGAGTCCAACTACTTGGCTGTCTATGTCCATTACTTTGTGGTGTGTTCTTGAGATGTTCCGTGTTGGACCATGTGATATTGGCATGAACATCTGTCGACAGCAGGTGATGATAGATTGAAGAGCATATAGTTTCAAAGATACTCGTCAGCCTATGATGGAAGGCGAGCATCATTAGTAGCACGCCACCGTCTGGTTGTAAGCTCGTGTCGATCGAGGATGTGTTGTTCCTACAATATGTTGGGTTTAAGGAATCTAGTTCGCTGAATAGCGAGTAGTTTGAATGAGAAGTAGACATATAATTAAACGAGGATTGATCAAGGTGATATTCTGAAACTCGACGACAAATTGCTATAAATATTTCCGTAGCCTCAAATATACCGTTGAAACTTGGTGAAGATGCTGAAAGCTGCATCGATTCGAGGTCCCGCTCGACTTCTCTTGAAGATTGCAAAACGCGTAAATTAAGTTGGGCTAGATCTCGAATCTGTGCGTCAATAGAATCTAGACTTCTGGATCTGTCCTCCTTAACTTCACTGTGGTTTGTTGAAAAAGTTGAAGGCCATGATATTGGTTCGGAAGGACCAATTAGATGTTCATCTAAGCCCAAAGCTAGATCTGGGGGTTGAAAAGTTGGTAGGCCTATATTTTCAGGTATATTATCGAATTGAAAGTGTGAGAACGGGTCTCTCGTATTGACCGTAGTACCAGGTTCACTATAAGCGTTGGTTTCGTTCAGTGCCTGCTCCATATTTGTGCAATCCAAACATCTGTTAATTCCTCTTCCAACTGCTAAGGTCTCAGCGCTTTGAAAGTTATTCATATAGCACTCGGCAGATATGAAACTGGTGTCTACCGAGTCTTGCGAAACGACCCGCGACGTTCTTTCTGGGGCTAGTTGTGCCGCTGGTGGACGGCCCGGTCTCTGTGGAGCTATAGTTACACACAAATTAGACTATAATTTATGCACTGACCATAGGTAATTATCTCGAGTCAATGGTAATGGGCAATCTTTTCATAAACCTACCACTATAGATACAAGTAGTCCCGATTTTATGGCAGCGAACGCATGTAGGAGGCTCGCTCTGAGAAATATTCGGTTGCTGGAGACATTTAACCTTCTTTTCATGACATCGATTACAAGACTGTCGGAGAGGTGGATGAACCCCTGAATTGGGGTTACAGGTAACCCGAGATTTTATAGGCATATGGAAAGAATGTAGAAATTAGTTGTTTAGCATTGATACCAAGACGAAAATTGAAACTTAAGTAACTATACGAATAAGGGCACCGGGAAGAGACGGATCTTACACCGATCGATGATGGGCTAAGCACCATCATATGTGTTTCACAAGTAGCAGACCTTATAAACGCTTACCAACAATCCTCCGTGATGTAGGTCTCAGAGTATAGTTAGTGCTGACGCTTCAACCCTTTAACAACAATATTACCAACATCGATTTGTATGCTGCTTTTGAACATGGTGTTCAGCTCATTATCAAAGGAACAATCATATAAATTTTATTGAAATTAGGGTTATGATTCTACGTATCTAGAATACATTCAACCTTTGCTTTAGGTTAGAGGCTGAAAAAACTAACCAATTATTTGAAGACTGCATTTCCCGGAAGATGTTAGAAGTGGAGTCTCCGGCGTTGCCCCGGTCGGCGCCGGAGTACCCCCACACCCCGCTTATACGGAAACCTACCACCAAAGTTCCGCTTACTTACATTTGACAAACGCCACTGATGCTTATATTAAAATCTCACATCTACTATATCCCAAGATATCATTTGTCAGATATCATATGTAGAAAGTGTATAGTCCATCATTGCTTCTTATTTAGAGACGGGATTTTGCTTTTTGATGGAACAGTTATCAACAAAATTCGGAAGGGATCCACGCCCGGTCTTACCGAGGACTCGGTGCTAAAAGGTGGGGGATTAGCGAGCTGAGGAATGACTCTAGTGGTCAATGAAAACGTGAACTCAAAGGTAATATAATGATAAAGATAAGATGGGTAAATTTTCTGGCTCTGACTAACGGTTAAAAACACCAGTATTAACCCTGTTTAAATTATTCCAGTAGATGAAAAAGAAATCTAAGTGAACGAAACTAGCATTTGTCTGGTCGGTACGAAAGTATTAAAAGTTGAAGAAAGGCTACCGAATAAGACCTATATATATTATCCAGGAAGACGAGGACATTGTTTTTTGCTTCAACTAAACTAACCCTTTTCTTTGTACAGATTTTAGATCTTTGGGAATTGCAGATAAACCTAGAATGATATCCGCCAAAATTACACTACTATTAAAAGCCATATTTGTAAGCTAAAGAAATACTTTGAAATTAACATCGCGGTCTATTTATGGGAGTTGTTTCTGGGGAAATAGCTACATAGGACATGTAGACCATACTTGATACGATACGTCTATTTAAAAATATTATGTTAATCTTGACAATAGAATGAAAGTAACGACGTGAAAAAAGAATATGGAACTATAATATAGCAAATTAAGACCTAATACCAAGATGCTCTTATTTAACAGATACCTAAGACTGAAGGCAATCTATTTTGATAATAGATGACCACTACATCTGGACAACAAAAAGTAAACACTCAGGTCGCTTTTCCAGATATCTTACGCGATAAGAACCGAAGTTAAAGGGTTTGGCCGGGGATTGAACCCGGGACCTCTCGCATACACTGTTCAGGGTGGACCCTAAGCGAGAATCATACCACTAGACCACCAAACCGGAGACTTCTATAGGGCTTCTTGAGTGAAGATCTAAGCATCAAAGTCAGTCTATATTTTTGACGACCAACCTTTATCAGTTTGAATCAAGCATGTGGCTATAGGATATCTCGTGCTTGGATTATATTGACACGTATTCAGGATACAAGCAATTTTAAGAGCATACACCGAAATTAGAAAGAACATGATAAGGTTATAAGTCTCTTTGCCGTGACTTTCGGTTTTTTATTTCGAGCAAAGAAATCACAGGTATTAAATTTAAGAACATACCCAGTTTAGTGACGCATGTATGCCATTATATTAGGTATGTGACATTAACGGAAATAAATCTTCTGGAGACGAGTCAGTATGTGATACTATCCGGACGAATCATACTTGATATATCAGAGTAGAAGTTTCATATTATATTATATTACAACAGAGACTTGAGAGGGTCATCAAATTAAACGTTACGCTCGGTCTAATAAATTATTCTCTTATATAATCACTGGCATTCAATGCATTAAATAATCATAACCAGTTTCCAACGTGACAGAAATATAACAAAAATTAGTTGGCTATTCAAAAATTAAAAATTCTTCTTAACGTAGTACTCAGGTACTATTCAAACTACCCGATTGTCCTAGCCCTATCCAATGGTTAAGATGGTGGGCCTCCATAGCTCCACCGCACAACCATTAGAGATTTCCTAGCGCCTAAAGTCTCCTCTATAATTTTGTTATTGGCTATAATGATGTTCGAAGACTTGAGTGTGTACATGACTAACTTGGGCCTTGAATTCCCAAAATGTCATGTTCTTATTATAGCTAGTTAAGCTAAATTCTTTTCATCAATTCGTCTTAGGCAAATTAGGCAAGATGGCCGAGTTGGTTATGGCGTGAGGTTAAGGTCACCTTAATTCCTACATCCTCATGGAGCAATCCGCGTGGGTTCAAGTCCCACTCTTGTCATATATTTACTTTTTTGTTCCCTGCAGCACGAATCCATTGTTTTCTGAGGTGAAGAAAGGGTCTATATTTTGCGAATTTGTATGTATGAGGATATAATTGATACAAGCTCATGGTTGAGTTCCTTGCATATAGAGTATACCGTAACCGCCATGGCGGGAAAGGGGTAAGGAGTAGTGATTCATCTTTGAACATATGTGGTGGCTCCCGTAGCTTTACCTAATTTTCAATTGAAGGTTGAAGCCACTGATGACAATGGCAAGACTGCCTGCATGATAAATCTAAATGGGAGTTGGAAAATGTAGTCTATTTAAAAATACCGACTGAACATGTATGAAATATACAGGTTAGACTAGTCTATACTGTTTTACTTCTTACTGGAATAAGCATGTACTCTGTTCTATAGTCCAGAATCCTAATTTTAAGGAATCCGGGTCTGAAAGAACGAGCGTAGGAGGTCGGTACTTGTGTCCAACAGCCCCTCGCAGGGCGTTATTCACAGACCTTACCTCTTATGTTTTGGTCTCGCGTCTTGTTGTGGTCTCCATGCTATGGTGGGGTCTCTTGTGAGAGACACCGAGCAAGAAGACGTATCGTATCTGAACGCTGAAATGGGATTTCACAATTGCATGTTACTGGATATGACATTTCACCTTGTAGTTAGTTGACTACCGTCGAGTCGGAATAGACCAGACCATAAATGTCGGGACTATATACAATCCGTCTAATTTATAAGAGATGGGTATATGCACAGATATCGTACAGGCAATTGTTACATCTGTCGTCTGTCGTTGTCTTTACTCGTTACTCAGTACTGTCCACGTTAATCTCGTTCACCTTCCAGGTGTTATCCACCCAATCTTGTTTCTTTCCAAGGAAAGTGATTCTTTCCTCCCCATTTGCTAAAGCGTCAACGATGTACTTCTGAGCAGCCTCGCGGACTTGGTCCTTCGAAACATCTAAAAGCTGTTCACGCCTCTTCTGCTGCATTTCATCTGTGACACCAGACATGAATCGGAGCATACCCTCCGCACTCACTGACCTAGGCGCATCGACACTCTGGAAGACTGATATCTTGGCCTCTTCAAGGTCCCGGTCGGACCATTTCTTATCGACTGCCCATCGACCAGCATTTTTCATAATCGAAAGAGTATTCTGCGGGTTCGGGTCCCGGTATGAGTAGAATCCAAATATTCCTTCAAGTCCCTTCATATAAGCACCGCCTCCGTATGCGCCACCTTTTTCACGAATTTCGTGATGAAGGTGTTTGTGAGTGAGAAGTTGAGCTAGGATTTGAAGTGGTGCACCCTGTGCTGATGTATATGAGGTAGTTGGGAGTGCGAGAGAACCATAGTAGACTTGGTAAGGAAGTGGGAAGAAAGCTTTGATATCTCTCGCAAATGTCTGCTTTCCAACAACGGGGAATTGGACAGGATCAGTTGATCGAGATGCCAGGAATCGGGATAACGCGGTAAAGTTGGCTTGAACACTATCAGAGCCGCATGTTAACGCTGTGCGAATGTCAGTACCCGCTAATGCGTATTTCTGTATTTGTTTAAGTTTTTCGATTATGTCTTCGAATTGATCCGACTCCGGTCGTCCAGCCAGCGATGTTATGAGTTTAACCTGTGATAAGCCGCTTACTTGCTCGGCCAAGTAGCCTTCACGTGTTAAACCCGACTCGGCATACCTTCGAGCATAGGAATGACCGGAGGAGGCAATGTCGTTCACAACACCATCAGCTGCGGCTTCGAGTAGTTGCCTTATCCGAAGGGCTGCCTCTGGACTGTCAAAATTGGTCTCCGAGATGAGCTTACGGAGCAGGTCAAACATTTCGGGTACATTACGATCAAGAGCCGTGCCTCGTAGTAGAAGGCCCTCGGAAGCCTGGCGGAAATCGGTTGGTGATGCGGTCGATAAATAGCTAACAGATATGCCACCCGTCTTAAGCTTGATTTGATCCTCGAGCTGCTCCATGGTCATATCCTTCGTTCCCAGTCGCATGATGGCGTCCGTAAACAATGGGACGAGAGATCGGAGCTCGTCTGGTAAATTTTGAATGTATTAATAGCTCGGAAGTAAGTGAGTCCATTTGTAGGAGCTTCGTGCCATTGAATAGTAGTGCCGTGTGCCGCTTCATCCCTTACTATTACAGGCTCTTTTTGTCTTGGGATATCTTTAACGTGAACGGTCGGTAGGCAACTTAAATCCTCGGTATTTGACTTGTTTTGTTCAACAAGTAGATCTAGTTCTCTCTGTTCGAAGAATTTTCGAACTTCTTGTTCCCCACCGGCTTGTTGAGTAGCTTCGGAAATCTTAGCTAACAGCCTATCATCTTCCTCCTTCGCAATCTCCGCGCCGTACGTTTCCGAAGGGGCCATTGTGAAGGTAAGAGTGTTGTCGTTGAGGAGATATTTGTCCATTAGTCCCTCTAGATAGCCTCCTTCAGCAAGCTTCGCCTCAAATGCCGCAACTGTATCGTTCCATGCTAAGGAGTCGAAGGGATCGGTTCCAGAAAACCACTTCCCCTTCAGGCGATGCAACACCGAAAGTCCAAAATTGGCGGTCTTATGTTTAAGACTCAATTCGAGCTGATGAAGATATCCTTCTATCTTTGTTCTCTCGAAGCCCTTGTCACGAACTTCGCGTAGTATATTTTGAATCTCGCCCTTAATCTTCTCGACATTAGGTTGCTCGACTCCGCTTAAACCAATAGAGAGATTCCCGTAGCTGCTGATCCGTCATAGCCGGAATTTGGACTCCAATCCGTACCCAGCCGCTCTCGATGAGCCCCTTGTAGAGCGGAGATCCATATCCGTCCATTAATAGGGACGAGAGTAAAGATACAGAAAAGGACTCCAACACGTCGCTGGTACTACCAGTGACCCACGACACTGACGTTTTATACTGCTTTTCCGGATCGGCAAGAGGATCCACCGGCCCGAATACCGTCACGGTACGCGGTCCCTCACTGAGGTCGATTGGCTTTTTATGTTCTATATCTGCCTGTATCTTCTCAAATGCTTTCATTTGAGCGTCGACTTCCTTGAGATGGTCGGCCAATGGCATATCGCCGTAAGTTATAAGCTTTGCATTGCTGGGATGGTAATGCTCAGCATGAAACTTACGTAGTTGTTCGTACGTCAGATCGGTTATCTTTTGCGGATCGCCTCCAGAGTTGTTGATAGATGGGAATATGTGGTCTTGAAAGCGGATGTAAAATAGGTAGCCTGCGTCCGACATTTGACCCTTCATCTCATTGTAGACGACACCTTTGAAGACTAGCTTGCTATCCTCGGCACCATTTTCTCCATCCTTCTCCGCAACTCTGGGGTTTTCTGGTCCAATGCGCCAGCCTTCCTGAGTAAAATCCGTTTCTTTTAATAGGGGGTGGAGGGTCGAGTCGAGATATACTGACATCAGATTCTGAAAATCTTGGGCGTTGGTCGTAGCGAACGGATAGTAGGTATCGGAAGCCGTGAAGGCATTCATGAAATTGGACAAGGTTCTCGGTAGCATCTTAAAGAAGGGATCTCGTATAGGATACTTTTGGCTACCACATAATGTTGTGTGCTCAAGGATATGAGGAACACCGGTGTCATCCGGGGGGTTCGTCTTGAAGCCGATTGAGAATACATTGTTACTATCTTCGCGAGCGATGTGTAGATAATCCGCGCCGGTCTTATCGTGTCGCAAATGCAGTGCAGTTAGCTCGAGTTCTGGTACATGCTTTGTCCTTAACAAAGTGAAGCCATGGAGTTTCTCGCCGGGCTTTGGGTACTGGGACAGCTCTGTTATAGCTTTCCTAGTTGCACCTTTCACCACGTTACGCAACATCTTATTAATGATTAAAGGAACCAGCCGCGATCATATCAAAGAGATGAAATGATAAGGAAAGAAGAAGTACCCTGTATAATGAACCGTAATTGTAGGGATCTAAACAGCCGTAGTCCAGAGCGGCATGTTGTGATGGTTGAAGAAAAGAAGGTTAAAGATATGAGCGGTATGTACCTTTCTAGAAAATTTCCAAGGGCAAATGATACTACGGGTTATGCTAGATGACGCATATGTCGGGCTAACCCCTGCTAAGAGGCTAGATATTGGAATACCGAGGTATAGTTCATATTGACAACCACTTAATCGCATTAGCTAAAAAGCAATTGGACGGATCGTAACGCAATAGTGTTTAAGCATATATAAAGTGCAATTAAGTAAACTTAACCCCACATAAAACCGCAAAACCGCAGCTCCGGATCTGCTAGTGTCAAATTCAATTTTTCTAGGCCATTTTTATTCGTATATTAGTGCGTGTGATATTGCAGTGTGTCAGTGTGCAGTGTGTGCTAATGTGTGGTAGTTAGTTGTACTTGGCACCTAAAAGATTACCTAAGTCCGATTTGGTCGCATGTGCACCTCAGTTGGAAGGCGGCAACCCGGAGTTCTCTCGTTACTCGTACTTGCTTGTTGATTAAGTAACCAACACTAAAACGCCGCGCTTCATCTCAAACCCTCAAAAGTCTGCATTCATTGTAGAACTACGCTTCAAACATCCACATATCCCGGTTAACCAAAGCTAAAGAGCTGACAACCTATTTTTCTTATCGGCCAACAATATCCTTTCAGCTATATAAGTTCATTGCCTTAAAAACCATCCCAATGTCTTCTAGCAATCCAGTACGGTAAGTTCACACTGAATCATCATTACCTACCTTCTGTTATGTCATAAATTTGTCTGGAATACTGACGTCGTATTCTCTCTTAGCATAGTTGTATACGTTTAAGAAAATATGGCGACAACGAACCATCGTGCCGCATCTGCTACGCCAGCCCCTCTTGCATCCGTACTTAATACGAATGGAATCGCTCATTCTCATACACATGACGACTCATTACCAAATAGCCACCATGTTCATGCTCAAGAGCCCCGACCTGCCCCAACTCCGACGCCCGCCATGGCTTCAAATGCCGCGAAGAAAGGGAAGGGGAAAAAGGCCCTTGACTCGAACGAGGCATCGAAACTTGTTGCCGCAAGAATTTCCCAGTTGGAGGTTGATACAGCCGCAGAGAAAACAAGAGATCGAAATTGGTAGGTTCTTTTTCATTTCAGATGCTAGAATGATTACAGAAGGGCTTGTATATGGCGAAGCCTTTGAATTCGAATCGCGAGACTATACAACTGCCACGAAATGTTCACCAATTCGAGATAGCGTGACCAGGGCTAGAGGGATAAAAATAAGCATCAAACACGATAGCGCGCTCTACCAATGCCGGACGAATCGGAAGAGACATACTGGTGCTTTGCGATGTTATAGGTCTACAGGAAGCCATCTTCCATCAAAGTGTCATATGCCATAAACCCGACAGTTAGGCCGCCGCGCGTTTTGAGGTGATATCTATGGTTTTCGACATGAAGTCCGACTCGGTTGTACGAATCCTGCTACACAACGCTAGACTAGCATGCGCTGAGAAATTCTCGGTTCGCTGGATCTGATTTCGCCAGCTTTGTTTATGATATCGAGACCTTGCTAATATTACTTTACGCTAGACCGGGAAGTCCGTAAGGCGAATCGCGAGCTTAATAACCAGATGACCAAGATGGACGATATGGACAAAATAGAACTCTTAACAAAACGATCATCAGAACTCTTTGCGAACTTAAAACGCCTCGAGCGCGAGAATCTTAGGAATAAAAGACGCGCCGATCTGTTACAAAAGGAAAAGGATGCCAGCCGTACGGACCTCAGCAAACAAATTAGCTTGAAGGAGAAGCTAGAAAAGCTGTGCCGCGAACTTCAAAAAGAAAATAACAAGCTTAAGGTACATTGAGTCCTAGTGGAAATTTTGAGGAATTCGCGCTGACGGGAACGGTTGGTAGAATGAGCACCGTGCTCTGAATGATACCCACGATCGCCTCAAAGCCTCGTCTGACGAGCGCTTAAAGAAGGTACTTGACACTTTAGAAGGTTATCAAGAAGAGAAAGACAACCCGCGGAAGCAGGTTGTGTATATGAAAGCCGAAGAATTGTGCGCCATTCCTCCACCCCTAACGTCCATCTACACGGGCACGTTTTGTATTAACACTGAAGGTGTAGGTTCAAGGGAAGATTTAAATCTCTCATCGATCAATATGAATTACGGGAACTACACTATCATTCTTCAATGCGAACCAAGGAGATCGAGGTCCAATGGAACATGGCTCGTTACGAGCAACAGAAGAAGACGGCGGAAGCAGAAGCCAACCGTGCGCGACAGTTGAATAGCCAAGTGCTTACGTTCTCCAAGACCGAAACTGAATTAAGAAATCAGTTGAATGTTTACGTTGAGAAGTTTAAGCAGGTATGCGCCCTGTGCCCCTCACTAGCCCGCCGTGCGAAGGCATTAACAAATGAGGAGGTCGAGGACACGCTCAATAATAGTAACGACCTGTTCTTAACTTTTCGCAAGGAGATGGAGGATATGTCCAAAAAGACGAAGAAGCTAGAGAAGGAGAACGAGGCCTACAAAAGGAAAGAGAGCGCCTTAAATCAGAACATCCTTAAGATGGCTGAGGAACGTAATAGGCACATGAAGGACCTCGAAGACATCAGGAAGAAGAACGATAAACTGACGAGCATCATCAACCAAATGCAACAGCAAGGCCGCGGTATACCTCAGGGCATGCAAGGTACGGTAGAGAGCTGCTATGCCGAAGGGGTAGAAGGCGATGAAGAAGGAGTTGGATGAGGGCGATGATGAAAGCGAATACGAATACGAGGACGGCGACGAGGAGGTTAGCGACGAGGGTGAGTTCGACGACGACACAGAGGAGGAACTTCCGCACGCACCTGGTGCTTACGGCCCCGAGCGCCCGCCCGCTATGAATGGTCATCGCTAGGAGGACGACACAGTAGGGCGGGATGCAGTAGAACTGCCTCAACCTGTCTACGATCTGTGCCGCTGGTTTTCTGACTTGCGGGCCCAATTCTTTCATAACGAGAAACCTCCCGCCGAGTAAGCATCTGAGGGGCCTCCTACGATTCCGCAATGTCTCTTCCGCGGAACCCTCGAACCCTCGAAACTAGACTTCGCGGGACAGTTCGCTTTTGGAGAACAACTGCTGTGCCTTCCCCCTTTTTTGCAGAATAGACGCCCGAGTCGTCAATGTATTGGTCTATGTAGGCAGCAAGAGCAGCTGAGGCTTGGTTGTCATTAGAGCGAGTATTGTTTCTTGCTAGTGATAACATTGTAGCAATAAATGCGAATTGATACTTCCCTCGGAAACCGTACAAATAGGTACATAGTTCACAAGTGTGTAAAGTTGCCAATTAACATTATTCAGGCCAAATTTTATTTATTCCTAGTAAGTTAATTTATTTAACCTAGTTACCATTACCGTAGGTTTCCGTGGGTATCTCTATGAATATGTCCATCTACCTAGACGCCGAAGCCGAAGCCGAAGCCGAAGCCAATCCAGACGCTTGCGGTTGGCCGTATCTACCACGGATCCTAGCCGGTCCTAAGTCACGCCTGATCTCGTCGAGTTCAGCAGTGCCGCTCTTCCACTTGCCCTTCTTCATCTGCTTCTTTCCACGCATCGAGTAACCTCCCAGGAAATCATCTAGGATGTTATCAAAATCACCCCGCACAGATCCTGTCACGCTAGACGCTGTCGAGATCTGAGACATGGAGGCCCCACCATCTTCGTCATCATCGAAATCATCCGCATTGTACTGCTCCTCGATTTTGTCGAAGCGAGCGTCGAGGATACCAAGTTGTTCAGTGCGGAATAGCGACGAAGATGTCATCGAGTAGCCCGACTGATTTGTCAACGCGCCCTTGCGCTTCTTCCGTCGGCCGCCGTTGGTGGTGGTTGTCATGAGAGATGATTGCACCTCTGACTGTGATGGTGCGACTGCGAAGGATACCTTTGCGCCGGGCTTCCCTTGGTCCTTCTTGAACTTCTTGAAGTCGTCTAGCCAGTCTTCATTCTTAACCACCTCTCCGTCCTGATCGTTTATAGTAGGGACTAGATCAGGTACTTCGGAGCGGTCTTTGTACTCCTTAGTCGGCTTGGCGGTGTCGTCCGATTCCCAACCTTCGTCTTCGTCAAAGTCTACATCAAATTCCATGTCTTCCAGTTCCCGACCATCTTTCGCAAGCTGTGCGAAAACGTCCTCGTCGTCATCGACGTATGCCTCGTCCTCAAGCGCCTCTAGTACCTCGCGCAGTCGGGGGTCCATATCCGGTTGGAACCCACCGATGGCATCGGGGATTTCTTGTTGCGCTTGGTATGTTATATGTTGAAGATTCTTAGATGGCAAGAAATCATCACCGAAAAGATCATCGCGCTTGCGCTCCTCATCCGCAACGTCTAGTTTTCTCAGCGCATCCTCCAAGCTTTGCTTCTGCTTTCCCTTGCCCTTGTTTTTAGGTCCATTGTCTGCTTCGATGAAGACAACCTCCCCGCCTCCAGCAGAATCTAGGTCGCGCAGATGTTGCATGTAGTCATACTCGGTATCGTCGAAGAAAACGCCATGATTGGCAGCCTCGCCCTCGTTGGCACGGATGTGTTCGGCGTCAGATCCCAGCTCAGATGCAAGGTCATCGAGCTTCCTCACTTTGGAAGCATTAGGAAGAGGTGTGGGATTCAGCACCATAGACGGTGCATCGGCGTCATGGATCAGCGGGTCATTTTGCGGACGATGAACCAGCGTGAAGTGCTGGGCCGTCTTCTTATCGCTGGTCAAGATATTAGCAGTTAATCGCTAACCGAATGGTCGCTTTATCAATTTACGTACATCCACTTGCCTTTAGGCATTTTCGCTATCTTTTTCTTTTTTTTCTTGACTCCTTCTGGGTTTTTATTGATAAGTTATGTAAGCGAATCTCTCGATTTTAGTTGAGCACGAGTAGAAGTAGAGGATGAGTGGTTCTAGGTTAGGTACTTTGTAAATGGTAGAATGGATACTTCAGGGTTCGGCCTAGAATTGAAAAAGTTTTGGTGGGGTAAATTATTATCGCGGGGCTTATCGTGCTTAGAGTGACGCAGAAAATAATTGCCCCTCGATTATTCAGCGATTAGACTTTACAAAATCGCCTAGAAGCGACAACCTTAACCTCAATTTATGAAGATTGAGTTTCTAAAAAGGTACATTTTATATTATTTTATAACTCTACAACATCATATACCAATAAATTGCCCAACATGGTGCACGCAAAGTCCAAGACCTCGATCGGGTTGGGTAATACGCTCATGAACGACCGTTTTGGGAAAGGTAAAGGATCCGATCGCAAAAAAGGTTCAGCAGTCACGAGAATCAACCACGCAACCGGCGAAGAGGTATGAATACTATTTCTATATATTAGGACAGTCGCTTATCAATTTATTACTATAGTATATTACAAATGACAGAAAGAAGCAGCATGGGTGAAGATGCGCTCTGTAACGGAGCAAGGTGCTTTAGACGAGTTCCTTGCGACCGCCGAGCTTGCCGGTACCGACTTTACTGCTGAGAAGATGAACAACGTCAAAATCATACATACAGATCAGAGAAATCCATATTTATTGTCGGCAACCGAAGAACGAAATGTCATAGGGAAGCACGCTCAACATAGAGGAAGATTAACGGTGCCTAGACGACCAAAGTGGGACTCCTCAACTACCGCCGATGAGCTTGATCATCTCGAAAGAGAAAGTTTCCTCAACTGGAGAAGGGGATTGGCAGAGCTGCAGGAGCATAATGATTTACTCATGACCCCATTTGAACGTAATCTGGAAGTTTGGAGGCAATTATGGCGTGTCATCGAGAGATCAGACCTGGTCGTCCAGATTGTCGATGCACGAAATCCGCTGATGTTTTGGTCCGAAGATCTTGAATCATACGTGGAAGATATCGACCCAGCCAAGAAAAACTTATTACTAGTCAACAAGGCAGACATGATGACGACAATCAACGGAAAGCATGGGCGAAATATTTCAAAGAGAAGAAGATAGCCTATCGTTTCTTCTCCGCTAGCTTGGCAAAACAATTAAACGACGAGCGCGATCAAGAGGACGAACCGGAAGAGCCTTTCAACGGCGAAAATTCGAATCCAAAAACTATTCGCAGATCTAACCAGGATGCTGGTTCGGAAGATGAGAGTGACGAAGAAGGCGTAGATTCGGGAGTGTCACTAAGTCAAGATGCCGACGATATCCCAGAATATTGACAGTTGAGGAGCTAGAAGACATATTTCTTCGGCATGCACACGATCCCGATGGTATGCCCTTCCATTACTATGTTACCTTGATTTTAAAGCTTACAAGCAAGTAGATCCGGAGAAGAGGCTGCAGATAGGTTTAGTTGGGTATCCGAACGTCGGAAAGTCGTCAACAATCAACGCCCTCATTGGCGCCAAGAAAGTCTCCGTCTCCGCAACGCCTGGTAAGACAAAGCATTTTCAAACCATTCACCTAAGCGACAAGGTCATCCTCTGCGATTGTCCCGGTCTTGTGTTTCCCAATTTCGCCACCACAAAAGCCGATCTCGTCTGCAATGGTGTCTTGCCGATTGATCAATTACGAGAATTTACAGGTCCTGCTGCACTCGTCGCACACAGGATCCCACAGCCATTTTTGGAAGCTATCTATGGCATCCACATTAGGACTCGGCCGTCAGAGGAGGGAGGCACGGGAATTCCCACCGCCAGCGAGCTTCTGTCAGCATATGCCAAAGCACGAGGTTTCACAACACAAGGTGTGGGACAACCAGACGAATCAAGAGCTGCTAGGACCGTCCTTAAGGACTACGTCAACGGAAAGCTTCTATACGTTGAGCCTCCTCCCGGTTGGGGTGACGGCATGGATTTCAACCGCGAGTTGTACGACTCAGAACACTTGCCTGCAAAGCGCAAGGCAGCTCTAACCGCAGCTATGGGTGCACTAGACATAGACGATGGTGAGTCGACAATTGATACGGAGATCTTAGCCCTACCAAAAGGCGCCAAGTCGGAGAAGCTTGATAAGGCGTTCTTCGCGCGCGATGCGGGAAACGCGGGACATTTAAAGATGCCGTTCAGCCATAAATACACAGAACAAGGTAAAGCCGAAGAACAAGGTCCGGCTAAGCAGCTTAGTGGACGCAAGGCCAGAGCAATGGTCGCATTGGAAACGGGAATAGACCCGCAGGACGTACAGATCGGCTCGAGTAAAAAGCACTTCAAGGGAGGTCAAAAGGGCAGGGGAAAGAAGTTTGATAACAAGATGTTGAATGAAGCTTAGATATCGATTCGATTGGCAGAGGATGAAAATCTTAGATACGTCGATATGGTGACATATGGCAACTGGAACTGGAACTGGCACTGGCACTGGCACTGTTAAGACGAGTATAGCTAGAAATCATTATTGACATCAATGAAGTCAATAGGCGTTATAGTTGATTCTCTACAATCGATCTTCCTTGTGGAGTCTTCTATATAGTCCATCTAGGTACCTTGGGTAATTATGAAGATTACCTTGGCTAGGGCGGTTATGGTTATACAAGCCCTAATTACTGTGACTCGTAATACCTTTTAAGTTACTAGGTTATACCTTGTCGAATCATACGTAAACTTCCGCCTTCTCTCGGTATGACGAGAGTTAATAGAGTGTGGGCCATTTGGTTATGCCATAGTAATAGCCTCAATTTCTATCCTGGTTAACCCGGTCTATGAAAACTCAACTCATTTATTACAAACTAATACGCACCGAAGTGGATTGCTGAGGCCATCTTGCAGGATAGCTGAATTCTCGCCAAGATCAACTTTGAAGGATCGTACGTTGATGTGTACTTGAAGAATTTTAGTGTCGATTTAAGTATCAAACAAGGTAGTTAATCTCTCGTATGGTTAAAATACATCGTATACGGCGGCTAGTATAATAGCCAAGAGGGCTAACATTAGTTAGGTACTTAACTTAAAACACCGAGACTAGGGATTTAGGTATATTCACCATCGATACTGAGATCGGTCATTGAGATACTTTGTTAGAAGAGTACTAAGGAATATATATAGTCCGGAGTTATACCCATCTGATCGATGCGTGTCAACTATGAGACTATCGTCATGGTAGAAGGGTTCCAGAATTCCATCCCACTCATATTTAGCATATTTAAACCGTGTGTTTCAGGCTTTAGAAACTAGCAAGGGGCTGACGATCGTTGTCTTGGTGCCTTGCAACAACAATTTTCCAGACCCATACTAATGAAGATAACGTGACATAGTTCACGATCCGCAAAACGGGATTTTTTTACCATCCCACTCTGACACGGTTTTTTTTTTTCAACCCACTTTACGTTGTGAACCCGAGCCACCCCCTCCGTTCGTAGGGCTCATGCACGACATTTCAGAGCTCGATTTTCACCCCGGCTCTCCTTGCGTCCGGAACCGCTCGCTTTGATCTACGGGAGGGGTTGTTCAGTAAGCAGCCAAGGTCACGATGCGGTCACGATGCACAAAAACCTTCGAGAATCCGTGCATCGTAAGCACCAGATCGTTACCATGCTCGACGACCCACCGCAGAGTTCAGCCCTGCTGATTTTATCTCGATTTCGGAGCATCACAAACTTAGATCTAACACCTTATTTTGACCACACTGCATATAAGACCATACCACCACATGAAAAACATGTTAGTGCAACATAGTTCGTAAAGGTTGTCCTTGTCTTGACCTCCCAACGCTACCGGTAAGCATTAGAAACAACAACAAGGTTCAACTGCCCTTGAGTAAATCTTTATAATGGTGTCCGTGGTTATTGTAAATGCGACAGTTATCTCCAGAGTAGAGAACATAAATATCATATCAAGTTTCCTATATCTAAATAAGGGTAATTATCATTTCTCGCAGTAGGGCATCGAGGCCCGAGAGGAAAGAGAAAATAAAAATAAAAATACCAAAATCATCGAGACTGCACGGTTCCCTTTCGCAAAAGGAGCTTCGTAAAAACCGAAAATGCCCATAGAAATAACCATCTCAACGCCCCTCCCCGCCGGCGCGCAGCCCAGCCTTGTCGTCGCACAATTACACAACCACGATATCTACATCCGAACCACCTGTCCACAACTCATAAGTTACAGCCGAATCTCACCACCACCTTCTACTACTACTACTACTACTACCACTACTACCACTACTACTTCGCTTCTCCCTCCTCCTCTTCCGATGATGATAATGACTCCTCCGACTCCAACCCCAACGTCGCACCCGTCGACGAGCCCCACACCTTCCAAGTCACGGACCGGCGACCCACCGGGCAGACGACGTACCGGCTGACGCTGACCAACCGGGCCGAAGGCATCGACTCCGCGGTCGACGGCAAGGCGCCGACGGGATCCATAGCCATCCGCGCGCGGTGGCGCGTCGTTCTGCCGCCGCTGCCCGCCGGCGACGCGGGCCTGCTCGAGGAACACGTCGACATCGAGAGTAACATGATCACCAGGAAGATGGTCAAGAGTAGCATCGAACGGAGCCACCCAGAGTACCATCGGACTTTTCTCGCCGAGGCGGCTAAGGCGTCATGAAAAATTGGTTATTTCATTATTATTATTATTATTATTATTATTATTGCTATTCGCTCCTAAGGTACTACTTGGTGGTGTGCTTGTGCGCCGCATGATGAAAATGAGATGAGAGATGTACATACATACATACATGCTACGGGAGTTCTTGTTCTAGAAAGGAGGGGAGGGAATAACTTGATATTTGGGTTAGATTAGACAGGAATATCGCGGGATGAAAATTGAAGATTGGTACGGGGGTAGGAGTAAGAGAGCCAAGATTTGCATTTCTTTGGAACATCTACGTATCTTCATAGGACTTAAACCATCGTCTAATTTGTTAAACGTGCACTTCGTAACCACCATTTCGGAGAAAGAAAGTCTACCCCCATCTTTCTAACCCCCAAATCCATCCATTCATCCATCCATCTCCGATTCTTTTTTTTCCCCCACCCCCTTTCTAGAAATACCAACGCCAAAAAACTCAAAATTTGGTTTTCGAAATACCTCCAACGCAACCGTCATTAGGATATCTAGCAGGCTAACATGGAATAGGTTGTATCCGGTATCTTCCCTGATTAGAGGCAGATACGGGTAGTTGATTCTACGTGCATTGTTGGCATCGGTTGGTCACCGCCACAACCCTACATGTCGCATCCGCCTCGACAAAAATGCAGTCGGACCGACGAATCGAATGGTCCGCTGCTACGCGACAGAGACGCTAGCTAGCTGGCTAGTTAACCTAGCTATACTACTTTATTTCGCCTCGTCGGCCCAGACGTCATAGCCAAAGGTGTCCTTCATGTTGACGAAGCGGGTGTGACGCCCCTTAGCAACGCTATTGACAGCCTCGAAGTCGGCATCAGACAGTTGCGGGACTTGGAAATTGCTTTCGATGCGCGAGGGCGTCGAGCTCTTGGGAAGCACAACATAGCCGCGGCGCACACCCCACGCGAGCAAAACCTGGGCCAGCGTATGGCCGCTGCGGTCAGCGACCTCGATTAAGGTCTTGTTAGTGCGCACCTTCTCGCCTGTGTTCGGTACTTGATCTTGCGAGCCTAAGGGAGAGAAGGCGGCAGGTAGAATATCGTTCTGTTGGCAGAATTCAACCAGCTCCTGGTTGGGTAGGAAAGGGTGGACTTCAATCTGGTTGACTGTCGGCTTGACCTTGGCGAACTGCAGCAGCTTCTTGAGGCCGGGGATTGTCCAATTAGACACACAGATGGCGCGTGCCTTTTTGGCTTCATACAGCTCCTCCATGGCGCGCCATGTCGGCTCTGGGTTCTCAGTGAGCTCCTTCTTGATGACGTACTTGCCGTCGGCGCCAATCTTAGGCATGTACTTGTCATCACGCTCGGCAGCAATAGGCCAATGGACGAGGAAAAGGTCAACGTAGTCGAGGCCGAAGTTTTGGAGTGAGTTCTCCAACGACCACTTGACCTCATCCGGCTCGTGCAGATGCTGCCATACCTTAGTGCAGATGAAGATATCTTCACGCTTCACGGACTTGTTCTTTGCGAGAAAGTCACGAAGAGCTTCGCCGACTTCGGCCTCATTCTTGTAGAACCAGGCGCAGTCCAAGTGTCGATAACCGACTTCTAATGCAGCAGTAACTGCCTTGTATGTCTCACCCTTGGCGCCTTCATTTGCGAAGGTACCAAAGCCGATGGCGGGAATCTTCACTCCGTTGTTTAGAGTGAAGGTCTGCTGGTTGGTTGGAGTTGCCATGTTTGATGAAGATTTAGACTTGGACTTAGACTTTGACTTAGACTTTGACTTAGATGTGATAGAAGGCTGTGGAGGGGTGAAAAGGGGGTTGATGAGTAGATGTGAAACAATTGCGTCAGGGAAGAAATTATTCGAGACGGTAAATACTGTTGGCTATCTTGCTGGCAGCTAGGAATGGAAATATTCGGGTAGAGAGAGGTAAGGTTGTAAGCCCGTAAACGGCCGGTTTGATTCAAACTTAGTATGTTTGTGGATTGGATTAAGTTGTATTAGATGTATGAATGGACGTATGGACGTATGGATGTATGGATGTATGGATGTACATATGGATGTATGTATAAATGGATGTATAGATGTATGTGGACGTATGAATGTCTAACCACCGATGCTGCACTATTGCATCATTCCCGGCAACTCGCTTGGCTGTTACCACCCTTGACTCAGCGGAAAAGAAAAAGTTTTTTGCGTTTGATAGAAGCCGTCGGTTTCAATTATCAGCCTGATCGCTGATCATCAACTTGGGATCCAGTTGTTTGCAGCGACAGTTGGCAACTCGTCAGCAAAAACCACCACTCAGTTTTGACTTTGGTTACCTTTTTGATACAAATGTATCCATCAATGACATGTGAAGTGGGTCACAGTAAGTTGATAATAAGTTGGTACATTCTATATACTTCTGATACTTGTGATACTTGCAATACTTGCAATACTTGCAATACTTGTGATAAATATGTGATAAAAAAGAATGGGTTCGGGTAGCATACCAGGGTTTTTACTACAAATGCAAACGGCTCGTCTGCAATTGCCTGTTCCAAATATTGATGCTTTGACCGGCTTTATCGGCCTGGTATCGGTTGGACAACATAGGTTATGTACTAACAATGTAACTAATGTAACTAATGTAAGAGGGAAGATCCATGGGTCCCCCCTAATGCAAGTTGGGATAGGTTTAGGGTAGTATAGGAATGCAAGCTGAGAGCGGTCAGGGACCTGCCTTATAAAAAAAGAACCTATAAAAGATTATGGTTTAGTATTGGTGTACATTATCTGGCGTCTGTGGCGTCACCTATCAAATCGTTAGCTGACACCAATACAAGTATTGGAACACCACAGATCTGTAAGCTGTAGGCTGTTATGTGGGTAACATCCAAGAATGGCAAAGATGAGGCAAGGCGCTAGAAAACCCTAGAAAACCCTGCAGGTCGCCGTACCCACCTTCCGACTCAAGGGGCGGATCTGTAGCGGATACACAGCGGAGCGCAGCGGACCCGGAATGATGTCAGCGTGAGGCATGACAGCGGGTACCGTACGTGGGCCGTGTGGATCCGGAATACAATTCGCTGGTTCTGCGGCTCCTTTTCGGACTGACATTTAATCTTTACTGGTTCCCTGTTAATTCGGTTGGCCGCGTGTTTGCTGGACATGCATCACACTGGCAGCACTGGCAACACACCGGTAGTATATTGGCAGCACTAGACGACGACCCTGCGACCCCTAGGTACTTACATACCAGTCTACTAGTCTACCAATCTACATACCTCATACCAGTCCGTAATTAAACCCTGAATATATCCTGATAACCTTGATAACAAATAAAACGGCTAAGAATAAACTGCCTTTACCCACGTTTCCTAACGTGAAACTCAACGTTAATAGGCCTAAAAACCATGGAAACTATGAAAACTATGAAAACATCGTAACTAGTTTACGCGACCGTTTCATCAAGCTGCAGCCTATGCAACTATGCAAGGGACCGCTTAAGGGACCGCTTAGAGACAGGCTCCATCGTGGCGGCGGATACCGTAGATAGGTACCCAGCCCTAGCAAGACATCATCCATCATCCATCATCCTTTTCGGCTCTTTGTTGATAACGTACCGTGCTTTGACAACGTACCTTGACAGCATACCTCGATAATGTACCGGGAAATGTATTCCTTGTCTAATGGTACGAAACGTAGCTACGTTGTGGAGGGTACGGGCAGAGCCGGACTTTGCGCCGTCGTTGAAGAGTGCGAGCTATATGTGATAGTACGGTGAATGATAAGCATCATGGGTGAGCCGATGACTAGATATAACGCGACCCTCCCGTCATAGATAGCAAACTTCTCTTTGTTCCATATGCTTAAACCTTCTTCTACTTCCACTTCAACATACCTGACTATCGTACCTTTTTTTTGAAGCAGCACGCTAGCTGAGACTACATTCAAGATGCCTATGTTCGAAGATTACGATATTGCCCAAGCCACTGAGATGCAGGACAAGAAGGCTGCTTCTACAGCCAACTCCAATGGCAATGCCAACGGACACTCTAACGGCAATGGCACAGAGTCAAACTCTCTGCCCATTCCTGGAGATGATGGTGATGGACCTATCGAGGTTCCCGCCTCGAGATCGTCCGTCTCTGAAGCAGCAAAGTACATGCACAACTTAAGCATGTCTCCCTCTATGAAGGAGAGAAGAGGCTCTCGTAACTCTTTCGGCACAGCTCTTCCCATCCCCCGATCTAAGAGACAATCACGACTATCGTCGGTTCACTACCCCGATGGTGATGAGTCTCTCGGCCGCCCAACACGCCCGGGCATGCCACCTATCCAGCCCTCTCGTGCTATCCTAGCTTCCCAAGTTCAGAGCGTCGAAGTCGAGAAGGTAAAGAAGGCTAAGAACATGGCTTTCGCTTTCGACATCGATGGTGTCCTTGTCCACGGTGACCGTCTCATTCCTGAGGGCCGTCGTGCTCTGGATATCTTGAACGGTGACAACGAACTCGGCATCAAGATTCCTCACATCTTCTTAACTAACGGATCCGGAAAGCCTGAGAAGGCTCGTTGCGAACAGCTCGCCAAGATTCTACACAACCCCGTCGACACAGAACAATTTATTCAATCGCACACTCCTATGAGCGCTCTTGCTGAATACTACAACACCGTCCTAGTTGTTGGTGGTGAGGGCTACAAGTGCCGTGAAGTTGCCGAGCAATACGGCTTCAAGGACATCGTTGTTCCCAACGACATTGTTGCCTGGGACCAGTCTATCGCACCTTACCGTGTTTTCACACCCGAGGAGCGAGCATCTTCTCGGCCACGAGACTTCACTAAGACTAACATCGAGGCTATCCTGGTCTTCTCTGACTCTCGAGACTACGCGACTGACATGCAAATCATCATGGATGTACTACGATCCGAGAATGGTCGTCTAGGTACTATGGCTAAGGACCCTCTCTCTCAACGCGTCCCTATCTACTTCTCGCAGGGTGACATGTTGTGCCCCACCGAGCACTGGACACCCCGTATGTCTCAGGGTGCATTCCGTATCGGTCTTGAGGCCATGTACCGAGCCCTGACCGGAATCGACCTTGAGCGTGTCGTTTACGGAAAGCCCGAAACTGCTACATACAAGTACGCCGATGAAGTTCTCACCTCGTGGATGGAGCAACTCCACGGCGAGGAAGCTTCCAGAAAACATCTACATGATCGGTGACAACCCAGCTTCTGACATCATCGGTGGCAACATGTACGGATGGAACACATGCCTCGTCCGCACTGGTGTGTTCCAAGGCGGCGAGAATGACGAGAACAACCCAGCCAACTTTGGCGTCTTCCCCAATGTTCTGGAAGCAGTTCAAACAGCGCTAAGGAAGCAACTGGGAGATGACTTCAAGATGCACTTCGATGACCGGATCAACCCTGTTCTACACGGCGATGGAGCCGACACAGCTGCGATCATTTGATTTGGATGATATCATTTGGGATTTAAGTGGGAATTTTTTGGTGGGGAGGCGTTTTTGGATCGGATCTTGATGATTTCTTTTTTCTTTTTTTTTGTGATATCTAGAGCTTTACGACCATCGTATCGTATTCAGCAGCATTGACTAACGAACTCAAGACGAACTTAGAGATATTGGAAGACTGACAATTCCTGGAAAGATATTTAGAAATTTCTCGAAATCTTTTACCAGCTTTATGCGCGCGGCTTGTGAGAGGAGAATATGGTGCTTTGTTTCTAACAACCCCCCCCCCCCCCCCCCCCCCCCCCCCGGTTCCCCTCGTTCTTAGCTCCGTGTTGCCGACATTTATTGGGCCTCATCGCCGCTTTCAGCATTTGTTAAGCCTATCGATCGCTTGTGCATGACTACGCCATCGCCAAACAGACTTTCGCTGTGCATGCTTCGAGAACCGAACTATTTCTTCGACCTAACTTAAAAACTTGTTAAACTTGTATTATCTTGACTGACTATCCTATACTAAACAGAACCTTTAACTTTACTTCGTACCAATCAACATTAGACTAAAAATGGTACTTCAGGAAGAGATTGGATTATAGATGGTTACATTGATCTTGATGTTACAAGGGGATTTGTCGACGTGGAAACTAACCTACCTCTACTAACATGATAGAAACCCACCATTTGCCATAGTAATACAAATATTTTCTATATACCTACTTGTGCTCACTGTAAAAATTCACAACCTGATACTTGAAAATCCAAAAACTTGATCCGTGAAATGAAACGTGATATGATCTATTGAAATGTTAATATGATGTAGATACGTTGATTTTTAGAGCTATGCAGTCATGTTGCATTGATGGACTGCTGATTGTGAGCCTCGTATAGAATAGGTAATGAAATGCGTAGGACTAAGCTGATGTGCTCGCTTATACATACATCCCTAAGTACTTCGTACATATGTACGTAGAACGTGGCATAATTAAATGTTACTGTATAAAAGAACTGAATAAGATGTGATAGCAAGCATTAAATAACGACTAAGATAAGACCCTGAGTTCTCAACCAATGATCTTCAACTACGGCCGGAAAAAGGGGTCCAAGCCCATAAAGCAAGCATTTTAATGTAACATCGGGAACTAACCGGATACGGCATTTCATTTAATTGAAATCTTACGAGGGAGCGACGAGAACATCGCGAGTTTTAGGCGCTTCTCTGCCCTCACGATATTCAATCGCTTCAATTGCTTTGCGGCTTGATGTCGGTTTACTACTAGAGCTTAGCTACCGCCGCAGAAGCGCGCGCGTGGTGGCCAGTCACTCATTAATTAACCTTCCTTAATATATACGTTATTCTCTTGTTTTTGTCCAGTCGCTCATTTCCTATAACAATGCGCCGCATATTCGCGTTCTTGCTATCCGTATGGACGGCATCGCGCGTCGCCGCGCAGGACGGCAGCAGCAGTGGCGCCGTCTGGGCGACGCCTCATGACAGTTATTCCTCCTCGGTCGGAGTGCTGGGGTGCAAAGTAAACACCAATCGCATAGCCTATTGGCCAGGCGCAGTCGACTGCGACAACATCTGCATCTCGCTGAGCTACGAGGACCGGTCTGTGAAGCTGCTGCGCGTGGATCGGTCTCAGGGCGCGCATGATATTAGCTACGATGCCTGGAATTATCTCTACACCGGCTTCTCGGCGACCGAGAAGCCCACGGCTGGCGGCGCCGTCGCTATGAACTTCGCAGATGTGGATGCTTCGGAGTGCGCGGATCTGATCCACACCGACGGAGGCAAGCTCCCTCTTAGCGCCGCGAATAGCATGAATTTCTTGGCTAGTTGTCTCGCGCGTCCCGATAGCTGGGTTGCGAAGAATTATCTTCTATTTAATATTCTTGACTCCACGTGCGCTTGGGGCCACGACGAGGTGTGCACGTTGGATTGGCCGGCTGCTAATCAGGCAAGCTGCCCGAGTACGCTTGGAGACCCTGCTACTTTAACGTCAGCTCCGGTCTATAATATCAGATATCCTTCAGGACAAACTGTTGTAGCCTCGTCAGGACAAGTTGTCGATCCCCAAAATGATAGTAATGGGTGTGTTGGAATGTCACCCAACTTATTTGTTTTATTTCTGGTAGGAGTGGCTTCAAATTGGGTAGCTCATGCAGGTGGTGTGCATTTCTAGGAGCCATGTGAGTCGGGCGTGGGATTTGATGTCGTCATAACGCCGACTGGATGCCGCGTGCAGGTTGGGGGTCATCGGCAGGTTGGCCGACAAGGGTGTGGCAGCCTTTACGATGCGGTAGGAGTTGGTCCTATATTCAGCATGATTACGAAGAGATACCCTGTTGATTGTTGACGTCTATTTACAAATATCCTTATCATTATCAATATTATGAACCGAGTTTATATTTCAAAAATTCAATCAAAGACTACGAACGAAAAAGCGTATCATAATTGAGGATACAAGAGCCGACCAGAGCCTTACCGCATATCCTCAACCTAAGCACTAGAGCCTGCTGCTGCTATGCAGGATGGGGTGTAGATGATTGGATGGAGGTAATAATGCATGTGAAGACCAAGAATGTTCGGTGTCAAAACCTGGCCATCAAAGCCTGGATAACGAAACCTGGAGCCTTGTCGTAACACGCATCTTGTAGCCTTAACTGACAAACCCGGATCGGGTTGAGCTGTTATTAAGGTAAGGGGCTTCAATATAGATATCTAATAGCATGATATGGTAGATATAGCATCCATACCTTCTTAGTTGTATAAAGATTGATATCTCTTCATTCCCCGCCTTATCCTTGATAGAAAGTCAGTTTAATTCTTCCAGACGAGATATCAATATTCATTCTATACTCATACTTATCGTCTGTTAATATGGCTACCAAGACACGCAAGGTTCCCCAAAACCATTGGGGTCGTCATAGAGAGACGATCCTGAACCTTTTTCTGACTTCTGATCTCTCCGTTAATGATTTAGTCCAAACCATGGATAGGGATCATGGATTTTCTGCCACGTACGCCTATATCTTCTAATATCGTGGCTAAGCTAATTCCCTCCTTAGTGTTTCACAGTATGAGGCTCAATTCAGAGTTTGGAATGCTCGTAAGAACTTGAAAATTCATGAATGGGAGGGAATCTTCGAAATAATCGACCGCTTATCGTCTCGGGATATTCGATCTAGGGTTGTTATTTCAGGTCACCCCGTGTCAATGAATAGAGTTGACCGGGCAAGACGCCACTGCAATAGAGAAACTCGCCTTGGAAAGCGTCGCAGAGTGGAAACGGACTTGTCTGACGCGTCAGCTGGCCACAAGACCGGTGATGTCTTTGTCGAAGTTCAAAATTCAAGCGGTGAATGGTGTCCATATACAAGTTCAACTCAACAAAGTAGCCCTGATAAGGCAGTTGAGTTCGTTGCCCAAGAGATGATCATCGGCAACGAGGTCAATCGAGCTAGGCCTGTATATGATAACGACCTGGACCACCAACATCCCCGGAACTTGTCGAGTGGTTCTCCATGGTTATTCTCGTTCCGTGCTCCCAAATTTATGTCTGATAGTTGGTCAGCATCTAACGAGGACGAAAACCCTCCACATCCTACGGATCCTTTAATTGATGGACCCGAACCTCAGGTCGCGCAGGACTTGGTTCAGTATGAATTCAATGAAGATATCATATCTCCAGGCGTCGAGATGGCAACCTCTCCCATGTGGCTAGACTCCCTAGGTCAGTTTTCTCTTGGGAAACTATGCATAAACAACTTGCCATTTGAGCGGTTCGAACAGGACTCGGCATCAGAACGCCTTGTTTTAGCTTTATACCCATCTCCATGGCAGGACTCTACGTTATTGGTTGGAACCCAGACTTTAGTAACAAAATTTGTTGTTGAAGTTGCTACTGCTATGTCGGAAACCAACGGGAACACTCTTGCTCGGAATACCAGCCAAGCATGGTTTACGTTACGAAAATTAAAATCCCTTCTACCTAAGACTCAACAGGGACTCGGACATAGTAGCTTAGCTCGGCCTTCGGAAGAAATGCTCGAGGTTGAACTGCATCGGATTCTTTTATTCTCAATCGCCAATGGATTTGTTGGTCTAGATGATATACCTCTCGAACTAGTATTTAGGTTTCTCGACCAACATAGCAATGTTAGTTCCCTATTATCACGCTGGTTCCAAGGTATCCCAGAGCATTTTGCAAAAGGACTTGCCGAAAATTTATTTCGAGCATCAATAGAAGCGGGGAATCACCAAGCGATTAGATTCTTTCTGCAAAGACGTTTAGTAGATGTTGATAAGACATTCTGCTTCGTTGATAACAAACAGTATACACCCCTAGAGCGGGCCTGTGAGCTAGAAGAGCTGAAAGTAATCCACGAATTACTCCGCTTTAAGCCAGATGTTAACCTAACATTACTCGATATATCTGAGGAAGATGACGTCGACTGGAGGCGAGCTCTAGGATGTTTGATATATGTACCGAAATACAGAGTAGGCCCAGGTGGATGCTGCATCGAGAACAGGAGCGACCGTGTATTCCTTCCTGAGTACTTGGAAACCGTGGACACTTTAGTAGACGCTGGAATAAGGGTATCTCCTTCCTTGGTCCACCTCTCTCTTGAGAGGTACGTCAAAATGGATCTTGCTAAGAGGCTTATATCTAAACTCGTACCGTCTGATCACTCGGAGGTTATTTCCAGAGGTATCCTGCCTATTATCATCCGGAAGCTTCCAACTGGGGACGCCTTGGAAATTGTTTCTAAGATCATGTCCAGTTACGAGCAAACCGGGTATAAGTGTCCAAGTCACCAGGACGAGATTCATTGGGCAATCATTACTGCCGCTAAGCAAGGCAGCATCCAACTTGTTCAACACCTTTTTCAGCATGCTAAGTCTTCAACGCAGATCCTAAGCGCAGCAATTAGAGGAGGCAACAAAAGACTTATCGAATTTATCCTAGCTCAAAAGCCCGCTATCTGCCAGGCACCTTCTGAACTAATTAACAAACCGATCAGTTCAGGGGAACCTCGGTTTTCGGATTATACAACACCACTGGCCGAAGCAATAGACGGAGGGGATGAGTTACTCGTGAAGAGCCTTGAAAATGAAGGCGCTCTACAGCACCTTAACAATGCGACCACAAGCTATCATTCTGATGTACCTTCGCGGCTCGATACTGCGATTTGCGCTGCATCCAGAGTGGGAAACATCGTGTATATCAGAAAATTGTTATCTATCACTACTGGGATCAACAAGGAAGCCGCCATCAATGCACTATCAGAGGCAACGAAAAATAGACGAGGAGATATAATTCGACTTTTACTTGACTCAGGAATTCGTATTAGTGGTAATGGCGTGTCCGAACATATTAAGTTCATGGTCGACTTATATAAGTGGAATATGCCGCTCCTATCTGATATATTGTTAACATTCCCGGGGTTTCAATTCGTTTCCGGTGATCCACAATTTATTATTGATGCTTTAGGATCGGAATCTCTGGAGGTACTGGATTTCTTTTGTCAGCACAACCTCCTGTCCAACAATATCTTAACAACAGGTCTGAGGATAGCGGTCAAGCGGGGTTACGACTCAATACTTCGCCCTATCCCTAGATTGGGACTAAATATGACCTCTATTAATATGCTATTGGGTGCCACAAAAGGACAACCAAATATGCTACGAACACTTTTGGCATATGTTCCATCTACCCAAGAAAGCATCCCTGGGTTTGGAACACGCTGTGTTGTGAGTGCGATTCAGCGCAATGATCTAGAATCATTGGATATTCTTCTTGCCTGCAGAGCTATTGATTTAAAGCAGACAAATTCATACAACTATAATCCCTTAGCAGTAGCTGTCAAAGCCGATGCGGCAAGCTGTTGTTCTCAATTTACGTTTACGGCAAGACTCCTCGACGCAGGTTGTAACCCCAACCAACTCGGACAAGGTCATTTCGATAGGTCTGGGAGACTAGCTAATATCACGCCACTTATTCGGGCAATTATGGCGGGAAATAAGAATTTGGTACAATTTCTTTTAGATCGCGGCGCTGATATTAACAAAGGAGCTACTCATGGGATAAAACGCACCCCATTACAAACCGCAGCAGAATGTGCGGATCTTGACGTAACTGAATTATTGCTTCGGAATGGCGCAGATGTTAACGGGAAGCCCTCAACATGTGGTGGTGGTACGGCTCTACAGCTCGCGGCTATAGGTGGGAACTGCAATATTGCTGCACTTCTTATTGATCGGGGTGCTAATTTATATGATCCTCCATCTATGTTTCATGGACGATGGCCTCTGGAGGGCGCTGCCGAGAAGGGCCGGATAGATATGATCCAGTTTCTCTGGAATGTTAGTCTCGGCGGCTTTCCTATTGAGCAATGTCGCAAGGCAATAGAACTCGCGGAGAAGAACGGGCATAGAGCGTGTAGGGACTTGATTCAGGAATTGGCAGCTTCGAGTGGAATCATGCTTACACTTGAGAATTGAGGGCAAAATTAGGTTGATATTGGTTTTCTATATTTACAAGTTTAAAACCATGAGAAGGGGAGTTTTGGAGTCATATATGTTCTCTTATTTGGTTTTATAAGCTAGCAATTACCACTATTAAATGGTAGAAAAAATCAGTAGTGAGTGCCATGATGCTACGGCATGACTACTAACGTTGTAAATAATACTGAATCGACAGCCTTGGAATATAACTAACAATACAAATAGTATAAAGGGTAGACTAAAGAGTGCAAGCTTTAAAGCTAAATTTTGATGAAGTGGTTCGTATAAGGGGGTATGAGGACGTCCTTAATTAATCCATATTTCTCAGTGTTAATTAGAAGATTCCAATGTGTATTTCATTCTGCATTGTCTCGATTGTTCCTTTGTCTTTCTTTAACCCGGTTAGTTTTTCGTGGCCCGCTAACCTTTCCCATCTCAGCCGCGTAGTGTTTTTCTAGAGAATCGATACAGTCGAATGACGCACTACATTGGCAAATATAGAGATTTTGATTCTGAAGTGATGCTTGACATGTCCCATGGTGCTTCTTGAACAGGTACCAGCGCTTAATGGCCATGGCACAGCGACATCTGAAGCCCGGTAGCGGTTTATGATGTGCGCGCGTGTTTTTACATACTGTTGATCTATGTCGTACACGGTTCTTCTTATGGGCGAAGGTTTTGTCACAACCTGGTTCGCCTGGCTGAGCACATGGGAAACAGATGATATAAGGAGGAGCACCGTTCCTATCTTTGGGTTTCTGGTAAATACTATAACTCAATTAGTTCTAGTCAGACTCATTATAGTCCTACTCTGGAATTGTAAACGCGAAGAACTTGAATTCAAGGCAGCCTCACTAAACCGACTTATGGCGTAGAGACTTAAACATAAGGAGGCTATAGCCTGGCGATACTTAGCGACAGTAATAGTAGATGATGACATATAAACTGTTACTAAAACTTCACCTTTCGTCTAGTCGTTGATTTACTATAAACAAACCTAGAAGAGTAATGTCACAATGGCAAATAACGAAGGCGGAAGCTAGCAACGTAGTTCCAAAGAGTGCTCAACCGACCCTACTTTTTTGATACGAATGCTGACGTCTCGAAAGTGATAGTCCACAGCTACCTCCGTGTTTTATATGTACTAATGGATACCGAAACACGGCTGTTAGTTTTGAATCCAACCTATACTGATGAGAGACCGAGAGAGCAAGTTCTTGGATAGGTAGAAATATAAAAAAAAATTTAAAGCATGGGAACATAATTGTTCGTTACTGTAAAAGAATAAAATTAGGTACCGACTAATATAGGTAGTGGTTAACCTTAATAACTTGCCATAGAAGACGGAACAAGCTTTATACTGCCCCGCAATATCCCGTCCCGCGCATATCCGCAACTGCGAGTAATTGCCGATCTACCTTCTAGGTACCTAAGGTAATTAATGCATTAAGCACGTCAACGTTATGCGCGGTTTGTCTCTCAACTTAAACAATTGCATCTTATTTTCCTGTTTTCAACTAGCGAATAATTTTTCGGGACTGACAATTAGCTGCTCATTTATTTGTAATACCTAGTACTTCGTGGTGGTATATTGAATCGGAACAGCAAACATGGCAGAGTCTTCTCAACCCCTCCGGATCGGTTTCGTGCCGGAGCACTTTTCCACGCCGCTCTACTTTGCCCAGAAGCACTTCGGTCTTACAGCTACATTGATTCCGTTCCCCTCCGGAACGGGCCATATGATTACAGCTATCCGGTCCGGCGAAATCGATGTCGGTATTGGCTTGACGGAAGCTTGGGTTGCGGGTCTTGGCAAGGAAGATACGCCTGGTGATGGCGGCTATCGCATCGTCGGGACTTATGTTGAAACCCCTCTCTGTAAACTACCCCCCTAACTGACTATAATAGTGTCTTGTATAAATTATGTGAGACTTATTAACATTTACGCACAGGCTGGGCTATTTCGACTGGCGCCAAACGGCCTGAGATCACTTCCGTGGCCTCATTGAAGGGGTCTAAGATTGGTATCTCACGCATCGGTTCCGGTAGCCAAGTAATGGGCTATGTACTAGCCGACCAGCAGGGCTGGTTGACGCCTGGTGCATCGCCGTACTCAGACTTCGTAGTGCTGCAGAATTTCGCGAATCTCCGGAACGCGGTTAACGACGGCACAGCCGACTTCTTCATGTGGGAGCACTTCACGTCGAAGCGGTACTACGATAGCGGAGAGATCCGGCGTGTTGGTGAGATCTACACGCCTTGGAGCAGCTGGAAGATTGTGGCGTCGACGGCGCTGCTGCCGGAGAAAAACCCGGATAAGCGACTCCTAGATCTGTTTAAGAAACTAGATGAGGGCATCAACTATTTCTCTTCACATCATGACGAGGCAGTCAAGTATATCAGTACCGAGCTTGATTATTCAGAGGCGGATGCGAGGGAGTGGTTGCGCACAGTACAGTTTGCCATCAAGACAGAAGGTGTGGACTTGAAGGTTATCCAGAGCTGCGTTAATATCTTGCGCAAAGCAGGGGTTTTGGCCGAGGGTAAAGGTTTACAGCCAGAGAGCATGCTGGCTAATGGATTAGGTGCGCAATTCCCGCAATAAGTCCTATGGCGTTTTTATATAAAATAAGAATTCAAGGTCTTTGAAAAGGGAAGACTGTCCCCTTATTCTTATTTGCTTATGATTTACCTGTCTACCTACATTTTGATATTACATCGTACCAAGCCTTTAGGATCGCAATACGACATAGAAGTCGTCATTGCTTAGCCCCACATTGCAGCTCTCCACATGCAATTCGATATCTAAAATATCTCCAAATCAAGCTTCATCTCGACAATTTCCAAAGCTACGGAAAGCTATTTCTCTCCTTACACCCTACGAAAGATTGTTCTCCTCGTGGACACCAATTGGACCTATAAATTTACTTATATAGATCTAATATTCTCCAAAACCTGCGTTACAATTAAACAGAGAGCGTCTAAAATGTCATCCACCATCCACGCCCGCTGGCTGCGACAAGCCCGCTTCCTCTCCACCCACTCCCGACCTTCAAACCCTCCCACACCAATACGCACCCTGCGCATCCGAACCACACCTCACCCACGAAGCAGACGCTTCCAATCCACCAAACCATCTCCCGATCCCAACCCAACATCCGAGTCCCAAGCCCGACAAACCCGACGCTTCGACGCCATCCTCGCACGCACAAGCCGCTGGCTCCCCAAGCGTCTTCGGCCATACCTTGAAAAACTGCGCTCGGCGCCGTTCTCGCATATAGCCGCGTTCCTCGTACTACACGAGATAACAGCCGCGATCCCATTGCTCGGACTCGCATACGGCTTCCACCGCGCAGACTGGGTGCCGACGGCATGGTGCTAGGGCCGTGGGCGGCGTGGGCGGAGGAGGGACTGGCGCGGTATATGCGCTGGTTCCGCAAGAAAGGCTGGTTTGGGCTGGGGGATGAGGCGGATGGGGGGAGGGAGGGCGAGGAGAAGCTGGAGAGGAGGCTGAAGGCGGAGATGGAGAAGGAGAAGGGGAAGAGCGGGGGGAGTTGGTTTGGGTCTTGGAGGAGGCGGAAAGGTGAGGATGGTGTTAATGATATTTCTATGAGTGAAGAACATATGGATGGAGCTGGGAAGGGCAAGAGTGCAAAGGCTTGGAGAAAGGTCAAGGACACGGTAACAGCTGAGAATACGGAAAAGGGGTATAAGATTGGCATACAAATTGCCGCAGCCTACGCAATAACAAAAGCGTTGCTAATACCTAGGATAGCAATCAGTCTATGGGCGACCCCTTGGTTAGCTAGGGGGTTCGTAACCGCAAGGCGCTCCTTGTGGAAAAGGCGTAGCTAAGAATAAAGCCACTCCTATCCGATTATGCAAATATAATATCACGGATAGAGGCCCTTATTCGTCTATAATTCTTGGTTTATTGCAATGTGCACTTTTTGTCTGATCCGACTACATGGTTTTGTCTGTTTCGCTTGTCCAAGCTAGATCAAACTACTATCACGTCATGCGGATCTCTACCACCATATTATTTTTCCTACTTGTAGTTTTCTTACTCGTAGAGCCACTTAGCCTGGGCGCTTTCCCAGCTGACGACGTCACCCTCGCTGAACCATAAGGCAATCTCCTTCTTGGCGTTCTCGACGCTGTCGGAGCCGTGGCAGACGTTGCGGCCGGTCTGGAGAGCGAAGTCACCCTATAAACTGTTAGTTTTGATTGGAATGCCATGAAAATTCTGTTTACTTACACGGATGGTACCGGGGGCAGAGGCGAGGGGGTTGGTGGCACCGAGGAGAGCTGAACAATAACGGTTAGCGTTGATATGTTCACTGATATAAGGGATTTAGACGTACTTCGGCCAGTCTTGACGGCATCAAGACCCTCCCAGACCATGGCGGCAATCGGGCCGCTGTTCATGTCTAAGCTCGGGTTAGCTATGTTAAAAAGCGAAATAGCTGCTATAATGACATACACTCAATTAGACCAGGGAAGAAGGGCTTGTCCTTAAGATCGGCATCTGTTACGATTATGTTAGCTCACAAATGCTGTGCTTTGGTAGTGTGGTACCAGCTTACAGTGCTTCTCGAGGTGGGCCTTGCCGGGGTAACCAGCTTGATGGCAACAAGCTTGAAGCTACTCCGCTGTTAGATCGTAATTTAAAAATATTATAGGGCTATTTTACTCACCCTCGGCTCTCGAAGCGAGAGATGATAGCGCCAACAAGCCACGCTAGAATTAAGGGTTAGGAGGTGTTCGAGAGCTTCGTATGGGTGAATTAAGTACCTGGACGCCATCAGGCTTGATAGCAATGAAACTATAAACATCATATTAGATTTATTTCATGTCACGACATTTAATACCATTAAAAAGGGGCAAGAAGTAGGGTAACTCACGTCTGCTCAGTCGACATCTTGGCTTCCGGTACAGCTTCTTGAGCGTATAGCGGGGTAGGTACTGTTTGGTAAAGAGTTGTGGTAGTAGTAACCGTTGAAATAGAAGGGGAAAAAGATCCCTTGAGGTTGTCTAAGTCGTGCTTGATGCTTTGCCTAAATGTCCAACCTTGACGATCTGGTTGAGTCTTCCAGGGAAAAAGGAAGAATAAAAGAAATATGAGGACGGCGCTTCCAAATATTGTGAAGAAAAGATGGAGGGTGGGGTGACGGCTATAGTGGGGTATTAGGCCTAAGAATCTAACATTGGGCGGTCGCTGTTGCCCGCGATTGGGTTTGCTATTGCTATGGTTTTCAACCCTGTGGGTCTCATTTGGAACTGGAGCTGGAACTGGAGCTGCGACTGGGGCCTTGTGGCGTCTCGAAACATCTTGTGGCTTGTACATCTTGGATACCTTTAGGTAATAGGTAGGGTTAGGTGCTCTTCTGCTTTTCCTCAACTACCGTATTATTTCTAGGATAGTACCTAGGTAGACAGTTAATTAACTATTTCAGTGGTTCTTGAAAATATTCAGGTCGATACACATGTGAGAGCAACTTCTGATATGATTGGTCAACTCTTTTGATGCGTTTAAATAGGAAATAGGGGAGAAGATGGAGAGTGTACAGAAGCAACCGTTACCTATGTATGATCACAACTAGGACCCTTGGGACTTCTTAAAAGAAAATTAGTGCACTTGCGTAACTCATAGAAAGTATGATGACAAAATAAGTGAAGGATATGACCGCATCTTCTACAATAAACCACTACTTTGTGAGTATTCTAAGTAAACAAATTGGTCAATTGGTCAATATTGTCCGTAGTGTGGCTAGTGATGAGAAGCCAATGCTACTATTGTGGCTTATCAGGCTGTTTGAGATTAGATACATAGATCTCAGAGGTGCTTTCAATGAGATAATGCATACAGTGAAAATAGTGGGGGTGATAAACCCCAGTGTTTGGTTAAATTCGGGGAAGCTTGTACCTAATAGCCGTACCCAAGCTATGCTAGGTAGCATTGAGCTGTCTTTTTGAACGGACAGCTAGCATCAACTTCTTTGATCTCCCACAATTAAATCAATTAAATACAATTGCTTGCGATTCTGCCAAGCAATTTCACAGCTAATCTCATGACCCTATATCCATGAGATCCTTTTATTTACTTCTATCTCTTATTTAATACTTATTGCTGGTTTTCTCTACATTCATAACCTTTATAAGGGACGCCGTGCCAAGGGACCAAATATGGCCGGTGCCGGTACAAGTCGTCTATCCTCAAGATGGCCGGTTTTCTTGTGCCTTCTTGCGGTCCTATGCTCCCTTTTCACACCAGGAGGTAAATATTTAGCCATGGACTGAACTAATAACCCCAAGGTAGCTAATTAGAAATAGTGGCGGTTAAGGAAAACGATTTCAAGAAATGCCACCAGTCGGGCTTCTGTAAGAGAAATAGGGATTACGCTGATAATGCAGCTTCTCTGGGTTCCTCATGGCAAGCACCATATAAGATCTCTCCCGAGCTGGCCTCGTTCAAAGATGGCCAATTCCAAGCCACAATCCTAAAGACTATCGACGAGCAAGGAAACACTGTTCGGCTCCCTCTCACCGTATCTTTCTTGAAGTCGGGTACGGCACGTGTCTCTGTTGACGAACAGAAGAGGCAAGAAAAGGACATCGAGCTCAGGCATAATAGCAAAGCCAGAAAAGAAAGATATAATGAAGCTGAAAAATGGGCTATTGTAGGTGGCTTGGATGTCGACACGGATGCCAAAGTTTCCCACGAGAGCAAGACTGGAATCAAGATCCAGTACGGTCCCAACTCTGCATTCGAGGCTGATATAACCTACGAGCCGTATTCGATCGATTTTAAACGGGATGGTGTTACTCAAATCAAGTTCAACGACCGAGGATTGATGAACTTGGAGCATTGGCGACCAAAGATCGAAAAACCAACACCCGAAAAGAAAGAAGGAGAGGAATCACAAGAAGAAAAGAAAGAAGAAACTCCTGAAGTACCCCCGTCAGAAGATGAGAGCACTTGGTGGGACGAGGCCTTTGGTGGGAACACTGACTCCAAGCCCCGCGGCCCCGAGAGTGTTGCACTTGATATCACCTTTTTTGGTTACGAGCATGTATATGGAATTCCAGAACACGCCGGTCCCTTGTCGTTGAAGGAGACGCGTGGCGGCGAAGGCAACTATGCGGAGCCATACAGGCTGTATAATGCCGATGTCTTCGAGTACATCTTGGACAGCCCAATGACCTTGTATGGTGCAATCCCTTTCATGCAAGCTCAGCGAAAGGACTCCACGGTTGGCGTTTTCTGGCTCAATGCCGCCGAAACTTGGATTGATATCACCAAAGCTAAGGAATCCACGAATCCCCTAGCTCTTGGAATTGGTGCCAAAACAAGTACTAAAACTCATTGGATCTCAGAAGCCGGCTTGATGGACGTCTTCGTTTTCCTTGGGCCAACTCCCCACGACATAACTAAGAACTATGCCGAACTTACTGGTACTACCGCATTACCTCAGGAATTCTCCCTCGGGTATCACCAATGCCGGTGGAACTATGTCTCGGACGACGACGTCAAGGAAGTTGACCGCAAGATGGATCGGTACAACATCCCATATGATGTCATTTGGCTGGACATCGAGTATACCGATGATAAAAAGTACTTCACTTGGGATAACGATATGTTCAAGGATCCGATTTCCATGGGTAAGCACTTGGATGCTCATGGAAGAAAACTAGTCACCATCATTGACCCGCATATCAAGAATGCGGGCGGCTATCATGTGTCTGATGAGCTCAAGTCGAAGGGCCTAGCCGTTAAGAATAAGGATGGGAATGACTTTGACGGCTGGTGTTGGCCTGGATCTTCTCACTGGATCGATGCGTTCAATCCTGCAGCCATCAAATGGTGGTCATCTCTCTTCAACTATGATGCGTTCAAGGGTACTATGGAGAATACATTTATCTGGAATGATATGAATGAACCATCCGTGTTTAATGGACCCGAAGTTACCATGCCAAAGGACAACCTTCATCACGGTGACTGGGAACATCGTGATGTTCATAACGTCAACGGAATGACATTCCACAATGCGACATATGAGGCTCTCCTTTCCCGAAAGAAGGGCGAGCTACGACGTCCATTCATACTTACTAGATCATTCTACGCTGGTTCTCAGCGTCTTGGAGCTATGTGGACCGGTGACAACCAGGCTAGCTGGGAACACCTTGGAGCCTCTATCCCTATGATCCTTGCTCAAGGAATCTCCGGATTTCCCTTCTCTGGCGCTGACGTCGGTGGTTTCTTCGGCAATCCAGAACTAGAGCTACAGAGTCGTTGGTACCAAGCCGGTGCCTTTTACCCCTTCTTCCGAGGACACGCTCATATTGATGCTCGGCGTCGGGAGCCATTCCTGCTCGCAGAGCCACACCGGTCTATCATTACTTCCGCCCTTCGCCTTCGTTATAGTCTGCTTCCAGCTTGGTATACTGCATTTTATCACGCCAACCGTGACGGAAGTCCCATCATACGCCCTCTATATTGGACTCATCCAAGTGAAGAAGGTGGCTTCGACATTGACGACCAGTTCTTTGTTGGATCGACAGGCCTCCTGGTTAAGCCAATCGTGGAGAAGGACAAGATTTCTACGGATATTTATATCCCAGATAGTGAGGTCTATTATGACTATTTCAATTACAAGAAGCTACCTACGACCAAGGGCAAGCACTTAACCGTGGATGCACCCCTTGAAGCTATCCCTGTTTTGATACAAGGTGGACACATCCTCCCCCGCCGTGACGTCCCGCGACGTTCCTCCCAACTGATGAAATTCGACGACTATACCCTCGTCGTAGCCGTTGGAAAGAACGGTGAAGCAGAAGGGGAATTGTATGTTGATGATGGTGACTCTTTCGATTACGAAAAGGGGCAATATATCCACCGCAAGTTCAAGCTCGAGGGCTCGACGCTTGCTTCTACCGATGCGGAAGGCCGTGATGCCAAGAGCATTAAGGAGGGAGGCTGGCTAAAGCGAATGCGCAACGTTGCCGTCGACAAGATCATCGTCGTCGGGGCACCTTCGTCTTGGGCTAGCAAAACGGAAGTAACTGTTGAGTCTGAGGGCAAGAAAGTCTCAGTCCCGCTTACTTACCATAAGGCAGACGGTGATAGGGGCACATTTGCGGTTATAGGACGTGTTGGTTCTAGGATTGGCGCCGATTGGACCATTACTTTTGCTTAGAGGATTAGATATGAATGTAGGTATTACCTATAGAGACGAATATGATGACTAGAAACCGTTACGGATTTTCTAAAGATTTGTACGAATACTTCCGATGGGTGACGCTAAGGTTGTTACGATTAAAAATTCCTGTTGTATTCTGCTATCATCAAATGCAGTGACTTTCTTGACCCAAGTTTAACAAATCTAACCTGTATTAGCTACTTTCAAGTTGCCCCTACACGACAAGTCCTACCACGTTCGATCATGCATCTTTTCGTCCAACATGTTGCTTAAACTTGAGCAACTCGTCTTCAAAACCCACGTTCCTAGATGGATTTCTAAATCTATCGAAAGAATCATTCATCTTAGGCCTCTTATTGCCTGAAATGCTGTCATACTTCCTCCAGATATCATCTAACGTTGCAAGTCCCGGATCGGCAATGTTTTCCTTTAGTGGTTCGGGGATTTTTTGGTCTCTGCCTGCTCTGTCCATCTTTTGAACTGCAGAAGGGTCGAACTTCTTCGCGAAGTCTCGGATCTGCTGGATGGCGCCTTCGGAAACGGTCGGACCGGTTCGAGCTAATGCAGCGTCGAAGTGCCCCTTGGTGAGCACCCGGATCTCGCTTGATTTGTCCAACTTGTCGAGCTCGGTTTGGCAGATAAGCGCTGCTTGGGTGCAGAGCGTCTTGATGTCTGACCCGGTGAAGCCGGCGGTGCGACCGGCTAGATGTGAGAGATTGACGCTTGGGTCTACCTTCTCGTCTCGGAGGAATATGCTGAAGATTTTCTCACGAGCAGAGAGAGGTGGCAAGCCGATGAATAAACGCGCGGGTACACGGCGCATGACAGCGTCGTCTAGGTCGTTCGGATGGTTCATCGCGAGCAGCAAGAACGGCGGCATCTTGGAGGCTTTCAACCCGTCTTGCTGATTGAGCAACTCATTGAGACGGCTCCGTTCCCAGCTCCGGTCGTCTGTGCCACGCTTCCGGAACAGAGCATCGGCTTCGTCGATAAATATAATACTGGGGGCAACCATCGAGCCGAGGTTGAAGAGAGCCTTGATCAGCTTCTCTGATTCCCCTACCCATTTGCTTTCAAGCTCTGCCGCGGATACGTGTATCATTACGGCTTTGTACTCGTGCGCCAAGACTCGGGCTAGTTGTGTCTTTCCCGTCCCTGGCGGGCCGTAGAGCAGGGCGCCGCGAATGCGAGATTTTCGTAAGAGACCGTATTGGGACTTTGGGTCGGAGCTGGCTAGGTCTACGAGTTGTTTGATTGTGCCTTTGGGTGTCTTCGTCGACTTCGATGTCTTTCCAGCTCTGTTCGACGGTGTCTAGATGTTTTGTTAGTATCTTAGGAGTAAGGTTTTGTATATAGCACGTATACTTACCGGAGTTGACAATAGAGTCCAGTAATGTGTTTTCGTGTTCATATTTGAAGGAATCATTTTTGATCGTCTCAATGGCTTTCCGTGCGTCCTCGTGGAAGCTGTCCCATTGTCCTGGTGGTGGCTTCTCCTTCTCCTCCTCCATCCACTCGTCTAGCACCTTGAGTCTCGCAAATACTTTTTCGATATTTTCAATGTCTAGATTGGCGCTTAGGGCACTTACCATTAACTCAATTTCGCGATCCCTGAAGCGAGGGTCATTGAGCCGTTTTGTGGCGAAACTCTCCTCCGAGAGTCCCCAATCAGCGTGTGGCTCCAACAATCCCGAGAAAGACAGGGTTTTTTTTCCTTCTTGGATCTTCTTCTGCAGTTTTCGAATGTTAACTTTCTGCACCGACTTCTTGTAGTCCTTTTCAAGTAGCTTTGTCTGTAAATCCGTTTTTATCGGCACTATTATCTGCACTGCCTTGACTGGGTTAGACCCGAGATCAGAGAGGAACTGGCTATCATACGGAGGTGGCGGTGGCCAACGACCATATATTGGATCGTCCTGGTTATCAAGGGCGATAACAGCAATATCCTTTCCTTGACTTCTGGCTTCTTTGACAGCATCTCTCAAATGCGTCAAAATATTGCGAGGGGGCCTGTAGAAGTTTTCTGCGATTTCAGGTAGTAATATGATTATAGGACGTTCTTGCTTTTCTGTGGTAGCTACCTGTGAAGAACTCCTCTTACCAGATATCGAAGCAAACAATTGTGCGAACGGAAATGGAAGCTTCTCTCTTGCTTCTTGTTTAGGCTCAGGTTCTTCAGGTTTGTCTGATTCTGTTTCCTTTGACTCTAATTTTGTCATATCCAGATCTAACATCGAAGTATCTGGGTTTTCATCCCATTTCGACGTCTCCGGCGATTCTTCAGGCTCTGTGAAATAAAGATCTCTGAATGTTGATATTCCATTGGGAAGGGAACGACCAGATAGTGTGGCAAAATAGGTAGTAAGGTGCTCAAAATCGTGTAGTTCTAAGGTGATAATATCGGCTCCAATGTCTCTCGCAAAGCGCTGTACCACCAGATTCAGGAACTGTTGGCCATGCGAGGCGTGTGGCATCCGGAGTGCCATAGCATCATGGTAAAACTTTCTAGGGAGCTCCATATCCGAGTTTCCGTGTTGTATTTTTGTGTCTTGAGGAGACACAAGATTAAAGAGACTTTCGTACATCACTGAATCGATCATATAATGCTCAGGTCTTTCAGTCTCGGGTGCTTGATTGCTTGATGCCTCACTGATAGTTAATGGGATGTCGTATTCAGCTAGTTCTTCGAAAGTTTTAATGCAACTTTTAAACCAAGAGGGTAATTCTGGCTGAATCACTTCATCTTCTGTAGTGGTGGGCGTTATTATGCCATTTGTCGAGTCGTCTGATGTAGTAGCGGACTCGCTCTTGGAATCCTCTATTTTTGGCTTATCTTGAGCCGGAAGGGCATTTTGCTGCGTAATATCTTCTCCAGCCATCGTAGCAAGCTAATGTTCCTACTGCTTAGAGTACTAATATTATCAGTTCTCAATTGACTGCTGTGAAGTCGTTGCACAATCGAGGTTGCAACTTAGGCCACTGTATGAATAGAGTAAAACTTATATTAAAACATAAATAAAAGGACTCAAAACTTCTTTAAATTATTATTCTTTATGAAAATTCAATGTCCTCTAATTCTCAACCCTTTGCTACGTTCTTCTCATTTCTATACGGAAGCCGACCTCTATATGGAGGCATCCAACGGGGCTGTGAGAATAAATGACCCTAAATTTTCTTTCATATCTGTCTAGACTAAGTTTTTAAGCGCTGTAGCCTAGTTGAATGCCTAATCCAATTCTATAAAATGCTTAATTCATAAGCACCATTAAAACTAAAGTCTTTAAGTCCTACATGAGCCTTAGCCACTCACATTCTTTATGATTGGTGTTTAGAATGGTGAAGCTCCATGCATCTACAATTGCCCAGCTGCTAGGTTTCCAATCAATTGAGGCGATTCATCAGTTAGCCTCATGCAGACACTTTATAGTATTAGCTCAGCCCCTTCAGCTTTCTAGTTATTCCAAGTGTTGAAAATGTGCCTTATAGCCTCGTCGAGATTATTTACTTGGAGTAGGCGCTCTTGATGAGCATTATGTGTCACGTCAGCTTTCATTCGGCATGACTACTAAGTACGGGTATGAGAAACTACCATCTCCTCGGCGCATCCGCCTATTGAGGCTCCATGATCGTCAGAAGTCGGAAGACATATCATGTGAATTGGCCGTAACATCCCTAGACGACGCCCCTTCTTTTGAAGAATTGTCGTATGTATGGGGTAATCCTCTTCCTCATATGCTAGTTTGCTACCCTGAAAAAGCTACAGAAATTAGGAATTAGGTCGAAAAATTTGTGAATGGCCTATTGAATACCTACCTATATATCACTCCGTAATTACTTCTTCTACCCCTTTTATACACACGTACATGGTACTTAGGTGTGGCTTGATAAAGCTTAGTGTGGCGTAGCTAAAAAGTCGGGGCGCCAAATTTCTACGCTCCATAAATTGAGCCCGTTTGAAACTATCGTCAATCAACTTTCACAACTCGGACCGTCGATAAGCATTCCTCCGGTAGAATAGCGTCAAGAGACATATTGTTTTATTCCATATTCTGTCTGACTAGGTACATTAACCATTCAAGCAGGTCCGTCAATCTGCTTCTCGCTCTCATCTAAGAGCCCAAGAGCCTCGCGCCGAGTTGGCGCCGCCGGATCAAAATATGGCTTCTCACCTAATGTAGTCACACGGGTTCCGTGCCTGGGATACTTGCCATTGTAATCCCACGAAGCGTTATGAATAGTTATGCGGTTATCCCAGAGCGCGCTGGTTCCTGCTGTCCAGCGGAATCGCACTTGGATGTCCACGTTCTTCTCGAAGACGTCGTAGAGGTAGTTCAGGATTACGTCGCTCTCCGCACGGTCCAAGCCAACGATGCGATCGGTCATGGCTCTGTTAACCCAGAGAGCTTTCCAGCCTGTGGCGGGGTGCACGCGAACGAGTGGGTGCACGCGTTCGACAAATTTGGGACCTTCCTCAGGGTGGTCCCGGTCTAGGTACCCATGTGCGGAGCGGTACACAGCTAGCTTGCCGTCGATAATCTTGCGGAAGTCCGGCGATAGCTTCTCGTAGGCCGAATATCCGCTTGCCCAGAGTGTGTCGCCACCAACGGGCGGGACAGTGTCGTTGTGGAGATGCGTGATCCCAGCTGGCTGCAGCTCATGTACGAGATCTGTATGCCACCGCGAAGCCCCTCCCGGGTTTCTGAAGTTAGCTACCCGTTCGGTAGCTTGCAGATCAGGCCAGATAACAGTCACACCCAGGTTACCAGGGACTTGCGCTACTTGTGGCTGTTTCGGAAATGAGCATATATACATCACTAAGAGTGTTTGTATTAGAATAATACTTACGTGAACCTCGACCTCTCCATAGTATTTCCCAAGCGCCAGCTGATCTTGAGGCGTTAGATCTGTTTGGTTCCTGAAGAAGACGACGCTCCTCTCAGCTATGAGAAGGGCCAGTTCGTCTTTCTGTTGGTCTGTAAGGTCCTTCAACTGCAAACCCTCAATCTCAGTCCCGATATGAGCAGTGAGGTCCGTAACTTTGGTAGCGGCAGAGAGCAGTGCCGACTTTGACTTATCCGCACGCGCCCCAGCGTCATCATGCTTCCATTCTTTATTTCTAATGTTATAGACGTCTTGAAGGTAAAGTGGCCTAGCCGGGCGGTAGGGATAACCGTTTGATAGGTCAATACCCGCCTTCTTTAGACGCTGGAGAGCGGGCTCAGGAAGACCAAGTGTGTCCTTACGTGGAGCCGCAACGTCCCTGATACTGTCATCAATTGGTGCAGGTGCCATTGTTACAGTATTATATCTCGACAGAACTTTCGTATAGTAGTAATTACTTGACAGTATTTGAATATGTCTTTGGTAGACTCATCTTACTTCTATACTATTGCCCCCTCACTACTGTCTCGTACGACTTATACGAATATATAATATTATAATCATTGAATTGGAGACTCCCAACCATTGACCTCATTTCCCAATGATTCGACAACAGGTAGTTCTCCATTTCAATAGGCAAGCTGTCCTGTCAGGATGCAAAGATTGGTAAGCCATATCTGCCTTGACACAATATCAGCAGTAATAGCCACGAGGTTGCTTGCAGCGTATACTGAGGAGTATATTGTTCCCCGCGATTTATCAAAGCCGCCATTGGAGTTCCTTATCAATACGTGATCTTGGAGAAGGATGATGCGAGAAACATTGCGTCTCGAGTGCAGGTTATATGCATAATGTGGTGCTATTCGATGCTTTCTGTGGGGTTATAACATGGCGTCATGGCAGCCATGTTTGAGGTGACCACCACCTTGTCACCTAGGTCGTCTCAATCTCACTGGCTTTTTAGCAACAACAGGACACAACATATTCAACCCCGCACTGTTGCAGCACATACAGTCGCATGAGCCATGGGAGAGTATAGCTCTCCAACATGCTTCTCGGAAAGTAAATACAGATATCACCATATGACGGAAGTTCGCGACCGCAGTCCATGCCCGAGTCCTAGAGATACAGGGGACGGGGAGCGACCTCATTGATAATCATGAATCAGAGCTTTCTCTTGCTAGATCGATCTGGGTCAATATAGAACAGGGGAACCTGCATGTGAGATGGCGCACTAAAATCCTTGTTTCTCGAGGCGTGGGATGAACTTTTTCACCACGGAGAAAAGCGGGCTTAACCCCTGTATAACTTCAGATAATCTAGATGTTTTTAAACCGGAATGCCCCGAGTATTCGAACATTTGGGTTTGAATCTTCAGCTTTCCTAGAAAGTGTATTCGAGTAATACGAGATGGAAAGCAAGGAGATCTCCTCGACTAAGGTCACAGCCGAAGCCGGCGGCGACGTGACGGCTAAGAGCACGGATCATAGTGATGCTGACTCAACTCATACTCAGTCATTATCACCAATCGTCGAGAAACCACAACAGACATGGCGGTCCTATTTCTGGGACACATTTGACAAGTCCCCCGAGGAGAGGCGGTTTCTATTTAAACTCGACGCAGTGATTCTGACATTCGCTTCATTGGGGTATTTTTATCAAGTACCTCGATCAAGTCAACGTCAACAGTGCCTTCGTGTCCGGTATGAAGGAAGATTTAGGTCTTTACGGTAACCAACTCAACTACATGGTCACATGTTGGACAGTTGGTTATGTTATTGGTGAAATTCCAAGGTTGGAACCCCTTTTCTCTAGATTTCAACTTTGATTTTACTAACAGTACTAGCAACATGCTCTTAACCAAGGTCCGGCCGTCAATATTTATTCCAGCTTGCGAGGTAGTGTGGTCAGTTTTGACAATTTTACTTTCAAAATGTCAAACGGCAGAACAAATCTACGTCCTAAGATTCTTCATCGGACTTGCAGAAAGCAGCTATTATCCAGGCATTCAGTATATTATTGGCAGTTGGTGGTATGTATTATCATGTCTTGACCCCCTTTTTAGACCCCAGATGTTGAAAGCGATGCTAACGTATCTCTAGTATGTTGAAATTCTATAAAATATCCATTCGCCCCCTTTCTTCGATAGATTATACCCTGAGAACGGGCATAAATATCCTTACTTCCTTTTCTAGGCGCTAACAATATAACAGACCGAAAAGATGAGCTCGCCAAGCGAAGTTGTATCTTCCACGCCAGTGGCTCCATAGGTAGCATGTTCTCTGGCTATCTGATGACGGCTGTGTATCGACTAAATGGTACCAATGGCTATCAGGGATGGCAGTGGCTTTTTATCATCAACACCATAATATCGCTACCAATTGCCATAGCAGGGTTCTTCTTCTTCCCAGACGTACCAGAAATCACTCGTGCCTGGTGGTTGACGAAGGATGAGATAGCGCTAGCCAATAAGCGCATGGAGTTTGAAGGCCGAGCCAATAGGGGAAAATACACAAAAGCCACGTTCAAGAAGATCTTCACTTCGTGGCACATTTATGCGCTTACCCTGCTTTACATCTTCTTTAATAATGGGACGGGCTATGGTGGCCAACCAGCTTTCTCGCTCTGGTTGAAACAAGAAGGATACAACATCGCTGCTATAAATTCGTATCCTACGATTGCTGCAGCTGTCGCTGTGATCTTCACTTATATTTATGCATGGACGTCCGATTCTCTCTTCAAGGGTGCTCGATGGCCGCCTATGATATTCTCAGGGGTTGTCAATATCATCACCAACACAAGTCTCGCCGTGTGGAATGTTCCTACGGGTTGGAAGTGGTTTTGCTACGTCGTTGGTTTGATCGGGGGAGGAATCAGCGGCTTGACCTTTGCGTGGGCACATGAAATCTGCAGTGGTGATAATGAGGAGCGAGCTTTCGTAGTAGCATCTATGAACGAGATGGCTTATGTAGTTCAGGCGTGGCTGCCACTGATTATTTGGCAACAGGTTGACGGACCCCAGTATCACAAAGGGTTTGTCACCATGGTCTTCTTTGCCGCTGGCCTTATCGTCACTTCTCTCACGATACGGACGCTACATCATCGAGAAGTAGCTAAAAAGGTTCAGCTATTGAATATAGGAGCGGCCTAGACAACTACCTAGTCTAATTACTATCCGATTCTAGACCATACTTCTAATATAAACCATGTCAAATATGCGAATTCCTAAATTTGTGCCGTATTGGGCTGAACATAACACGTCGTATTCCTCGAGATTTTAGTTCGGGGCCTAACTGAAAATAAGCCGAAATAAGACCATTAACTTACATTTGAAGCTGTTATCTTACTTCCCCTGCTAGGTGGTATGCTCTTCTACATGGTCCACTTGTGTTACTAGCATTTCTCCAAAAAGCACGTAATCGGTACAACGGATGGTCTCATTTCACCTAACCTAGAGGAATCCCACGATTTATAATCACATCAAAGCATTTTGAAATGGGCAGATTGTTATTTTAATGAGATGATCAACAGCACTTCGTTCCACAGTTATCCGTAGATTCCGCTTCTATTCATATCTCGGTGTGGTCCCTTATGTCTTGTGTCTTGTGTCTTTCACCCCTCTCTTTGAGACAATCGCAATGGGTTCCCTAGCTAATGATAGTAAGACTGAGAACGGGCCACTTCTCGGCAACATCAAAGATGTGGCTGTCATTGGTGCCGGCATAAGCGGAGTGGTGTCAACGGCCCACCTCCTCCGGGCCGGGTTCAACGTCACCGCGTTCGAACGGACCGGCGTGGTCGGTGGTGTATGGGACTACGAACCTCAAGCAGACAGAGCTCCACCATTCCCTAATGTTATACCTCCTGTTCCAAATTGGTCAGAAGTCGAGAAAGAAGGGTTAAGCTCAGACGAAGTTGCGCTAATACATGCTCCCCACTAATCCCTGGTACGTATCAAAATATCACGCTTACAGTTCTCTCTTCTACTCATACACAGCACCCAATTCTGAAAACATACCCACATTCACTCCTAACCATCTCTAAGCTATTATAAAGATCTCATAGTATAATGAGTTAGAGTTGTTAATTGAATTCTTATACATGATATTAACATTTTCACAGCTATGCCGGGTTAAAGAATAACATCCCAACCCCTGTCATGCGAAGTAGTCTACTACGCTGGCCAGAAGGTAGCGAGGACTTCGTAGACCAAAAGGTGGTTAATACATATATCAACGATATTGCTCGGCTCCACAACGTCAACGATCACGTACAATTTCACACCCGAGTGGAAAGCGTGTCCAAGCCAGAAGGTGACAGAAAATGGACCGTTAAGACGAGCACATTTTCGAGAACGGATTCTGGCCACGCGTTGACGAAGAAGAGCTGGAAGTTTGACGCGGTTGTAGTAGCGAGTGGACACTACCACACCCCGTTCGTCCCAGATATTCCGGGATTAGCAGCATGGAAGCAAAGATTTCCGGATCGAATTACCCACTCAAAGCAATATCGAACGCCTGCTCCTTTCGCCAACCAGACAGTGCTCATTATTGGCGCTGGCGTCTCAGCTGTTGATATTGCGAACGAGACGGCCGCGTTGGGAGCCAAAATAGTTCAAAGTAGACGAGTAAGCAAGTATGACGTGCTTGGACCGCGTCTCCCCGAAGGTGTCACCAGGGTCCCGCTAGTCGCCAAGTTCGTCATCGATGACAATGCCGAAGATGATAAAGCCCAGACACTAAAATCCGGTGACTCAATACCCGGCAAAGCTATACTTGAGGACGGACAAGTTATAGAAGGAATCGACCGTGTTGTTATCGCTACGGGGTACATCACTACTTACCCCTTTCTGGGAGATTTAGAACAACCTCTGCTCCCGTGGCAAGACGCCGACGACAAGGTGCTAATAACGTCCGACGGCTACATTACGCATAACCTGCACAAGGACATATTCTATATCCCAGATCCATCACTGGCATTCATAGGTGTCTCACACTACGTGTCGACATTTTCACTCTTCGATTTCCAAGCCCAGGTTGCGGCCAAAGTCTTCGCAGGGCACGCCAAGCTCCCGCCCAAGTTGGCTATGAAGCAAGAACACAAGGAAAGGAAAGCTCGGTTCCAACCCGACGATAAGTTCCACAGTATGTTTGCCATAGAGGACACGTATATAGAAGAGGTCTTAAACTGGGTCAACGGAGACGTAACGAAAGCTGGAAAAGAGCCGTTGCCGGGGTTGGATGAGGAGTGGCACAACGGCTACAAGCTTCTCAAAGAAAAACTTAAGAGCTCCAGAAACCCGTAGAATATTGGACGTATTGCTAGACATATCAAGTATCATGGGATCGTAACATAGAACACAATCCAACTTACCTTAATGCATACGATGGATGGAATATTTGTGTTAAATTTACAGGAAATATTATGAAGATTCACCTCTAGAGATAGGCTCCAGTAAATATGCACGATGCTCTTTACGTTCCTAAAGGTGTACCTACCTACACTTGCAGCTTTGAGCTAAGCTGATGGCGTCGAGGCGAACTAAAAGTAGCATCCATATGCTTATCACTCTATGATAGGATAGACTTTGAAATATCTGCATAATGATCAAAGCCATAGTCAAGGCTTGTTTCATAGTTTCTACATACCTAGGTATTGTATGAAACTAACAGCGAGAGCTCCAGCCCTAATAATGCTCTCGTTACACTTCGCTCCCTTATACACCCTCTACATGCTCTGCTAACTCGTAAATAGCTATACAGTTAGCTATACAGTCAGTCGATATATAGGTATATATCCGACTTCATCTCTATGTTTTGCCAGAGGCAGCTTGATTCTGGTCTGTATGACAAATATTGTGGGTACATAACTGCACCATGGAATTTTTCTGTTTTTCTTGACATTCGCCTCCAGGCAGCTAAAGGTGAGGTGATGAACTTAGAAATGCCAGTTTAACTGGTATCCCTCTGAATAACAGGCCACAGCTCAAAAGTATTAATGAGACTGCTGCTTTCACGAACATGCCATCCTTGGTCTTTACAACCGGTGATACCGGCAACGACGGCAAGCCATAGTATGACATTGTCGACATTCGTAGATGAATATGGGCATGACGTCACCACATTCTTCGCATTCGCGGGGCCCTCTCTTAGAAAACCATCGATCATGTTGACACTCGTGGTTATGTCTGAGATCTTCCATGAGTTGCTGGATTCGCGTCCGATGAAGGAGGTCAAGGGCTGGAAATTGGAACGCAGGCTGTTCTCGTGCCTGTTGAACTACTGGCTGAGCCACTACCTCAGCCTCCTCTTCGATTTCACCTTCACTCTCATCTTCACTCTCATCCTCAAATTCAGGTAATATCTCCTGTTGACGACGTTCTTGATTCAAGGCCTGCTGAAGCTGCTGCTGAGCCTGTTGTTGAGCCTGCTGCTGAGCCTGCTGTTGCTGAACTTGTTGATGAGCTTGGTGCTGATGATTAGCAACCGGTCCGTTAAAGGGTAGCCGACCATTTGGATGTAGTCGAAGAGGCATCAAATTTCCACGAGCTAGCACATCATCCGGGGCATCCTCATCTTGGCCACGGGCATCAATCTGTACAGCACGTGCGTACAGACGATGTTCATCCCAGTGTTCGCACTGGCAAGTCTTCCAGCGACCACCACAGACGTAGCAAAATCCGAAACCGCATCGACAGCTATCGAAGGTTAAGTATGAATCTTACAAATCTAATAGTAAAAATTCTCTTAAACTTACGTCATGTGATTGCATCCAGTGTTCAACTCGACCATCGCCCAGCAGTTTTGGCAACGCTGCCAGTGTTGTTCGGTAGCCAGTTGGAAGACTTGTTGAAGCTGTTCGTCATTTGGGCAATCGCCGTTATGGGTAGCACCCTTACAAGTCATGCAAGTTTGATACTCGCATTCGTCACATGTCGCTATATCGTCTCGGTAATTGGTTGCCGGAATAAATCGGGCGCAAGCCTGGTTATGGCAGTATGTTCGACGAGGCGTAGAAAACTCAAGGGCCTTTTGGCGGAAGTGCTGGACTACGTCGCTATCAATAAATACCTGATTCTTAACTAATGGGATGGATTGTCTGCAGCATCGTGGAGGAAAGAGGGATTCATCGTTTGAAGCATCCCGGAAGAGACGTGTGAGACACTCGCGACAATATTCATGGCGGCAGGGAGCGCGAGCTAGCTCAGCGAAGTGCTTTTGGTCTCCACAAGCGTCGCAAGTCCTTGGTGGTCTACTAGGTTGGCGTGAAGCAGCCCATGAGGAACTCTCCGGCTGGTTGATGGTGGCTGTATCATCATCGTCGTCGTAATCGTCAGTGCCATTCATAGGATGATCAAAGCCGGTATTGTAGATGACCGAGAGCTTCTCAAGGAATTCTTCATCGCTGCTCATGGTTTCAGGGGTAGCTCGCTGAGCTAAGGCCTCATCTTGACCATTGCTTAAAGCGAGTGACATTTCATGGTCAGCCTGGGCAGCATTTTCTTCATCGTGGGCCTGGGAAAGAACAGCGCCGTCAGACTGAATTGCTCTCAACATGCTTCTAGTCATTCTTTCATCACTAAGACAGGTCTCTGCAGCTTGCAGTTCTTCAAGAAGAAGGTTAAAAGCAATCTGAGCATCCGTCTCGGATCCCTCGACTTGTTTTCCCTTTCTAGTAGTAGTAGACATGAATTGCTCGGCATCTTCCTGCATTAATCGAAAGGCGAGGGCGATATCCTCATCGCCCATAGCTGTATAGACAGACATGTCCATGGCCATGATTGGTTGAAATTGGTGTCAGAAGTGTTTAAATGTAGTTGGTATTGCATAAAAGTGCAAGAAAAAGAGACGATTATGGATTTTGGTGTGTGCGCGCGTATAGAATTACCTTAGGTAGTTTCAAATGGAAGATAGCACTTTCCGTTCGGTCCAACTCCTTCCAATGTTTTCCTTAGGCCCAATCGCATGTACCTACATATATGCATACCTGAGGTAGGTACGTTCAATTCTAGGAGAGTTAACGGGCAGTTGCCATTTGCTAGGTACCTCCTTACATTAAGAGGCAGGTATGTACCTAACCTACCTGTTTTTTGTTTTGTACCACCACTGCGAGGCGTCTGTATGGCAACTACCTATTTTCCTGCCACGTCAAACGCCTATCAGGGTAGCATACTGCTGCTTCCATTTATTCTGGGTCGAGTTGGGCCTACCTTCGTCACAACATTTGTGATATTTGACAGGTCTCTTTGGCCCTGCTCCACCTTCCACAATATCTACGAACGCCTTCCAAAAAGTACATATAAATATAGGATACAAGCCGACAATCGGAAGTACCTTCACTGATGGAACAGGTGGTGGCTGGTCTACTGCTTGGTTCCCTTTACCGGAGTTGACAGGGATCCATCTCCGCCAATCTCTTGGAAGACCTACATACCTACCAACGTAGATACATACACTTCTAAGTCTCATGTAAGTAAGGTGTCAACTTATGCAAATTATATGCGTATTTCAAGTTTATATACTTCTATTTTACCGAGTTATCGAATGATCAGCAAGCCTTTATAGTCTCAGTTGTGTTAGTTACTATAAAGTACCTAAATTATAACCTTTCTAAACAATAAAAATGGGACTATGTATGTCTTATACTTGTAAGACGTCTTATCGTCGCGGGGTTCCGACGATCGCGGAAAGAGGGAGAGTAAGAGGTAGCCATGGCCACAAATCAGGCCGGTTCAAAAAGATCATATACTAATGTAGTGAACAATTTTCCCTTTAACCTTCTTAAGTCGAGCATAATCTATCAAGGCAGAGCAACTTATTATAAGTCAAAGAGGTAGGTAATCGTATACAAGAACCTTAGGAACGTAAGGGGTGAAAACGACAAGCAGGCTTCTCTGAGTACTACTCAATCATTATAACCTGAGTAGGACATAATTATTCATTTACAAAAGGTTTCATGCTTAGTTGCCATTCCATTTAGTTATAGGTAACAGTCATTTTATCCTTGAAATTTAATGAGTAAAGCTATCATATATGATCACAGAGTCTACAGCTGACAGACAGATTTGACTGCCAGTAGATTTTCAGCTGGCAGGATACAATGATATGTATGTCTTAGGAGCTCCTCATTTACCGAATATACAGTTTGGATTCTCTCAATACCTAATATTATTATAGAGACTTATCTTTTTATAAGATCTAGCATTTTCTCAAGTAATGGGATAAGACGCATGAAATGGCGTATCAAATCTTCCACGGCACCGTGATCCACTCACTCGGTCCATCAGACCTCATCATACTCGAGAGCGCTTTACTCGTGGTTGGCACTTAACGGCAAGATAACCAACCTGGTAGAAGATATCCCCAAGGACAAAGTTTCCTCAATTATCATCATTAGACATCCCTTCTTCAACCTTCGAGAGCGTACGCTACCTAACCCGCGGCCAATTCTTAATCCCAGGATTCGTCGACACGCACAACCACGCGCCACAATGGGCGCAACGCGGGCTAGGGCAAAGCATGCACATCCTCGATTGGCTAGAACAAGTCACTTTTCCTAACGAGGCGCGGTTCCGCGACCCGGCGTACGCGCGCCGCGTCTACTCGAGCTGCGTCGACGGTTTCCTGAAGCAAGGGGTCACCACAGCGTCGTACTACGGCTCGCTCCACGCGGAAGCTACCAAGATCCTCGCAGAGATATGCCTAGAAAAAGGCCAGCGCGCCCTCGTCGGTAAATGCAACATGGACCGGAACGCGCCGGAATATTACCGGGACGCGAACGCTGCGGCGTCGCTTGCGGATACAGAGGACTGCATCGCGTATGTGCGACGTATTGATCCAGAGGGTGTGCTGCTCAAGCATGTACTAACGCCACGTTTTGCCATTTCGTGTTCGTCGGAGCTGCTTGAGGGGCTTGGTACACTTGCGGCAGCGAACCCGGATCTGCCGATTCAGACGCATTTCAATGAAGCGGAGCAGGAGATGAAGTTTACGCAAGAGCTGTTCCCGCAGTTCAAAGGCAGCGAAGCGAACCTATATTCGCACTATGGGCTACTATGTGAACGCACAATCCTCGCTCACTGCTGCCATATGAGCGAGAATGAAATGAGCCGCGTCGCGGAGCTGGGGTGTGGTGTTGCGCACTGTCCCATTTCCAACATGACGGTGGGCGGGGGGTTTATGGCTGCGCCAGTTCGCGAGTTCCTTCAGCGCGGTATCAAGGTGGGACTCGGGACCGACAGCGGGGGCGGGTTCTCAAGCAGCATTCTAGATGCAATGAGGCAAGCACTCGTAGCATCGAATGCGCGGGAAGTCATGAGCGGAGGTGAGCACAAAGGGCTTAATATAGGGGAGTTGTTCTATCTGGCCACGTTAGGAGGCGCGAAGGTGTGCAGTCTCGATAGCAGAATTGGCAATTTAGAGGTTGGGAAGGAGTTCGATGCCCTACTTATCGACGCGAACGCGTTGGGCGTCATGACAATACTAGAGTATGAAGACTCCATTAGGACGATATTTGACAAGTTTGTCATGACTGGCGACGACCGGAATATCAAAGAAGTGTATATACGTGGGCGAGCGGTCAAATCTTAAAATGGAAAATGCATTTGAAATCTTTGTTGGAAATATAGTTGTTGCAAGGCTTATTCTTAGACATAATGTAAGAGCACCGTCTAGAAAATAGGGGCATTTTCTGTTTTATTTTTATCACTTTATGTAATGTGAAGTAACTAGACCCAAAGCCCTGTCTTATTGCTTTCATGTTCATTCCTGGCATATTATCAGATGGCCATAGTCATTACATATATTTGTACATGGTATAGGGGTATATATAGGTTACCGCCCTGTCGGCGGAGGAGGGAAGTTAAAATTAATATGCTTAGTCTCTACAGGACTTCCTGTATTACTAGTCCTCCGATTCTTCGCCGCGATACCGCTAGCTACCCTTTCCCAGGCTCCGCCTCCTGTCGGTCGGCTGGAACTGCGAGGTGGCATATCCCATGTTGGTGTACCCCGCTCCCAGGCACGGCTTATGAGTGGGCTAGCAGTAGAGCCAGATATTGGGCTACTGAATACGGTGTTAGGGTTGGTGCCCACTTGTGGTGAGCTATCTGAGTACTCGGCAGGGTTATACTGCCTTAGAGGTAGAAGTTGTGCTGTGCTCTTGGTGCTAGTAGTGCTAGCAGGCTCATCGGTTGGGGAAAAGAATGCGGCCTTAGGCGAAGTTGAGTAGTGTACATTATTTGGGATCGCGGGGATAGCCGTAGCAATGTTGTGTGGTATGACCTCATTATCTGACCTGGAGAAGGAGTTGAGACCCATGTAGTCGTTCAAAGTCTGTCTTGGTGGCTCCGGGTAAATAGGGTTAGAGGCAAGGGCAGAGAATGGGCCTGCGTAAGGGTTTTCCTCTTCAATGATACCGTCAGACGGATTTGGGAAGAAGGCCGGCGACCTAGGAGTTAGGTGTGTTTGGCACCGAAATGAGAGCGTAGAAACAGTACGATGGCGGTTCCTCTTCTGTGCCATCGCCGATGCTTTGACGTCTCCAAGGAGAAGACGGCGGTTCCGACGTCTACGGCAGCGTACGAATAAAAAGCCAGCTATGGCTAAAATAATGACAACAGCTCCAACTGCAATCCCCACTATCTGAGTTACGGATAGGGTAGATTGCTTCCCATCGTCGGGTTTTTCGATAGAAGGATCGACAGAACTGATCGTAGTTTTGGTGAAGATTGTATCATTCAGACCAATTAACGTTCCAGTGGGTGGCCGCTGTTGGCACCCTGCGTCAAGAGCTATGAGGACTATACCAGTAATTAGTATCATGGTATTATGTGAAGATGGAGGTGATTTACAGTTGGCTAAGTAGTCTTGATCATCGGAAACGCTCACGCAAGCCTTGCACTCCGAGACTGCGGCGTCGAGCATGCCATCCGAGGCGCAATACGAATAACTGTTTTCCTTAGGATCAAGATTGCCGTCTATCAAAGCCTCTTTAAGCCCCCCACAAGCAGTAGATGTCGCACATGGGGTGGATGCTACTCCCGTGGCATTAGGAAACCCGAAAATGCAATAGTCAAACGTATATCTGAGGTTGTCTATATTTGTATTAGTTAGATGAGAATAATAAGTAATTGAGATGTACTTACATAAGAACCAAAGCTGGTCACTTTCATCCCCTTGAGCAAAGTTGCTATCTTGAAGGCAGCTCATGCATTTTTGGAACTTTTTGCCTGCAGGCGACGTAGAATATTCTGTATCATAACATGAAATATCCGAATTACCAGTGTTTGATGAGTTAGGATCGGAAAAGTCGAGGCCGGCAGAGTCAACACAAAGCGAGGCACATGGCGAATTTGGCGTAACCTGCAAGCCAGTGCTGTATCGTATAAGGAGAGTAAAGATGAGGGTAAATGTAAGAGGAGCCATCTCGCCTGGAGATCAGATGTTGGTATCTTATAACGAAGGGAACGTCGATAAGGAACGAAATATTATAAGAAGTATAGTAAAGAATGATAGTTATTAAATTTCGTAAAGTTAATACCGCCAGCCAGCTGGTCAAGGTCTTGGATAAGCTCACCAGAGAGCGTAGAAATAGAAAAGGTCCTAAGATGAGAAAGGAACGTACAACATTTGATGAGTTGCTGGAGATTAGAAGCCCGGGACAGACCGAATAATATATTAGATTCGGTTGGTTACCATTTGGCTTAGGGGCCAGACGTTCATGACGATGCATCGCGCGCAAACGATTTTACACTACTACCAACCTAGTGGTAGTCGGCGCCTATGTAGATGTAAATGTGCCGATAGCTTGCACGAAAAGGTAACATTGCAGCCATACCCATAATTCCTCCCTTGTACTAGCGAGAGAATATCCTAGATGATATATCTCAAAGTAGGAGAGCGATGATTCTTACGCTGTTGAAAAGACCCGATCTTGAATAGTGTGAGATAGACCTACCTCTAAAAGGTTATCCTATAAGAGGATGAACCAATGGGATAAGTATATGATCTATACATCCTGGTCCTTAAGCGCCGTGATTTGTTCGGTAATCTTACCCGGCAGCTCTAGTGGGTCGGTAATGAGGTCGCTGGCGGCAAAAAATCACGGCCATTTGGCCCCCATTTAGAGGCCGACAAGACAAGGCAGCCCTAATTTCAGCTCAGCTTCGTTTGAGAAGAATTAAAATCATTTCCTATTCAATTAGACAAGTAGTTATCTGATAGGCCATTTAATATATTGGATAGTCATTGATATAAACCTATAATTATCATGGCCGCTTTTGAAGAGTTATCATAAAGTGATTCGCAGATCGGCAAGCCAAGAATGTTCCAACTTGCGCATTAGAGGTTTCGCTATTCAGTGTGCCGTACTACGTAATGACGAACAATTTGTTGTAGAGTTGCAACAGAGAGTACTAAAGGTTGCGGGGGCGCTTCGGAAAGAATATTAAATATTCGGGAGATAATACGATTGGACGGAGAGATATGGGCAGCCCTACCGGAGCAGAAGCACATGGTATCTTCTACTAGGCGTAGAGGATGTAACTGTGATAGAGGGCTTGCAGAGTGCAGGTTGAAGATATTGCAAAGGTTGCAGATAATAAACAGGCGCTTATGTTGATACTGTACATAGGGGAAGTATGTACAAGTCGGAACTGGTCCGTGCTCTAATTTATGATCAGACATACATATATGCATAAAAATAGACTTAATCTATCCTCCATTTAGCTTAGTTAGACAAATCTTAGTTCGTCAATCTCATGAACTTTAGAGAACTTCTTAACATCAAATTTCACATTGTATTGCGCGTATAGCCCAAAAGAACCTGTGATATTACTGATTTACTACGCTTATATAGATCTATCCACTTTGGTATCATTTACCCTCTATCCCGAATCCAAAGATATCAATATGAAATATTCCAAGTCTATCCTTAATCTAAAGAGTGTTGTGAGCAGCGTCGGCGCGAGAAGCATCAACTGAGCCATATTTCCAACCTTTGACTATGAGCATCATCCTCTTGTGTGATTACTCACTTGGTTATTAAAGAAAAGTTGCATCAAGACCTCGCACCAGTCCAACACAGCCCGTCCTTTTAGCATCGTGTTCGCGGAAATATGAAGGATAGACTGTTGAGTAGCCTACATCAGAACCCTTACTTCCCGGCCATCGACAACCGTGTGGGATGTGTGCATGCATCTCCCTTGTTGACAGTCCGCATGGAAAGCGATCCCAACTTTATCCCCAACATGTACTGCAGTGGCGCCGCCGGGTGCCTGCAACGTGTACTCCCCTGATTTTATTATCGGGCGCTGTGCTCGTTGAAATGGCCCCTTCAGGCTCGTCGACGTTGCGTAGTTCACGTTGTAGCTTGGCTCCAAGTAGCAACCGCTGCTGAAGAACAGGATGTATAGTCCATTATCCGTGCGTAACAAGCTCGGCGCTTCTACCAATGGACCATCCTCGTCGCTGCGGTTGAAAATTTCAACAGGCTCGCCAACTTTCGTTACACCGTCCTCTTCGACTTCCTGGAGCATGATTGGCGTTGGTACAATCGGCTGCTTGGTGTTGCTGCAGCTTCCGCCATTACCGACACTATTTCCGTCGATTTTATAGAGGACATATTGTTTGCCGTCCTCGTCTTCGAATCCAGATGCATCGATAGAACCACCGGCTGAGAGGTCGCAAGCAAAAGGTTCCTCCTCTGGTATATACGGACCGGTGACAGCGTCTGCTACTGCCGCACCGATGCAATGGTGAGCCGAATCTTCAGCTACCTCGCCACTGTAGTACATAACATATTTCCCGTTACGTGCGCGACGAACATCAGGGGCCCAAGTGTGTCGTCCAGTAGTCCAGGCTGCTGAGTGAGGAAGGGCGTCGATATCCCCCAATAGATTCCACTGTCCATCGAAGCTCTCTCCTGTGGCTACCTGAACTTGCTTATTCTTTGCAGCCGTCCCAAAAGCATACCAGGTGCCGTCTTCGTCTTGGAAGATTCCTGGATCAGCGAAATTATCATCGAATACCGGATCATCGCTTGCTGTTCGGAGAGATTGTACGGGTATCGCCGACGCGGAAACGAAAATGAATGACAGCGCGGCGGCTGCAAGTATACTAAGGAGCTTCATCCTTAATAACTTGCATATCGAGCAAGCCAGCTAGAAACGAAACTGGTGCTAAGGCTGAACCTTAAAAGCAGAGACAGTGTTTGTAGACGGAGCTGATACGTGACTGAAATAAGATCTATGAACTAAATAACTGGATCGAATCTCGCTTCGGCTTTGGCATGTCGATCCTGAGGGGTTTGGTTGGCGCTCGTCCATTTTATAGAGAAACAGTAGTATGTGTAGAACATGGCTCCGTAAGTCTAATTATTCTACCCAAGTCTACTATCGTATCCTATTCTTCCCGATCTAAAGCATATGTGCAGTATCACAGCAGACAGAATCAATGGATATAGCCAATGATGTAGCCTGAATCTCCGTGTAACTGGCGGTGTCGAACCATACTACTGAACCACATATCCGTCTAGGTCATTTTGTAGGACGCTGTAAAGAGAAAAAAAAGGCATCCGGCTAGAACGGCCGGCTTGGCCTCTACGGATATGCATCTATGGCTGTCGTGGAGCCTTAAGTCGACCCATCTGCTCAAAACAGATTCAGATGTTCAGGAGGTCGCGACATTGTGTGATTTATGCGTCGTCATAAGTTATATTGCCTATCCCCGAGTGATTATGACTCTCAGTCGGATACGAGACGTAAACAGCGGGTCATCTGCTTCTAAAGTAACGTAAACAGGCATACAAGTATCAAAACCAATGAAAAGACTAATAATTATTCGACGTAAATTTTACTTGACATGTAGGGGTTAATAAGGCAAATCGTCCAGGTTAACTTACGGATAACTGCCGACCGTTGCCAGTGCTAGATTTACCCATGGAGATGGCAAACTATTTTAATACATAACTACCCCTGAAAGTGGCTTCTCTATGCTAGTGATGTTGTAGTGTAAAGTCAATAGTTAATGATCTTCACTGAACTTTGTTTCGATCTTCGAACAACCAATGTTAAGGAATTCTGGATCAATATCAGTGCGGGTCCATGCAACATTGAGGCTGATATATACCCCTGTACCGACAGCCCTGAACCACCACCCATACATACTGATCTACCTAAGAAACATATGTCTTCTCAGACATGTTTGAACGACATCTCGGTTTGACGATCATTTAGTAGGCATTATTTTGATCTTATAACCACCTGTTAGTACAATCAACGAGCTTAAAGAATAGAAGTCGCACATATACGTATAAACTAACTTAAGTCCAGCCGTCTGGATCTCCACAAGTTGCACATAGTTGTTCCAGGGCAGGCAACACCGTATACGGTTACAATAGATGTGGTTCGTGCACGCCACCTCCCCCTATCTAAGAACCGCTGAGCAAATAATGTACAGATTGAGATATGGCCTTAGGTAAGTGATAATGAAGATCATGAGTATGTGGGAATTGTTCAAGCCAAGTAGGCATCAATGCCGATCACTTCATAACCACATCTTGGAACATTCATACCACATGTCGATATGTACACAAAATGTTCACGTTAACAACAGGATTATCGTATTATCAATCGTAACATAGGTAAAAAGTCTATTTGATCTACAACATCACTCAACTCGTACAACACCACAGCTCCGCCCAGACGATGTTCAACACATAAGGCACGCGAGAACACAAACGAATTCAAATCCCCACGAGCGCGTGCTCATGTACCACCTATGGTAACACTGTCGGGGCAAAAAAGATCACGAGCTCGAACGACGTGAAGAAACTAGTACTTAACAGACATTTGAGACAAGCACGCTTAAAAGAAGTTGTTTTTTTGAACTACCTCCCCACATAGGATGGTAGATCCTCCTTTCCCACGTGTGCAACTGGCAAGAGAAAATAATAGTCTAAGATGCTGTGGCCAGAATCACGAACCCGATCTTAGAAGGGCTGAGTCGGGATAAGAATCTTGTAGGCCCCGCAGATGACGAGAGTTTGGTATGGCGATCAAATAACATACGGACGTATATAAGCTTCATTGAGAGAACACAATACTAGATTTAGGCGTTGTTGTGATTGAAGCTGGGAATATCCCTACTGCTATAAGTCATCCCCTACGGTTTTACTCGTTGTGTCAACTTATTCTTATTGGCAGTCTCACTATCGTCAGTTTTCTGTGATCGAATCTGATGATTTAACATAGATATCGTCCTAGTGCGTGAACATATGGCTACGTACGTATTATTATGCAGCGACGCGACGACGAAACGTTACTTACCAAGAGCCGTGTTGTCGTGCTTATTAGCAGTTTGCTCGAGTAAGCATAACACAAATGCGAGAAACATCGAACTCAAGAGGGGCAAACATAAATGACTAGGTCACGACATCTCGCCCCAGAGCGATAAAATTGGATGAAACACTTCATGTTCAACTGGCGATAATTCGTGGTATCTGCTATGTTCCAGAATCCACATTCCGCATTTCATACTCTGAAATTTGGAGACATCATTAAAACAAAATAAGCAGAGGTCCTAAACGCCATTTTTCCAGTCCCTTAAAAACTGTATGATACAGCAGATAACGCCGTAAGCAAAGGCATATACATGCAACTGGCCACTGACCGACCAAATGGTATCAACCAAATGCAACTCGGGAGAAACCCCACTTAGAATTAGATCGGGTTTCGCTTAATCTGAGTCAGAATCGTCCTTCTTTCCCAGCGAGGAGCGCTTTGATTTGGCTGCCTTCTTCTCTGCCTTGCGTCTCTTGCGCTCGGCCTTCTCTTCGGCGGTCTCGCCATCATGCTTCTTGCGCTTCTTCTTGTCGTCCTCGGCCGTGGCAGGCGTAGGTGAGGAAGGGTTCTCTTTCGAGGGAGTTTGGGCAGGAGCTTCGGTCATGGAAACATCAGCAGCAGCTGGCGTTGCTGCTACGCCATCAGCGGGAGCACTGTAATCCTTGTATTCCGACGTCCACTTGGCGGGTGTTGCCTCATTCGCTCGTCCAAACTTGTCCAACTTTCCAGATGCCTTCAGCTTCTTTTTCTCGGTAGCAGTAGGACCCAGGCCCCATCGTCGAGGGTACAGGTCTCGCTCCATGATGCATCGCTTCACCTTTGCTACTACACCGTGATCACAAGATGACATTTCGACGGTCGACATCATAGCAATACCCAGAGCAATAGCCTCACCCTTTGTCGTCATCAAAACAATTTCCTCGTGAACTTCAATGCCATCCTCTATAATCGAATATTAGTTTTAATCAACCTAGCTGAGGGAGGAAATATCTTACCGTATCGTAGTAAGCCAGGGATCATGAGCTTCGCACCGTAGCAAATAGCATTGACAGTGCTGTCCTTGACTACGATCCTCTTGTACGACGTAAGAAGAGTCTCAAGGGGCGCAATGACCTTGCGCAGGTAGGATTCATCTCTAGTGTTGTCCATCATCCACTGGGCATCGAGAACATCATGGAGCGTCACAAGGTCCTTCGTCTCGTCCATAGCACCACTTCGCACACGTCGCAGTTCTTGCATGTGTGCACCTACACCAAGTAGGAGACCCATATGCACACAAAGTGTTCGGATGTAGGTTCCGGCCTCGCAACTGACCCAGAAAATACCGAGGTGGCGGTCATTGTCAAACTCGATGACTCGGCTCTCGTGGATGGTTCGGATACGAAGCTGTCGCTTGACAGCAGAAATTAGAGGGGGTCGCTGGAAGAGGGCACCGGTCAAGGTCTCGAGAGCTCGTGAGAATTGCGCCTCGCCACCAGGAAGCTTATCGTGTAATCGAATAACGGCAACATATTCCTTTCCGGCACCTTGCTGAGACTTGACCAATCGAGTAGCACGATCAACACAGACAATCAAGCAACCTGTGACCTTAGGATCAAGGGTTCCACTGTGACCTGTCTTCTCAACTCTATATTCATAGTCAGTTTTCATTATCTTCCCGTATGGTTTAAAGCATAGATTCATACCGTAGAATTCTTTTAACCCAAGCAAAACCTCGTGACTGGAGGGGTTCGAAGGCTTATCGAGGTTGATTACACCAGAGCTGATGTAGGACTTAAGGTCTCGAGTCAACGGCGAACTGCCATTGGGAATGGGAGTGAAATGTCCAGTTCGGACGAGAACTATTTGTGATTATGTCAGTGTCATAAATTAATTTTGGTTATGACTTTTTTCACGTACGCTTGTCGTAGTTCTTCAACAACAACGGCCATGTGCTCGTGTCAACAGACGGAGTGACCGTGGTTGGTTTAATAGAGAACTCGTCCTCCTTAGGCTTGATGTTATCCTTGGTCGCCATTTTAACCCGTCTTGATGATTGCCCGTTTCAATTATATAAGCTTGTACGGGATGGTGTTGGCGTGAAGGAAATTTTCCAATGACAATTGCAAATGGAAGATTTGCATTGGACGCCGACTCTGCGAATTGAAAAAATAAAATAAAATAGAAAAGCTCCAAAAATTTTCTAGCTATTAGATGTGGGGAAAACTGACCAAAATTTGGTCCAATCAATAGCTTCGGCCATAACTAGCGCTTAAATTGGCTTATCGATACCATTATGTTCTTAGAGCCGAAGCTCTACCCATTTCTAATAGTGAGCCAATTCACTTTTAGCACTCTTTTCCCCTCCATAGGGCATGTAGATATAACTTTCTTTCATTAGACAGGTAATATAAACGATTCCCCCTTCAGAAATCACTTAACCTAGTATTAGTTCATATCTCATGATCCTCTATCCACTTCAGGATCTTTCCTTCTCCCTCTTGTTTTTTTCTTGGTTTTCTCCTCATCCGAGATATGTTTTAACATGGCTTCATTAGCCAGTTCAAACGGACACAGCAAGTCTTCTAAGTCTCTCAGTGCTCAGATTCCTTCTACCCCTATGATATCACTAGGCTGTATAGCGCCTGCTTGGGTAATAGCCACATTCCAACTTTTAGCTATTTCCCACTTTCTATTATCCTTAGCCGATAGATCATCGGGTTGAGTAGTAAAGTCGCTCGATAGCTATTCTCACGTCAGTCTCTTATAACAAGCTCTGAGATGAATAAGAGAAAGGAAACCAGACCGTAAAAACTATATTTTGAACCACAGGCAAACGAATAAATACCTGCTGGAGGCACTTGTGATTTTGAAGAGTTACGATAAGTGTATATCCATGATTACAAGATGCTTAGGCTGTAAGAAAAGACACGAGTAATAAATATATTGCTTACTTAGCTTATAGTTGGATTTCTACCGTACACGCATTAAAATAATCCAGCTACCCCAGGCCAGCTATCCGTCTCCTAGTTCTCTAGGCAGCGCACCACAACTCTCACATTCGATTCCATCCATAAATTATACTCAACTCGAGGGTCACTCTCCTGTTGGGTTAAGGGAAGCCGCTCTGTTCTGCAATTATCTGGTCCCATTGTATCCAGTTGTTCGAGTCCATCTGGAGAGATAGAAGATCTGAGAAATCACAAGGTCCAAAAGCTTCCAAATCAGTGAAGGGAACTTCACACACTTGTGATTGCATCCTAGTATAGTCGAATGAATCTGGGGTAACAGGCCCACAATCCACTACTGGACCTTTGGGTTTGAATCGTAGCTCCGACGACATTTCACGGCAGCGACGGATCCTCTCAATATACTGGGGCATTGGCGGTTCTGGGTGCCCTTCGGCTTTTAAAGCCGCAGCACACTCATTCCAAACTTGCAGCGTCCATTTTCCTATCGCCGTGAACACGGGTCCTGCTGATTCCTCAAATATCTGGGGGTAGTGTGAGTAGACTTCTCCAATCAACTGCCACGTCCTGTCAACCTCAGGCCCCTTTTTGCGGTTCCGGGTCTCGATGAGCACGTAGAGCATTGTACCCCAAAGGTAGCTGGTGCCGATTTGCCACATGTACTTTTCCATATTATTCAGACCGCCGTGTAGTATGGTTAAATATTCCAAAAGTTTCATACAGTTCGCGAATACTATGTTGCGCTCGCTCTGTGGCATTTTGATCGGCCTGTTGGCGGACGACCGGGGGCTATGACCAAAGACTCTCATCTTCCCGATTGATGACCTAACCATGATCGCTATGAAAGTATGAAGTGAATTCAATGGGTCGCAATACCGTAGATACTTGGTTTCGAGATGATCTTCGATCTGATCTATGATACGATTCTTTTCGGCGAGAGGGATGTCTGATCCGCGGAGTGCTTCCCAGTGTACCCCATTAGTAGATATCGGTGCGAACCTTTCTAAAGCTTCTAATATCTCGCATCTGATTAAACAAAATGTGATAGAAGTGATTCCTTTACGCTCCAGGGGTAATTTGACCATATCTGGGTCGAGATCTTCGTCGTTGACATTCAACGGTATCTTAGTATCCTTAGAAACAAGGTCTAACGAAGGCCTCGTGCCGAGGATGTCAGCTAAGCGAAAGTCCACATGGACGAGGTGCCACCAAAGTCGCCTCCGCATTTCAGTTTCGAATGGAGATAGCCCTAGAAGTGAACCATCACGGTGTAATCCCATTTTCCGAGCCAGTCGAATCGCAACTCCTGATAGTACAAATAGAGTATCATGCCTGTAACTCTTTCTTACACACATCTTCTTGAGTTAGAATGAGGACATAAAGAAGTTCTATAGTAATAGCTTACCATGAAAATTGCATACGCCTGGAGTGTCATTGGACTGGAAGTAGATAAAAATCCAGCACGTACTAAAGCCTGGCGAGTTGCAATTCTGTAACGGGAATTGAGTATCGATTTCTCTATTCCGAACAAATTTCGGCACTCCTCATCCGTTAAAGATGTAGCAACTACAAAATAGAAGGATAGTGCTAATGCTTCCAAACTTCTAGAGCGGTTATGAGGGTTCCGTAGCATATCTATTAGCGCGGTCCAGAACGTAGGGACATGGAGTATCTTCGTTAGAGGATCAATTCGATCAATAAACACTTCCTTCATTTTTTCCAATACCGACAAAGAAGGATGTAGACTTGCGACATTTTCGAAGGCATAACTTGGTTCCGACTCGAAGAAAATTCCGCTTTCGTGAAAGTTTCCCTCATCTGTTGGCTCACCAACCTCTGGATGTTGAAACTGAACAAGATTTAGAAAAAGCTAGTAGTAGAAGTGGAGAAGATATAGTAAATACTCACTTCTTCTCCTATAGTAGCCCAGGGTGTACTAAGGAATGAATATTAGGAACTAGGTATTAGAAAAGGAGTTAAGAATGAGCATACATATCAAAATATCTCGATGTTCCCTCTTTTGTTATAAGCTTCGGCTCACTCTCTTCTAACTTGAAGAAAGGATCGCTATGGCTTGGGCTTCGAGACCTGGCGATCTCATCATCTGGGTGAGATATCGACTCGGAGTCAGAGTCATCGAGATCATCGGACGGCTCAATCTTCGCGCCATACGATTTCAATAACTCCTCAAAACGTTTCAATTTAGCATGAAGACTTTCTTTGGGTAATTTCGTTCTCTTTCTCTTCCCTCGCACTGGGGCGACAAAGCTGCATTGCTTCTCTGCCTTGACGCAATTAGAGCAGGGGTTGCGCCGGTCGCATTTGACCTTTCGCTGCCGACAAATCATACATGAGTAACTTTTAAGATCGTCCTCGGGGCCGAGCGGCATCGCTACTGCAGATTGAGACATTTTTCTAGACTTAATAATTTTATGGAGATAGAAGGAGGTAGTGTTGCAGTTCGCGGAGTTTCACGACGAGTGAGTTGACTGTAGATGTTTCTCGGTGTTCGGAGGCGAAAAATCGATTTTTGGATCCCGAGCAGCGGATCCGACCCTTTGACGGCGTGGGTCCCCGTCTTATAAGACGAATTAGGGGGAAAATCCAGCAACATTTCTGGATGTATAAAATGCTGCTTGGATACTTGGCAAAGTTTTACTTAACTATTACGTTCATTACCTGTTAATCAAAGCTCTCCTTTCAAAATCGCCATGTCTCAGCATACCGCAGACAGTGAAAAGAAGCCCTTTGAGGGCGCCGGGCAGGCGACCCACAAGCAAGAGATCGATGAGTACCCTAGTACTCAAAAGAGGGTTGTAATCATGATGGCACTTTACTTGGCGGTTTTCTTAGTTACTTTGGTATGTGATATTATAATTTTGGAAGGTCACTGTTTCTGTCAGTGTTCGAGTGGATTGCTAACCCTTAATTCTAATGCAGGACCAAAACATCATATCGACAGCTATTCCCAGTATTACTAACGAATTCCACTCTTTAGACGACATTGGGTGGTATGGTTCGGCCTATTTACTGACGATGTGCGGTCTCTCACTTGTCATGGGCAAGGTTTACAAATTCTACCCTGCCAAACCTCTCTTCCTAGCTGGTTGTTTCCTATTCGAAATTGGCTCCGCCATCTGTGGTTCGGCTCCCAACTCTATTGCCTTCATTTTCGGCCGTGCTATTGCAGGAATGGGATCGTCGGGGCTATTTTCGGGAGTGATGGTTATCATGTTCCACACCGTCCCATTGCAGCAGCGGCCAATCTACCAAGGCGCTTTCGGGGCCATCTTCGGGATTGCATCAGTTGTTGGCCCCCTTATTGGAGGTAGCTTTACCGATAGGGTAACATGGAGATGGTGTTTCTATATCAATCTCCCTGTTGGGGCAGTATCGATGATCGTCACCTCGTTGATCCTACACTTACCCAGCCAGAAGCTCGACGCGAAGGCAACAGGTTGGGTTGAGAAGATCAAGCAACTAGACCCTATCGGCAACCTTATATTCCTCCCAGGGATCGTTTGCTTGATTTTGGCTCTTCAATGGGGAGGGACCGTGTATCCTTGGAACGACGCTCGCATCATTGTCCTCCTGATCCTTTGCGGTGTCCTATGTATCATCTTTATCGGTGTCCAGGCTTGGAAGAAGGAAGGTGCATCAATCCCGCCTCGTATCATAAAACAACGCAGCATCATCGCCGCCGTCTGGTACGGTTTTTTCAATGGCTCCGGTATGATGGTCTTGACGTACTACCTCCCCATCTGGTTCCAAGCTGTAAAAGGTACCAATGCCATTGGTTCTGGAATTATGATGATTCCTTTGGTCCTCTCAACTGTTATTAGTTCCATCTTATCCGGTATTATGGTCTCTAAGATTGGGTACTACGCCCCTTTCTTTCTGGTCAGCTCCGTTATAATGCCAATAGGAGCTGGTCTTTTGACAACATTCACTCCATCCATCAGCGAGGGCAAGTGGATTGGCTACCAGATACTCTTTGGAGTTGGCCTTGGAGTTGGCATGCAGCAGCCAATGAATGTTGTGCAAACTGTTCTAGAGAGGCCAGATATCGCAACCGGGACTGCAATTGTGACGTTTTCGCGCTTCCTTGGTTCAGCTATATTCCTCCCAGTCGCTGAAAATGTCTTTCTTAACAGTCTCATCTCGAAGCTCTCTAATGTTCCTAGTATCAACTCTAGTTCTGTCACTGGAGGTGGTGCTACTGAGCTGAGGAATATGGTATCTGAGGGCGAGTTAGAGACGCTTCTCTCTGACTATAACGCAGCTATAATCGACGTATTTTACATGGTGATAGCGACATGCGGTATCACTCTCTTCGGCAGCGTTTTCGTGGAGTGGCGCAGTTTGAAAGCTCGCGCCCAAGAGCAGAGGGGCAAAACTAAGCCTGGGGAGCCAACCAAGGCTCAGGAAACTGTCTAATATAATCCGACTGACCAAATGAACCAAAATGTATTATAGACTATCTTTCGAATTCTCCTCTTATTTTTAATCAGCTGTTATTACTATACTACCTGAAGCAGTTGTGATCTAAGCTAATACGGATTTCCCGAAATGATTCAAATAAGTAAAAATGCATTTAAATTACCATTCGTGTACGGACACTACGGCTTTAAAATGAGGTTGCGACGGAAAGAAACCTGCATGATACCGTAAATTGCACGTCCCGTTTGTATCATTTTGTTGGCCTAACATCAGAGTCCGAAATTCAAGTGGCCAGGCATCAACAATGCTCAAGCCATCCTACTTCTTCATCCCATGATCCCCGGACCGCAAACATATCAATAAATAAAAATGTCCCAAGACCATCGTGAGCCTACCCATAACTTGGGTGCATCCTATAGCTTACTCCTTTAGCCTATCGCAGACTCCAAATACCTAAAGATGCGCCTTTCGAACTAAGACCCTCTTCACCTGGGAAAGGGTGGGGTGCCTTCGCTACGAGGTTGATCAAACAAGGAGACCCGATCTTGATGGAAAACCCGCTCTTCGTTATTCTAAAGCCGTCCCAATATATTACAGATGAAGATGTTTTTGCAGCATTCCAGCGGTTGACACCGACGGCAAAACAACAGTTTTTACTTCTTCGTGACAATGCCGGTGGTCCCTTCAAGAGAATAAACGAAGCCCTTGCGGAAAACTCCTTCGCTATATCAGCCAACTCAGGGCATGGCCTGTTTCTGCTCCATTCACGGTTCAATCATTCCTGCGTGCCTAACGCTAAGGTCCCAGACCCCAGCGGTGAGACTATCACATTGTTCGCAATAAAGGACATCATGGCTGGCGAGGAGGTCACTTTCTGTTATAATAGCGATTTTGGGTGTAGGACCAGACGTGAGCGCCACGAAATACTACGTTTTGCCTGCGACTGCAAAGCCTGTCGACTCGGTACCCCCTTCCAACAGCTTAGCGACATACGACGAACATTCGTTCGTGGGTTGCAATACCTTACACTTGGTGTTGATATAGATGGGAGGAGACAAGATTCCTCGCCTCCAATAATCGCTGACCGTAAACTAAAAGAAGCAGCAGAAAACTTAAGTATTCCGCTCAGTAATAGATTAATCTATCAACTCTTGACCTCATTCTTGTTGGAAGAGGAAGGGTTGCTAGACTATCTCATGAGGGAAAGGCTTGAACCTTCCATGATGACAATATCGTCCTTATTTAAAACTAAGAGCAATGCCAGAATCGTCAAGATTGCTATGGCAGAACAAAGTTGGCTAGGGAAGGTCCATATTGCTTTCAGACTCTATGGACGAGCAGATGCTGCTGATGAATCTCTTCCCGAGATGCTTCGGATGCTACGCGGCATCTGATGAGAGCTTACTTTCACAGTGCCTAGTGGTCTTTCAAATGCAATGCAATTAAGGTGGAATTAAGTGAAAGTTTTACACTGTTGGTTCTTAAGGCGTGGCAATCAGAGCTCTCAAGACGAATTTATATCCTCAATCAATTGTGTAAGCCAACAGGTACCTACCTAACAGTCAAATCAACTACCATGGTATAAAACTCCCCTAGTTAAATCAAGGCCGCCACCTCTCAACCCGACATTATAGCGTATCTCGTCCTAGACGATCGAGGAAATTCTAGCTTGACTCGTCAAACATGACCTTTAGGTATCTCATCACACACCACAACTCCTCGCTTATATTATAAGAGAAAAAGATTCAAGCCGCATCATATCCAGTGATACCGTTTAATAGGCGGTAACTATGCCGTGTCCCTTCTTACTCTCGCGGGCTTTCCTGAGATCCCGTACTGCGCCTCCCGTAACCGGGATGGTTTAGCAAAGGCGGGTTATAGGCGTGCGAGGGTTGAATCCTATTTTCATAACCGCCGGCACTATTCACGCCCTCTTGTAGTTCGTAACCGTCATCTCTCACACTTTCAACCTTTTCCTTGCCCTTCTTATCACTCCATGGCGAGTAGGCCTCACGGTCCGGGCTTATTGCAATACCGATGTTATCAGACTTCTCTATTGGCCATGCCATGTTAGGGCCTTCGACCCCGCTGACGGGACTATTATATTGAGAGGAGTAAGGCGAGAAGTAGGGTGTGAAGGCAGTCTGGGTCGATGCACTAATGGGCGAGTCTTGCCAGCCCCGAAGAGGCTTCTGGCTAATGGGTGTCTCGAACATCTCACCACCGCCTTGAGTTGAGGGCCAGTTCTTTGTGGTTTGCTCCCGACGGCGGAGGTACGCCTTTCTCCGGCGCTTGCCATTGATAATGATACCACATCCGACGATGGTAAGAAGAACGGCGAGGCCACCAACGACGATACCAGCAATAGCACCGGAGTCCAAGGGGCCTTTTAACCCTGGAGGAGAGAATGTGGCTGTAGGCGTAGGATCCGTCACATTCACGACGTCCGTAGAAAAGATGTTACCCTGCAAGGGAAGGGTAGCTGGTGGCTCAAGTCTAAGTCTGCAAGCGCCATCTAAGATCGATATATCTGTGGTGGGAGATGGGGGTTAGCTTTTGCGGTAATAAGATAATTTGCGATGAATCATACAGTTGCTAAGGTAGTTGCTATTGGGCGAAGAGGTCAAGCAAGAGTGACATTTGTCAAGGTTATAGTCCGTCCACCTATCACAGTAGCCATATATCGAGCTACTAGATGTAAGATTGCCGTACTTGATCGCTTGTTCGATGTTACCGCAAGCGAAGCTGCTGAGGTTAGCATCAGGGCGGAATGAGAAGCCATAAACACATACGAAGTAACACATGGGCTTGTTCCAGCGTCGAATAAACATACGTTGACAGCATATCGCATATTATCTGACAAGATGAATTAGCAACTATGATGTGTATAGGGGAGCGAATGAAGCCTTACAGAGCATATATTGTAAGTCAGACTTGTTTTGTGCCCCGTTTGGTGTTGCAAACGAACTCCTTGACTCGCAGCCGATACAAGATTGGTAGACTTGGCCTGATGATGTGACGCTGTATGCTGAATCCTCGCAGACTATCATATCGTCTGTTGTTGAACTAAGTACATTACCGCACTGCGTCTCGCATGTTGACCCGTCTGCGACAAGTAACGCAGACGATGCATGCCAAAGAGCTGCGAACGAGAGGATTTGGAACGTCGCCATCATGTTTCCTTGCCTCCTACGCGATGTCTATCCACGGTCGAGAAGTGCCGAGTATCGAAGTAATATAGATTCAATAGATATCGTACCTAAGATATCCAGTATTTTCGGTAGTCGTCTGGGATTCGAAATATATATCATCTGCAGCCAAGATGGGTTTCCTGGGGTCCAAACAGCAATAGTTGAGCCGCAGAGAGACGTTCGTTTGTACAATACAATCTCTGATACCTTTACTGAGAGAGAGCCTCCACCCAACCGAAGAAGCAAGGGAGCAGTGAGGGGCGCTTCGTCAACGCGGTTTCATCCCTATCTAATCGAAGTCACATCTGAAGAGAATAGTATAAGCGCGAACGTCTTGATAATATTTGTCTCGACCGCCTCATCGGATCGACGCACATCACCTCACTAGATCCATTCAGTGGACGAAATAGTCGGCAGAGCTATGCAAATCATGGAGAGAGGGGCCGTGCAGAGGCCATCACACACTCGATCAAGTCGGAGGATCGGGACTTTGCTATGGTTGTATGGTTAGTCCGGGGGGGCAGAATCCAGGGGTGAGAACGAAAGGGTCCAATAGGGATTTTAGGTACGATCAACGTATATTAACCATTGGTTCCGGATGCAGAGTTCGGGGATGCAAGGCCCTGCTTGCTCATGGCACCTTGCCGAGGGGGATTTTAACGTAGATGGCTTCGGCTACGGCCGTTATTGGAGATCAAAAATCACTCCGCTAATATATTCGTCCAATTGTTGAATAAAGGAACGTTGCCCAACATGTCCCCCAAATCATCGATCCACCGAAAAACCTCAATTCGGAAAACGAACGCTTCGTCACACAAGCTGACAGGGCACACTCACCTAAACACACCATATGTAATTACTATGCATAAAGCAACCCTCTTGGCCCTCATAGCTTCGGGCTTTGGGGGCCGCCTTATGCATGCAATGCAAAAAACGGCGACCGAACCGGAGAACCGTATCTATCTATTGTCATGCGGCAAAGATTCTCTACGATCCTACCACGATCTTATTGTGGCGTGTATACCTGATCGTCCGTGTGGCTGTTCGATCTACGTACATGATAAGAGTTGAACCTATGATAATTCTATGATCGGTTTCGTCTCACGTATCAAATGAGGAGTTTTATACGAGCGAGTCTCCAGGAGAAATTTCTGTGTGCTGAGTGACCCAAACTGTTGGGACTCGATGACGAAGCCGTGAAAGATCCAATTTGCTCATATTCTCCTAAGCGTTGGAAGTCTTACCATCGCAAACGTTTGTACCACGTAGCCAAAAGCAAAAGAATTGTATAGGACGGCTAGGGACATATATTAGTACCTAGCTTCTTGTTCGTCATTTTCACGGGACGTTGCAATTTTGGTCAAGATGTGGGTGGCGCAGACGGCATGCCGATTAATCGGACAGCTCAACTCTCTTCTATTACCAATGCACCAAGCCGACGAGATCATGCCTCTCGCCTAAGTAAACCGACATGATATGAGCTTAAGCGCCAAATAAACATCTCAGAGTAGGAAGGGTTGATCAATGAGGTTCGAAGATTCAGTCACTTTGTAGATTGGATCTTTATTCGCTTTTCAATCTTGCACCAACATACAGACAGCCCTCCCTCATGCCATTGGGCCGTTACCATGAGGTCAGTCATTAGAAAATTGAGAGAATAACATTGGCTCAAAACACACACTATGTAACATCACATTGAATCGGCGCGTAGTTGAATTCAACAGGTAGTAAGCCGAGAGGAAATGAAACGAATGAAGCATGTGAATTCGTTTCGGATATACCAGCATCAGCCGAACGCTTCGTCCCGAAATCTCAAAATAATCGGCAAGCCGAGCATACGAAACTATTAAGCTTCCCGATATGTTTATATGTAAATCCATGTCCTTGCCTGAGAGTCTTGATTCGCATTGCGAACATCAACTCGACTTCCAACACTTTCTAGTTATTCTTCCTCTTGCTTCCCTTCTGCGTGTATGGTATCGTACCGTGAGGTGAAGACTCTAGATCAACGACGCATCTATTACTACTGAGGAGTACAAGATATGGATAGTTAATATTGGATTCCAATTATCTGTCTACTATCTACTATGTGTATCTACCAAGGAAGTGTTAGTCCCATAGGGTAGAACTGATTGCCCTTTGCTAGCAACATCTGCTTCATAAAACGTAAGACTTCCGATTCTATATGTATAAATATCATACGGAACTGACACAGAGCGTTAGCTCTCCTTAAACCCACAGATTTGCCTCAGTTACTAGTAGTGGAGACACTAGGTAGTTATCACTGAGCGTGACATAACCTTGCGATGCTTTGCTACTACAGGCCGACAGCATTGGCCTTTGATGGTCTGTTATATGATTCTTATATATAATGGCCAGTGCCTTATTCAACTTATTGTTCTAGTAAGCACTCTTTCGTATATAATGAGAACGGGATGGCAGTGATAGATCCTTTGCTTCTCAAGTGAGATGTGCACTCTGTTCTAAAGACGCTATTCGACTTGGCCTTTGAAGACCAAGGTGCCTGTTATGTGCACTTGGTCTGCTCAACTTTTTCTCTTCATAGAACCTCTATGCTCAAGATTACACCCAACATAGTCGTCTTCACTGAAACCAGTGGGCCGTGTCTTCTCATACTGCGAGCTTCGGTGCTCAAGTTCAAGATGTTTAGGGAAACACCTATATGTTAGAAGCGCCCGAGTATTTTTCTTACGTCTCTGTTTGCGCCTAGACAATTGACTATATTAGTCTAGGCTAATAGTTTATAGATGTTAAGCTCTAAAATAGGATAGCTGAAATACGGTTTATGTGCCTTGGCGGGCCTCTCTAACTTCATAGGCCCAAGAGTCTAGTCTGAAGAGTTACATATCAGCTTCTTGATATATAGCATAGTAGCTCGGCTCATGGCAACTACTGTGAAGCTATTTCCAATAGGGGATACACACCCTTCCCTATCAATCTTACGAGTACCTAAGTCAAGACGCCCGGCGATGTTAGAGATGCTTCATGCTTTATCCACAAAGTATTGTGGAAGATTGCGTCCTCTAAGGACTCAGCAAGGCGTCTAATATTGATGCTCTCAACGATCCTCTCCAATTTAGTTCATCGCCTAGGAAAACTAGACTGACCGGGTACACGATACGTCAAAAAATCTTCCATCCATCATTATAAACTCTACATTGTGGGAGTATACTTTAGATGAGGTTTTTTCATCTCCTCATACCCAGATTGTTCTATTTCTTCGAGATAGTATCTCGGTTATGCCACTATCAACAACACTAAGCCACCTGGGTAAGGTACGTCGCATTCCTACAGGGGCTCAGCCCACTATTTTTTTCATATGTATTTTTTTTTCATTCTAGCTAGCTGCCCTTTATCTTGTGTTTCCCCCACTGAAAAAGCTTAAACCAGATTTAATAGGGAAACGATACGCTATATAGGTAGGTGTCTTTACCATACTTCGATAGTGGCATGTGTGGAGAAAGAACATGTTTTCTCTGGCGTTTACATACGCAATATCGACCCACAAGCCCCTCGTCGGATCCCATCACTCTGGAAAATCGCATGTGGAGCACTACCTTCGCTATCTCACCCACTCACGGTGGCGTATTTAGCGCTTTCAGCGCTTTCGAGGTTAGCAGGGGTTCATCGGCAGACCATTGGTGGGCTTTGGGGACTTTTCTGGTAGTCTACTGGCCTATCCGTGCCTCTGGGATTCTTCAGCAGCCTTTCCCGCCCCACGACGTCTTGAGTTACACCACAGCCAGAGATGTTCTGCAGCGGATCATTAATTATCGCCCAGCCACACCTTACAGCCAATTCTTTACTATTACACCACCATCGAGGCTTCACCGGTGGTTCATAATGATTGTCCCAAGTCAATTGGGCGATTCATGGTCATCCGAGCCACCCACCAACTAAATACGATAAGTTACCGTCGTTACCGTCGTTTTCGTAGTCCCCACCATCCGTTAGGTACCGCAGCGGGACTATCAGCATCTACACAATGATTGTCCTATATTACAATGATTGATTCATTACACAATCATTGTGTTGGAAACAATCATTGTGTGGCCCGTGCACCACCAAAAGGGAGGGCTCTGATTGGTCAGATTTTGGTATATTACAGAAAACCTCGGACTTTAAGATATTCCGGGATAATATTAAAGAAAATAAAAATTTTATTTTTTTATTTTTATTTTTTTATTTTTATTTTTATTTTTTTACTTTTTTTATTTTTTTAAAATCTTTTACACATACGAGGAATTGAACTACGAGGTTTACGGATTACGGATTACGGATTACGTGTTACATTACATGTTACGAGCTACGAGCTTACTAGCTACACTATTGGACAGTTGCAAAGCACGGATGTTTCAACCTATTAAGACAAAGCTTGGCAGCCCGGGCTAATCCCGATACATACTAGATTAGTCACAATGACTGTTACCCACACAATGATTGTTGGCCACACAATGATTGTTTAACTTTACAATCATTGTTGCCCCTCGCATTTTCCCACTATGGTACTAATCGAGTCGCGAACGAAGCGAGGTTGCGCAAGAATCTAAGTATTGGAGCAGAACTGGCAATGGTTAGCTTTGCTTTGCTTTTAAGTCTTTTAAGTAAGTTATACATATTCTCTGTGAGCTCGATATATGGATTATAACTTGAATATTTCGCTTGATGGAACTGTTCAGTAAGGCCGCGAGGCTAAAAAGGTCAGTCAATAACCCATGAAGCGCTTATATTCGCAGTACTGTTGGCTGCGTGATTAGACCCTCGCCCGGATACACGCATACTACTCCCAACCAGTCTTCTTTTATTCGGTTTATGATTCCTTTGTTACCTGTACCTCAGGATCACCCCTTGTCTTAAACGTGCTATCTTGTAGGTCTCGTTGGTAACAGACGTAGCATATCACAACTTGACCCAGCTATAATTAACACCCAGATCCCACCCTACATAAAAATATATGAATATGGTGTTATATCCCATCGATCGACCTCTCCACTCTTACGCTTTCCTTATCATTTAATCTGATTCCTTTTTACATATCCCGAACTTCTGCTTTCACTCACGGGATCTAGAGTCGTGCGATCGTTGGGTGCGATACGATTATTTGTACGTCACTGTAAGACGGACGAGAACATTAGATTTAATTATCTTTTTACGTTCTACTTAAGCGATAGTCGTATCGGACCCAAAACCACCGATTCCGACCTCTTCCTAATATAGTTACTTGGTTACAAAATTAAACCTTAGCTCTCCCGTTCTCCTCTTCTTCTCCGTCATATTCCTAGAAATCATCAATACGGCCGCGTCTTCGGTTTCTATGAGACGGTGGGTGGAAAATGAGGATAGGGTGTCTGCAATTCGCCCCGAAGCTCGGGGACGTTAACAATAATCTCAACCGCGCCGACGCAGTCTTGAGTAAAGCGAATCCCGAGAACCTCGATCTGCTTTGTCTACCCGAATTAGCTTTTTCAGGTATATTCGTACCTAAAGTACGTTTGAGTGTATTTAAATCATAACGCTGACTTCATCAAGGCTATAATTTTAAGTCGCTTCAACAAATCAGCCCTTTTCTCGAGCCTCAAGGCTCTGGCGTGACTGCGCTCTGGGCGAGAACGGTCGCACTCAAATACAATTGTGTTACGACAGTCGGATATCCAGAGAGTTTGATGTAAAAGCGAAATGGCCCACCGGACCCGAGTATTACAACTCGGCCATCGTCGTCAATGGCGAGGGAGAAACAATCGGCAATTATAGAAAGAGTTTCTTATATTATACGGACGAGACATGGGCTCTGGGAAGGCGGCGAAGGGTTCTGGCAAGGATCTATTCAGGGTCTTGGGAAACAGAAACACCTCTCTAGGCATTTGTGCGTAGCCTTCACTATGAACCTTGTTGCTCTTCTAACTAACAATTTATTTAGGCATGGATATTAAGTGAGCGATATGTTAATATATGGTTACCCTACTGACTTTTCCTTTAGTCCATATAAGTTCGAGGCCCCCTTCCACGCTTTCGAATTCGCATTTCATGTCCTAGAAATGGGATCAAATCTCGTCATCCTTACGATGGCCTGGCTCACAAGGGAGGATGGTCGAATGTTCTCGCGCATGCCAAATGATCCGGATTTGGACACATTAACTTACTGGGTAACCAGATTAGAGCCGCTCATTAGAGCAGAAAGCGAAGAGGAAATCATCGTAGTTTTTGCAAATCGCTGTGGTATCGAGGATGACGCAGTTTACGCTGGAACCAGCGCTGTGATTGGGATAAAAGATGGCGAAGTCAGTGTTTATGGGATCCTTGGCAGGGGAGAGAAGGAGCTTCTGGTTGTTGATACAGATGCTGCCCCATATGCTAAATTGGTGTATCGGCCTGACGACAATGCATCAACTGTTACTTCGACCGACGATGAGTCAAGAGGCGGTTCGTCCAATAGATCGACTAGACCTGACAAGGAGGACCCTTCGAAGAGGTCGGAACAGCCTAGATCAACGAGAGGAAATGATTCTACTAATATTCCAACAACCCAGACACCGAAAAGCACCGATTCAGCCAGGATGTCTAAGACTCCAGCTCAGCCTATTTCACCATTGAGTGAGTCTACACTCGCTAACTATGAATCGATGTCACCTAGTGGAGCTACCAAAGACTACGACTACGTACCCTTGGGCCATGGTCCCAGAGCTGGAAGTGATAGAAGTACGAAATCTATGCAAGGCTCAATCGGTTCAGGCCGTTCGGGTACATCCAGGAAGTCGAAAGTTTCAAGTCGCACTCGAGCTTCTAAGGGAGACCCTTGATTCTAAGGGCTTGGCATCCCATCGATTATCATCTAAGAAAGTTAAGACAGCATCCCCCCGGATACAGATCCCACCTCCTAAGTTAGCAAATGATTCGATTCCGACTCCAACAGCACCAAGTCCGACACCCTTAGCCGTCCGGCCTAAGCTTTCTATCCCGAAGGATGCTCATAGGCGCCCGCATATTCCCACACCCCATCCAGATTCGGGACAAAGTCATATCCCAATGGAACAGCAGAATACAATCTTAACTCCGACCACAGCTTTTGACGATTTGAGTCCGCAATTTCCAGCCAGGTCCTTTTGGACTCCTTCGGACTCGCGCCTGTGGACTTCTATGGAACTACAAGACGAGCCACCCGTGTTAGAATACCCAACAAGGTCCTCAAAGCCAATTATTGAAAATAAGTCCAGAGTCGCAGAAGTAGACATACAGAGCAGAAAGCCCTCACCACCTAAGTCGCGTATCACCAGCAGATCGAGAAAACATGAACGCTCGAACTCAACGTTTGGCCAGGGGCCCGATTCTAGTGCGCTTGCTCAACGTCCTGAAACCATAAGTCCACGCCCGGAGTCTTCCATTGGGCAGAGAGTTGATACATCTTCGCCTTATCAGATCGTCCCTCTTCCCTCTTCGCCGAAATCGCCGAAATGCAAGCCGAAGTCGGCCTACTAATCCTATTCTTCCAGACGACCCTATAGAACAACAATACTTCGACGTCGCAGAATCTTCAGTCCTAATCGGTGCGAGCCCAAGCGTACTTAATAGCTCAGTAACTAGAGGACCTTCTGCCGTATTCCGTCCAGACACCCGCATGAGCAATGTCGAATCAACATATCGCCCTACATCTCAGCCCCCCCGGTCGCGCAGTAACAGTTATAAGACCCAAGGTTCATCAGTTCAAGGGGCTGTGGGAAATTCTTGGCAATCTCGCGCCATCAGCCGTGGGCGGCAGCGAGTACCGAAGGGTTTCACTGGAGCCTCTGACCATGCAGATATTAGCAGAAGAGGTGGCTCTCCAGAGTGGTCTGTTCAAGGGGACATGGACAGTGGGGATGATGATGAGATTGTGGAAGAGATTATTGTGCGACGCTCACCAAGCTGCGCAATTCATGGGGACAGACATAACCACATTAGCACTCCAGGACAAGAATCTAACCTAAACTCCCAAGATTCTAATGGCGAGAGGTTTGATTCGTCACGAGTCACTCCTGAGTCGGGTGGATCAATGAAGATTAAAAGTGCAACTGAAACCTCAATTCAGCCTCTCGACAACGAACTTGAGGTACACCCAAACTTTTATGCATCTTCTACCGAGACCCTTGCTGGCGCAGAAGGATCACTTGCAGCACCCTGGTTCTTGTTTGATCCCAAGACACCAAAAGCCATGGTTTTTAGGATGGATGAGAATCATGCCACACCTAACACTCCTCGGTCCGCTCCTTTCGCCCAGCCTCTGATGATCGCGAAGCAGATCGGACAAGAGGCGATAGGCAAAGTTAGGCCGAAGAGTGCTGTCTGGTAGTAGTGGCACTTTAACGTGTAATGATCTTAGGAATGATTTGATGCACCCGAAAAATGTGTCACTATATTAAGCGAGGAGTTGGTTTGGTTAAAGACGGACATTCTTTCGATTCGGGCTCTAAATTCAAGTTATACCAGAATATGTAGATACTTACGTCAACATAGCAATAGCAAATCTCATTGAGGGCCGATTATCAGGCTTTGGCTGTGTAGAGTGAAAAGTTGGTAATGTGCTTACATTTCAGGGGAAACCCTAACAAAATAGATTCGTTTAAGTACCGTATTAATCTTGGTGCTTCGCTGTTTATGTTTTAAATATAGTTGAGCTATATGGCTGCTTTAAACACGATACAAAAGCCCCTTCACATTTAACATTTACCACTTTATCGGGATCATCCCATACGGAAAGCTCTAGGAATAGTAGAGGGTATATCCGGTGTTTGTCCCAGGCATGTTGCAAAGTAAGACGGTTCCATAATAGGATCTCTGCTCTTCTGGTGCAACGACAAACAATTTCCCGGCGTATGCAGGTAAGCAACGTCCGAATCTGTTGTGAACCCGAAATATTCGAGTCAAGTAGGTAGCTTGCAGTCGTAATCCTAGCGTTATTACATCGTTATCCATGTAACTAACAGCTACTACACGGATAGTTGTCACACGATAATATGATATTGGCTCCATTTGTATGGTGCAGGCCTCCCAGCTTAGACAACACGAAAAACCGGCCAATGGCAATCAAACTAATATATAGAGGCTATGACGTTTCGTACTGATTAGTTCGTTAGAGGTTGAAACCGCGTTTTTACTTTATTTCTAACCTTTCTAGCTAGGTGCCCTACATTAATCGTGACTGATGCGACCAGACGCGTGGCTTTCCTAGGCTACCATCTCCCAGTTCTAAAGCGGTCAGTGGTGATTGATCGTACGGAGTTATCCTAATATCACATCGGAAGGCAAGAGAATACTTACGTGGAAGTTATTTTTGCGAGAGGAAGGGAGAAGTAATTGCGATCGTCAAACTGGCTGTCTATTATCCCGACGCGATTATGGTCTAGGATTGGGGTGTCTGCATTGGTAGTCAGATCTGTGGGATGTCTCATTTTACGTGGAGTCCCGCTTCGAAGGAGGACAATACAGCGTCATCTAAGGAAGCTGTATAAATATGTAGGCATAGATCTCAACGATAGTAATAAGAAATATGGACAGTTCATTCCGAATTAACCATTTTTCAAAATAAATCTCTAATGCCATCGAAATCTTATCTCAAAATGCGGAAACTCGTAGTTCCATTACTTTGCCAACTCTTCGCGCTTCTAGCCCACGGGCAGAAGCATTCGCAGCCGGTTGGTAACTGGACCCTTTCCAACGCCGTCCGAACTCGCTCTGCTGGTAACGAAATTTGTGAGTGGAAGTTCCTGCTTTCTCAGTCCGAAGCAGCATCGAACAGCGCTCCTACGCTCTGCCAGTTCAAAGTGAACGCGGATAATGGACATAATTGCGACACCGCTACTTTCTCTGGTGTAGCCTGCGATGGAACCGAGAGGTATAGCGTTAACGGCGGACATGCCCCGGAGGGATTCATAGTCATGGTTCTACTTGATTTAGAGGAGAATGTCGAGGCATATTTCGGGTTCGATGACAAGGCGTTGGACAAAGGCGCGCACATTCCCGAGCAAATCATTGCTGCTTACCCACCGAAGACCCCTGGGTCACCTCGTGTTCGAAGCCTTCTCGAGAGACCCCTATTAGCACGAGATAATAATACTACATGGACTGTTAAAAATATGTATCGAGGTTGGTTGCAATTCCATACTACACTTTAACTAATGAGATGCTGATATCATGTCTAGCTGTAATACCATCAGAACATCGCATTCTCATAGACATGCTCATCCTAGACGGTTCCCCTAACGGAGTGGTATGCCAGCTCAGGTTACAAGTCCCTGAAGATGTGGATCCTAAGACGTGGGGATTCTCAAACGCCAAATGTATTGATAACGACTGGACAGTCCATTGGGGATATATGCCTGCTCAAGATGCAGGTGTAATGACACTTGTTCCGTAAGTCAACCTACATTCCATATATTCAGAAGAATTTATTTGGCTGATAGTTGATGTCGTGAACAGCCCGAGCAGGGATAGCAATGCGTTCTTTGGATATAACGATATTAACTCACATGAGGCGTTAGGCACAGCTGGACCAAGTCAGGTGCTGCCCTGCAGTTGTGGTTGAGCTCAATGGAATCCTACTGGGTAGCTTCGACTAATAGATGAGAAATTAGGAGGTTTGGTGACTAAGAACGGTCATGGTAAAGACTTCAGGATGTTTATGATCATTAGGATATAAAGATTGGCAGATACTGAGTATGCTATTTTTTTTTGCGTTTAACTCCATCTCACAACTCTTGCTTACTATCGGGTATTTTGGGTCTATTCCCTGTGAGTATGTTGTGTATTATCTCACTGAACGTCTTCAACCAAATCACTCTTTTGCTCACTATTTGACAATATTCTTGAGCTACGGGCTTTATGATTGTATCATCGTTTGAATATAATATCAAGTGAGGATAGTATCCACCAGTAAAATGCCTATAATCTGTAGGTCATTATAAAAGGCAAGGTTGGGACACAACGCCTGAGCTGGTTAACTCAATATACTACTACAGTAACATAAGCTCCTACTCTCCTATTTGACCGTATGCGGAATTTCACACATCTTACTATGTATAGTAGGGCGGCTAGCCGTAGTCCTCGGTAGCTGAGTGAAACAATAAAAGACGTTAAAGAGGTATAGTGGAAGAATTTCATCCTAAGGCATCGGAAGAGATGACACATGATGTGCATAAATAATTCCTAATATTTTAATAGTTGGCATGAAACTCTGTAAATCATGGGTTGGTAGCAGCAGTTCCCTTTATATCTGAGGATAGGTATTAGACAGTTACGATCGTAGATTTACATCTAGTAATCTACCATGTACGACCAACGTATGCGACTCCTCGGGTCCAGTGGCGTTTAGGTAACCCCACAGACGTTGAGACAGCAGGGATGTCTTGATATCATTCGCGCGAGAAGCTAACCCTTTCATATTACTTAAGCGCGATTAGGCCGTCTTTTTTGGACTAGTTCCCGCGCGCAATCTTTTACATAGTACGTAGGTAGCTTCAAGTTTAAGCGCCGAAGTAAGGGAATAGGTACTATTCACCCGACAGCAGGGTATCGGGATATTAATCTCTAACAGAATCTATATGCACACGATGATCCCTACTATGTACTCGGATAAGTGTTGACGAATTAGGAGGGTGTTGAATGCGGTTTGCTTAGAGAGCTACGGTATTTACTCGCTAACATGGCATAAAAAGGTAGCGATCAACTCCGATGATATATATTTTGGGTTTTAATATTCGCTCCGTTGATGAACGGTTACTCTTATTGGGTCATGATCATCATTTATAGGAAAGGAAACAGGATCCCGATTTGATAATGGATATCCAATCCCGTTAATGTGAAGATGTAAATATGGTTGTTGAAGGATGTGAGATGAAATATTCCGGAAAAACTGGATCCCGTGCCGAACATAAGTGGGGCTTCGGCACATCTTAAAAGAGGCAAGGTCGGATCAGAATGCACCTGCAAGAAGCGGTGGTTTTTACATCTGCAATGCAGCCGCTATCACTTTACATACCGTACATAGTACGCGTTTAGATCCTATTCGTAGTTGTCCTACATTTACACTAAATCTTACACTAGCAAAATAAATGAGCTGATTAAACGCGTTAAGGTAGCGAGGTCGGCAAGCCTTGCCATATTTACATTAAGGCTCTCATCTTCTCGAATTTTTTAGTTTCTGTTCTATCTTGAGTATTGAGTACTTAATTTTCATTATTATCTAGGTTTGAAGAATATAGGTACGGCTCATGAATCTAGCGGAGCCATGGCCTCAAATGGTAATCTAACTTGAGTTTCCCGTTCTGCTCGTTATATCCGCTATTTCTCGGCCTCGTGCTCATGAGCGTTTATAGAATGTCTTAAACGAGTCCTACGAGGGGTCATGAAAATTCATTAGAGCTGAGGACCCCGGCCGGCCGCTTCTCAGGCCGGCGTTTACCAAACCCGCTGGATCTGCCTGACATCGTTACATGGTAGCCTATCATTCTTCATACCCTTGTCTCTTCTTGGGTTAGCACCAATCTCCCCCCGTACGCAGTTGACCAATCAATACCAACGAATCGACTTGGCGTACATTCAGTCAGTAGCGAAAAATAAAGGCCCAGTCTTGGCATTTAGCCCTTCTTAAAGAATCGGCATTTACGCATATATAATTCCACCATTTTTAAGGTAGTAAGATTATAAAAATTACCTATAATGATAATAAAGGCTAACGAGCTAATATATAATTTTTTCCCTTTTTTCAATCCTTTTTTTCATGCTTATTTTGAATATATTATATGGTATTGTTTTGGAGGGGAGAATGCCAAGACTGGGCCTTTATTTTTCGCTGGGGGCTGACATTTCGCGCTTCTACCTCTTCCCGCTCTTTGTTATTGGTTATATGTTTTGTCGCCTGCTCATCCCCGGACCTTGTCATTGCTCAGAGGCTTGCTCAGACCTGCCAAAGCGGACTCCTTGGCCGGCATATTGGCCGCCCTCAAGCTTTCGTCTTAACTTGCCCAGTCCTGTTGGCTAGGGTATTGTTGTTGTTCCATTGGATCGTCTGTGGCCGTCTTTTCTGGCCAAAGAAAATCCAGTGCTATTATCAGAAACATTCTCCACAAACGGACATAGACAAGCTCTTAGGCGCACTCTTTACTTCTTTACTTAGCACAAGTGTAAAATTGCCTGCGAGCTAACAGGATGCTCGACCTCCGTCATCTCCGCGCAGCCGCTTGCCTTGCGGTGGGATGCGGGGTGAGCTGAGGTAGACGGTCATATATGAGATGGAGACCCTCCAACACGGCGGGCTTTGAGCCTCATACTCTTTACGGATATTGTTATCCACTGGCAGAGCCTGTTACTGTTGAACTTCGGAGAGGACCTTGTCTACAGAAGTGGATATCGGATCGTGGTGCTCGGAGGATTGCCATGCGTTCTTCACCACTATAGGAATCCCATCCTCATAACATCCCTATCCCTCCGCCTGCTCCAGATTTCTTCGACCACAGACCGTCATATCCGTCAAAATGGTCTCTTCAATCCTGAATCTTGGTGTACTACTTCTGCTATTCGGTTTTGCCAACTCTCTTCAAGTTACGCCAGGGTCACCATGTGCTGCAGTGTGCTTAGACCACCAGGATGGCAATACACAAAACCCGGCAGCATCGTCAACGAACTCGTCAGATATTAGCTGTCTCGATAGCGATTATAGTTCCTCGTCAACTGGTATCAAATTCGAAAACTGTCTCAGTTGCCTAAAGGATAGCAAGGCTGTTAGCGGCTCTGAGAGCGATGTCTCTTGGTTCCTATGTGAGATTACTACCTAAGTTATGCTGTTATGTATATGGCCGTAATGACTGACATGGGTCTTGAAAGACAACTTGCGATATGCCGTTGATGTATGCGTTTTTGGTTCTCCAAATGCTCCAAAGGCCATCTCGTCCCCGTGCGATATTGATTATGGGTGTGCCCCCCTGGCCCAATCGCTCAAATATGGCATATCAAATCCGAATAATGCGTCAGAATTCGGATACTGCACAGCGGGGAATGGCGCTTTCAAGAGCGAATCTGTTGAGGCATGCTACCAATGCTTTCAAGCAAGCGATAACCAAGCTTACTTAGCTAACTGTATGATCTATATTAATATCCGGTTGTTAGGTAAACAAGACTAACTGATGGATAATAGTTCTCATTGCTCTACAAGCTGGTTGCGAACAGACTCCTGCACCGGGTAGCTTACTTGGTATCTCGGGAACACTGTTCTCTGATATTCCAATCAAAATCACCGCGCCGCCTCCAGATGCTAGTGACGATGCGAGTGACACGTCGAAGACTGGCAACTCAAGTCCGACATCGATGACCACTGGTGCCATAGTGGGCATCGCTATTGGAGGTGCGCTGCTATTTCTTGGTAGCCTTGGACTTTTCATAGTTCACCATCGCCGCGAAAAGAAGGCCCGGGAGCGAGACGCCATGGGTTCGGATTATGATCCTCGGGGAGGAAGTGGCTCCATCTCAGCACCGAGCAAAGGAGCCTTTACGTCCTATGATAGCAAGCCCTCTGTATCAATGATAAGCGACTACGAGCTTAAGGCCCAGAGGGCATACACAAACAACGCTAATTACTACGACCTTCTCGAAAAGGAGATGGCGGCACGACGGGCAAACTATAACATAGATACACGACAACTTCCTACTCACCCTGCCTACATTCCCGGAAATACGAGCCGGGGTCCTTCTAGAACAGCTTCCCCAGCGCCTCCAGCAGCTGTGAAGTATCACGCACCAGACTCATACGTCATGCAGCAGTATCTGAACGCGGTCGAAGACGTTGTTTCGATACATCTCCCACCACCGCCGCCGTCATCACACCCCCCATCTCGAACCTCAAACAGGTCGCCCTCTCCAGCGGATTCAGCAACGACGAGACTTCTAAAAAATCCTCAACCCGTGGCGCAAGTTCCCCTTCCCCTCCCCCAGCTCGTCACAATAAGGTTCCGTCGCTGTCTATGCCCACGGTACCACATATTAGGGTGCCAAAGAAGTACTCTCCGCCGGTGATAGCGATACAGGGCGCGACGCCAGTCGACACACAAGAGAAGCGGACTGGCGGCGATACGCAGATATCGATGCCGTTGACAATACACGAACGGCGGTTTCAGGATCGCGGGTTGTATATCACGTCCTCCACCGATATCCTTGAGCAGCAAGTCGCACCGCCGCCGCGGTTAGGAGAGGATCTGAACGTAAGGACAGGGAATAGTTCTTTCTACGGTTAAACCCGTATTGTGTACGATTTATGTATGGGTGCATACATCTGCATAGATACCCAAGGGATTTTTGGTAATATTAGGGATGGCGTTCTGGATGCTTCGCTTGGGACGAGGTATAGAAAACTGGAATGGCATAGCATTCATTGAATGGGAAACGAACGGGAGACGATGCATATAATTACATGGCGCATACAGAAGCCATCCTACAGTTACTAGACGTAACAAGCTGTTTATCGCGTTGGTAATCGGACCTGGATAGCGTGGAATAATGTACATAGACTAGTCACGTATTATAAGACAAATGAAAGGAACAAAGCTTCTTAATGAGACGATGATTGGGATATTACTTTATATTAACTCATTCTTAGGCACAAACTGCTACTGGACAATTTGAATTCGTAGCCTTTAACCCAGACGTCGTCCAGGTCCCTGAGTCCGCCACGAATCTGGCAGAGGACCAGTCCTTCCTCCACCGGTAGAGGGGGAAACCGACTGCCCGTAAACAGTATTCTGGACACGAGGTGTGCTCATGATCCACGAAAGGAATCGCGGCGTGGGAATTAGATTTGGACCATGTCCAAACTCGGGATATATCCGAGTGAGAAAGTCGTGGAGATGAGCGGCGACTAGGCCAGTCAATCCAATCTTCAAATTCTCCCAGCCGTTCGGGAAAAGAAGCTGTACGATCAGAAGGCAATAAGGCATAAGCTGCGCGGGAATAGTGATAACGTAGAAGTGTGCGTTCATCCCTCGCTGATCCTGTGTCGCCGTGTAGCATAATGCGATAAGTAGCGCTTGTAGTAACATGAAGCCACCTGTGAAGAGCGCATTCAAAGGCTAATGCGCTAGTTAGCAAACTACTCCTGTCTCGAAGCAACGTCAAGATTGTAGGAACTAGGGCTAAGTATGTAGGGCGCTTAAAACCACCCAAGCAAATGTGTCCGAAGACATTACTTGAGTCATCCAATTAGACATCCCACCATGCCCACACTCCGGACTGACCCTAAATGAGGTATGCGAATGACGGGCCAGCCACAGTGCAGGGGTGATCTTCCTCATCTTCAGGAACCGTCATAGCTGTAGAAGAAATTCACTATGCGGGCAGATACGTGAGGTGTTGAAAGTGTAGAGTGTAGGGGTAGATATATAAAAATTTTAGTGAAAGAGATGATCCATTCTTAGTAGGTGATGGGTTACGGACGGCAAAGAGATAACCTACCAGTAATGCTAGCGATGAAGAAGAGGTACCATATCATGTCCTCCTTCTTTGAAAACTTCGAGTTACCCGTCTCGAGCTGGCTCAGATATGTGAAAACGAAGTAGGTATCAAACAACACAGCCATCCCAGATCCTGTTAAAAGGAAACTCGTTATGATTAGATATAGAGTGGGTGGGAATCGGATGAGCCGCGAATAGTGGAATATGAAGGGCTCGATATTTAGCATGCCTGTGTAGACTCCTACAGAACAGAGGAACACCGCCGTCGCGATCGACCTATTAAGATACTGTTAGGTTTGTAAAGCTATCAAAGCAGAAGCGAGATTGCAACTTACCTGGCGATCGGAGGGGTGCTCATATAGACACTAACCATGTCCGCCATGATTGCGGTATTTTAGAGTTAGGTATTTAGTCAACTGCTTCAGGTGTGAAAATGTTTACGAGGTGTTGGCAGAAATAGAGGTGTTCTTTAGTTCCTATTGCAATCAAGAAATAGAAAGCAGCAAAGACACGTATGCTTTCAACACGACTACAAGAGCCTCAAGGTGGCAATGACGAAGATGGTGGCACGGCACACGGGGAGGTAGACAGCGCTGCCGTTCGCATGGTTGGCCAATTGGAAATCTACCTCGGTCGGAAGAGGAATGACAGGAATAGAAGGTGAAAGAAAGAAGATTTTCTGTTCCGTGTCAAATTTGAGCGAGAAAAAATACTTAGCTCGATACCTTATGTAAGCTTCAGTCTACCTCTAGCCTCCGTGCCCCACCTGATTAGTCCGTAGAGGCACGTGATGCGGCTAGTAGCATAGGTACATGTAGTGTGTCTTAGAAGTTGGGAAGAGCTAGAAAAGAATCGTTGAGTATAATTGGCTAGAACAATAGAATAACTACCTAGGTACCTAACTTATATTTCGTACCGATTTTTGGTTTGACCTTCAACAATATTCTGATCAATTTTAATGACGATTATCTTACTAGGCCTAGTCGATAGATTTGGAGAATAGTTTCGCAATATAACTATATTATAAGCAGGTACCTAAGTATGATCTATTGACAACAACCGTGTTTCTCAATATAAGCAATGCTCACTGCTAAAACCAATAGTAACACTCAACCACAAGTGCAATCATCCATTATGGCTCTGTAGGTTTCAGATACGATCATTCGCAAGACAAAATTTTCTTTATTTATATTTGGGACACGGCCAAAGAGTAATCCATCAAACTTACAGAACTTAGACACCCTAAGCTCCTCCCGAGTTTAATTTATTATTTTGACGGCCAAAGCAAAATGCTCCCGTTAGAGGTGCTTCGAGCATATTAACAACCTAAGCTACGTGGTATGTATAATCAGGTAGTTAGGTATCTTTAAAGTAGATAAATTAGCAAGTTCGTAATAGACTTTCCTCGAAAAGACCTCTATCGCCTTACGGAGAAATATCATTTATGTTTGCCAACAAGCTCTAAGCTTCCAAGAATATAAATATAACCACAAATCAACCTTTCAAAGCATTCATTCGATCATTTTACGTGTTTTGGTCAAGTCAATTCGCCATAATCACGATGCGCTTCTCCATCCTAGCTTTCGCTGTTGCCGTTCTTGGGCAGGATGTCCAGCCTTTGGACACTTGGACACTCTACAACAGCACTATTGCATGCGACCTTGAAACCTGCCAATACAGCTTCTTTATGCATAAACACGGATCGGGAGAGACGGTTCAATGTTACCTCAACATGCCAGAGACTCCTAGTTCGATGACTCTCTTCGTTGACCAGATCTGTCAGCCGGATCCCCTTCACACACTTACTCTGAGTTGGGCACCCGACCGCTCAGTTATACTATGCATCGCAGATATCCGCGAACGCGCGAACGCATTCTATGGACTCGAGAGATGGGAGGTTGCCGATAACAGGATCGCCCCCAATAAAACGGAATTCGCGTGGCGGGCTGGTGAAGTTCCGCTTCCAAGCACTACCTTCATACGCCCAATCCCGACATCGCAGGAGTAATATCTCATGGGTACCTCGGAACCAGCCCCAGAATGCACCGTTACGATCATATCGACTCTACTGCAACGACCACTCTATCAGGACAAGATTAATACCTTGCTTGGAACGCACTCGATCGGAACACTGGGACTCATATGTTAAAAATGATAAATGTTAAAGCGTGTTGTGTTTGGAAAAGGGGGTCGAAAAGGGGGAGATGCATTAGCGATATCTACCTCCTATGTACGATATATTGTGATAGCGAAATACCCTGCATGTTAGACTTGCAGATGACACATACTTTAGGTACCTACTTGATGTTTGATGTCTGCCGTTAAAGTTTACATTAGGAATTGTTATGGAGGCTTCATGAGTTGAATATGATTTAAAAGATATGAAATAGAATGTCCCCTCCTTTAGTGGTATGAATAGGAAGGTGTTGGTAAAGGGTCAATTCGTGATATTCAAAAGCAAACTTGAAGGTGAAATCCGAGGCACATTGTCGGTGTTCTTGAGGAGAGTTATGAGAGACGATTACTTCAAATAGTTAGTCTCTTTTTTCTTCTTAATTTAGTCGTATCTTCTCGTTCGAACGATAACATGGATCATGATAGGCTGAAATTACGCCTCAATCCTTTACCGGTGGGGTACCGAATATATATATATCCCTGGGCCCCCGAATGTCTAACATGTTTTATCCATCGCTCTTCTGTTTTCGCTTACAGTGTCGCGCGATTCTTACAAATCTTCTTCTTTCGCTAGTAACACTTTTCTGTGTTATCCTCTAGAAAAAATAACAAGATATCTCCGAATCATTCTACTCCTGATCAACGTATTTTCTCGAAAAAAGGGGTAAAAATGTCGGGTCACGTGTCTGACGTTCGCGGCTCTACGGAGATCACCGTAGAGCCTGGTTTACAACAACGGTTGGTGATGGCTCCTGATACTGATGTGAGCATTGTTACTGACGCGAGCTTGATTGCTCCGTTTAAAGAGGCAGAAAAATGTTCTCAAGCCCCCAGTGAGAAGAATGATCAGCCATCTTCGGTCCCCAGTTGTCCGACGATTGATGACGACGGTCACGTAGCCACTGAAGACGAAGTGCGCAATCTCCTCAACGTCGTCGACCAAATTCCCACCAGGCTTTGGGTGGCCTGCCTCGCCGGTATCCTTGAACGCTTTGTATGGTACGGGGCAACTGCTCCTTTACGTGAGTGATTAATCTAATATAAAGTATAAGACGTATAGTTTGCTAACTATTCTTAGAGAACTACCTTCAGAACCCTCCTGGCGGCGAAGTCCCTGGGGCTCTCGGTCTAGGACAGGCATCCGCATCTAATATTGTGAATGCGCTAATTATCGGGTCTTACATTACCCCTGTTCCTGCTGCTGCTGTTGTTGTAGTTGGCTTGGTCGTTACAAGACCATGCTCTACGCTGCTATGTATTGTGGAATTCCTATTTTAGTCCTCTCCATTCCTCCCTCCATGCAGTTTATTCTGGCCAAGAATTTAAGCTAACAAGGTGCTAGCATTGAATCTATCGGGGCAACAATTCTATTCGCGACTTCACTGCCTGTTGCTATTAACGGAGGAGTTGCTCTCGGTGGCGTAATCCCCGCATGTATACTGCTGGCTGTAGGATCAGGGGCGTTCAAAACCACCGTGGTCCCGTTTATTGGTGAGTAGGAGCATCCGAACCTTGTAGGAACGTTTCACTAATCTTTTATAGCCGACCAGTATGAGCAAACCGAACCTCGGATCTATACCAAGAAGACGGGTGAGAAGGTTGTTACCAGTAGAGAGTTGACCATTACGTATATCTACAATACGTTCTACTGGTTCGTGGAATGTACTTGTCCTTTCAACTAAGGGGTTCTAATAGGATATATAGGGCCGTGAATGTGGTAGGTTTCTTTGCTGATTCCACACCATTGTTAGAAAAATATGTTGGTTTTTGGGTCGCCTACTTGATTCCTTGCTGTTGCATGTGGCTAGCCCTGATTCCGATTCTTCTCGGTCGCAATTACTTTGGTCAGTTTTGATAACTAGTACATCATAATGGTTGATTAGCTGACATCCATCCAGTTCGGGAATCTCCAACAGGTAACATCATGCCAGATGTAGTTTCTGCCTTGCGCTATGGCATAACCGGAGGCTTTCAAATGGATGCTGCAAAGCCAGACGTCCAGCTCCAACATGGTCGTCAAGTCACATGGACTGACTCTTTTATCGAGGATATTAAGCGAAGCCTTTTAACCTGCCGAGTATTGTACGTATGGACTTTTCCAAACCCTCTGCTTCTTCACCTAATATTAGTATAACAGACTCCTTTTCCCTATTCACTGGCTCTGTTATAATCAGACATTCAACAATTTGATCTCTCAGGCTGGGCAAATGGTCACCTACGGCATCCCAAATGACATGATAAAAATTGCTGGGGCCATTTCCGGTATCGTCGTCGCGCCCATAATACAGAAAGGGTTATATCCTTTCCTTACAAAGAAGCAGATCTCGTTTAGTCCGATTGCACGTATGTCAGTTGGATTCGCTGTTCTGACCCTTTCTATGGTCTACGCAACCATAGTTCAAAAGCTTGTCTATCAAGCAGGGCCGTGCTATGATACACCGCTAGCGTGCCCGGCTGCGCTTAATCGCACCGTACCTAACCAGATTTCGGTCTTTCTTCAAATCCCCATCTATTTCGGAGGCGCGTTGGCGGAAGTCTTGTGCCTGACCACGGGTACCGAGTATGCCTATAACCATGCCCCTAAGAGGATGAAGACGCTGGTCCAGTCTATTTGGCTCGCTATGGCCGGGCTTGGATCATGCTTAGCCCTTGCATTTACGCCGCTGACCATGGATCCTCACTTGGTCACGATGTATGCTATCTTGTCCGGACTTTTGGGTGGGGCAACAATCCTGCTATGGGTGCTCTTTCGGAACGTGGATAAGGTTAAGGACGAAAGTGAGTGATGGAATCATTGGAAACATTAGTCACACGTTCGACATGTGGGAAGAAATAGTGCGGAGGGGGCCTAAGAATGAGATAGGGGCTTGTGCATGTTCCTTAAGTAATTATGTTGGTAGGGGTTTAGTACGGAATAAACAAATACTTGACAGATTGCTTTAGAAAGAAATAGGGACTAAAAGCTATAGAATTCGTTTGATTTAATTCCTAGGATATGAAGTATCCATATTTCCTTCGTTATTGAAGCTTATCTACCTACTCATGTACTCTGGGCATAAGACCCTTCTCTTCTTTCGTGGTGTAGTTTAAACCCCCCTGGACACCCTCTTTGAAAGAGGCCTTCCGGGTCGTACTTCTTGCTGACCTCCACAAGATACCCCTTATTGTGTCCACCGTAAGATCCAATAGGGTCCTGGTCGACGAATGCATAATTCATATATACATAAGGCACCAATTTACCTTTGTCAGATGCCTCCACCTTGATCTTTTCGAGCGCACCTTTCATCATCTCTAAAACCCTCCTATCATCTTCGGCATCTTGCCAATATGAAAGTAGTAAAACTGATACGAGAGGACCATCAGCTGCATTCAAACCAAGGGAATTACCCCCGTGCTGAGCAGACTTTTCTAGTAGCGAGGTAGGATATGGCTGGAGAGTGAAAGAGCACCTTAACCCTTCTACTAGCTTAATAGGCTCGAGTGCTTTCTTGTATATTTCGGAAGCGGCTATCAAGGTAGCAGCATCACTTTTTAAGGTGATGTTCAATATACACAGCTATTTTACTATGAGCCTTGGAAAATATATAGCGAGTAATGAATTAGGGGGTGGCCAAACTCACCGTGTTCCTATTGAGATACCTGCAGCTTGATCCGCGGCAGCTTCCTTTAGTGTCAGCATCCTCATAGAGCTAAGTTGATCAATCCGCGGTTGTACTGATGTGAATACCTCAAGTTCTGGCGGGTTTTCTACTGCTTGAGTGTAGTAAACTGTATTAAGTCCTACTGCTTCTTTGCTAAATGCTCCTGAATATCCGATACTGACCATGAGATGCGTTTCATGGGAGGGACTTGGTTGGTTGAGCTCCTTTACCAATTTTTCGATCTGATCAGGGACGCCCGGGAGAAAGTAAAAGGTGTTACCGCCCCAAATAGGTCCTTGGGGGAAAGTCCTGAAATCGTAACGTGTAACAATACCAAAGTTGTTACCACCACCTCGCAAGGCTTTCCACAAGTCGGAATATTGCTTGGCATTGGCATTGATGATTTCCCCTGAAGCCAATACAACCTCATAGTTGACGATATTGTCAGATATAAATCCTTCTCGGGATGAGAAGAAAGAAAGACCGCCTATAAATATTTAGCTTCAACTCTAGAATGTCAAATTCATAGATGTCTCCTACCTTGAAGCGCAAGCCCACCAATTCCACAATTATTCGCTCGACCACCAGCTACGCCAAGGCCCGAGCCGTCAAGCTTATCATAGACGGTGCCCCAGCGCTCACCAGCCCCAATTTGCACTAGGCCCTCGTCTAGCTTGATTTCTATCCCTGTAAGAAGGCCTAGGTCAACGGTGATGCCATCTTGGATATTGGCACAGCCGGGCGCTGGTTGTTGGCCACCCCCACGAATGGCAAATTTGGTGTCTTCTTTCAAGGCAAAAGGCTGGATTGCCCTCACAAATGCAGCCACTTCTTGTTTAGATCGAGGCTGAAATATGCAAGCTGGCTTAAGATCGCTTTCTAGCTGAGAAAGATACGAAGAGTTCAAGTTTTCGTACTCTGCCGTACCCCGAAGAGAGAATTGGCCGTCTGGGATAGTGTGCCTTAACGCGTCGATAGCCCGTGATGAATCCATTCTGGCTGATCTTGCAATGCTACGAGATATCTGTAGTCTATCCTTTTATAGGCATCTAAGAAATAAGGAAATGGTGTTGTCCTAGATTAGAGGAGAAGAATGAGTGGGCGGGGCCCTGCGGCACATCTATGACTGCCAAGGCGTAGATCCATCCTCCAGGCTTAACTTGATGTTGTATACTAGGTACCTGCAGGAGTTTGAATCAGGTTAAGAGAGAAAATGTAATGCTTTCTAACAAAGAACTAGTCGTAAACGCTATTGTAAACAATATTCATCCTGGTGATAGTCTATATAAGCTGAAAATTTATATAGTCATATTACAATAGAAGTCCCTAACCCAATCTGCTTTTAGTAGATAAGTAGAATATGATACTAAAATGTTAAAATTGTCAGAAGCAGAGCCTAAAGCTATTCAATATCTCAAAGAATATGATTTCTAAACAGAAAATTAACTCCCTGTATTTCATTTGTTAAGTAGTGCCCTTAGTAACCGGGTATAATGCACCATCGGCTTTCTTAGTAGCTTAGGTAGTCAGATAGATCACTGTTAAAATGTTCTAATTAGAAGTCATTGTGCTATACCTTAACCAGGTAGTATAGCTTAGTAAAACTAAGTCAATAATAGTACAGCATCATTACTAGTTAACATACCTAGGTATCTAGATAGTATTACCATCAAACCCCCTCAGCCCATAGAGATTGTAAGGCAACAGTTTAAGACAACAGTTTGAGAAGGCTAAAAGGGATTTATCCATGTTTTATTTAATACTGTAACAACTGGATACTTGAAACTGAGAAGGCTTCTCCTCATATCCTCCTCAAACTAATAAGCCAATGAGATAAATTACTTACGGTATAAACCGATCGTGAGATAAGAGTGCTCGAAGTGCTGTGTCTTCCATTGATATATCTAGCGTAAAGTATCCGAACAATTGCTATGGTATTTAAGTCGTATTATACGACTCTAAATACAAAGACTAATAGGAACGATATCAGAGATACCCCTTGATGGTTGTCATACGTAGAGTGAATGTTAGAAGCAGCAGCTTCGCTGCTGTATAGTAGCCGTGTAGTAGTATGAATCTATTAACGCTTAACCTTCTACTCTCTTTTAAGGGCGCGTAACGCCCCTTATATATCTATCCTATGTATATCTATGCTTAATTCATACTAGTATTACTTATACCCTGACAAACGGTTTGGTATGTTTAACCTTATAACCGTATTTGTTGGCTCATTGGAGATACTCGTTATGTTTTCTTTCTTGGTAGCGGTTTAAACCGAATATTAAATCACCATCCTCTATAACCATCATTGCAGTTCACTTGTGCATCATGGCCACTGTTACTTTATTATCCTTGTTTCCCGACAAGTCTGAGCTTAGAAATAGGTGGCAGACATTCACACAAATAATCACAAGTGATACTACCCCTATTGTAAAGAGCACTGGAGATTTACAAGACAAAGAAGTAGACAATTTAATACAATTGAAGTTCTTAGACTTAGGGGGGGATATAGTGTCAATATAGGGAGGATGGGGAATAACATACATATGCATTATCTGAAAGTTGCCCTGAGAAGTTGCCGTTGTTATTAATAGACTCAAGCTGCCTTAAGCCTCCTTAAGTTATTATTTTAACTTAAGCCAAGCGCAAGTTTCTAGCATAACCTACCTGGTTCATTATTCTTGGCTATACCGACTGAAGTTATTAAATTTTTTTTTAAAAAAAACCAGGAATATAAGTGTATAAAGATTTGGGAGGTTCTAGGTTACACGGCCAGCCCTCCCATTTCATACAAGATAAGTCAGGTACTTAACACTCTTAACACCAGTCAATATACCCTAGGTACCTATTTCCCCCCGAATTGCGGCCTTTGCCAACAATTCTTATAATAAAATATCATTTTTATAATGTTTTAGATTTAATTCACAACTAGAGTCTTAAGGAGTATTAAGGGGAAAGTTGGTAAGGTGCTTGGCAATTTGATAGGACAGCGGGGGAGGGGCGAGTTGCAATTATGAGAGTGCTTCTTGTGCTCTTACATCGTCAGCTTTCATTTGATCAAATATTCTCACTTCTTCAAGATGAACAAGCTACCACTCGAACTTCACGATCGCATCGTTCAATTCTTAGGCAGAAGGATAGGTGAAGAATTCCTACCACCTTGGGAACACGGCACTCTTCCCTTTGCGCTGCCAGCCATCGCGGCTGTGTCGCGAAACTTTCAACAGGCCGTCGAGCGACTCACCTTCCGCAATCTGAAAGTGTCTACCAGCCCCTCAGATCTAGATGTTTTCCGTCGCACCTTGACGCCACAGCGTCAGCGTAACATACGGCGTCTCACCGTCCACCTCTGGATTGACCATCCGTTGTCGCACACAAATAGCCCTTACCAACCCAGGAGATTCGCAACGAGTGAGGAACGGAGGGTTATCAATGAAACAACGACGACCCAGTTAAAAGAGTTGTTCAATATCCTCGCAGCATGGCGTTTACAAGAACCATCTTTGACTCTAGAGGTCACTGGCCCGCTGCTGTCTTACAAAACAGAAGATGCTTTGCGTGGACCTTACCTCAGATTCTCCATGCTCGACGTCTTAGGCGACATGGTAGATTTTCCGCCCTTACCCATAGTTAAACAGTTGTATGTGTACTCCATGTCGTGTCACCTGCACCCTCACTTGGCTGTATCTTTGACAGCTAAGATGCCAAACGTATCTCACGTAGATTGGGATCTATCGACTTGTCACACTATCAGCTGGGGTTTATATCACTACATGTCCCGGATCTGGCGAGACGGCCTTGTTCAGAGCATCGAATCAACAACCTTACCGCCGTCAGTCGAGAAGTTTACCTTTAAGATGTTTGTGCCAGGAACTGGTAGATTCCAGATCTTGCCAAATTTCATCGGGTCTACTTCTTCGGATTCCGTCAGTCTTGCCCTCCGCAAGCTAACGAAGGATTGCGCAGAGGTTTACATCGATGGCTCCATCCACGCCTCGCTCTTCGACCCTTTGGCCGGTCCGGGTACCGCTCCGCAAGAAGCGGCGCTGGCCTGGGAGAAAGTCACACGGCTGGAAGTGAGGGTAAGCATGTGCGGTCCGGATGGGAAGTGGCTTTTCAAGATCGATCCAAATGACGAGACTCCTGGGAACCCTCCTGAAGACCTCGATTTCGACTGTCTACCTCCGGGCTACGGGACCACCGAGTCGGAGTTGGACGACGCTGAGGAGTACTACGACGATCATCGGGAGGATATCGCGCCCGAGACGATGGACGAAAACAATTGGGACGGCGAGTTCTTCCGCACCAAAGCCGACGACGGGCCGATGAACGCGCTGCTGGTGGCCTTCGCGCGGGGGTGCAGGCGCGGGAACATGCCTGCCCTGCGCACCGCCATCCTCCAGTGCGAGTTCTTCAACACCGATAACTGGCCCTTCCAGGTCACCTACTTCGCCGCGGGCGCGACGGCCCCGATTGGGTGGGACGCCGAGTTCGCGGGCGGAGACCACGACGCCTGGCGCGTCTTCTTCCACGTCGGCAACTGGCGGCCCGCCGAGGAGACGCTGAAGGAATTCCGCCGGATAAGGCGCGAGCTTGACGGCCGCGACACCGTCGTGTGCTTCTTGCCTTGGGGGGACTTTCTTGATTGATCAGGTAGTCTAAATCAAGTGGTTATATACTGATTCGGGACTCTATCGACGGCGGTAGTGGTAACTGATGAGCCCACCCCCTCACCACCCGGATGCACTGGGTGGATTAATATCGATGGAAGGTGGACCGGGGTCTTCTTCGTACTCCCCGGCCGTAACAATTTCGACAGATGACGATATACGGGGAACTCGGATATAAAACTAAAGGTGAATGTTAGAATGGGAATTATCGAGCTTCTGGGATTAGAGGCTATCGGCTGCTGTGAAGTCCTTATAAAAGGGGCCTGTTCAGAAGGCCAGGGGGACAGGGGATGGAGTATCAGACACTGAGGTTCAAGGAAAGAAAAGGGGGTACGAGGTCGCAGAGGGTTCAATGTTACTACGTAAGAAAAGTCCTTCTCATGTGTGCCAAAGGATGGGTCAGCAGGTAAATCAAAAAGTGCCAGAATCCACAGCATCACGAGAGTTGGATCACGCAAATCAAACATTATATGGTCATTACAATTAGCAATAAATATCCCATGAACTTGCCACTTAAAACTCATTCAGAAGTAGCTACTTGTTTTGGGGGTTCTTGATTCTATGCCATCCTTATTATATTAAAATTCTATAACCATACTCACGTCACGTACTTGGAAAGGGGCATGTTAACCTATCGATCTAAAGTCCTTAAGTCATCTATGTAACTAGACAGTTCTCACTCATTTCCTCTAACTACATTATATTGGGAGGTAGTTATGACATTTCATATTTACCTCCCTTGATTCGGAGAAAACTTATACTTCGCTAATCCCGTTCTGATGTTCTCCCTGAGCAGTCATGATCCAGGGCTAAGCCTCCTATGAGTAACGATTGATCAGGCCCAAGTAAAGGGGTGATAGATAGTGTGAAAGGTAGGGGGCCGGCAAAGGCAGATTTCGGGTGATACAACACTAAGAGTAAGACAGGTAAATTACCTATCTAAGAATTTAAAGTGATCGAATATTCTTGTATATATCTGAGTCAAAAGTGCGTATTCTATTAAGTTATGAACTCAGTATAGTTAATAGGTCTAGTAAATAGGTCTAGTATAGAAAGTAGTATACTAATTTCTAATAGTTATATTAATGGCTGAAAAGGTTGTTCTCGTCTTGCTATAGCTCCTACCCCTATATTATCCGGTTGAGATTCTTGTTATATTCCTCTACCAAGAATTATGGGAAATACAGAAGTCATATATCAGAAGCATATACATCAAAAGCATGAAAGTAATAGGGTTAAAAGATGTGAGTACCTAGTAGGAGATATCAATAAATACCTATATAGTTGCTTTATTTTCTTCTCTTGATGTACATAGGTAGGTAACTACCTGCTATATTGTTGAAACCACACAATTATTCAAGCTTGTACTTATTGTCTCTCTAAGGTAGTTTTCCTCTCTTGCTTATAAGACATTCCGTCCTCTTAAATACGTTGCTACAAAGCATACTACTGGTAGCATTGTCGGTACCTCATGGAGGTATCTACCTAATGTATGCCCCGCGTTCCAACTGTCACCAAGTTGCCATACATCGCCGACTTCATGAATACTTCGTTCACAGCTCTCCCTGCCTAAAAATCGTAGATACAGGCTCTCTAATTAGGTACTTACCCTAGGTGGGTACCTACCCTTCAAGTATTCTGTTTGCTATAATATAAGTCGTAACAGCAGTACTTGTGGGTTAGTAGCAGGTACTTGTTTGTAATTTAGGCAGTCGTCGTTTCCGAAGGCAGTCGCGAATTCCTCTCGAGTTTCTGCCACTACAGTAACGAGGCCATTCAGATCTTTATTGGATTTTTCGCCGACAAGAGCAAAAAGTCATCTTCCTTTTCCTTCTACAACTCGCAATAAACGTCAAATTCTACTCATCGCAGAAGTACGATCTCCTATCTTCAGCAATCCATCGCTTACAACGTCTACATTTGAAGCAATAAGAAGTTAGTGACCAAGCTGAATTGGTCATACACAAAGATGCCTGAAGGTAAGTTCCCCCCTAAACTACCTAAAATTCCCTTTCTACTAGCTACAAACCCTATATATTATGTACTTTCTTGTAAAATATGATCAATACTAGGGATATAAATCTATTAACACATGTTTAGTAGTAGCAGATCCCCTTATTTCGTCGCCGACCAGCGATCCGACCGGTGGAGTTCCCGACAGCGAGCTCTCTTAGCAAGAGAAAGCTCGAAGGAAGGGACGAACCCCCCTGCCCACCCTCTCTGCAGAGAGGCTTGCAGAACTCGGACACTTTAACGAAACGGAAGTAGGGGGAGATGATAACGCCGACAAGGTGTCCACACGCCGCCCAGGACAACCCACGCTCAAAGTCACCAAGCGCCGAGAACTTCCCTATCTACCCTGTGATGTTTGCGGAAAGCTCCTCAAAGGACCGACCATTCTCAAATGTCACAAGCGAACAATTCATATCGGCACTCGTTGTTATTGGGGAGAGTGCAGTCAGACATTCACCACTACCGAAGATCTAATCGAGCATTTAAAAGAGCACCAAGCTGCAGCATCAACAGGCGACAAGCCTGGCGAGTTAATCTGCCACTGGCCCGGCTGTACTCATACTCTTTCATACATCCACGAGCTATACCGCCATATTCGAATTCACAACGGTGAAATGCACGAAATGCACGAGAGTAACTAGTCGAAGAATATTCAAGCCTGCTTTTGTGAAATTGATATAGAGGTAGCAACTGCCATATTGATGGCTCTTTTTAGGGCCTTTTCTCGAACTTTTGCATGTAACCATCGGAGGTGTGGTTTTCTGTCTTTCCTCAGTTAGGAATATGACTTCAAATGTGCTATAACTCCGTTTTTACGTTGTTTTAGGCCACTGCTATAATAAAGACTCTCATGGCATGTATCCGCAGAGGATAATGAACAAATTCACGGTGACTAAATCAAAGGGGAAGGTATAATAACTGCCTCCTTAGAGACTTAACTAGCCTGATAGTGTTTACTATAACGTTACATAACCTAGGAAGTGTACTCTTGATGGTTACTTTTGCCTCTTATTGTAAATCAACCTGTCAATACCTAGGTAGGTATTTAATCCATTAGACTGATCAGGTGTGTATCTGAGTCCAAGATTCTTGTCATAACCCTTTTCCTAATTCTCAGCTGCTCTTTCATGTGATTTTAGGAGAAGAAGCTCATCTTTCAACATGGCCATATCCTTTCTTATTAACTCTGCCGTTGACGTATGATGTCTTATTTCCGCCTAAATCCAATGGAATCTTGCCGTTATTGTTCTTCGCTAATATATCCGCGCCGTTACTAAGAAGCAACTTCACACATGCAAAATGTCCCCTTTGAGCAGCTAGGTGTAGCGGTGTTTGCCCATCACGATCATAACTATCGATAGTAACTCTTGCTTCTATTAGAGCCTGGATAACTCTAAAGGAGCCTTCTTCAGCCGCATAATGCAGAGCTGTCCTTTGCTTCTCAAAGTAGCTGCCTTGTATGTCGAATCCTGCTTTGATAAGTCGCACGGTGGAATCAACTAACCCTGCTCGAATAGATCGTATTACTGCCCCCTTTTCCATTTGTGCTCCGCAACTTAAAAGTAGAAGTGCGTTTTCATCGTCTGCTTGGGATATAGCTGTTATGAGGGCCTTGTCAAGCCCTGTCAGACCTATTCCCCTGTCAAGGAGTAGCTTTATAACGTTGGTCCGGCTTCGAACTACAGCATGAAAGAGAAACTTCTCCCCCTGTTCAGTTGGGGCACCATTTTCAATAAGGAAAGTCGCAATATCAATATGATCTAATTTGCAGGCTTCAAGTAGTGCTGGGCGTCCAATTCCTAGCTCTCGTATGAGTTGAGCATTATGATGGACAAGTAACTCTAGGCTGCTTTTATGTCCGTTAGAAATGGCCATTATTATAGCCCTCCCTTCTATTTCGGATCCGCCGTGCTCCTTCTTGAGAAGGAGAGAGAGCATACTAGTATCGTCTGCTTTTGCTGCCAAAACCAAAGGTTCTATCTCTTTTCTAGAAAGTAATTGCTTCATTGGATTCATAGTGCATGAAAGGATGAGTTCCACGATGGCTACATTGCCATTCACGATGGCGTATTCTAAAGCGTTGCTCCAAGCTTTAGCATTATCGACTAGATCCCCATGATTGGAATATTTGGGTCTTTCGATATCCAGATGGTGAACATCATATAGGTATTGTATAACATCAAACCAGCAATTGGCGCAAGCAAGCCATATGGGATGAAATGGTCGAGAAATAATCTTGGCATTTTCCCAAGATAATATTTTTGCAGATAGCAGACCAGAATCTGGTCCCTTAGATTGCAATATTTCACACCAGAGAACAAAAGTAGGAGTGATCAATAGGAAGTGCGGATCTATGAGAAACTCCTTTATAAGCCTCGATAATGGCTCTGACTTCTGAAGATCGGAACTATTGCGGGCATGGAATACCCAGAAATGCGCGGTATAAATAATAGGCTCTGATTGAAGACCTGAAGTGAGGTCATCAACGAATTGAGATATAGAACGTTTTCGTGATTCGTATTCTGCGCGAGTACCTTCAGTATATCCAACTTCTAGATATCCCGGAGAAGATTTCTTTATCTCATTATTGATAGTTTCAGCGATGATGCCTGGGGCTTGGAGCAGTTGTTTCGTGAGATAGCGAAGGCAAGCAACTGAAATAAAACTGTTACTCTGGACGGAGAGAAATATCTCTATGTCGCGCTTCGAAATACCCTCGAAAAACTCCCTCACCGATAAATGAGCGAATTCAAAACTTTCTCCCCGGATAACGATGAGATTTGAACAGACATCGGTAACCTCGGCCCCGCCGAAATTATTACTCATTTCGGACGACAGGGCGGAAGACGCAATAGACGCGAAGGCTTCAATAGAGAGAGACTTTTTGGCATACATGAGCCATTGGAATGTGAAATTCGCAAGTGCTGCAGCGTGGTCCCCTGACTCTAAGATACTCTGATAGATTTCCCAATAGGAGCCTTCTAGAGTAGAGGGAAGAGCACCGAGACGAGCTTTGATATCTGCTGCCACTTTCAATGGGCGAAGGGATTGAATTTGAAGATCTACCCATCGAAACCTGGATAGTAAGCCTATTAATACAAAGTTTTAAATTATCGGAGGGACAACACGATAACTTACATTCCCCGAGCACCTCTAATTAATGTGTCGATTATCTCATCTCGAAGAAAATCAGGCAAGTTATTTCGTAACAGCCTTGCCGAAGCTAATTGATCCTTACTATTACAATGGTGTTAGTTTTTTATATTTTCACCGTAAGCAAATTTTTAGAAGTGAGACTTACATGAATGCCGAGATGTCTCCAGCGTTATCATCAGCATCGATATACACGTTAGGTGATCCTTCTAAGTGAAGCGCAATATCGTAGTTATCTCGGCTGGAAACAAATATTTTGAGCAGATTCGGCGATTCTTGGAGGATCTGACTGAACGCATCCATTAACTCCTGACGATCCTGTAATTCGACTTCGTCTAGGGCATCAATAACTATTGTCACTGTCGGATAATGATCCATAAGTGCTAACAACATTCTTATAGACTCCTCGGTATCCCAATGCTGATCTTCAAACCCTTCGAACCCGGTAATGGCATCTTCATAATGTTCTACTATAGGCGGAAGAATTGGGTTGTTGATCCCCTGGCAGGCTAATTGACGTACGAGACTAGCTAGGATCTTGCTGCATTGAGCTCGAAAAGGCTCGGCTGGGTTTCGCATACAGTAAAAATATGCAATATTATCGCAAGTTTCCAGTTCATCGATTACAATAGATGCTAACTTGGTCTTTCCACAGCCTGGTATTCCGCTATATAAAATATGTTATTAGTAATTCAAGTATGTAATAGATTTTCCTGAGCTGCTGAAACTGAGTTAAGGGGCTAAAAGGAATAAAATAATGTCTATTAAATATAACCCCTGAAAGAGGGGTTGAGGTTAAATAAGAAATCATCAAAAGCTTACTGTAACCATAGAATTGAAGATGCACTTTCTTCACGCCAGATTTTATATTCCTTTTTCTTGAACAACCACTGTCCAGAATCTTTTAATCGACCCCGTCTAACCGTTTTATGATGTGCTCCGTATGGGATAGTGGAAATGGCTTTTAGAATCTGCACTCTTATATCCCGCTCGAGATTATCGTTAATTATTTGAATGTGGTAGTCAATCCTCTTGATTGGCTCTTCAAATTTTCGTAGCTCAGTAGAAAATGAACTGATGTCACTATTTTGAGCTATCTGCACTGCTGTCACATTCTGAAGACTTTTAAGGATGGCCTGTGACTTCTCAGACTCGGCAAGCTCAAGGAGATCCCAAAGTTCCTTCTTTGCCGTTATTATAGTGGAATGCTTTGCTTCAAGATCAGCCTTGGAAACGACTATGCTCTTCATGAACCGAATCACCCAGTTTTTCCCATAATAGTGAAGTATCGAGGAGAGATATTTTAGAATAGAGACGTAAAGCGACACGACAGACTTAGAGAGCTGCTCAAAAACCTCCATCCTAAAGGAATTTCAATTAGTACAAGCTGATATTCAGAGATGAACTCGATACTAGGATTCTTAATTATTACAATAGAATTATATCGTACGTACCTAGAATGCTCCGGCTGCAGAAAGTGACGTTCAATGATACTGCAGCTAGCAATCAGATTGGTTACACTTTCAATAGATTGCAACACATATCCGAATGTTTCCACGTCGTTCACGGTAGCTTTCATGATCAACCTCACAGCTGCCCACGGAAGTGCAGCACTGACGGGATCATATTGAATAGCGATATCACCAAACATCTATGAAATACTTCAGCGTTAAATATTTGAAATAATAGCATGGTTTTATAACTACTATGTAAAATCTTACCAAAAACTTGTCGACCCATACAGCAATCTTCTCAAGCACATCGCGTAAGATAATCGTACGGCCTTTGAGAGTGACTTTCCATCTTTTCTTAATACACTCATCTTTCTTTTCATTCGTTGCTTTAAGGACGTCGGTTAGGGTTGCTAATGGTTCTTGCTTGGATAAATCATCTAATTCAAAGTGATAGCCTTCCTGTTTCCTTAGCTGTTCGATAGCTAGAGTCCAAGTATGGTGATAGAGCTTGGGGTTGCTATCTTTTGCTAGAGGTTCGATAGTTTTGCTGGTGTCGGTCATTTTAGCGTGATGAATAACTGTGAGTTTCTTTTAGAAATTATTGGGAGTTTAACTGCGAGTTACCATTTCCCCACGGTAGCGTCATACGCATCCTGGCTGTTTTAGTTAGCTGCTTTTATAGATGTAGCCTGTTCTTATACACGTGACTATAATACTTTTGTGTAAGAAGTAGTAGGCTGACTGAAAAATAACAGTAAATACGTGAGTTATATCCGAATAGTTTACTATGAAGGGGATAGCTTAAGGTTATAACACTACGTGAGATATGCTTAACCTAGAGGGATATAAGTAACCTAAGAACGGTCCGTAGCCAGCTGAAATCACCTGTTCGGCACGTGGCAGCACCCCTCAGCGGCTCATACCGTTCGGCAGATAAAAAACCGCTAAAATATGAGTCAAAATCGATCCGCTTTCTTAATTCAATTGCCCTATAAGAGTTCATCGTGAGAAACTCGATCCGTAGTTCTTTTATTTGGGCACGGTCGAATGTTTCCCATGGCTCTTCAAAGTTCGTTGTGTCGGGTTTCTAGCCAATTGCGTCAATTAACCACCAAAGTCCCGGGTGCTCGTTTCTACTCGGCTCCTGTCAGTGGAAGCATTCCTGCTGCAAAGAGAAAATATGTTCCAACTAGCGGTACTTATCCGCAAGGATTCAAGGTTTCGGGAACGATAGTTGGTGTTAAGCCAAAAAATACAACCAAACCTGACCTTGCTTTCATCACCTCGAGCACACCATGTGCTGCAGCGGCCGTCTTCACCAAGAATAAGTTCCAAGCTGCACCGGTAACTTTCAGTCGGTCGCTGCTTCAGGAGCAGAAAAATTCTGGGATTAGAGGTGTTATTATCAATTCGGGATGTGCAAATGCTGTAACTGGAAAGGGTGGCCTTGAAGATGCTGAAAAGATGGCGAGAGAGGCCGATAAGGCACAGGGAGCTGACAAGGCAACAATCGTGATGAGTACTGGCGTGATTGGCCAAAGGTAATTATACTATACAGCCTATATCATATTCTTAAGTGTCTTTTATTCTGATTGATTTCTAGGTTACCGATTCAGAAAATCTTGGACGGGATTCCCAAAGCCTACGAAGGGCTTGGGGATACCCATAAACACTGGCTGACATATGCCACAGCTATCTGTACAACAGATACATTCCCTAAATTGATCTCGAAAACTTTCAGTCTACCGTCTTCGCCATCAATAGAGTATCGTATTGCCGGAACGACTAAAGGCGCTGGGATGATTCACCCAAACATGGCAACGCTCTTAGGTGTCATCGCTACTGATGCCCCTATTTCACCCTCTATCATCCCGCCCGTTCTTAAGTATGCTGTAGATCGGTCTTTTAACAGTATCACAATTGACGGAGACACATCCACCAATGACACGGTTGCTTTACTGGCAAACGGTGCTGCAGGAGGTCAGGGGGTAACTACGGAAGATTCGGCCGATTTTGTCGCATTCCGGGATGTTGTTACTGACTTCGCGACTGACTTGGCCAAGCTCGTCGTGCGGGATGGTGAAGGTGCTACCAAATTCGTTACCATCCGAGTAACCGAGTCTTCAAGCGAAGAAGGTGCCCGAAAGATCGCCAGCACCATCGCACGATCACCTCTTGTCAAGACAGCGCTCTACGGCAAAGACGCTAATTGGGGCCGAATCCTTTGCGCTACTGGCTACTCACTAATCAGCGAGCCTGGACACGCCGTCAATGACGTGGCAGAAATAATACCCGAGAAGACTAATGTGTCTTTCGTCCCCACGGACGGGAGCCCGGAGTTGAAGCTCCTCGTCAACGGTGAGCCGGAAATTGTCGATGAGACCCGGGCGGCGGAGATTCTCGAGTTTGAAGACCTCGAGATCCTTGTGAGATTGGGAACCGGTAAGAAGGAGGCTACTTACTGGACCTGCGATTATAGTCATGAGTACATGTAAGTGAGATACAAACCGTTTTTGAAATATGCATACTGATGATTTCCAATTAGCACTATCAATGGGGATTACCGTACCTAACCGGTGGGTATTTATGATATGATGAAGAAGGATTTTATTTGGGCAAGAAGACTTCTTGTGTTTTCGCCATGACAGATCTTTCTATGGGTATCTCTTAGACTTAAATTTATTCAAAACAAATAATTTAGGACCCTGAATTGACGTACAGTCAAGAAGATATGAAATATGAATCAATGATATTGACACCTCGTTATATGTCTAAATACCATAGACAAATATTTCCCCTCGTATTATTGCACAAGACATAGGTAGGTACCTAGGTATATATATATATTGCCCCACCAAAATCACCTTGAGAAGCTTGGGCCATTTTAAAGCTTAGACGCGTCTCGATTTGCAAATACGCGTAAATTGATTTTGTATCCCGCTAAATTCCCACCGGCGTCTTTCCGCAATTACATCCGCTCTAACATAACACAGCAACGTAACAATGCCAGCAGCAAAAGCAGAAGAGAGAGGCGAGTCTTCGACCTCGGCCGCTAAGAAGGCTTTGACTGGTGCTTCCAACGGGAATACTACCTACGAGCTGCCATGGTACGTCACTTTTTTGCCAGTCTATTTACTACTAACTAGACATGCGTTAACCCACATTCTACAGGGTAGAAAAATATAGACCTGTTTTCCTTGACGATGTAGTGGGAAATACAGAGACGATCGAACGGCTTAAGATTATTGCGAAAGATGGAAATATGCCCCATGTTATCATATCTGGAACGCCCGGTATTGGAAAGACGACGAGCGTATTATGTCTGGCCCGCCAACTGCTCGGAGACTCCTACAAGGAGGCAGTGTTAGAACTTAATGCGAGTGATGAGCGAGGTTTGTCCATCTTGCCGTTCACCCAAGACCAAAAGGAGCTTGGTAACACTAACTACCACCATTAACCAGGTATCGACGTGGTTCGAAACCGAATCAAAGGCTTTGCCCAGAAGAAAGTCACGCTACCAGCAGGCCGACACAAGATCGTAATCCTCGACGAAGCTGACAGCATGACCTCGGGTGCCCAACAAGCGCTACGGCGTACGATGGAGATCTATTCCAATACGACGCGATTCGCATTTGCGTGTAACATGTCGAACAAGATTATCGAACCGCTACAGTCTCGATGTGCGATCTTACGATACGGGCGATTAACGGACGCACAGGTAGTTAAGCGGTTGCTGCAAGTTATCGAAGCGGAGAAAGTACAGTATAGCGACGATGGGCTAGCAGCGCTCGTGTTCAGCGCTGAGGGTGATATGCGACAGGCCATCAACAATTTACAGAGCACACACGCTGGTTTCGGCTTCGTCAGCGGTGACAACGTATTCAAGGTCGTTGATAGCCCCCATCCTATAAAAGTCCAGGCCATGCTTAAGGCTTGCTATGAGGGCAACGTGGATAGCGCCCTGGACACTCTCCGAGAGCTGTGGGACCTGGGATACTCCAGCCATGATATCATATCTACCATGTTCAAGGTTACCAAGACCATACCCACCCTCAGCGAACACTCCAAGCTGGAGTTTATCCGTGAGATCGGCTTTACTCACATGAAGATCCTCGAGGGCGTCCAGACCTTACTACAGCTGAGTGGGTGTGTCGCTCGGCTATGCAAGATTAATATGGACCCGAAGCGTTTTGAGACTAAAGCAAAATAAGAATATACCATATTACTTTATAAAGGAAGGTAGAGAGATGTGTATGTGAAAGAAGATTGGCGAAACGGCTCGAGGTATTTGCATGGCATTGCACTGGCGTTTACGAGGTCACGATTCCCTGATTTCTTTCAGAAAGCTAGTTGGTACAGGAGTGTCGAAAAAAAATTTACAAGACATATCTACATACTGTTAACACAGATGTATGGCCTAATAGCACAGAGTACAAGCTTTGCTACTACTAATTTACTCGATATTATAATAAATATCGTTGATATCTCACTTCTTATTCTGCTGAGAGGAAGCTCCTTCATCCTCCAATTCCATCAGCTCCTTCTCGTAGTCGACCCAGATGGCACGGTTCTGAGCTATCCTTCGCTGCATGCGTATGCGCTGCTCGTACTGCCTCATGCGATAGTCGGCTTCGATCATGCTGCCGACGATCATACCGGACATTTGGAGATATCTAGTCTGACTCAGTTCTTTTTTCTTATTCTACTTATTTGTCTAATGATATCATCTAAGGGTATCAATCAATTGGGGCCCTCGGACTCACACTTTGAACTGGACGGTGAGTCCGCGATATAATGGTGAGAAAACATAGCCGATACCGCCTAGAACGGCAGATGCAGCGCCCCATTTCACGGCCCCGACGGCAGCACCGCGCGCGGCTTCCCATTGCGCTTCCTTTGCATCGTCGCTTTCTAGGGCTTTGTGGGCGCGCATTGTCGCGATGTCATCGCGGGTGTCCTTCCCCGCGGCGAAATCACTCCACGACGCAGTTTTCACCCAAGAGAAAGTAATTTTTCGTCCCTCTCTTATTAGAGCTGTTGAATTGAGTTACCCCCCAGTCTCGTGTTAATGAATCCCAAAGGAGGTAGCGTTGGTATGTCGTGTGATGAGATATGAACCTAACTGAAGATGTATCTATCATGTATTTCGAATATTGAATTGAACGAGTCGTCGATATTTCTTTGAATGAGCTTATTTAGCGGGGTCTAGACTGACGGCTGAGGTATGATTTGCTGAAGTTAAGCTGCAAGATGCCGGCGGGGTAGTGGGTTCTGTTAAAGAGCTATTGGCGTCATTATTTTACTAGCATTTGATAGAGCTAACCTAGACAATATACATATCATGGGCAACTAAGTCATAACTACTATACTTCGTTTATTAGTTCCCGAGAAGTGGAAACGGTTTTTTTATTAATTATGATCTAGAGCTCTAGTTAAGATGTCTCCGGAAAATCCTCTCCGCAACGACGTCTTACATATAATCCCTTCGATCGAGCTCTATTAACGTCATAGTACGTAGATAGATTTCAGAAGCTTTCGAAGTTTCCAATGCAACGTTAACGGACAGCGCTCTCTAAGCTCCCTGTACTGATCGATCTATCATGCTAGCTTGGTATTGGAATGAAGCTTACCTCTTCCATGGACACATGAGTTGGTGTAAGTGACGACTTATATAAATAATGATATCTTTAGACTGTAAATCTTGACCTCACGAGTTTTTAAGCCGCAGTATGTATTAAATAGGATCACAATGGACGAGAATATTGGATCTCTATTCTCAATTCTTTTCTGCTAAAGAATGCTCAAACTGCAATCGTTACCAAGTAGAACCTGGCGATCTAGTCTTCGACGTCATCATTCGTGCTGTGCCAAAACTCCATCGCCATTAATATCCGCCACAGCTTATCCAGCACAGTATTCACAATATTCTCATATGAAATCCTCACCATTGTTAAAAGCACATTTTCACTCCACGCAGAAGAACATGGGACAGACGAGATCAGAAACAGAAACCGGGGCTGAGACGGGAACGGTCCGGGATAGCACCGAGGACTGGAAGTCGAAGCCGCCATACCGCACTACGCCCGGTAACGAGCATTTCGACAAGAAATGGACGGCTCACTGCCACTGCGGGCGCGTCAAGTACTGGCTGTCCCGTGACAAGCCTCTCGCCGTCAAATTCTGCCATTGTATCGACTGCCAGGCCCTACACGGAGCTCCCTTCCAATGGGCTGCCATCTTCGAGAAACAAGATATGCACTTCGAGAAGGGCGCCGAGGGCCTCGCTTTCTACCATTCTCCAGACAAGTCGACGGTCCACCGTCTGCCGTGCAAAGTGTCCTGTGCGTACTGCCATTCACCTATTATGGACGAGGGCCGGAAAATGGTGCTCTTGTTCCCCGGCATTATTAAGTTTAGCGACGCTGAGCATAAGAAGTTATTCGATCCACAGTAAGTATTACTCTATAAAGAAATATCATCATAGATGTGATATTAACCAGTATTACTCTAGATGCCACATCTTCTACAGCCAACGCGTAGTAGACGTACATGACGGAAAGCCTAAATGGTCAAAATTGGATAAACAAAGCGAGCTCATAAAGGAGGTCGAGAGAACGGACTCTAGCGAGCACACTGTACTAGGCGAGGCTAGAAATGAAAACAAGGACGACTAAATTATCCAAGGGTATCTCGTGCATGCGTATTATATGGTGGCCATATACCTCTATCCTACCTACTTACTTGCTTATAATCATAATGGCCTTTATATATTCTTTTCTCATGACATTAAGTCTTCCAATATCGCCTCGAGCTCTTCCTTCTGGAAAGGGACGCTTAGCAGCTCGGTACCTAGAACATCCTTACGACTTGTAATCATCTGGTGGTCGTGGAATCTAAAGTGAACGTGTTAGAATAATACCAGTTGCAATATCAAAATCGGTGTAATACAAACTTACTCTTTCAGCAGTGTTCGAAAAGCCATCTCCGAACTGCATATAAATTCTTCCACCGCCTTGTTATACACCATCCTATATTCCACGCCGGGGTTCTCCCCGTCAGGTCCACCCTCATCATCCATAATCGCCAGAACTTCCCCAACAAGTAGTCGGAACAAGTTCTTGGCGTTCTCCGGTAGACTACGAAGAACATACGTCACGCCTTCCTTTCCACCAACGCGCCTAGCCTTTCGGCCTAGGAGCTCATGCACATCGTCGACAACTTCAAGCTCTGCCGTAAAGGGTGCAAACGTCGTGCAATCGTGGAACACAAAATTGAACGATGACCGCAAGCTACTGTCCCAGAGAGAGAAGTCCGACGTGTCGGCAGAGCAGATGAGCCGAATATTCGGGTGTGCTGCTAATTGGGCGAGGACGGGCTGTAGTCCAACCCTTCGTAGAGGAACAGCATCAACAGAGTTCAAGATCACTGTGACAACCACCTCGTGAGAGGAAAGTAAAGCTTTCACACTATCTAGCATAGCTGAAGGGTTTCCAGATGGTTTTTGTGGGCGGGGTTCACAGCGCTCGCGACGGTGCCCAGGATTTCTCGCAGAGAACTCGTCCGTACATATCCGTTGATAATAACAATCTTATTAGCAACATGGTCTGAATACTTGTCATATACGTGCTTCGCGAATCTATGCAGAAGCGCTCTCTTCGACCCATACCGTATAGACACACACTAAACCCCTGAGACAACTCGAATGTCCACTGCGGGAAAGACTCGACGTGTATTGATTCGAGGAACTCTATATCTTCGGCATGCGGGTCCCGGTAGTCGCGGAGGATTGAGAAGTATTCGTCATGGGTTAGAAGTTTTAAGGATGCTAGGGTGTTACCGGACGTCTTCGAGGAGCCAGGTTTATTTTGCGCAAAATAGAGCTCGTGAGGGGGTAAGTCTCGGGGCGGAGTTGGTGATTTCTTCCTGGCTCTCTTCGTATGCTTTGTCTTCGGTCGACCACGTCGAGGTTTTCCAGATGGGGTTGCAGGTTCATCAGGAGGTTTTTTCGTCTTCCTCTTCGTCTTCTTCTTCCTCATCACTTGACTCGTAGATTTCTCTGGCAATATCTTCGTCCGCATCCTCATCACTCCCATCTCCACCTATCACCTGTTCGATTAATGCTCTAGCACTCTTCTTTCTCGCAGAGCGATCGTTCCGTTTCCACCTTGGAGTCTGCGCATTGGCACTACCATTTGTCCTTGAGGGTGTTACTACGTCGGCTTCGCTTTTCTTTCGACCTTTTGGGTGGACAGTCCGACGTTCGTTTCAGCCCGTTTCCTTTTGCTCGGTGTCTCTTTTATAGGCTGGCCTATTTCATCTTCGTCCGAAGGAAAATCATAAGCGGAATGGTAGCCATCTGCAGTACCGCTGGAACGTGTTTTGGATTTCATCTGAGTGCTACGCCGTTTGGACGGGGTACCTAGATTTTGGTCTTCATCCTCGCGGTGATCCTCGTGGTGAACTCGTTTCCGAGGTGAACTCCTAGAGCCAGAGCCGGGTTCTGCAGCTCCGGGCTGCGGTTTCTTGGCTCGTACCATTATAAATTACCTACGACAGGAAATGCATCTTAACTAAGGGAATTACGATAAATATATCAAAACTCTTGAGAGTGTTGCAGAAGATACAATTGAAGGATTGAGAATCTAGAAAAGAAACGGAGATGATTTCAACTTCTATCACTAATCGATCGCGACAGACGCGTCAATGCTACTTCCTTACTGTGGGGCTCTGGCATTAGACCCTGGAAAGGCAGGGGCTAATTTAATACACTATTTGGGCAGTTTCCCAGGGCGTCGGGCCGTTGCAGGGGGGTGGCCGGAGGAAACTTCGATAAGCTCGATTAGAGCCGCAATATTACATAATACCGAACCGGACTAAATTTACCAGGATTTTGTCAAAAATGACCATAGCTACCCGGGTATTGCATTGGTACCTACCAGAATAAAACTCGGAGATTTCGGAGACGTTTGATTTATACCTACCTTATTAGTAACTTCCTCTTTATAAAGGCCGACACAATTCACCACTTACAGGAATCGCTGTCCTATCCACAGTTAATATGAATCTCAACTTATCTGGAACTGTCAACGTCTTTAAGCTCCTAACAAAACCCTCATTATGTCTTCCTCACGCAACAGCCTCTACATTCAATGATATACCAACACCTCTCAATAAAGCGTTTGAAGGTCGAGGCAAGAAAGTAGATATCAGGGCCGTAATACTCGACAAAGATGATTGCTTCGCTTATCCAAATTCCAATGAAATATACCCTGCTTATTTGGTGAGCAAATGCCGAAAGTCAACCATTATTTACATTTCGTTTCGTCCGTGACAGCCGTTGATTTCGCTATAGAAAAGATTCCAGAAACTTCAAGAAGAATACCCCGGTCATCGTCTTCTCATAGTTTCCAATACAGCCGGTGCGACTACTTATGACCATGATGGACGCCTGGCAAAGGAGCTCGAGGCCGCTACTGGAGTTTCTGTACTAGCTCATAAAGTAAAAAAGCCTGGCTGCAGCGACGAAATACTAGCCCACTTCAAAGCCCACCCTGAGGCTGGCGTAACGCATCCAAGCCAAATCGCTGTTATTGGAGATCGTCTAATGACTGATATTATGTTGGCCAATATGATGGGCAGCTGGGGTCTATGGATAAAGGATGGCGTTAAACCATTAGAAAAGAAGAGCATAGTACGTTACTCGGATTCGGCATGATACTTAAACTTATCTACTAACTACAGACAGTTCTCTAAATTTGAGCAGCGTCTTGGACCATATTTAATGGCACGTGGTTACCGCGCCTCTGATCCCCAATCTCCATTCGAGTAATCTCTCTATATATTATATCAACTCTCAGCTTAGATGGTTCTAGTCACAGGACTAACGGCGGCTTTTCTCCCTAAATTAGGTAACTACTTTCAAGTAATTATAATTTCCCAAGCTTATATAGGAGCAAATCTACCCTTCACAAAGCATGTAGGTATATTAGGCTCCTTAGTTAATCTCTCTGTATCATTTGATATATTAAGGTGTTGATAACTTGTTAAGAGAGATTTGCATCGGTATTTATATTCATAACTATATGCTTTGTGGACTTTGTTTGAAGTACATCGAGCTACGGTTTATATTTACTTCTATATGTTATAGTTTCTCTCTTTTGAGGGCATTCAGAGTAGAGCGTTAAGTATTAATCATCCTCTCTTTGAATATTTGTCGTGTCACGATGTATACCTATATCACCAGTATAGATCTATGATAAAGTCAGCTTTGTTGTCCACCATTTGTAATTTGTAGGTTCGTAAAGCATTCTCCTCTTACATGGAGGAACAATAAAAGCATCCCATACCTATGTATCTTGAATATATCCCTTAGCGTGAATACAGATTATCTAGATCCTTTTAGGCATTACTATCCCCACGCAGAAACGTGACAAGGCCGTAGGGATCTAAGGCATATTCGTATTTGTACATATGATCGTGTCATTAGGACAGCACGTAGGCAAGCCTACCAAAACGAGACGATTTTGGAAACCCCTAATCAATTTAAACATGCCTTGATATCCTATATGACTCGTTAACTACCTAATCTATATACATAAGAAACACAAGCGCCTCGGTTGCACGATGTTTGTCTTTGTTAGTAAGAGTTTAGTTATTTTGCTAGCTGAAAATAGTGAATATCATGGGGTCCACGCAAGGATAATACCGATATTAGTGCCTAAGATATCAAGGAGTACTTTCGTCTGAACCGGTCCACTGTAAGTTATCACGCATACTATGCAGTTTGACCCCCTCCCCCCCTCCCCCCCTATTTACGTCTAAGCATGCACTACCTAGTTTGTATTCAACTTTTAGCGCCTCATCAGCCAGTAGCAGTTGGGATAATATGATTATGAGATACGTTCATTGCTCCACCGTTAAGACGTTAATATGCAACCACCTATACGTTTTACTATGCTTAGTCATTCGCTCCTGCCTGTTGTAAGTTTGCGGCAGATCAGGCACAGCAATGAGTTGTATCGTGATAATATTGGATGGTTTACCCACTGAGCGCACTCCAAGATGCACAACACAGCCTAATTCACCATAGTCCCTGCAAAAGTAGCCTACAGTGGCTTCTAATCGTAATACTTTGCATTAAGCCTTCTGACTCAACACCTTTTTACATGCATTGACCAATTGCTGTCTAGTGACACCAATGAACCAGCTGCATTTGCCATTGCACTGTAGAAGGTAATCATCTGCACACCTCGCTGTCAACCACGCAGGTAAGTACCTTACAGACTGTATCATTCCTTAAATCTTTTCCCACATTTTCTAAGGTGCTGCCATTTCTATATAACCAACCTCATTCCAATACCAAATTCACCTTTCTGTATCTGACTTCCTCCCCTTATCCACAACTAACCTCTTAGTTTTCACGGCCAACAAGAAGCTATTAACACCATCGCGATACATCACCTCTTTATCGGCATCTTTATTTCATCATGACCGGCAAATTCTGGTCTCCTGCAGAGGAGAAGTACTTCTGGAAGACTGTCGTCGCCCACTCTGTTAAACGTGCCCCTGTCGATCTTTCCAACAACGAGAAAACGTGGGAAGAGCTTGCAGTCGACATGCAGAAGGCAATGGAGCACCAAGGCACCGCTCGCCGATGGTACACTGGCTCTGTGTTGTGTAAGGATGCTTACTGAATTAATTAGTGGTTACAATGAAAAATGCTAACAGAGTTCTACCTAGTTGAGCATTACTTCCAGAATGTCGAGGGAGACAGAAGATCTCCAAATGCTACAGCATACGTCGTTGACTACATGAAAAAGCTCGGTATGTCTTTTGTTCTTCTTGACCCTTCTTGATCCTTTTTGGGCTACACTAACGGGATTTCTCAAGGACCATTCCGTCGCATTATCAATCCTCGTTCCGGTCCTCGTGGTGGTCGCCCTCGCCGCAGGGGGGTGGCTATGGCCGAGCCCCAGGAAATCCAGGCACCGCCTCCGAGTCCAGACGGTTTCACGGTTACCCCCCTAGAAGAAGACGATGTCTTCTCGCCGGAATATGCAGCACGTCAAGCTCTTCAGTCTCGTCAGTCTCGCCAGTCCAGCCAGTCTAGCCAATCTCAAGAGTCCCGATGTTCTAGTCGTCTTCCGAAACGTCGGCGCTTGCAGCCACTTGCCCCGGCTCCCCACCCTCCATCAGTACAAGAGCCTTCATTTGATATTGTCTCCAACAATCTTCATCAGCCCACTTGGAGTTACCAAATGGACAGGCAATCTGTTAAAGAAGAGTCTGTGCCTGAATCATCCTCATCACGGTTTGATGCCCTTCTCGCCGCTGCCCAGTTGATGGATACGGCAGACTATTCGACTGGGGGTAACTCGGCGCAAGACCACTTTACAATGCAACCATCTTATCCCTCACTGTCATTCCAGCCCCAGGATATTTCTGGCTATAGAATGGAGAATCAGACTGCTGATAATATGTCGTCTTCCGAATTCGCTTATAGTGGTATCGCTACCCAGGGCTTTATCCAGAATACCTCCAGCATCACTCCAGCTTTCCAGGAAGAGTGTACATTAGGAAATTGGGCCGGGCGACCCTCTATTCCGCGTTTATCATCCACCTCATCCCTATCTACTATATGCGGCCCTTCCGCTCACGAATATATACCAACCGGTGAAACAACTGAAGAAGAACTGTCTACTGAAGACGAGGGAGAGAACAAAGAAAATGAGGGTGGCACAAATCATGAGGATATTGAAATGCCGGGCTTTAGGTTGACACGAGGCAACCCAATTCAGCAAGACTTCATCATCTATGAAGACGGCCGGATTGTCCAGGGCTTGCAACTCCATAGAGTTCACCAGGTATATGGAAACTTTGACACCTATGATGCTAACAAAGAGAATGAAGGTATTCAAGGAGCATATGATGCGAGTAGCTTTGGCCTAGCGGGAGGTGCTGGTGGTGTCCCCAGTGGAGTCTTTGACACTACTGAGGGACTATACTCCGGATTTATCCCTTCCTTTCCCAACTGGTAAGCTCATGCATGGACTACATGTGGTGTGGAGCATGGTGGAAATGGTGGTGGTGGTGGTGGTGGTGGTGGTGGCCTTGTTGAATCATTCTAAAGAGGATGGCGCTGCTTTAATTGTATGAAAAGTTGAGAATGCCCTCAACTGCGAATTGTTTATATGTGGCGTCAAGCCGTGGGAAACCACGACAAGGACTGCTTTTGCAGATGGGATAATACTTTCATTATCCCAGCTTTTGTAATGCCTTAAGTCTATGGAAACCTAGACTAATAATATGTTCTGTGTTTTCCGTTAAACTCTTAAGTTGAATGATTAATGATTATTGAGGATTGAGATAATAAGCCCTGGAGTTCATATGTACCCCTTTACTCCTGTAAGTCTGTTCTATCTTGTTTATCGTTTATCGATAACGGCAGAACGGGTATTTATGCATTTACCCTATGCCAATTAGGTTTAGAGGCGCACGGACTTCTCCCCCCTTTTCTTCCAAAACATATAGCATCAACTGACAGCGCCAGCTCAAAAGGAGTGGAGCTACAGCCCTACGATAAAACAAATACTGGGTGTGTTAAAGCTATTTTCACGGGAGATTATGACTATCGGGTTTGAAATACCAGTATTTGGTGCGAATGCTGCTTTCAAAGCCATCGAGTTAGGGGCATCACGCATTGAGCTTAATACTTCAGGATCGTACTCAGATGGAGGCTTGACACCATCACTTGAGGAACTAAAAGGTTCTTCACACGTCAGAGTTCCACTCCGCGTTATGATCAGGCCCCGTGGTCCTCCGTCAAAACCCAAAGCCCGTGACTTCATCTACTCCGACGAGGAGTTTGAGCAAATGGAGACTTCTATACAAAGATTCAAAGATGCAGGCTTATTAGATGAGGGACGTGGTGACGGCTTTGTTTTTGGAATCTTGAAAGAGTCCCAGGGTGCTTCTGAGCCTGGTACTGGCAGGAGGAAATGCTGGGTTGATAAAGAGAGATGCAACCGTCTAGTTAAAGCCGCTCGTCCGTTCAAAGCCGTGTTTCACCGCGCATTCGACGAAATAGTCAGCTGTGATGATACTGGGATAGCTATCGACGATCGATATGCTTGGCGGGCAGGGTTGGACGATCTAGGGGCGTGTGGCTTTGACGCTATACTCACATCCGGCGGGCTCGGAAATGCTATCCAGAACCTAGCTATGCTGGACAGAATCATCACAAGAGCGGAAGTATTAGGAATCGAGATTATTATTGGCGGTGGGGTTCGAAAACACAATATTCAACAGCTGTCTCAGCAGTTAAAGCTAAAAGAAAGGGGGTCATCAACATATGTCCATTCGGCATGTCTTTCTAACACTGTATCTGAGGACGTCGATGTTGACGAGGTTATTGGTATCTTATCACACTTGGGATAGAATCTATGTCTTTATACCTTTAAATGGAATTTTATAGATATGTTTCCTTGAATATTCCACTTAATCATAGGTAAGTGAATGGATACATAGAACCTTTTCTTTTTGCTTTAGAAAGTCAAAGTCTTAACAAGTAGTTACAAAATGAATTCCATGCTTTGATTTATAGTCTTTCCATAAGTTCAAATTTCCGTATAAATTCAGAAAGCATAGTCGTGTATAATATGTTTCCAATCCCATATTCGTTCAATCTTGTTTTTAAACAGAGCTGCTATCCCGCAAGGCCTTCGTTATAAGTTTAGACTTTGAAGCGATGACCCCAGCCAGTTCTAGGAGCGGAACGTCCTTTAATATCTCAGGGATGGGTATCAAACTCTGAAACTCTCTGAGTGCCCAATTTCTAAGTTCGAATGCGACAAAATCATCCGCTTCGTACGCTTGGATCGACTGGTTGCTGTTGATATCCTCAGGATCCATCGTCAAATTCTTCGCAAGTTTGACAATCAAAGCCGAACATACAATACCTTTTACGTCATTGAGACTGGTCGCTGCCCTTATCATCCTTTCGAGGTTTGTAGCGGCCCTTTCCTTTTCACGGTTATCCGAGTTAAAGGGGATCTGTGCCTGGGTGCCGTACACACTAAGCGGTCCAAATCTAGTATCTGAGAACCAATAAGGATGTTCATCGCCATTAGCCTTTATCGAACCACCGCTAAGGAGGCCAATAGCTGGCTGTATTCCAACCTGATCTGCTATGGCGGCTCCTACTACTGCGATGAATTGGTTCACTGTCAATTTTCGTAAACCGGTACGTAATAACTCGGGCACCTTCATATTCTCAGCAGCGTATCCCACGTCGTCTACCCAACCAAGATCGATACTGGTTGCCTTTAACCCTTGGGCTCGACGGTAATATGCCATGGCATCCTGGTAATTACAGCCTTCCACTTATTAGCATATTAAGAATATTAATAATATCGGTGTTGTGAGCTAACCTGCATTATAGTTGCTGTGAAGTACCAAGCCAATAAGACCCCCTCCCGCTGATACGCATATGAAGAAGTCGAGATCGTCAGGTAGCATATGATGCATATTGAACGTAACGTTATATTTAGATTGTAGCGTTACTGACCATGCATCGAATCCCATATCTTCAAACATCTCGGCCTAAACCATGTTAGAAATAGATATTAATCAGATTATTCAAAACTTACCTGGAGGGCCATTGACATAATAACGACTCCGCGTACTGGTGGGAACTTCTCTTTAGATAGGTCGTTAAGCACATCTTGACATTGTTCTGCATAGCCAACATCAGCCGCAAATACTTTCACCCTCACGCCCATGATGGAGAGCTCCTGGAGTAGCTTTTGTGCTCGAGGATCTTTCGCACCAGATCGAGATGTGGTTACTATATTTCGCGCCCCATTTTTAGCCATCCACATGATCAATGGCCGGCCGAGTCCACCCATCCCGCCTGGAATGATATAAGTAGCATTAGGGCGTAGCTGGAGTCCAGTCAGTTCAGTAGGGTTTTCTTGGAACTCTTCCGTAGCTAGAATCCTGCTTAGAGCCTCGTCAGGAAAAAAGCGTGAAACATAAAGTGCGCCATTTCTCTTAACGAAGTAAGTATCACCGTTGGGTTGCTCTCTTTGGATGCGGAGCAGCTGTAAAATAGTATCGGTAACATCTGATTGTCCGCATGGAACGTCCGGGTCAAGGTCTAAAGTCGTAAACCTCACCTCTGGAGCTTCGAACCTGATTGTCTGCGCTAATCCCACAACCATGTTGAGCTCGGGTACACGTACGTCAGTAAAACTCCCGCCCTTAGTTAACCAGAGAACACCCTCGGAGTGGAGCGCTATGCGCTTAATAGCATCGAACTCTTCATTGCCGAGTGAACTTAAGCATGGCCTCTCGACTTCGCAGGAAACTATGCACTGCGTCGCGCTTAAGTCCAAAGTTTTAACGCCGATAAGGGTCATCTTCTCAATAGACACTCCATTTTTTACTAGTTGATCCGAGAGCTGTTTGATCATCGACTTCGTCTGACTGTTTTCTGTAGGGGATGTTATAATTACAGCCTTCCCTGGAAACTTATTCCCGGTGATGTAGGGAATGCTAGATGCCATTATAGATGAGGAATAACCAGCATTCTGTTGGTCGCGAAAGCACCACTCAACGCCTAAGTAGCCCAGAGAGCGGAGTCTCAGGTCCCATTCACGTTCGGAAAGCTCTGGACCCCAGTTCCGCCCATCATTCTCACCTAATACAATTAGTATGTGCACCATTTGAAGAAACATCACAGATAAATCTTACCTAGCCACCAAGTAGGGAGAGTCCCAAACACGACAGAGCGTCTCGCAATCTTGTTTGTCAAATCGGTGACGATGAGATGTCCGCCCCTATTATCTTAGCATTAGAGCGTAATAGAGAAGTCAAATATAGCTACCTACGGTTTTAGTAACTTCTTGCTGTTCGTAAGAGCTGCTGTGATAGATGATGTTGTATGTAGAACCTGGAAGGAGACAACAAGGTCATACGATTCTCCTTCTATATTTTGCTCCAACGGGTCTTTCTCAATATCTAAGACCTTATATTCCATCATTGGGCTCCATTCCTTAAGATTCTCGTTGGCTTCCGGAAAGAAAGCGTCGCTCGCGTCGGTATACGTGTATTTTTGCAGTCGGCTCATAGCATCATGCCCTAAGCCAGATAAGATGCTACTCGTAATGCTTGTTGTTCCCGCTCCGATCTCAAGAATACGAAGTGGCCTCTTGTGTGACAGATGTTTGATGTATTGGCACTGGACCGCTACTGCTTGTTTATATGAGATACCAGTCCGGTATATATTCCTTGGGAGGTCATCTAGGTTTATCACGTCTGATACTTGAACCTTGCCCTCAAGGATGCCACAAATATTGTCGTTAATGCGAAGTAGTATCTCTCCTTCGAGACTTGCTTTGGCAATACGGGCCAACACCCTTTTTTCCGTGCTCTCATTTGCTAATATCCATTCGGGTGACTGACAAGGTAAATCTCCTTCTTCGGCCAATTCACACTGCCTCCTAGCGTAATGATAGTACATCTGGTGGTGGAGCGCCATCTTCTCAACATCCGTAGCGCTGAATTGTTGGACAACCTTCTTACATATAACATAGGCGGCCCACTCGAGTTCCCGAATATCTGAGTATTTGGTCTGGAGACCATCATAGCAGACTTTCCTCAGCAATTCTTGTACCGCATCTGCTGAGTTCTCTACATCTATGCCCCATGTCGGATGAGACCCTGATTTCTCTAAGGCGTTTATCTGAGCTCCGTTGTCTAATTGAGGGGCTTCGATCCTCGCGATACGAGACATCGCGTCGTAGTTGAAGGGGACAGTCTATACGCTAACGAAAATCAAACAACTATCTAGGTACCTAGGTAGTCAGTTAGTAGCTTTGGGGGAATGGTTGCTTAAGGAGGGCTTCGCAGTTTATATACAACGCCGTACAGAATTCAGACGTGTATTATCCGAAAATTGATTACCTCGCATCTACCTATGCTTATCAATAAGTTATGAGGCGCATATCATGACGTGTTGGCGTATACTCCAACAACTATTCTGATCATAAATGAGACCTCAGCTGCGTTGCAATCGCTTCCCCCCTATATGTACCTTCAAGTGAATCAAACTTCGCGTATATTTCACGAACCTTGCTTATATATAAACACCTACTAGGTACTTAATTACTTCCTAAAGGGCTTCTATACATGTAGATCACTTATCATTTCAGCTCCAAAAAAGCAATAACTACAAGGAGCCTGTTTATCATCAAGAATAACTACGACCTGCCATTAGATTAGGGGGAGGGGGGCTTGAATAGCTACCTACCATCGAAGCCCAAAGTGGCAATAGCCGAGACAGTCCTACAGCCTACCTACAAAGTATCAGTTTCTTACCTCATAACTACATAAAATTATAATACATATATCTATAAAATATCCTATAAGTTAATTACCGTTATAGCTGTGCCATCTTGAAAACGGTTAATAGAGTTTCAAATTATAGTATTCATGAATAAGAAAGCACGAGTATATACCTAAGGTATAGAGAATTTGCATTCTAAAATTTCTAACATTAGATACCTACTTCTTAAACAACTATCATTAATTAAGCTAGAGAATAAAACGTCCACTGACACCGTATAATTAATACAGGAATACCAATATAGATGACTAATGAAGATAATTGCCTCGGGATATACATGTAGTATTACGTTCCCCACGCGACAGCGTTTTGTCAGGGTCTCATTGCAACCCAAACGGGGAGTCGGAGCGGGTTCGCTTTAAATATACATACCCATATAGGACCGTTCTATCCCCGTCCCCATACCGAAGTTTATCATGATACGATTCTCACTAGTATCGCTATCTCCTCTTAAAAGCCTCATAAGTTTGAGGATAGATGCGCATAATGGAGCTCGACGTTCAAGACCCATCGCTCGAGAGTAAATTAGGTGGTAGTGCCGTTGTACAAGAGAAGCCTGTTATCTCCGATGATATCGGCGAATCCGGAAGACTTGCAAAAAGCAAGATGAATTCTAAAGAAAGAGCCTTGGTGCGCAAATTGGATTACTATATCATGGTAGGTATCTCTTATAGTTATGGTTTAAGGAGTTTAAATAACTGGAAGACGTGGAACTTACTCTAGAAATAGCCGACTATATGTGTTATGTACTTCCTGAACTACGTTGATCGCAACGCTATCGCGCAAGCCCGCTTGAACCATTTTGAACATGATCTCGGTATGTCAGGCAACGAGTTCAACACGGCAGTCAGCATGCAGGTACCCTTATATTCTAGTTAATAAGAAAACTGTTAGTTAATATCCATGCTATAGTCTCTTCGTCGGGATACGTGCTCATGCAGGTCCCGAGTAACATGTTGATTACACGGATCAAGCCCGGGATTTACATGGCCGGGTGGATGTTCCTCTGGGCGGTAGTTTCCGCTTGTACGGCTGCCGTGAAAAGTTATGGCGGACTCGTGGCCTGCAGGTTCTTTCTTGGTATTGCGGAAGCCCCAGTAAGAGACCTGTCTCACTAAACCCCATCTCCAGTGTAATTTGACTAACACAACAAGTTCTACCCGGGTGCTACGTACATCCTAGCGATATACTATACACATAGTGGTTAGTTACTCACAGGTAATCACCACTATATACACCAATCTCAAGTTAACCGTTTCTTCCTTAGAGATGGCCATGCGGGTCGGTCTTATGTACTGTGGCCAACTTCTCGCCACAGGGTTTACCGGCCTGATCTCAGCCGGTGTCTTCGCTGGGATGGACGGGTTACGAGGTCTTACCGGCTGGCAATGGCTCTTCATTATCGAAGGTTCCTTCACTGCTCTAGTTGCAGTTCTAGGGTTCTGGCTTCTCCCAAACACGCCGGATGATACATTTTGGCTGAACGACGAGGAGCGCAAGTTGATACGGACACGCACAGAGCGCGACAAGATCAGCGATTCTCTAAACAAATCTAGTACCTGGGAAGGTCTTAAGGAGGCATTTAAGGACAAGAGAACTTGGCTCTTCTGCTTTCATGCAGATGTTTCATCTGTCGGCCTGTTCTTTCAATGCCTTCTTCCCAACGTAAGTCCTTTGGCCCCTTTTAGTGTCACTTTGAGATTTTAATCGTTACAACGATACTCACACCGTCCCGAACAATAGAGTCGCGAAAACACTTGGGTATAATAACACTGTAACATTATTATTGACGTGCCCCCCTTTCATCCTTGCGGGAGCTGGCAGTGTCTTAGTCGGTTGGAGCTCTGGGAGATTGAATGAGAGGACATGGCATATAACAGCAACATTATCCATTGCGATTATCGGATTCGTCATAGCAGCAAGTACACTAAATACTGCTGCACGTTACGTTGCTTGCTTCATCTTCCCCGTCGGCGCATTTTCCGCTAATTCGGTCGTCGTCGGTTGGGCATCATCGACTTTGAGTCAAACAGAAGAAAAAAGAGCGGTAAGTGTTAATGGGATTCAATCCTATACTCATAATTGCTAGTAACGGTATAAACTAAATAATGCTATAGGTCGTCCTTGCAATAACTAATGTTTTCGGCCATATCGGCTATATATACGGCGCATACCTGTGGCCCGACACTGACGAGCCGCGATACGGCATCGGGTTCGGCGCTTCCGCAGGTTTCGCTCTCCTTTCGATCTGCTGTGCTTGGATTGTCCGGATACTACTTATCCAAGAAAATAGGAAAATACTAACTTCGAATTTAGAGCGTGTCAACTTGTATAGTTATTAACCAGGTGAATATAAGAGTAGTAGTTAGATGATATAGAGATTGATCTTCAATTAAAAATGCCATAACTCATAAATGTAATTAGGCATGATTGAATTATCTCACATTAAAATAGGCGAGTAAAAAAAGGGGGAAGCGTTGGTATTATACGTCTCGGTATGACGCAACTCGGAAAGAAGCCGATAAGCCCTCCGATATCGACACTGAGCTATCGATAACTTCCGAGTAGCTCTTAGTCACCTACAACTCGCCAAATTTCTCCTAAGTCGAGAACAATTCGATCGTAAAGGCTCTAAAGGCTCTTTGAGCTCAATTAGCATCGTGAAACTAGCTACGATACCCAGGCATAGACATTACACCAGCGAATCAACCCAGCGTCAAAAATGGCGACCCGGCGCATCATATCGCCGCGCTCACCGTTTGGTCTACCCTTCCGAGCTATAATATCACGACCATATTCCTCAAACAGCGCCGCGCACCATACTGTCCCGTTAGCATTCGATCACCATAAGCCACCGAAGGGCGGCCAAGATCATAAAGATTCGCCTATAATATTTATGCATGGCTTGTTTGGGTCTAAGAAAAATAACAGGAGCGTGAGCAAGTGAGTTGGTTCGGCCCCTATCCTACGAACACGCATGGAATTATAGTTCTAGGTATAGATCGTAGAGATAGATAGAGATATAACTAATTAAAATTTAAATATTAGAGTCCTCGCTCGTGATCTTAAGCGCCATGTCTACACAGTGGTAAGTCCACCACCTCTACCAGTAGTCTATTCGTCTCCATCTGACCTCAGCCCTCACTACACAGGACCTGCGCAACCACGGCGAAACCCCCCATGCGCCGCGCCACGACTACCTCGCCATGGCCGACGACGTTGCGGGCTTCATCGCCGACCACGGCCTACGAGATCCGACCCTAATCGGGCATTCCATGTAAGCAGCCCACTCACTCTCCTTCTTCTCCCCCTAAAGGAAAGAAAATCCTCATAAAATCCAGGGGCGCCAAAACTGCCATGGCGCTCAGCCTAAAAGAGCCCTCCCTAATCCGAGACATCGTCTCGGTCGACAACGCACCAGTCGACGCCGTCCTCGCAACCTCCTTCGCGCACTACATCCAGGGGATGCGGCGGATCGAAGAAGCCGGCGTAACGCGCCAAGCCGAGGCCGATAAAATCTTGCAGGAATACGAGCCTGACCTGGCGATCCGGCATTTTCTGCTGGGGAATCTGTCCCGCCCGCTTGCGGAAGACGGCACTGTATCTCCGACGCAAAAGTTCCGCGTGCCGCTTGACGTTCTGGGCCGTTCACTGGGACACCTTGGGGACTTCCCGTTTAAGGACCCCGGGGAGAAGCGCTTCGAGAAGCCGGCGCTGTTTGTGCGCGGCTCGCGTAGTACGTATGTGCCCGACGAAGTAATCCCGCTTATTGGGCAGTTTTTCCCGCGGTTTACAATAGTTGATATCGACGCCGGTCACTGGGTTATTTCTGAGAAGCCAGAGGAATTTCTTCGAGGTAAGTCAAAAACTCCTTTGTTCTGTTTGCCGAGCTATATGCTGATAAGAATTCCACTTGCAGCAGTCATAGAGTTTCTCACACCAAAGGAGTGAACGAGTGGGCGAATGAATGAGAAATGAGAACGAGAACGAGAACGAGCTTTGCATATATTATATCTACTTGTATAAACGTGTATCATTGCATCGGGGGGATATCATATAGACAGACAGACAGAGAGAGAGAACTATGTACATAGCCACCGTATCCTAGGCGTTCATCGGCGTGCGTGAAGATAGACAAATTTCAGGTTTCATTACCTAGCAGGGGCAAGCTGAAGAGTAATTTGACCCAAGACCACTGAGGTTCAGGCCTGTGTTGCCGGACGCGGGGGCTGTGGCGGCGAACAGTTCGGGTCGCTGGACAATGCGGTCTACAACTTCGACGAATGGCTGCCGGACGTTCTCCCGCGTCTTAGAACTGACTTCGCAGAATCCGGCGCCCTGAGACTCTGCAAACGCTTTGCCCTCCTCGAAGGAGACGACGCGGCCCCCTGTAGCCACCTTGTCCAGTTTGCTCCCAACCTATCATTATAATTAGCCACAATGCCATATATACTATAGGTGTCTATATGTTAAGGAGGAGATGATACCAAGTAAAGCACGGCATCAGGAGATGCGCTAGATCTCGCCTCGTCGATCCACTTCTCCATGCTAAGGAAGCTCTTCCTGCTCGTGATGTCGTAGACTATGATGACGCCGTGGGCACCGCGATAGTAACTAGTCGACAAGGTGCGGAATCTTTCTTGGCCGGCCTTTGGGTATTGTTAGATATTCTGCGTAATGGGATGGTTATAGTCAAAGTGAAGAAAGACGGGATGCGTATTAAGGGCTTACAGTATCGAATATGTTTAATCTATACGCCTTGCCTCGGACGGCGAGCTTTTTCATCTAAGGCACATAGATTAAGTATTAGTCAGGACTTGTGGTCATGTGAATAAATCCAGCTTAGCATCTTAGCCTCACCTTGAAATCGATACCAATAGTCGCCGTCGTCGACTCCGGATCAAACTGATCATCGCAATCTATAAAAAGTCTTAGAATCTAAAGCGACATAACCGGGCTGGGGTTGGTAACTCGTACATCTTAGCAGCACTGCTCATTCCGCAACGGCAATTCATCTCGTTAGCCTCATATTCTAGAAACTGTCATGTCGGTATCCGCCCGCGGGTAATTACAGGCGGACCCGAGGATTCGGGTATGAATATGGATATAGGCAGGGAGGTATTTGGATTAGGTAATTAATTGTATGCATTAGGTACATACGTGCAGACTTGCCAGCGCCGGAAGGCCCGATGATTAGGACCTTGAGAACCGGTAGCGAATCCTCCGACATTATCTCTAGGTATCTTCAAGCAAACGGCCGATCTTTTGTCTTTGGAGCGAGGTTAAGAAGCTAAGCGTAATAGGAATGCGCAGGTAGCAAGCGACAAGCAGAAGTAATTTTGGTAGTCTCGGATGAGATGAAGCTTTGTAGGTATGAAATTTGTAAATTGTAGGTAGGTAGGTTCGGGATGATAATGATGATGATAAAGTTCCAAGGTTACCGCTCCTTGGCTGGTACGTGTAAGTCCAATGCGCTGGTGGTACCGGCGTACCGCATCACACAGCGCTTGATTCGGTCATGCGAGCGATAAGGTACCATTAGGTACGTGCTATTTTAAGTAGCGGCTTTTGCTTTGCGGTTGGATTAAGCCTAACAACCCCAAATAATCCCAATATCCTCCCCTCTTCTTCATCCGCTTTGTCCGTACCTTGTTTGTTCGTTTACCGGTGGAACCTCCCACGATGGGACCGAACGGTATATCCCCCGTTTACCCACTAAAGCTACCGATGCACTAACTAATTATTACCGTAACAGGTCAACGTCGTGGTCTTAACAAGGTATTCCCTGCTAGTGACAGTGATAACACTACAGTCGAGTATGTTCTTTACTACCTACCTACCAAACATATCCATCTCACTCCCGCTAATCATAAATGATATGTCAGCATTATCGCAATTCACGGTTTAGATACCGAGTCGCCGCGAACATGGACTTACAAAAAGGGGGGCCGGTCTGTGAACTGGCTGAAGGATAGCGATATGCTACCAGCTGCCGTCCCAGATGCCAGGATTTATACATATGATTGGAATGCGAAAGTCTTTGACAATGCCCCCGTCCAAACATTATTGGGTCATGCCGACAACCTCCTTTCTCTTGTAGCAGCAGAGCATGGCACCTCAAGTCGGCCCCTACTCTTTGTCGCGTCTTGTTTTGGAGGGCTTGTTTTAGCCGAGGTAAGCTAAATCAAGTATACATAAAACCAAGACTAACCACTGTAGGCCACCTGTCGGGCAGCCCAGGCAGGTAGTAAATACCGTCAAATACTTCAGTCTACGATCGGTATCGTCTTCTTAGCGACTCCATTTGCCGGGACAGATGCAGCTGGTTCTGCATCATGGCTCGTGGTTGTCAATGGCATCATGGGCAAAGACGCGTCACCTCAATTAATCAAGGATCTAGAAGAGCGTAATAGTCATATTTCTGAGCTAGTCCAGAAGTTTGCCGAAATCGCCAACAACAATTCCACTCGATTCCCTATTTACTGCTTCTATGAGACAGGGAAAACCAAAATTGCGAAAAAGATCCTTCCATCGGGGATCTCGGACAAGTGGCTACGCGGTTCCATAGTAAGTTTATAAACCCCCCGCAACGAGGAACGTGATCTGACGTTTGCAGCTCGTAACCCAGTCTTCGGCCTGTCTCCATGGCTTTGAGCGTCGGGGTCTTGGGAAACCCCATGTAATGATGAACAAGTTCGAGGGAAACAACTGCCCTGATTTCATACATGTTAGAGAAGCTATACAGTTTCTCCTGAAGGAGGGACCAAACACTCTAAAGCGCCGAGAGAGAAGGGAGGTAACTCAGGGGATTACTCAAAGACCAATCGAGTCGGATATGCAGGCCGCTACTGAGGAGCAGCGAATCCGGCTCCTGAAAAGTCTCCGATTCCCGAGCATGAATGAGAGGAAGAATGATCTGGCCGATTCGTACGGTGGAACTTTCCGATGGATTCTCCGTACAAATGATACCCCAATAGATAAACCCGACGATCTCAAAGATAAGCCATGGTATAATTTTGAGGATTGGCTTAAGTCTGACAACACCATTTACTGGATCAGTGGCAAGCCTGCATCTGGGAAAAGTACATTGGTGAAATACCTCATAGAGAACCCTCTCGTGAAAGAAGCACTAGCCATTTGGGTCAAGGGAACTAATGATCCTATGATATTGTCTCACTTCTTCTGGAAAGCCGGAACTGAGAAATTACAAAGGAATATTAAGGGATGCCTTTGTTCCCTTCTTCACCAAGCTATTCAGCCCGATACAGTTCCTTTAAACTCGATACTAGCTACCTATAAGTCTATACTGACCAAAGAATCGGTCACTGATTGGTCACGTAAAGAGCTTGAAAATGTATGTTTCGCGGTCTTACGTAACTATCCATCTTCAATTTGCATATTCCTCGATGGTCTTGATGAAATATGCCTCGAAGATCGCCGTTCTCTCGTGAAACTCATTGAAACCCTCAGGGAGTTTCCAAATATCAAGATCTGCGTGTCTAGCCGGCCAGAGCTGTGCTTCCAAGAGGCTCTTGACGAATATCCGCACCTTAGGTTGCAAGACCTAACACTCAGTGATATGGAAGAATATGCGTCTGCACAAATACAGCCGTATATTTCTGATGGCCAAATATCAACGACTTTCGGATCGAAAATTATCAATTCACTTCTTATCAAGGCGGAAGGTGTCTTTCTCTGGCTTCGTTTAGCATCCAATAGCTTGGTTCGCGGACTAAATAACAAGGATTCAGAAAAGATATTATACCAAAGACTTGAAGAAATGCCTAACGACCTGTACGATCTCTACAATGACATGTGGATCCGAATTAACGAAGATACAAGATTATACCGGGAAACTGCCGCCAGGTATTTCAATGTGGTTATTGCTTTACAAAAGAGCACCTTCAAGATTCCGTTACTTCGCCTAATGGCCATAATGAATGATGAAGTCCAAGATATCTTCATCAGTAAGAGAAATAATATGGATGCAACTTCTTTGCAACATGAATGCGACAAAACTATCCGCGAAGTCCAACATCGATGTATTGGCATTTTAGAGATAGTTCCTGAAGACTACAATTTGGATAAAATACGGAATCCCACCGATAAGCCCTTGTTACATTACTGGAACATGCGGCCGCATTTCCTCCACCGGACAGCTTATGATTTCCTTACGGATACTGAATACGGTCGTCAAATTCTCACGCACGATTCGTCCTCCCAGCATGAGCTATCGCTTCGAATAATAAAGGGCGATTTAATTGCGCTGAAACTTGTTGACTCGCAGGACTACGCCAACTTACCTATCGTCGATCTGACACAACTAACAGATACAATATCTCAAACAGCCATTAACGAAATTTTAAACGCTATGTGGGATTGCTACGAGAATGGGTACTACGACAATAGATACTACAGTATATACAGCGATACGTCCTACCACAATCCTATACGCAGAGCTTGCTTTTTGGCAGTTACAGCTCATGTCGCGACTAAAGAATTCATCCTATCGAGTATAGCGAATAGTTCAAACCCGTCGTCGTTAGCCACAGATGTTTTACGATACATATGCGAAGGTCAATCCATCAGGTTTAATGGAGCTCCTTATTTTTTAGAACCTCTGTTAGCTCTGAATGCAGACCCAAGTGCCAAGGGGATTTATCTTCCACTTCGTGTGAGATGTTTCCCAGAAATGAAGTTTCGTAGCCCCATTGCCGGGTATATGACCGAAACCTTGAAGATCGATATTATGGGAAAAAACTCCCAAGAAACAGATACTAGGTATAGGGAACTGCAGAGGTTCATAGAAGCTGGAGCGGACCCGCAAGAGCGCATATCGCTCTTTATTGGTATAACATACGAAAAGTTAACGATATTAAAATATCCTTTATCGGCAACTTTGGTTTTGGATCTAGCGATCCTAGTTAGGGCGTGCTCTGAGCGTGCCCGTAAGAAAGGTTTTCCATCTTCTACAGATAAAACCCCTTATCAATCTCCTAGGGACGCCTCGGAGAATACTTCGCCTCGCCTAGCACTAATAATCACCTATGAATCAAATTCTATTACGAAACATTATCAGTGCACAAGAAATGAAGCCACCGAGCGGCTCGTCGCTTTCCTAATAGAGTTCCTGTGTGGTGACGACTCTCAAGACTTGGCCCAGAAAGCATATCGGGAAAGGAATAAGATTATTAACGATATCAGCAATGGATCAATTAAGTACGAAAAATTGGATAAGAAGCCCGAGGAATTTCTAGCAGAACATAACTTGGGCTATTGCTTTACTGACCCCCGAACCAAGGCCCCTATACCGAGAGATGCTTATGAACCTGGCCGAGCAGTAGAAGAACATCGGAAACTATGGCGCCAGTTTGGTACTCAAAGAAAAGTACGTTAGCTATTTTGACGCCTTCCTGCCGAGATTTACCTTGGACAAGTTTGATGAGATCCGTAGATGCCTGTCATTTGCGTTAGGCTCTGCTTCAAAGTCATCTCAAAAAAAAAAAAACCTTAAACCTATAATATTCAAAAGCTCGAGTTATATGGCACATTAAAAAGAATAGGAGCGGTTTATTCGGATCTATGGTAGTTTCTTACTTAAGTGGATATCAGGCTTCGATATGTTGGGATCGAAAGAAGATTTGTTGTCAGATTTTCTAGTTACGGTTTCTAGGGTACCAAGATGTGTATAGCTGCGCTATGCCACTACTATATAGGTAGTTTTTCGGAATTCATTTTCACTATTTATTGATCGATTTATACATGATCATATATCCAACTACCTCTTAGCATTAAGCTTATTAAACTGTAGCTAGTTAACACGCCTACATGTATGGTACCTAAACAGCGTCAAAAAGGGGCGGATCACACCAAATCTACCGAACACCCCAACTTCCAAGAACTATGATATAACAAATCCAAAGCTCAACAAATGATCAGATATGTACCTCGAAAGCTTACATTCCGGCCTATTCAGTGTCATGGTTAGAAGTCAGGACCTTCATCCCCTTGTGTATATAACCAGGGCCTTGCAGCGAAGCTAAAAGGATCTGATGTTATAGTTCCCTAGAACATCATCTTCAATAATGACACCTTTTGGTTTCAGCCTTGTGATATTCGGCTATGTATTTTGTTTGAAGCAAACCCGAGGAACAAACCCCTTATATAAGGGGTGACTTTCCTCAGCATCCCATTTTCGTATTGAAATCACCACTTACAACAACCCAACCAAAACTTAATAACTGAAAAAATAGCACCTCATAATAATTTCCAGGCATTTTCTCAAAGTAAATACAGTTGTGAGATAACGTTAAATAATGTATCTTTATGGTAGTACGCCGGTTCCGTCTGTGTATATGCGATCTAGAAACCCCGTTACAGTATCTTCAAAAGTGACTTTTAGTTTGATATCGATATCGTCAGATTATAGATCTATATGTACAGACATAGGTGTCCTTGCATATAAATACGATGAGCGACTTGACTTGCTTAAGATAAGTCCTGTATATAGAACATCATATTTTCAATCCATGAATAGGGGGTTGTACATTAAAAGTGTGACCTATCGGAAAACCTACGATATTATTATTATGGATCTACAACCCTATGACGCAAGGAGAACACTGCATAAAAATTCTTGTGATGGTATTGGTATTGCACTTATGCGCCGTCAACTAATGACCAAAGAGGCCATTGGGACACTGGATAGGTAGACTGTCTCTACCAAGACATAGGAAGCTAAATGCTCATATTCACATAAAACAGCGTCACGTATGGAACCATCTAGTCGTCAGCTAACCTTTCTCATTTTATCTGTCCTGAGGGGCCTGCTGTAACCGCGGCTGTCCTGCCGCGCCGAATGCAATCAGAAGTGAGACCTATTGCCATTGCACAAAAACCCACGCCGTTCCATGACCAGAGTTCAGAGTTCATCATAATTAGACCTCCTCAAGGACCCGTTCCTTGAACTCCCGCTCAACCTTCTGACCCTCCTCATTCGTCGTGGACTCTCCGTGCAGGTTCATCAGGGCACCAAGGTCGAACTTGGGCGACTTAAGGAGCTTGACCTTGCGGATGTGGACCTAGATAGCGAACTCTGTTAGTATACACTGCTACACATTCCAATATACAAACATTAAGGCCTGAGTAGAACTAAATACGTACGTTCTGGAGGGGGTAGATTCCTTGCGTGGCCTTCTCAATCTCACGGCCGATAACCTCGGGGATTAACTTGGAGGTCAGTTGTTGCAGAGTGCAGGTGGCAGCCTCTCGCTGGATGATCTCGACCATCTTCTTTCGGATGGCACGGATCTGAGATGAAGCAGCATAGGTGGTTTTCTTGATCTGGTTGGGCCGTCGCTTGGTGAAGGCAATGGCGAAGAGACGTAGGAGGTACTCATCGGTAGTCTTGACCGTGACGTTGGCCTCGATCAGACTTTGCCATTTTCGTACGAGGGATCGTAACTTGTCGGAGGTGAAGTCAAGACCGTGGAAGTTGGTTAGGCAGTTCTTGCCCTGGACCTCATCGACGCGTAGCTTGACCTTTCGGAATGCGTGGTCCTCATCCTTCTGTAGGTCGGCTAGGGAAACCTCGAAGATTCGGCCCTTGAGGGCATCGTTCGCGTTCTTAAGACCGGTGGTTCGGTTCACGAGGGTCTTACCAACACTACACATCACAGTTAGATATCAACCAACCTGGGCGCATTAGGATGAAAAATTCGTACTCTCGGATGTTGAAAGGAGCAGGGGCCTAGAAGGAAATTGCAGTCAGTTTTAATAGTCCTTAGGGAATCGATCATTAAATAGTAGTCGCTTACCTTGATGGAGTACCAATCCTTTCGTGCGAAAGGGTCCTGAGCCTTCTTCTTCAGGCCCTTCTTTCCCTTGGACAATCTCTTGTTCCTATAGCGAGCGAATGATCAGCATTGGATTTCCTCGTCTCAGAGGCGGCGAGTTGTAGGGCGCCGGAATACAGAGGCGCAGGATCGCGGAGATTGAAATGATTAATGGAAATGCGATGTACTCACTTTCCAACCGCCATGTTTGCGAGAGGTCAATGTAGCTCGCAATTCAGGACGATGTTGAAGATGTGTTGAAAAGGACTTTTTGGTGTTGCGTGGTGGATGGATCTGGCAGTGAATTCTAGTGCAGCTAAAATTTCTTGTTTGTGCGCGAAAATTGAGGGAGTGTGGCATGGTCACGTGGATTTTTATCTTTGATAAGCAAATGTTTTTTTCAGGTCTCTGTTAGCGAAAAGGTACGTACCATTATTAGGGTCTGCTCCCCTCGAACCATGCACCTCTAATTTCATATATTTTTGAAACGCATATTAGTGGGAGTATATGCAATTAAGAATGTATATTGAAGAATTAGGTTGATTTTACATGAACGAGGTATTCTCTACAAGTAGCAATTTATGAGACCTTCAGGTTTTACTAATACAACACTTAACACTTTAAAATTTATTCTACTTGATTAATAAATTTCGAACTGATATTCTATACTATTTTTTAACATTAGTAAAATTTACTATCTTGAGTACGCCATAATTAAAGATATATTAGCCACGGCGTTGCCAACCCCCTCCCCCCGCTACGTCCATAGCATCATCCAGCGAATTCTAAAACGTTGTTCGATTTTTAGAAGGTTTGTTTATTCGTATAGTTATTGTAGATATTAAGATATAACAAGGCGAGTTAGAACTCAGCCCAAGGGGCAAATCTAACTTTTATCTCTCGTGTTATCCCATCCTATCCTGTCCTGTCGCTGTTTCGAACGGGGGTATCCCATTTTACTCCTCACAACCCAGTAGATCTCGCAATCCATAAATTTCTCTCTCTCTTTCTCTTTCTCTCTCTCTGTGTGTGTGTGTTCTGTATCAATTCCAATGTTTTCGCCGAGCGCCTGTCCCAAACCGACCACCACCAACTACCTCCGTCAGGCTTGATGATACATATATCCTGGTTACCCTTGCTGCCTTGCGAAGGAGAACCAAACATTAAAAAAAAAACAAGTAAGCAAGCAAAAAATAACAATGCTCCGGCGCCTGGTGACCCGTTGTCATGCTTTATTGTCCGCCCCCGTTAATCGCATTATGGAAGGAAAAAAGAAAAAGTAAGACGAGTTCGTATTGTATTGGGTGAGATGAAAGAAATTCGGGGAACCCCGCGGGTCCCGCCCCCATCACGAGAGCGCTTCGGGGCGCGGCCACGAATTAGGAATTAGGAATTAGGCTGTCCTGTCCACCTTCTCCTCGTCTGGATGTTCGCCGACTTCCCAGGCGTCGAAGCTGGGGAAGCTGAAGTAGCATACCGAGTCTAGTCGTCAGGTCAGCATGGAAGTTAGGAAAGGATCGTCCTGATCGGCTAGACCAGGGTCGGTGTATACGCACGTGGATCGCGGGTAGAGTCTGATAAACGAGCCTCGCGCATCTCGGATGAGTCTAGGGCGAAGCTCCGTGTTGATGATGGTGACGAGTTGGCATTGGATATTGCGACGCGGCTGAGTAGATCTGTTGCTCTCCGGCTTGTGTTCGGGCTCGTCAATAATCCCTTACAAGCGTTGGAGGTAGTGATAGAAGGTTCCGTGGCACAGGCTCTAAGTAAGCGGGGCCGTCGTCTTTCCGCATTCTTCGGCCTTGGTGACGATTCCCGTCGAGGGACGATGTCAGGCGAGTATCTGGTAGTAGCCATTCCGGAACCAAGTTCAAGATAACAAGTAAACAGATTATGTGATTATGTGATTATGAGACGGGGTTTTCGGATACGGAGCTTGACTGAGCTTGGTTGAGCTTGGTTGAGCTTGGTTATAGTCTCTTAAAGCTTGTAATGTGAGTGGCAAATGTGGTGAAAACGATGCAGGCTTGAGGAGCAAAGCTCCCCATCTATGAATGGATATTTCAAACGTTTAAGACATCACGCAGTAAGGCAAAAAAAGGCCGCTAATACCAATAGCTCTACCGGCTGTTGTGGAACGACATCCCCAGACGGTCGGTTGCGGGCAATGCCACATGTCACTCACGAATGGGGACATTTCGTATGTGGTGGTAGCTGTATGGTCTCCGTTGGCCTGGGTGGTTTGGGCGTAGACGGCCTGCATCCGTGTTGGGCCGTCCTGCACCAGTAGGAGAGGTGGAGTGGGGAGACTTGTTAGCAACTGAACCACTCATGAAGCTGATATGGTTTAGTATCTCTTAACATCTGCAACCCATCCTTGCATTTTCCATAATACTAGTATCCATTTTTGCCCTCTTTAATACTGTTTTAATACTGCCCTAATACCTAATACCTAATACCTACCAAGCAATTTAGGCAGCCTAAGCAGTTTTACCCCGTTTTTACTAGACATGACAAGTTTCAAGTGGCTGCTGTCAGAACTATTAGAAGGGCTAGAGCCGGCGACCTGTCAGCTTCACTATCATGATACGTAGAAAAGGAGGTCAGCGCGAGCGTAACGCGAATTCCGTGAAATTCCCCTGTACCTTTATCCTCTTCCCCCCCCCTCTTCCTTGTGTCCTTGTATAATCCATGCAGATAATCAACCCATCAATCCACTTGGAGCTTTGCAGACCACTCTCCCACTCTCCCACTCTTCCTACCTATGCATCTCATTATGCCTTCTTAAGGCTGATGTAGACGAACCCTCAATTGAAGCTGCAAGATACACTTTTATACCGCACAACATATAATCTGGTAAAGCTGACGTACTACGACGTAGTTCTACTGAATTCTTACCGCTTGGACATGCTACAATTGGATCGCTGTCACACACTGTAAGATACTACAGATGCCACTGCAGTCACAAGGACGAGAGTGTACAAAACAACACACCTCTCTTGGAGTTCATACATTAGTCTCACGCGTGGCAATAGTAGAAGCGGGGGTTCTAGGTCATATCAGGTTTTCATTTGGTAACTACCTATAGCTACGTAGTTTCGACTAACTCCTACACCGGTCGTAAAAGCAAGCCAGCTCAGTTGGAGTATTCAGTGGTCGACGCTATCATTGTTAGTAATACGAAGTTGGAAGGGTCAGTTGTTCGGACGGTACTCACTCTTCCCACATCCGTCCCTGAACGGCTTTCAATTCTTCGGCAGTCATCCTGTTGCCGGTAGTGAAATATCCTGCGAGCCGTCAGCCATTTTCCCGGATCCGGTAGACTACCAGGGGTACAAGTTTACCGGCTGTAATCTTGGCATCTATCTCGACCCGTGAATCTGCGGGGATTAAGTCCTCGGGAAGTTCTACCCGCTCATGGATAGGAATACTATACTTGGTTAGACACGCCTTACCTTGGTTTACCGTATGGGGAATTGACTTACCCCTGGCCAACGATGGCATCGTACTTCATGCTACATTGTGACGCCCTAGCGTTAGATCCAACCCCTCCACCATTTATAGTCGGGTAACTCACTTGCTCATACTCAGCATTCTATCGATCTTCTTTATGCCGAGCCAATGGAGTATCAGGCATTAGAGCCTGGAAACGCATGTCTTTAACTCCAGCAACATTTTCGGTTCTTTTGAAATAGTCCGAGGCGCGATCTTCGCCGCGTTTTCTAGCGTTGTATACAACTATTGGATGTGGTTAAACTTTCAGCTCATTGGTAAAGAAACATCTAGACTCACGGTACTACTAAATGTCAGTATTTGAACAACTATGCTTCGGAGGTACAATATGGGGAATACAATACCTTAGTTACTTCACCCAAAGCCCGTCCTTCTTTTCTGAAGTAGATGACAACGCCACTGCCACCATTCTGTGCCTCCTTGACGGCCTCTTCGATGCCGAAGATAAGATAGGGTCTGCAAGTGCAGATATCGGAGCCAAATACATCACTACCGTTGCACTGCATTCTCTGTAAGCCAGTAACCTCCAAGCCAATAGTCACAGTGCATGAATTACCTCATCGTGAATACGCAAGGCTAGTCTACTCTTTTCGTCAGACATCTTCGCCGGGTCCCCGAAGCAATATACAGTCAGCCCGCCTATAAAACGTTAGTATCGTCATCTGATGTTCTCTTGAGGTAGGACCCGAATTACCGATTGGAGGTAAAAAGACCTTAATATCGCCTCGTGTGATAAGCTATACATATAGTAATTAGGCATACGCTGGTTATCAATAGTGTGGTGGACGCTTACCTCTGGATAGCTACCCCCAGTGTGTTCGAATAGCGAACGCCTTAGAACGCCCTCATCTGCCAGGTTTAGCTATAGGTTCCGCCACGGATGTTGATCCTTGATACGCACCTATGCCGAATCTCTCAGCTACTCCGGGGAGGTACCAAACCTACTATAGTAAGTATGGCTCTTTTCGGGATGCTTGGAAGTTCAATATTCTTACCGGCTCAACTGCAAACTTGGTCACTGCCAGTTCTCCCTGTGCATTTAGGCAAACTTTCCCATCGGGAACACTAATGGTAGATTAGTGTTATTAGTTTGCGACCAGACAATACCAGAGGACAACATACAGTCTACCTCTTCGAACACTTTCCTCCAACTCCGGAAGCTAGTTCAAATTAATACGATTCACAAAACTACAAGGTTAAAATCATTTACCTTCATATGTGCTTTGGTTATGGCAATTGTGGGACGAATATCAACTATGATCACTCATTAGCTTGCCCAACGTATATATCATTCGCTCTTCGGGTCGTCAGTTACCGTCCTCCTTTTCTATAACGTCGGAGAAAAGCCACGGGGCCAAGTGACCCCAAGGATCCATAGCGACGATCTTTTTCTTATCGCCCCATTGAGGAAACGGGCCAATATTGGCTGCTGGCTCGGTGTTGGTGAAATCTGGCCTATATTGAGAATCATAAATTAGGCGTCAACAACTTGGTCAATGACGCTGGCGTAACCGTACCTATGGTTGGCGTTAAGCTGCTTGCTAGCAAGTGCAAGAGCAAAGTAGATGGAATAGGAACCGCCATGTGCTAAGTCATTAAGTTATGTGAGGCTCCAAATAACTTAATAATAGGCCAGGGCTTACCTCCGATAGCTAGAAAGTCGTTAGTGGCTAGAAAAGGCATACAATTGGCGATAAACTTACCGTTACGCTTTCGAATTGTGGATGATGACCGGGAGACAACCACCGGACCTCGGTCGACTGCATCTGGAGCCCCCCATTGAAGAGGGAGTGGATTAATACCAATCTGCTTGGGATATGTACTAGCTAACGGTTAATACAGAGAGCCATTAGGAATCTCACGATAACTATATAGAACTTACGTAAGTATAATTCGGGATGTGAATCCGGATTTTTGTGCCTGAGTTGCTTCTTTCGTTGTAGGCGATGTGTTGCCGGAATCAGCCTCACCAGCAGCCAGAGTCGTCCGGATCGGTGACGTCGGGGCCACAGCGAGGGGAGCTGATACCTTATTGATACCGAGACTTGGCACCTGGCCAGACGGAGCAAGAGTATCAAGTCGGAGGGAGACAGATTCGACTTCTGATGCCAATTTGGTCTGATTCTCCTGGATACTCTTCAGGGCCTCAAGGACGTCGGCCATGCCCACAGAACTGTTTGTACCCGAGTCTGCCATTGTCACAACTTGGCCAAGAAGTAATCTCAAAGCCTAAGGGATTGGGGGGGTAGAGTTATAGGTAAATGAAACAAATAGATAAGTAGTACAGATCAAAAGAATCCCTTGTTGATAACCTTACTTTTTGATTTAGTATTGTTATGAAGGAGTTGGTTATTTAGTAAATATGTATGTGAGGGTAATGGAGATAGTAAGTTGTTGGAAGTTCAAAGATACACGAAGTTATGTAGGAAGATACATGGAGCGGTATGAAAGGGTCAAGACCTATTGCGCCTAACATTCTACTAAAGTATGTAGTACTTATACCTACAAGAAAACATAATTTTATTAGACTTAAGTTTGACCGGATGAGCTGGAATGAGACCAAGCAGCTAAGTATACATACATGTAAGGTGTACAGAGCTTCCTCCTACCTGATAAGGTGCCCAAGGAAAAGGTAGGCACCTGACTGTTTAATAGCAATAACCCACTAAACTAGTCATAATCCCCACTAGTTCGTACCTGCATCTACTGTGAACGTCCAGTCTCCTTCGTGCCCATTGGCATTAGAAATGTGTCTTATCTAAGAGATGTGCAACTTATGATTATATCGAGTTGTATAAATGCGGTAAAGAAACCCCGCCTTATTAGGTATCCACTAGTGAACTAGTGAACTAGCTTATTCGTTAGCTTCATGATAAGCGATAAGAGAGCTTTATCCAAGAGGTAACTTTAATAATCTTGTGCTAGGCGAAGCCTTTGAGCGCCACGTAAAAGCCTTGAAATACTTTGTATTTTGTCCTTCCATAACAGTTTTTACTGTTTCGACTTTGCGCAAAGTAAGAACTTCTATATATGAACCCTACTTCTATTTATATTAGTTAGTGTTGTTGACAATCGGAACTTTGTAGTATTGAAACGCGCACTGTTTTCTTTACGCGATAAGCTAACGTACGTCATTCCTTATATAAAACCCATAGCACCTTTTCTCAGTTCAGCCTTCTCCATACAAACTCACAACCGATCCACCTTCTGACTAAAATCAACCACAGACCGTATTGTATTCCAAACGGTATCGCGATACTTGAAACCGTGTCGCATTTCGATTCGCTATGGTAAATAACCTTCTACATCAAGCTGCGATATTGAGTAGTCGCTAATATAGATGGCTATTATAGGGGAAGCGCAAGAAGAGTTCGAGAAAGCCTCAGGGCAAGAAGAACGATCCCCTACCTACTATATTTACCTGCTTATTCTGTAACCACGAGCGATCGGTCACCGTCGAAATGAATAAGAAATCTGGCGTCGGTGAACTGGAATGCAAAGTATGCGGCCAGAGATTCCAATGCGGAATTAACTGTAAGCAGACTCGCATCGGCTACTATAGATAGTTGCTAATGGTGGACTAGATCTTTCTGCGCCTGTCGACGTCTACAGCGAATGGATTGATGCAGCAGGTATGTGGTTTTTTTAAACTGATATATTGCCTATAACGTTGCTTACGCGGTTCTAGATGCTGTCGCAAAAGACGATACTACTGGAGGCGCCTCTGGCTCAGCCCCGGGTTACCGGTTAGGCTCAAAACAATCAGCAGCTGGTCGCTATGATGACGACGAAGACGACCGCGGGTACGAGGGAGAGGGTGTTGTGGGAGACGATGACGAGTACTGAGCAGTTATAATACTCTTGATGAATTGAGCCTTACTTTGCCGGATCAACGCGATAAAATCAACTCGGTAGTAATAACGCCTACATCATATGACATGCAGTTATTACCATCAAGGGCCCATGTTATCCAATATCTGCAGTCCATCTGACTATACCTCAGTCCTCCATAGACTATATCGTCTGTTGCGGAAATTGTCGCCCTTACTCTTTACAGAACGGGGCAGTCATCCGGGCTCCAAATAATGATGTATACTACTAATAGGCGTTAAATTCTACTTACTCTTGTCTTCCGAAGTCCGTGGTTACGATTAATCCGCGTTACATGGTGTAGAACCGATCCCCGAAGTCACCCAAGCCTGGGATGATGTAACTAAGAGAATGTTAGTGAATGCTTCTATAGCAAAGATTTGTCGACATACTTCTTCTCGTCAAGGCCCTACAATATATCCGAATTAGTGTTTGCAATAGGATGAATTTGGTAGAGTAGACAAGATGTCTTACCTGATCGATGAATGCTGTAACGACCCGGAGCTTGGGGAACTTGGTTGCGAAATTTTGGACTCCTTCTGGGCTAGCGATCAAGTTCAAGAAAAGAATCCTCTCCTCTGGAACGCCACGCGATTTTAGGACTTCGACCGCCATAATAGCGGATCCACCTAAAGTATTAGACTCAGGTTAGTCCTCTGGAAAGTGAACAAACATAATATAGGTAGCTAGCAGTCTGACCTGTTGCAAACATCGGATCAAGTAATAGAACCCATCTTTCAGCAATATCCTCAGGCAATTTATCGTAAAATAGCTTCGGCTTTGCTGTCTCTTCATCGCGCTGGATTAAGATTTTGCCAATCCTAACCGATCTGCAGCAGTCTCGAAGACCTTGTTCCATAGCTTCGCCGGCCCTCATAATAGAGACACCGCAGATTTTCCCCTGGAACATGAGTCCGTCGTAGGTGCGACCAACCGGAGTAGTTACAGTGTGTTCAACGACGGGTAGATGGTTAAGCCCTTCCTCGACAAGCAGACGAATAATTCGGTTCGAGTAGAAAATGAAGTCAGCTCGCTCCGTCTTTCTGTCACGGATCTTCCTATCCCGGAATTAGTTCCTGGATAATTCGAGTACTAAATATATCGTAAAACGCTCGAGTCGACCAATAAGGAAGCTACTCACGTGAGCAATGCGATGAGCTGTGGCGTTTGGGGCAATGTGATAACGTTGTCATGTTCAACCGCCGTTGAGACAGTGGCGATAGGTTTTTGACTAGGCGAGCGATAGTCGGGTCCTACGCACTGCACAGGGCCAACTTGAGGACGATTTCCAGATTCGGTAGCCATTCTATATCTTCTAGATGAGTCGTTTCAATGGTATAAACCCCCCGCAACACTTGTACGATGTTTGGAAGATATATGATTCTAGGAGCACTTAGATATGTGATCCCACTCGAGGAATAAACCGACGACGTCACACAGCCTAAGCGGTCAAAATGATTGTCAGTAGTTCCCTAGCTAGTTATCTACGATAGCTGTATGCAGATGTTCTGCGTTGAGAGGGAGGGAAAGAATAGTAAAATATTCCAAGACTTTATAAGTCAAGTGATCAAAACGAAACTAAAGGGATCACCCTAGCATTTATTTAGCAAATAATATAACGTGAGAGAAAGATTAGGAAGGACAAATTCCAATATAATCCAAGATGCTCTAAATGGATAGGTATCTCATAAAGCAATAGCTTTAAGCATAAGTCGAGGCTCATGGAGCTGACTTGTAGAAAAACGAATGATAAGCCCTAATAGGAAATCTGGAATGGGGCTTGGCAACAAGTGATGACCAGACACAAGTACAATTGGTGGACCCCGCCTGCACACATCTTTTTATCTGGCTTACCTACCTTAGCGTCAGATGGGGGGTACGGGGAGCCGTATATATACAGTATATATACGGCTCCCAGGTATGAGCTGCTCCCAAATGTTAGTGAAAAACGTGAAGCTCACCAAATTCATGCGTATCGGCGTTTTGAGCCAATCAATATTTTTTGAGTGGTACAAGTGCTGCGCGGCTCCCCCACTGTGAGCGGCTCCGACCAATGAGCGGCTCCTGCGCCTCTCACACTTTTTGCGCCGCTCCCATTTTGAGCCGCTCCGGGTAAGTGCATATTATATATAAAAATTAAAAGGTATATTCCCATACATTTTTGTATGGGAATCTACTTTTTCATTCTATTTTTTATTTTTTATTTTTTAATGGTCACAATTACAATTACAGGTTATGGGATACGATTGATTTTATTGGAAGGTTACGTGTTTTTCAAATAGACTAAAGCATATTACGTTACGGGCACGCGTGTGGACTTGTAATTATGGGGTATAAGGGGGTCTGTGCGGTTAAAGTTTATGTAATAATACCTTATACGTACCACTTAAAGCGGAGGAGCGGCTTAAAACGGGGAGCGGCGCAGAGATGGGAGCGGCGCAAAAAGTGTGAGGGGCGCAGGAGCCGCTTATTGGCTGGAGCCGGATTTTCACTACTCCTTTAGGTCTACCGTCCCAAAATTTTGGAGCGTCTAAACCGTAAGCGGTAACGATACCACTCAAATATTTGAGTCACTTAATTCTTTAAACGTAAGAATTGGGAGCCGCTATTCGAATTGAGTGGGATAAGTACGGTTATGATTTAATTAGCGGTATATATGCGGCTACCGCTACCCCCCATATGACGGTAAGGTACATGTATCTAGCTTATCTGCTTATTGTAGCGCCTTCCTTGTTTCAGGCTTCAGCTCAGCAGCTTAGAAAATCGGTTGGCTACCATCAACTGGCCCAACCAGTTAACAAAGAGCTGTTACTTTACTTTTTAAGTTACCTACCTATGTTATGGTTCGATGAATCTAATAGATGGATGTTTCCGTCTTTAACTAACAAGGCAAGACCGACGGGGCAAATACCTATTCACCTGTACCTACCAAGAAGGTATTAGGTTCAATGCATTGGAAGGATATCTTAAGTTCTAGGGCGTGAATCCCGGTGAATTCACGGTATCGCCCTTCTTGCGACCTCCGCACGTTTTTAGTTGCACTTTCCTTGCCCGATCATCCACTTAGCCTAACAACATCAAATCAGCTTCGCAACCTTTCCTATTTATCGTCCCACCCTCAACTAAATAATTCGTCACTCACCACAACTCACGGTAGTCCGCTGCAAGGCTACCATAAGCGCGTCTCACAGCTATTAACATAAACTCTACTATTCCCATCTCAAATCTCCCACTCTCAATAATCTGCCGTCGCTATAAATGATCAATCATCTTATACTATTGACATTTCAACCTGCTTCAAAAAGTATTTAACTAGGTACCACCATGTCTATGAAGCAGGATTTCAGCGCTCCCCGAAAGAAAGGGCTCACCACCTATGGAAAAGCCGCTCGTAAAAGACAACCAAAGGCACTCATTACTCCTAGCGACTTCCCACCTATACCAGAGGATGATTCCGTCTTGAAGCACAAGGCCACTGTAACGCGCCGTCGACCTACGCTACTTAGCTCCCCATTACGAGATCCCTCTTCGCCCACATCTCGAGGCATCGATGGATCAGTTGACATAAAGACGAAACTAGATAGCTCACAAGATAATACGCAAAGCTTTGATCGAAAACGTAAGATATCCCAAGTGTACGCGTCTAAGGGGCGAGCACAGGAATCTTACCAGGCTGGCCAGCACGATGTCTCCCCTGATCACGTACGACGTCGGTCGCACCCGTATACTTCTACTTCTATTTCTACTTCTACCGCTACACGCCAAACAGCTCCCTCTACTTCGCGACAACGCGCCCGTCCAGTTCCATTGGAATCTATGGATACTGATGCGGCCGAACCAAGACTATCAAGCCCGCCGCCTACGCCAACATTACTAAAAAGTTCGAGACAGCATAAGGCTATAGGTGTTAGAGGTTCAGCAGGATCGACTTCAGATGCAACTATGATAGAGAAGGAAAAGCGGGATATTATGCAGCAGCGCATACCCCTTCGATTTGCCCGTGAAAGCATCGCAAAACCGAAGGGGTCGAGTCTCCTTTCGGATAAAGCGGACAATGAAGTACGATCGAACCCCCAACCAATTCCAGATAGTGGCACCAAAAAACGCAGAAAGCGAATAATCGACACACTAGTTGAACAGAGAAAGGATGACGAAGCCGAAACTGTCGAGGAGGCTTTAGAAAGCCAAGAGAGTTCAAGCCAACCAACTTTAAGTCACCAAATTAGTGACATCTCAATGGTAGACTCTCAATCCTTGCCTCAAACCCCAAGCCGTAAACCCGCAACAGCGCAAGCAACTAGCACTCGAACTTTTACCCGCTCTAGCAGTGCGCTTAAGTTCACATATGGCCAAGGTAGAAAAGTGCTAGAGGAGGAGGTTGATTTACTGGAGAGCCTTGCTCTACCTGAGATGTCGGCTCCTTTGAAGGGGAGACGCTTAGAACTCGGAACCCCAAAGAAAGCAGTCAGTACTAAGGGGGTCATTGACGACGACGATGATGCGCTTAATGGTTCGCCTAATTCAAAGTTACGGGATATCCACGAATTAAGACAGGCCGGGGCAAACTCTCGCGTGGCTGATACGATGCAAGACTTAGCAGACCAGATTGGTTCTCCAAGTGACAAGCCTTCATCCTCTCGAAGAGCCGCATTGCTCCAGATAGCGGAGAAAATCAAAGATAAGACATTTATGCGGCAATGCCGTGATCACGGTGTTGAGGCAGCATTACTAAAAGATGTAGACAGAGAGACTGATATCATCTCTGGATACCTGATTTTATCAATCCTCGTAACGATACTTGCAAAGTGGCCTTCTTCGCATACACAACAGCTTGTCCGGCTCGGTAAACCTGCAAACATATTTGTCCTTCTCCTTGGTGTTACTAGGGACATCAAGGTAATAGCGCGAGATAGGAAGAGCAACTTATCCAAGAGGAGTCAAACCTCTCTCATTGCCGTTCAGACTACGCTATGTGAGCTATCCATCTGGGGCGATGCTAGCCCACCACGCATATCACCAAGAAGCCTTGTCCTTAAATGTCTACACCTACTTATTACGCAGAATGTTAATGCAGCTAAGGACCCTGCGGTCTTCTCTCCAGCTGTAACAGAGGCTCTATTCACGGTACTCTCGGAAGCGGTTGACAGCACAGAGCATTGGGACTATCCCGCAACAGCGGAAGCGATTGATCTTGCAAACACTTTATCAATTCTCGACTTCTATGCCGTGAGCCTTGAGGAACCGCAGCGTTCAAACGCTGACTGGACTACTCGATATCTACCCATTGTAGCCGACGTCTTCAGCGCTTCCTCGCGAAATGGAATACCAGATGTTACAGCCCAAGAGAGTGAAAGCAAGCTGCTTGAGAGTGCTATCCTGAAGCTCACTATCAACTTGACGAATAATAGCCTAGAAGCACCGGAAGTATTTGTATCAAAAGGACTAATTCCTGCTTTGGCGAACTCGATATCCAGCAACTTCACCCGCATTTGGGCGTCTTTGTCCCAGGATACTTGGGTCGATGGGATCTTAGACAGCCTAGTCCTACGGCTAGGAATTTTGATCAATTTCTCAGAGCACAGTTCCCTCGTCAGACAAGTCATTGATGATTGTCACCATGATAATCAACGGCCAGTTGACGAGTTGATACGACTATTCTTAGAGAACTATCGGAGGACAGCAGAGGTGAGTACTGAGTAGCCCTATTTTATTGTTCTACATTAACAAAGGGGCAGGCCGATTCAATGGAGACTAGCCATTTGAATGTTGCCTTTGGGTACTTATCCGTATTGCTAGGCTATCTAGCTCTACATCCGCCAGTGCGACAGAAAATACGATCGAACCACTCGACCAAAAGTATTACGCCTCTACTTGATTCTTTACGCGAGTTTATTACCCACTACAAGAAGGTGGAGCAAAACATAGGCGAAGACGACGATAGCTCACGAGACCATAGTAGTTACATGGTGCGACTTCAGGACCTAGTACGCCAACTAGAAGACCAATCAAAATATGATTAATTCAGGATTGGTGGGTATTGTCGAAGCAGATTGGATGCATTGGATGGTTTCCTCCAAAGGCATGCCATATACGCATTATTTACCGTTGTAGGAAATTTTGATTTTCAGTATGGGATACAAAGGGGGGAAGTTGAAAAGCGTATTATCACGAGGAAAGGTTTAAACCATTTTGGTCCTTAGGCGTCTTAAAGAGAGGGGATGTAGACGTCTGCGATGATTTTATTGACATTACCCCAACGGAAGGTTTTCCGGACGAAGTAAAAAATACACGATCGAATACCCTTGAAGCAACCCACAAGGCATGACAATAACGGATGAACATGGCGGATAATGCGGAACAGTACAGGCAGCAGTAGGATACCCAGGACATAGGTATCTAGAATCGAGTTGAATGGAGGAAGGGCTCGACTCTAGGATCTAGTGTTAACGAAGCTTTGCAATTCATATCTATCACAGCTATTATAAGCCTTGAGCCGCAGGAATGCTACCTTAGTACCTTGCTCTAGTGTCATTTTCAGGCACATTTGTATTTTACCGGAGTCTTGGCCAACCCCGCGTTCGTCCGCAGAGTCAATGATGGCTCTATTACAGGGGCTCCCCTTATTGACTTATTGATTTGTTTGATTTGTTCTTTAGGTATGTACTTTGGGTACACAAGGTATGTCAAAGCAAGTTATTAATAGGAACTCGATACATTGCAGGTGCCATACCTAGCCGTGCTGTGCATGTTTCCTAGGTTAACCTTGGTTAGCCGCTATGCCCCTATGCTGCTATGGCTTCTACCAGGTTACATACCTCAATGTAGCATGTACCTACAGTACACTTATAAGTAGTTCATACAGTTGTACGGCGGCATGTGTACCTACATCGTAGTGAACTGGTACTTCAAATGCTATATACCGTACCTACCCCGCCTATGCCCTATAAGTTTTAGAGGTCTTGGTATGAGCTCTTCTATTTCCAGACCCTGAAGCGCCTGGGCGATCAGTTCGTTCCATGTAACAAACAAGGAGAAAAAGCCCCTCTCTCATATCTCTCTTACTCTGACCTCATAACCTAATGGTCCTTAATCTCTACTACGTGATATTGGGTAACATCTGCACGTCATAAAACACAAATGTGTGCCTGATTAAAGAACGTTTAATAAGAAGATCGAACGTTAAAAAGAATTAAAAAAAGGTGCGCTCATCCCGCGCCAACTCGAATCCCCAGATCAATAAAATACGACACACCGGCGGACAATATCACAATATCACAATACACAAATACACAAATACCTACACAAAGCGCGCAAGCGCACATACCTAGCAACCTACGCACATACATACCTAACCTAATACCTACCTACATTAACGCCCGCACGGGAAATATTTACACTTTCTTATTCCTCGTCGCTCGTCCCCCTTCCCCCCCACGCCGCGCACACCCGACAAGCCCCGACGTGTAATGCAGCATTATTATCCGTCATGCTCATGTGAGGTACCTAACATAGATAATACCTGCAGTACACGATAATTCTTAGTTACGCCTCGTCTCGCCTCCACGTAAATGCCGTCCCCGTCAAAGCAGCGGAAGGTTGCCATTGTTGGCAGCCGATCCGTAGGTACGTGTTCTAACGTTCTAGTGTTCTTCGTGTTTTTTTTTTTTTTCGTTATTCGTTCTTCGTGATACCTTTATCTACATACCTCTTCCTTTGCCTAGCCCTGTCCCTAGCAAGTTCTTTTTTCTTTTTCTTTTCTTTTTTTTCATGGATCGTGCATACAATACGATACATATTAATATAATATATGACATGTCTCATGGTCACGGAGCTAAGCTAACGCCTCGTAACCCCATCTTGCAGGCAAATCTTCCCTGGCGGTACAGTTCGTCGACGGCCACTTCGTCGAGAGCTACTATCCCACCATCGAGAATACCTTTAGCAAGGTCATTCGATTTAAGGGTCAGGACTATGCTACTGAAAATTGTCGATACCGCCGGCCAAGATGAGTACAGCATCCTGAACTCGAAACACTTCATCGGCATCCATGGCTACATGCTAGTGTACTCGGTCTCCTCGCTACCATCCTTCGAGATGGTGCAGGTCATCCGCGAGAAGATTCTCAACCACCTTGTTTGTCATCCCCAACAATTAATTCCTAAAATTCTTCAATTGTGTACAATGACATAGTAACTAATTAATTGGCAACTCTAGGGCACAGATTGGGTCCCAATTGTCATAGTAGGCAACAAGAGCGACTTGCGCCCTGAGCAACGCCAGGTTAGCCAGGAAGACGGCAAGAAGCTGGCGGAGAAATTCAACTGCGGATGGACTGAAGCCAGCGCGCGTTACAACGAGAATGTCGGTAAGGCCTTCGAGCTCCTGATTGCCCAGGTGGAAAAGTCACAGAACCCGAACGAAGCAACAAACGAGGGAAAGTGTCAGATGATGTGAATAACAACAATTTGAAAGAGGAAACCAAAGGACAGGTTTCAAAGGAAATACTACTACGTTGGAATATCAAACCAGCAAGGACAACATGATGGAACGTTAGGAAGGCTAGAAGGGGATCTCTGAGCCACCCCAGGGTGGTGGAATCTAGGTCAAGGTGCTACTGTGTTTTCGGACAGGTTACTGCTACTTTCTTCTTCTTTCGGCTTTGCATTATGAACCGCGCAGGTTACTAGTTATGATGTTTTTGAAGGGCAGAGACGATAATTGCCATGACTTGTATATACTAGTCAGAGCTTCAGGTCTGGTTAAGGAGTTAATCGGAAGTGCTTTATTGCTATCTCATAGTATAACAAGCTCAATATTCGCTATTAGCATGTGGCATTAATAATGACATTTTAATTATGCCTCAAATAAAATAAAAAAATATCTCGCCAGAATTGGGCCTCGAAGTTTTGGTATACCCAGAGCTCAGCATGTGAATGCATAGGTACTTACCTAGATGTACCTAGGATATGTGCAGTTACCAGGTATGTACATGTATCCAAGTACCCAGGATAAAAAATAAAAATAAAAATAAAAAAAGAGCTGCAGATAAAAAGGTACGTACCTCACCTATCATATCGTGCCCCGCCGCTGCGTCGCGATACCCCCTTCTGCCCCTCTGCTTCAAAAACCACCCCACCAAAATTTAGTCACTCCTTTAAACTGCACGGAAAGGAGTATTTCGATATCAGTCTTACTTCAAAGTCGTCTTCAAGTCCTCAATCATGCTAGACGTTTTAGATTTCATCACCGAGCGGGGTGGTAACCCCGAGAAGATCCGCGAGTCACAGCGCCGCAGATATGCCAAGGTTGAGGTTGTCGATGAGGTGATCGAGATGTTTGAGGACCATCGCAGAAGTTAGTCGCATACCCTATCGTACTAAGCAATATTCGCGATTGACACATCTTAAAATTATAGCCCAATATGCCGCGACTCAGATAAACAGCAAGATCAACGAAGTACAGAAGCAGATCGGTGCTAAGAAAAAGGTAATAATTCCTCTGAGTCATCAAGACATCTTATATATATTCTCGTTTCTGAGTACTAAGTACTAACTATCAACGTATATATAGGCCAAGGAAAACGCCGATGAACTACTTCAACAGAAAGCCGAACTCGAAAAGGAGAAGAAGGCGTTTATCGACTCGGCAGCTCAGAAAGATATTGCGCTAAAAGCCAAGATCAATACCATTGGCAACATCGTCCACGATTCGGTCCCTATCAGCGATAACGAAGACAACAACGCAATCCAACGAACGTGGGCCCCGCCAGGAGTCACGGTAGAGAAGAAGAATGTACTTTCTCATCACGAGGTTCTCTTACGGCTGGATGGTTACGATCCTGATCGTGGAGTCAAGGTCGTGGGCCATAGAGGTTACTTCTTAAGACAATGGGGTGTATTCCTTAACCAGGCTCTGATCAACTATGGTCTAGAATACCTTAGCAGCAAAGGTTTCACTCCCCTACAGACACCCCAATTTATGCTCAAGGACTACATGGCGAAGACAGCTCAGCTAGAGCAGTTTGATGAGGAATTATACAAGGTAGTCGACGGCGAAGCGCAAAATGACAAATACCTTATCGCGACGTCGGAACAGCCCATCTCCGCCTTCCACGCCGACGAATGGATGATGGCCAAGGAGTTACCTATCAAGTATGCGGGCTTTAGCACGTGCTACAGAAGAGAGGCCGGTTCCCACGGCCGTGACGCTTGGGGCATCTTCCGTGTCCATCAGTTCGAGAAGGTGGAACAATTCGTGCTTACGGACCCCGAGAAGTCGTGGGAGATGTTCGAAGAAATGTTCACAACCTCTGAGGAATTCTACAAGTCGCTTGGGTTACCGTACCAAGTCGTAGCTATCGTCTCGGGGGCGCTGAACAATGCAGCTGCTAAGAAGTTCGATCTAGAAGCCTGGTTCCCGTTCCAGGGAGAATACAAGGAGCTGGTGTCGTGCTCAAACTGTACTGACTACCAGTCGCGTGCCCTAGAAATACGGTTTGGTACTAAGACGCAGACGGACGCTAAGAAGAAATACGTTCACTGCCTCAACTCGACGCTCTGTGCCACCGAGAGAGCGCTATGCTGTATTCTTGAGAACTACCAGACGGAGGATGTAAGTGTATAATTAATTCCTAAATACATACCGAGGCTAACTTGTTTCAGGGTCTCCGAGTTCCCGAACCGCTACGCAAGTACATTCCGGGCGCTCCCGACTTCATCCCTTTCACCAAGGAACTGCCCAAGGATACAACTTCGGCAAAAGCTAAGGCCAAGGGAGAGAAGGGTGTCAAGCAAAAGGTGGCTGCTGCAGGAGCCGCAGTCGCGGAAGCTGGTGAGAAGCTGAAGGATTTAGCGGTGTAATTAAATGAATATTGACGGGTTCGGATGCTGAGGAATGCGTACTATCTCGTTAGAGGTGATGCAGTTGAACTAGAATAAGGAAGAGACTTAGGTGCATCTCATGCTATGGCACATAGTAAAAAGTAACAGCCATGCGTTTGACTAGCGTAGCAGCACCAGCATCTTACACCATAACCGAATAGAGAAGAATTGCCCATGACAACCTTGATTTTTTACGACATGGATTTGTGTGGTATACCATGAGAAACTATCGTAACTAAAAGTAGCTCAGGGGTTCAAATTAAATGTGATGTTAATGCTTAGGTAGGAATGAGATGAATGAGATGAATAAGACGGGTGTTAAAATGGTAAGGTTAAAAGAGCATCGATGTTTTTGCTTCCATGACAGGGAACTTCGGTTCTGTCGGCTCACTATTAGACCCCTGTAGAATGGATCTTACAAACGGGCATGTAACTTTTAAATATATAACTAGTTACCTAAGGTAGGTAACTACATATTGTCCTCTCTTATTTATTGTATTCTCTTTGTTATATCTAAATTAGATATAGTGATAGAAAATGGTGTTAGTTATATGTACCTCTTCTACTGGTTAGTATATGTAGGTAAGGTCCCTATTGAATGCAATCAACCGTAAGCCTTTAACATTCCGAACCATCTGGGTTAAAGACGTTCTCGGGGAACACGAAGCATCAGCCGCACACGGCTTCCCTGTACCCTGGAGATATGCCCACTTATTCGTTCTTTGAGAAGGAACTATTCCCCCCCTAAATAATACAAATGAATCTGAACCCGGTTATGGACGACAATTCAACCACCAAGTGAGAAATTGACTTACTTCACTCATTCTTTTTCTTTTTTTTTTTTTTTCCCTATTCATCCACGAATTAGAAATCACACTAGTATTAAATGCATCGTTAAAGCAAACGGCCAATCAACCCCGTGGGTGGCTAGGATCCTACCTAACGCATTTACCTAACGTATTACAAGACGCAGGCGCTTACGTCTTTATTCAACCAGGTGAGAAAGGAGCGAATATTCTATTACGTTCTAGCTTTGTTCTAGCAGCTAGTAAGTTAATAATTAGAAGCGGAAAAAGGCAAGAGCATCATTATTTCTACTATAATCAGCTGTTATGTCGGGTGTATTCAACTGCCCTTTTTGCGGATACAAGGATTCCGTCGAATATAGCATCCTACTTGTAAGTCCCGTAACCCCTAACTCCCCTGTCGTCCTCTCATGCCCAGACGACGACGACGACTACGTTCTTTTCTCCGGGTGCTCATGCGCTTCTCGCAGCACCTGGAGGTCCATCATAGCGAGGGCAAATCCCCGTTCGTGCCGGATGAGGCGCATAATGCAGCTAGACCGGAGGTAGAAGCTACCGTTGCTAAGGAGGAGCTTACCGAGTATTTCCAATGCCCGGTCAAGAGCTGCGGCGAGATCTTGCATATGGATAGGTTGGACGACCATCTCGAATTGCATAACGCTGAACAAGTCGGGAATGCGGCTGAAGGATCGAATACTAGAGAGCTAGGGAGCGCGTCGCCGGAGAGCGGCTCTCAATCTTCTGCGCGAACTCCGGGACGTAGCCGAGCTAAGCCCGATGTACCGGTCGGCCCTATCCCGAGCGCTCTACCGCTCAACACGGCCGGAGACTACCACATAAAATCATCTAAGCCCGTCAGGAGACTTGGAGTAAGCTTTCTTCATTTCATAATGCAACTCGCCATTCAGCATTCATACTCTTAGATATATTCAAAATATAGGGAAATGTCTAGTTAGTGAGCTGACATGAACATGACGTATAGAAAAAAGAACTCGGCGCGTACTACAACGAAGAGAGAATGCCGCGCTGGCTCGAGGATTTACTGAGGAAGCGTGGGTACAAGAGCTCACAAGGTTGGTTTCTCTCCAGCATGTCGCAGCTCGTAAGTCCATGCGTCTGGCGCATATCAGCTCACGAATACTCTCAGGCGTAATACCCGTCCTGGCAAAACTCCTACATCAGAATAAGTACACGCAATACGCGTATCTCTGTCACCCAGAAACACAGCACATCTCCAAACTTAGAAGTGAAGGTATGTATAGCTCACGTCTCTGAATCTACGTATATCCATATATAGGGTAATAGTCATCTAACGCCGATTGTCTGATAGGCAGCTTCTGCGGCTACAGAAATATCCAGATGCTGATATCGTATATCATCGGGACCGGGACGACGGGTGCTGCGGCTTTCGAGAACACTATCCCTAATATCTTCCAGATCCAGGATCTCATCGAGAACGCTTGGGACCAGGGTATCCACGAGGACGGCCGGACGGAACTCGGTGTGCTCAGGGGCACGCGCAAGTATATCGGAACACCAGAGGTGAGTTCAACTAACATTTTCTTACCACTGGCTAGGTTTCAGTAACGGTACATGAAATTTTTTTTTTATTCATTCGCCATGAACGAATGTGCATAAGCCGATCAAGCTAACTATTACACCTCTGAATAGGCCCAGACGCTGTTCGCAAGTTTAGGTATACAGTAAGTTTTATTTACTCTTATTATATATTCGACAAAGCCATATGAGTACATATTATCTTCTCGTCCTTGAATACTAACGTACCGCGTTCCTTCTTCTAGATGGGACATGCAAACGTTTAAGAACCGTCCGGGAGAACCGCCTTCTGCTTCGGAGAACAGGATGTATGACGCCGTGGAAGAGTATTTCGCAACAGCACCAAGCGTCAATATGCAGAGTAAGGTCCGCAAGACAATGCGGCCACCAATTTATTTACAGCATCAGGGTAAGCCTCTCATAACCTTTTATTTTTTTCATTCACTTTTACACACTATTGAGATTAAGGAATGAGAAGATTGACACATATTAACTTAATCGTTTTCAACTCGGCTTGCTAACACGTCTACAATTCAAAGGCCACTCCATGACCATCATCGGCTTAGAGTGCCAGCCCAGCGGCAACCGGAACCTAATCGTTTTCGACCCGTCTTATGGGGACCCGTCCAATATCACGCGACACCTCGACGGCACGAGGCCCGTCGAGCATAACCACCACCCGGATCGCGCGCTCAAGCTCTACCGTCGCGGCCCGAGGTACCTGAGCAAATATCAGGCTTTTGAGCTCATGAGGTACGTACATGCTCGTATCTAGATTTTCCTATCCCTGTTAACCCTACGCCATGCGCGTGGCGCTTTTTATATTACGAGTCCCGAGTCCTATGCTTATGCTTATGCTTACGTATACTTGCGGCGTCTAGGCTAAGAGAGTAATCAATCATCTTCCAACTTGAATTTTCTTTCTTCTTCGGTCGCGTGACCAAACAGACTACCTTAATCCCGGCACAGCAAGCATTTTACGTAGTCGGATATCTTCGGCGTCTAGGGAGGCGGGAACGGGCGGGTTATTAACGGGGTTAGAATATTAAGCACGCCGTATTGTATCCAAGTAGCAAGTTACGTGTTCCAGTATCTAGAATCGAGGCGGCTAGTGAAGCTTTAGAAATATAAAATGCTTTATTTATCTATTCATCCTTTGGTAACCGAGAACCGTACAGGGTGAGTATGTCTATGTGGTAGGTATCATGTGAAGATCTAAGTCATTCTAAGCGCCTCCCTTACGCCTTCATGCCGCCGCCCTCGATCCACGCGCGCAGCTTCTCGAGCGCCTTGAAGCGGTGCGAGATCTTGTTCTTGGCAGCCTTGTCCATCTCGGCGTAGCTGCGGTTGTTAGTTTACTTTTCTTCTTTTCTTATACCGTGTAATGCCGGCTGTAGATAGGAACAGGGCAGTGCTAAAGAGAGGGGGGGAAAAGAGAAAAGGATACTTACGTCTGTCCGTCATACTCGAAGATTGGATCCCAGCCTATCAGAGACAGTTAGTTAGTCACTAGTTATACTTGCTTGGTGCAAGTTAAAACGAGGGGACGAGAGAATTGAGTCCTACCGAACGTCGTAGGGCCTCTCGGAGGCACGATCTTGCCCTGCGTGCGCCCCTGGAACAGGAGAACTTCCTCGCCGGGCCCCTGGCAGAAACCGAACGTGGCGACGGCCTGGGCGGACTTGTCCTCGTAGGCGGCGAGGAGGTTGTTGAGGCCGGCGTGGCCGATGGATTGCATGAACCATTTTCTGGGTGGGTTGTTAGTCTATCCATCCATACCATCTATCATCTATCCGTCTATCCATTTCTAGATAGATATATAGATAGATAGACAGGATAGATTCGTAAAAGGTAAATAAATCACGTACATATACGGGCCCGGTAGCCCGTTCAGCGCGTCGAAGCACAGGCACGTGTCCTCGACGAGGACGGGGCCCCCGACGGCGGCGACGGCGGCGCGGCACTTCTCGCGCGTCACGTCCTCGAGGGCGCCCTGGATCTCGGGCAGGTCGAGGGGTTGGTTGCGCACGGTGATGCCGGCGGGCTCGAGGATGGCGCGGACCTCGGAGAGCTTGTTGGCGTTGCCGGTTATGAAGTTGAGGACGGGGGCGGACATGGTGGTTGTTTGTATGTGGATGAGTGTGTGTGTGTGTGTTTGTACCTAATGTATGCGTGTTTGTATGTGGATGAGTGTGTGTGTGTTTGTATGTAGGTATGAAGTGTGTGTGTGTGTGTTGGTGGATTAATATAAGTGGCAGAATAGAGTAGAATAGAATATGATAAAATTAAATGATACCCCTTTTCTAGAAATTGATCTATCTCTTCGATCGGAAAGTCTATCGTTTTATATCATTGAGAAAGATAAATAAATAAAAAAAAAAATAAAGCTCCGGTGTGACGCACCGGCAACATGCAGACTAATGCAGATAGCTGTACTTAAGCTGAGGCTAAAAAGTTTGTCGTTGTGGTTTTTTAGTGCCATCTCATTGGCGGAGAGACTTTTCGTTATAGACCATTACCAACCTTGGTATCAGCCCAACGAGGCGAAGTGATGTTGTGATTTTTACATATGTTGGTTGTTGGTGAGAAATAATATGGGAAGGTTGATTTACACTTTGTTTTTTTGAATATATTACGTATATTAAAATTCGAGGCTGGGTTTTCTTATATTTCACCACATATTTACAATACTTACACAATTAAACAACAAATGTCATATCACGGGCCGAAGAGAAATCACGGGTATCTCATTCACATTCACTAATTAAACCCTCCCTTACTGCTCCCCATCCGCAGCATGATCCTGCTTCCACTGCCTAATCCACGCCTCGATGCGATCGACATTACTCTCCATCTCGTCGGTCGAGTTACTCGTTAGCTCGACGATGATCTGCTCGTCGTAGCTATCCCGCGCCTCTTGTAGCAGCACCTCCATGATCTCCGAGTCTATGTTTTCTTGTAGTTTCATCTCGGGGTATTTCCTGTTTCTATTTATCAGCATGGGGGAGAAGAGCAACAGGACAAAGAGAGACAAACCTTGAGGATAATCGGTCGTATAGCGTACTCGAGTCTACCCGCAACACTACCACCAGATCGATCCAGCTCTCGGGGAAGATCTCGCACCCGTGCCAGTCTATGATGCAGCCGCCGGCTTTGACATTGTCTTCTTCTAGCGCATCGAGTAGCTGCCATGCTTGATTAGCTCTTATTCCTGCTCTTGGATCCATCCGTCTTCATATTTACACCAGCCCAGCCTTCCCAGACCATCAATCATATACATTAGGTAAACTATCAATCATCCCCCCCTGAGTGAAATAAAAGCAGCCAGAAAAGCATCGCATAAACTCACCTTATCTTCATCAACAACCCAGCTCTTAAACTCCTCATCCCAACCCTCGTGGCACTCCCTATCCTTAACCACCTGATTCACCGAGATGTGTCGCAGCCCCGTCCGCTCCGCTAGCACCTCCGCATGCGTCGTCTTGCCGACGCCAGGCGTGCCCGTGATGATGATATTTGGATCGGTGCGCATCTTGTTTACTTTTACTTTTTTTTTCTCTCTCTTCTTCTCCCTTTTCCTCTGTATGTTGCGCTGGGAAGAAGCTTTCTTTTCTTTCAAAAGGCTAGAGTTACACTTTTCAGACTTTGGTATGAGAGTGGCTCCAGTGAGAGAGTATCAGTCAGGGGCGCGCACTCAACAGAAAGAGAGCTCAGAAATAAAAATCAACAATTGAAATTATCAATTGCTCAAAACAGTCGTATATTGATCGAATGGTGCTTTTAAAAATCGTTATTTTACTTTTGAATCAATTGCATTAGTTTTCGGTTTCGGTTTTTTTCGGTTTCGTTCATTACGTACCTCTGGCCCTTATATCGAAAACCTTCACTTAGCAGATTTTTATTTTAAACTGGGTCACGTGCATATACCCGTCGAATCAGGTCGCTTTATTAGGATACTACTGTTGCAAACATCCATCCATTCCTCTATGTTAGGTAGGTAAGGTTAGTTAACACCAACACCAACACACCAACACCAATACAAACACCAATACTACCACTCACGACCTTTCATTCCTTAAAGACGAAGAAAGGAAGAAATTAAAATTAAAAAAACAATTATAGAATTAGAATTGGAGATTAGTAGAGTAGTTAGTTCATGGACATTATCTCGTAATTCAAATACGTAGTAGTAGGCTTTGCGTACGCGGAGAGAGAAGAACGCTACCTCTCTCATAGTTTTTAAAAAAAAAACAAAAACACTTCGTCTCTTCTTCGTTTCGTCAGCATGTACAGACCCATACACCTTAGAGCTAGATGCTACAGTATCACACGTCTCATTTCGTCTCTTCTCTCTTTTTTGGTATACACTCTCCTCTCCTGGCCCACCACGGGAACTGGGACGTCTAAAATCATCATAAATATAATAAAAAAAGGCATCATCAGCTTGCATGCATGCATCGTTAAAACGCCCCCGGTCCGTGGTTCGTACGAGCCTTTCTAGTTCAATCATGTCTCGATATCCATTAAAATATCCACCCTGGCTCGTCCCAACCGCCACCATCTCCCCGTGCGGTCGTCTACGGGACTCGAAGCTGCCTGCTGCCTCAGCCTTTATATGAACTGTCTATGCTGACATGTTCGTCCCGTAACCTCTATCCGCCCGGACCTCGCCATATTCTTACTGTTATGGGAAGACGTGGTCTCTTAGCTCCGGCGGGTTGCAAGTTGCCGGTATTACGGTTCTACGCACTGCCGGTTTCAACTTCGTCAACCTCGGCTAGTTCGCCATCGCCGTCGTACTCGTCTGCTTCCATCTTCTCCTGTTGCGCGATGGCCTGGGCAGATACTATCTCTGCCAACCTCTTTAGTCGAGGAGTTTGTAACCCTGTAAAGAATTTGAGTTAGCCGTTATTCGTCTCAGGTAGAAGCATAAAGTATTAAACTTACATGATGGGGTGTATGTCTCTAGAGCGGTAATAGCGCGGGGTTCTGCGATCTCATACGGTCCACTGTCATCCATATCTACGGCCGTCAACAAGAGAACGTCGCTCTTCTCCGTTACTCTCGATGCTACAGCCTTCATAATTTCTCCGTTAATGGGCTGCTCGTAATCCGCCACTAGATATTGGTTTAGCAGCTTCTGGATTTGGTTGGGAGAGAGCCTGTGAATATGGGTCAGCTACAACAAGTTCTTCGAATCTCAGTCTTCTCTATACTCACATCCAGCAGATATCTTGGATGATCTCAATATCGTTCAAGGTCGCCTTCTTGAGCTGTAAGAGTTTCGTTGCTTGCTAATTTGAGTGTTAGCCATGGTCTATAAGTACTCATTTTCGGTCAACTTACCATAAGATGCTCAAGTTGTAGAGTGCCTTCGGGCATGTCGTGACTCTTGCACCACTCTTCAATCCGAGTAATATTGTAGTTGATTTGCAGGCCACGCTTCCACGAGAGGAAATTCCTGCGCATGAGTAGGTCGTTGAACGCGGTGACGCCCACCAACTTGAGGAGCTCCGTGACGGTTTGTGTAATGATAGTGTCTTCCAAGTAGTAAGCCTTCATCGCCCTGAAGACGTTGTTTAGCAGGCTTAGGAGTTGGTCCATGCTGTAAGCAGGCTGAGAGTTGGTCGCCAACAACTTGCCGAGGAATCGGTTGCTTTCGTTCGTAACGAAGCCCGGTAGGGATTGAGACTCATAATAGCAGGGATAATCATCTTCTGCAGCTTCCTTCTTGAGAATCTTCATCCACGTATGATAGATGTTGAATTCCAAACTCTCAAGATCGTGCTTGACAATTTCTAGTAGACGGTCGTACTCGTAATTGTCCGTCTTTTGGGCCTCGTACCAATCCTCGGCAAGGAATACAAATGATAACATCTCGTGCACGTTAGACAACCAGAAGGCACCTGGGTTAATCGCGTCATCCCCATCGTAATGCATAACTTCTTGCTGGATCGACTGCATAACGTTTGCCAAGAATCTCTCCGACTCCTTGACGAAACCATTGTTCCACATCTCGGACGTGACGAGGTTGATGAGGTAAGAGGGGAAGAGAACTTCCTTGTCTGAAGGAGGCGGGTTCGTGTTTGGCGATGGGATCTTTAGGTTCTTGATCAGACCCAATGTGACCTCCTCGTTCAAGCCATCTTCATCGGCAAGTAAGTTCTCCAATTCCATCTCGATAGTGTCCGCCCCCGGGATGTAACCAGCGCCGGGCCTGGCGTTGGTAACTGCCATAGAAACCGGGCGAGGGTTGTACGCCGCACTGAAGCGGTCCATTCCGCTGGGTTCTGCGCCGGCACTCCTGCGCTTGGGCTTCTTGGACGACACCAAGTTGATGAGGCCGTTGGGAGGAGCGGTAACACCGTTGCCGTTGGTAAGCTCTCCGTTGAGAGGAGCTGACCGCTTGGCCAACTCGAGCTCTTCGGCCATCTGGGCTAGTTGATCCCGTAAGGTCATCTTCTCGTTCTCGTGAAGCGTGCTCTCCCGCTTGATGCGTTCCAACTCGGCATTCGCGGTTCGTAGAGACTCCTTGAGCTCCCGCTCCTCCTCTTGCATCCGCTTGACGCTCGAAGTTGACTCGTCGAAGTTGTGCTGTAGCTTCTTCATCTCCTCTTCCATGGCCTGCAGCTTGGCTACAGCGATACCAGCCTGGTTGGCCTCTGCTTGAAGCTCCTTTGACCTGGTCTCGAGGGCGTTGTGACGGGTCTTCCACGACTTGATTTGGTTTTCGTAGTTTTCCACCTGACTTTGAAGATTCTTGTTCTGAGTCTTCATAGTACCCAGAGACTGCGTGAGTTCGACGACCTTGTTTTCCAGCTTGTACGAAATCTGCTTCAGGTCACGAGCTTCCTCGCGTATCGTCTTGTATCCCTTCCTTGCTTGCCTTCCGCGCCACAAGCTCTGTATCAATATCACCTTCTTGCGGTAATTTCTCCACGTCCTGACTTGTCGCCTCGACCGCCACACCCGCTGGATGAGAATAACAGCATTGCCCACGCGAGTTTCCATGATCTCTCTCCTTCGCAAGTAACCCTTGGCAATAGCCTGTACGAGTATGACACTGTTGCGGATTCGCAGGAATTCCCTGCGTTGCTTTTGCCCCTTCCATACCCTCTGTATTGTTGTTGCAGCCTTGACCGTGCGTAATTCCTGAGCTGCTTTCCGGGTCGTGTAGGCTCTGACGAGCGACTGGAAAGTAATAATAGCACTTCTTGCTTCGAGATACTTACGGCGGTAGTATTTGGCCTTGAGATTCTTTTGGATCAAGGTAGCAGCCTCGGTCATACGGCTCTGGCGAAGGTTTTCCAGATGCGCGAGCATACCCGCACGGAAGAAGATCTTAGTCAAACCCAGCTGGTAGCTGTCGGTTCCAGTGCCTGTTCCCGAACCGAGTGCCTGGGCCAGAATCTCTTTAACTAATTGCCGAATCTCAGTCTGCCACCGGCTTGACGGTATTAGTAAGTAGTACCGTAGAGCAAATTCCTCGTATGTCCAGCGTCCAGGGTAACCAGCGCAACTAATACGGATAGTCTCGAGGACACCACAAGCCCTCAGTTGACTGAGCACCATAGGTCCTTCAAACTTCCACGCAACCTTGGCCTCATTCGGCTTGATACAACGGATATAGTGGACATTGGTGTTTCCAATTGTGTTCATTAATTCGATAAGCGAAGAACGGAAGATGCCACCAAGGGTAGGCTTGCGGTTAACAGCAACTCCTATCTTCCTACCCGCAGCGGGCTTCGCAACGGCGGAGCCCGAGGCAGCCACGTCCTTTTCGCGAACGGCCAATGCTGCTGCAAGCACGCTATTGAGGAACTTATTCGTCGTCGCGCGAAGAATCTCCATATGCTCGTCGGGTACCGTATCCCTATTCTTATCGATGAACCCCTCTGACTCGTACGTGACATCGACAGCATAATGGCAGACGGTGAACGAAGATTTTCCAAACCGAGGCTTTTTGTAGAACTTATTCTTATCGCCAGAAAAATTGTGATGGAGCTTCGTAACGAATTGCTCATCGGCGCCCATAGGTAGCCTAGACTCTTCATCGAGAAGAGATAAAATACCTAGTTTACCTTCGATCAAATCGATACACGGCTGGTTGTCAGAGAACTCGATAAATTTCCAATCGATCTGTTCTCGCACGTATTCTTCTTGTTCCAATCTGAATACGTGCGAGTTAAACTGCTGCTGCAATTTCTCGTTGGCATAGTTAATACAGAACTGCTCGAACGAGTTCTTAGCAAAGTGCTCGAAACCGTAAATATCAAGTACGCCGATGAAGGAGGAAAGACGACTCAAGACTTCCTCGGTAGCAAGACTCCTGTTGATGACTTCCACCAACCAGTCGAAAAGACTCGAATAGATGTACTTGGCTACGGAGTCTCGTACGACTAGAGCTTGCTGTTGTGTTAAGTTCGAGACAATCTTCTCGCCACGAGTGACAAGCTGCTTCTTCACAATCCACTTGGCGAAGTTTGTAGCGTCGATTCCAAGAATGGAGCAAGCTTTCTCTAGAGCCGGTTCTGTAGGAGCCAGTACACTGTCGTTTCTAGAAGCACCGATCTTAACGTTACCTAGGTGCAACAGACCGGCAAGGAGGTTGAAGATACCGGCCTGCTGAGTTTCGTCGACGCCGATTGTCTTCAACGAACTCTTAGTGGCAGCAAATTCAGCCTTGTCGTCCATCCCATCGATCGTAGGAGAGTTTCCCTGGTTAAGGTAATCAAACTGCTCGACCGGTAGTAGGCTAAGTTCCTGTCGTTCTTTATCCGTCGCTCCGGCTAGTAACTGATAGAAAATGTGGTAATTTCTTTCCTTCAGAGGCTGGAATACCAATCTCGACCGCTCGAGGAGGTATGTTCGGATCCTAGCACCAATAATGTTCGTCTTGTTGTCGAACATAATCTCTATATACTTTCCAAATCTCGACGAGTTGTCGTTTCGGGTTGTCTTAGCGTTTCCAAATGCTTCCATGATAGGGTTAGTCGCTAGAATTTGCTCCTCCGTCTCGCTCATGCCTTCGGAGCCCTTCTTGACTCGACCCCCTGGATTATCTGGGGATTCTCTCGTGGCAAAGTATCGCATAATGTATTTGGCACTGACGGTTTTTCCAGCACCTGACTCTCCTGAAACTACGACGGTTTGATTCCTGACATCTTTGACCATTTTTCTACATCTAGTGTTAGCTACATATAGAATATAATTGTCTGGGTGCAGGTATGCTTACATGAAAGCTTCTTCGGCGATGGCAAACAGATGGGGGGCTTGTAACTCCCTCTGCTTGCCAGCGTAAACTTGGACCATACCCGGGACATAGAGAGAGTCGACCCGAGCAAATGGATTTGTAGCAATCAGCACTATACCACTGTACGTGTATATTTCTTTTTGCGCATATCGTAGACGGATGGCCTGGAGCACTACACAGACAGGATTGTCAATATCTGGGTCCAACATTGGACTTGAAGATGTTGGCGGGGTCATGCATACCGGCCGGCTCGTTAAGATAAGATAGATTTGTTAAATCATCGCTGGCTTCGAGCATCGCAGGGTTCATCAGCGGTGGTAACGACGGGTCGTTGGCATTTTGCAAAGCCTCGGCCGAGAGCTCTATCGTTTTGGTCTAGAAAACGGATTAGCGGTCAGGATTCTGCTTTGAAAGCCCTTCGACGCCATGCCGACTAGTAAGCTTCGCATACCTCTTCATTCTCGAACTTGAAGACCAAGGTCACCTTGTCGCCATCTACGGTCTTCTTGACAACCTCGGATGCCACCCAGCCCTCGGTGGCATCTGGCTGCCAAGCTCTCGTACCAACATCGTAGCTCTGCGACATGAGAGGCTATTGATATAATTCGGGTGGGAGAATATAGCAGAAATCAAGATCGGTCGCGTCGCGAAAGGTGGAAGGATATTAGGCCACTTATTAGGGGGAAGCGGTAAGTAGCACGAGGCATTCGTATCGGTCGCTCGAGTTTCGCTGGTTGGACAGGAAGGACAAGCGAGGAAATATGTACTGAACGAAGGAAGCCTAAGTATAGGTAAAAAGCCCACTAGAGACCGGTGTACAGAACGGAAAGAAGAGGGCCTAGGAAAGGATCTAAATGGTAGGCCCTTGAAGTAAATTATGACGACTGACGGTTGACGGTGATGCTCACAACTACTACATATGTAAAGAAGGAGAAAAATAAAATAAGGTGATGGCGAGGTTTTGTCGACGGCGTTGTGTGATGTTGTACCGCTTGTATGTACAATGCAATTAGGTACCTGCAATAATCTGTAATACCAGTACCTAATGTATGTACATAGTATTGTCACTTTTATCACTTTTATCACTTGATCATGGCCGGGGATGTTGCCCAAACCCGCCCTTCAATGATTGAAATTTAGGGGAGGTAGGGGATAAAGGAGAGCGCGTTACCTATATCAGCTTAGTTCAATGTTAGTAACAGGGGTTTGTTTTTCGAGAAAAGGGTCTTCCAGCCATTTTTAATTCTTTCAGTTCTTGACGGACTGGGCTTACCTTGTTCGGTGGGGATAGAGGGGGGTTGAAACCGGTGGCAGCTAGTAGTACAGCTAGTACAGCTAGTACAGTTTACTTACAAACACAGTTTTAATACGTATTTGTCAACGTATCTTTTACTTACCTCATAACTGGTAGTAAAAATGTTGCTAAGGCGGTGCGTCTTACATAGATGCAGTGGACATACAACTGGAAGTCATCCACTTTTCTATAAGTGGGTGTACAGGTGTATGTATATTGTATATTGTACCTCCGCTTCTTTCGCCATTCACTAAGTGAGGTCTTCTCCCTTTTTCGTGCAGAAAGGTTGTGTACAACTTTAGCGGTTGACAAAGCACAAAAGCGTCAATTCTGCATGTCTATTTTCGTTAATACAATGTTGTGACAGCCTACTCCGGTCAATCAGATTAAAGAGATGACAGTATGCACCTGTAGGTTTGTACCATAGATGTCATGGATGTCATGAATGTCATAGATGTGTCGAAAAAAAACTAATGTACCTGCATATATCAGAGTACATTATCGGAAGTGGGATATTTTATATTTTACAATATCTCACTTTTATGGTTACAATTCGGATACTACCTACATCAATCTTTTAGATTTCATCGTTTCTCCTAATGAACATCTAATGAATATCTCCAAGCCACATAGAAATATCAATTAAAGATACACGTAAGATCTAAAAAGGTGCGAGCGTACCAGGTATTCAAGTTCCTAGTAACGTGTTGCTCCATATTCTCTCCTCTTAGCCTCCACGCCATATCTACCTTTCCAGGATCCTTGACCGTCTAATGAATTAGCGAGGTGAAGAAAAAAAAAAGACTCAAGGTTTCTCCCGCCGATATCAAGCCGGTCCCTACCATACTTACCTATCTATAACTAAATTATATATGTATATCATTTTCTACGTATTCAGCTTATATGTTTCTCTACCTGTGACATCGTAGGAAGCGGATATCAAATCCATCTATTCTGGATACAAAATCTGTGTCTGCAGGGGTAGCAGCCCGAACCTGATGGTGCATAGAAACCCGACACTCACAACCAACCCTCATCCCCAGATCTCCAAATGTGCTTACATACCACGGTACATACGTGGTAACGTACGGGTGTCTATACGCTTGGCCGCCTCCAACGAAATAGTTGTTTCATCTTTCGGCAATCCGGAGCCTTTCCTTTTTTACGCGGGTCAAGCACAAGCCACAAGTTGGCAAATTCGCCCAGTTAAGGGGAAACTACTCATAGTTCAAGTCATCAACTTAGTTATTATGTAGTTAAATCCTTCGAGTAGAAGTTATCAATGGCACTGTATATCTTTTCCCCCTCTAATTCTTCCCACATGTCACCGGTGATATCCGTAGATTCTAACCAGCTTTGTGAGGCTCTTCGTAATAGGAGATATAAGACACTAAGCGGAACATCCGGGACGTCGAATTATAATAAAACCATGCTCTATAAGTAACCGCCCAGATAAGTTTATGCTATAATAAATGATACCCCTATGCCTTGGGCTTTTTTGTTGAACCTCATGCCCCTTTTCCCAACCGTACTGATGCAATTTTCTTGGGTATCCGTCTTGTCGTAAGTTGAATTTTACATACCCGTCATGCAATAATTATTTACTTGGCTCAACACCTTCTCATCATTGGAATTCTCGGGATCCGTCTACTGCCCGCCACAAACTGTTACCTTTCCTAATACAGTACGCGGGTCATAACACGGGCTTGTAGGCTAGGTTAGCTGTGTATATATGGAAGATATAGACCAATACTTACAGCTCAATGCTTCGAGCGAATCTTGGATCTCCTTTAGATCGCTCGTTTGGACGTCACTAACGTCCGCCATAAGGTAGGCAAGCTGTGTACGTTAGCTTGAAGCTCGATGAATAGATATATATATACGAAGGAGTGTAAGGACGTACGTCTCCTTTGCTGTCGCTAATTTGCTTATCGACATTGTGGTTACCGAGAATTTCGTTCACTGCTTAGGTATAAGTATCTAGATATGATTACATGTAACTACTGTTACTTTACTAACCTTTACGAAGAACACCGGGCACATTCTTGTGGATGTAAATGATCTGCAGCGAATTAGAGGTTGCCATAGAAGTGTACGCGGCCGAAGACTTCTTACTCGTGCGTGGTTAGGCTCCTCTAACGTTAGCAGACGCATGTTGACCTCGGGCATGTTTACGCTGCCTAAGGTAAGGCCCAGGTTGATATATCGAACTAAAGCATCGCTGACTATGGTATTCGTGTTAGCGTAGAGATTTCAACCTATTATAATGAGATCTTTATTACCTTCTACGCCGATTGCTCTCTGGGCTTCTTCGGTGCTGCCACCAATGTGAGGGGTGAGGATGATGTTGTTCAGGCTACGAAGGTCCTCTTCCCAGCCATTCAGATTGTTAATGAAATAATCGCCGTTTGCGCGCGGTTCGCTCGGGTAAACATCTAATGCGGCTCCTGCGATCTTGCCGCTGCGCATAGCGTTGATTAGGGCGGGGATATCAACCACAGTTCCACGGCTAGCATTGATAAGGTACGAGCCGTCTTTCATATGCTTGAGTTGCGCTGCAGAGATCATGTTCTTAGTTTCGGGTAGCTCCGGGACGTGCAGAGTTATAAAGTCGGCCTCTCTCAGGAGGTCCTCTAGTTTGGGTACTTGTCGAGCTGTGCCTAGTGCCATCAAGTTCACGACATCGTAATAAATAACCGACATCCCCATGGCTTCCGCAAGGACGGACAACTGTGAACCAATATGTCCATATCCGATGATTCCTTTAATATAATCAAGATTAGCTCTTGGTGTAGGTGCATTGGTGTATAGATGAGTCTAAGTGGTGTAATACGTACCAAGAGTCTTGCCACGAATCTCCCAGCACTTGTTGCTTACTTTGTTCCAGATACCCTTGTGCATCTCATTGGACCTATCGCCCAATTGGCGGGCCAGAGATATAATCTCGGCAATGACGAGCTCGGCCACACTACGAGAGTTTGCAAATGGCGAATTGAAGACGGCAATGCCATGATGAGCAGCATATTCCAAGTCCACCTGGTTCGTGCCAATGCAGAAACAGCCAATCACTAAGAGGTTCTTGGCCTCGCGAAGGACTTTCTCGTTTAACTTGGTTTTGGAGCGAATGCCAACGACATGAACATCCCTATCAGTTTATATTAGAGTCTTGCTGCTTACTATTTTTCTTATATAGTTTGAAGCAATAAAACTTACCGGATCTTCTCTATGAGCTGATCTTCAGGCAATGAGCTCTTGTGGAATTCGACTTGGTAACCCTGACCAGTCAAAATATCCCTGCCGCTCTGGTTGACATTTTCAAGCAAGAGAATTTTAATATCTTGAGTATTAAAAGGCTTAAGTTGCTTGGGCTGAGCTCGCTGGGGAAGTACCCCGCCAAAGCTGGATAGCGGGGAGTGAAATGTGGCAGCTGATGGTGAGACCGACAGTTCGGACTCAGGAGCCCTGGAGATGTTCTGTGCTTGTGCCATGGTTGTGCAATTGTATTATTGGAGAATATGGAATGTGAACGTAGGAAATAACGAGGAATGACTACCTGTTAAATATCACTAGAAGCAGGTACGATTTGACTCAGAGTTAGGAAAAGTTTTGAGAATGATTATTATTAAAAGTTAGAGCGTCGAGGATATGTACCACAATTTATGGCTTAGCGCATACGTGGTTAGCAAGCTGTAATACCAGAATACATACATCTAACGTCCATACGCATCAGCCTATCGCTTCACGTAATAAGCCACGAGACCCAACTTTAAATTTTTTTTCGTCGACTGTCATAAAATAATAGAAAAAAAAAATAAGATGGGTTAAAATCTAACTCCCGTAATTTAGATCCCGTCATCGGATGTCATTATAAAAATCGTGAGTCACGGGCTCGTTATAGTATATAGAACCCAGCCGTTATTGTTTTCTTGGTGTCTTCTTTAAACAACGTGGTTGAACCTTTGAAACAATTGATACAAGTTAAATCTGCTTCTAAAAACTGTCATTTTTGAATGCTTTTTTTTTTTTTATCCATCATTAATGACTTCGGGAACGGTTTAATATATCAATATAACTTGTCGTTAAACTTGGAAAATTAACGAGTTGCACCCAGGTATGTAGGTAGGCACTCGGGAAATATTAATAAGGGGGGCGTTTATTTCACAAATTTGTGTGGGCAGCACGTGGAGTAACGATGCAATACGCAGGGGGATAGCAAATCAACTCCATGTGCAACATCCGATGTACATATATGCAAGACGCGAACTTCCGTCAACTTTTATATGATTCTTTGGTTGAATGCATTATTGACGAGCCAAGCAACTTGACCTTTTCCTCCCCTCGTGTCAGCCTGAAGTATACCTATTTAGGTCCACCTCCAATGCCTCTGTTCGTAAAATGCGATCACCTTTCCGGCCAACCGACTACTCCAGACCAGCCTCATGCTGGAAGAAAATGAAGAGAACTATCAAGCAGTACAGAACGAGATTCCGAAAGCAGCCTAGAACCTAATGGGAGTGGCCAGTCTATTTTGCACATGATTTCACGACCATTTTCTGGGTGACCTCTGTAGAGCGTCGACAAATTCGCAATATTAAATCTGTCTTGGTCGATAGAACAATAGAAGGGATTGAGTTAGGAAGGATAAGATAGCCTCAATAGCCTTTACTACCTTCTCTCCTTTCCGACTAGGATCCGCGACGTGAATTAAGTAGAGAGTGTTAGAGGAAAGGGGCAAGATTTAGCTTTGCTTGCACTCTTGCGCCTCCTGCTTCGGCTTCGCACCGTCATCCTACATCAAATATTAGCCGAGTATTCCTATAATAATCTGTAAGGAATGGTGGACAAACATCGTCATCAGATTCTTCCTCTTCGTCATCGCGATCTTCGCTAAGGTCATCCTCATCATCGTCCTCGTCGAACTCCTGGTCGTCGAGGTCGTCGAGTTCCTCAAAAGCCAGAGCCTCACCAGTAAACCAGTCGATAGCCCGGGGGATAAGCTTCTCCTTGATGTCCTCACCGAGTTGGTAGTCCAACTCTAAACGCTCCTCAATGTCCGATGCAGCATCGTTGTCATCATCATCGGTGGGGGCCTTAGGGGGCGAGAAGAAGTTGAAGAACGACTCGGTGGGAACCGTCTTCTTGACGATACGAGTTTGCTTCGTGTCTGTCTGGGTTAGCGAACAATATTAATATATTAGCTTTATGGTGACTTACTCTTGTTTCGCTGTTTCTTGCTCTCGATGCGGACAGTAAGATCACGACCCTCTTTCCACTCGATCTTGTCACCCTCGGCATGGTCGTAGATGAAATCACCACCATAGCCACTCTCATTCTGGTAGAAATACGTCTTAGTGATAGTCTTGTTAGTGAAGAACTCGTTCTCGGCAAATTCGAAGATGAGGCGGAATCCCGGTTTGTCGAGATACTCCATTCGAATATCAGTTAGGTAGCGGAGAGCAGCCTCATCACGGTCGGTGATCATCTCAGCAAGAGAAATCTGGTTCTTCATGGCAGACAGCCAGAATTCTGGGATTCCCTTAACGAGCTCAGCAGTCTCGGAGGTTGACTTCTCTTCTCCCTTTTCGGCCTCAGCTTCAGCTTCGTCCTTCTCATCTTCCTCGTCTTCACCAGCCTTGATCTGCTCCTCAGTGGGTTCATCCTTGCCGTTGACGATGGCAGCACGCTTCTCGTAGAGAGGAGTGAACTTGGCGAAGTACTTCTTCTCTAGCTGGAGAACTTCTTCCTGAAACTCGGCCTCTAGCTTCGAGTGATCTTTCTGGATGCCCTTCAAGCCGGCAACACGACGACGAACGACGCTAGGCAGAGACTCTATGTAACCGGAAGATCGACCAACTAGGGAGCCAAGTCGGCCTTGAATCATCTGAACCAATTTGGGGTTCTGGGCAAAGATAGAAGCGGCTGCAGCGCGATCGAGGTCCTCTGTAGCGCAGAGTAAGTTAGCAACGAGAGACCCGCGGAAGCAATTCCGGCGGGGTTACGGATTAACATACCTTCCTTGATGCTAGCAACGCCCGGTTGTTGGGCATGAGAAGAGATGGGGGCATTGCTCGCAGGTGTATTCTGCGGAGTACTGCGGAGAGAAAATCAAAAGTCAGTACCTCGGAGTAAAGAAAAAAAAATTAGCTAAAAGGCGGGCTCTACGTACGGAGCAGGGACTTCTGCACGTCGATTCTTAATAGGCTCCGCCATTGTTGATGGTTCTGTCGCCGATGATGCAGACTATGATTAAATTCGCAAGCGAGTATGTCGATGTCGGGTCAAGCACTTGGCAGCCCACAAGGAAATAATTAGAATGGAGGCGACAAAGAAAAATGCAGGTAAAGATTAGAAGTATGAAGTTATTGTGTATCCAGTCGAACGGTGAAGTCACGTAATGGACTCGAAGAACCCGCACACAGTGTGTTAAGGTATAACGGGGGCGGATGCGATGATGAATTTGATTGATGAAACGGGAAAGTTGAACTTTGATTAAAGTCCAACTGTGAGGAGGAAGGTGAAAGAGAAAGTTGTAGTAGTGAAGTAGTTGGTTCACAGCGATGGAATTTGATGAGAGAGAGGGCAAGAAGACTGGACTGGTCTGGTGGGAGAGGCGAAGTGGGGGAAGGCGGCAACCCTGTCACTGTCCCCTCCAAAGGTTGTAAGTAAAAAAGAAGTTGTTGGGTGCCGCTGCCGCCATCAATTAATTTTTTCTTCCTTAAATTTTTTTTCTCAGGGCACTTACACGTAACAATTTGCCTGCCTATGCCTACAATTTTTTTTAGCCTGCAGCCAATGGCAACGCTATTATGTCCGAGAGCAAACATTTGACACTTAAGAATAGGTACATACCAACCTAACAAAAATACCTACCTAGGTATATTAGGTATTAGGTATACAAGGTGTCATTGTATGTCTATGCCCTTATGCAGCGACTTACATACATAGGTATGGACGCATTGAATGACCGGATATCGAATGTAATCCGATAGAATCAGTTCAGGTCTTGTACAAACACACAACTACTAAGAATGCCTAGCCTAATATGGGTAGGTACCTATGTAGGTACAGACAATGCCTAAACCTGATCGAAAGCGGTGTACAGATTGTACAGATGTAGATATAGGATGCACGTCCATAGATTGACTCAAAGAATTACATACTTACCTACCTTAAATACCTTAGGTAGGTATGTTATATAGGTACATATTATAGTCTATCCATACACCGTTTCTCAGGTTAAGCCAATAGTTTTTCAACTAATACACAATAAACGTTTGCATTGGATATAACTACTAGATGCCTTCTACAACTTTTGCGACGCGCCGTACGCAGGTAGCCACGTCAACTCACGTAGAGGTAGTGTACCTAAGGTATGCTGCATACGCATATGGACCTAACTATACATGTACCTAAATATATAAAAGTAGTACCTTAACGATGGTAGGAGGTAGAGGTAGAAGCTGAATTAGGTATTTCGCCTTGCTTAATTGGGTAATATGAACCTTTTATGGTAGAAATAGAAAACTGCTTCTCAGTCGTTACCTAAGCTTTCCCTTCTCCCCTTATCGTTATCGCATATTCTCAGTCTTATCGTTATCATTGCTACTATCACCTGCTATCGTTGCTATCGTTGCTATCGCTATCATTATCCTTTGCATTTGTCTTGAGCTCGCGGTGGATCCTTCAAGCTGTTAAAGAATTAATTATTCCAGGATTGCTACTATGCATAGCGTCATCTTCCATCTTCGCAGTTCTAAACGGTGTAGTTCATTAATAGATTGAGCTCGAACCTGAACTCGTAGATTTCCCTTAACTACCTGAAGCTTCAACAAAGGCTTACAAAATAGACATACAGTGTTCCCATTGGTCCTTGAGGATCTATCGCGTCTTGATACTTCGATAAACTATTCAGGATGTGCTCAATATTCTAATCATTACTCTGCCGGATCGATAGTCATAGTTGCAAGACCGCGAAGGCATTTCTCTAATTTCGAATCATATCGGTCCTCTTCGTATGCGCCTCGGTCACGTCGTCGATTAAGGATATATACGATCTCCATCATAGTCGGCGGTATATTGAATATGGAGGGACCCAAAGATGATGCGCAGTCAAGGCGCAGTGGTCCTGTAGCTATGTACGGGCTTAACTCTAATCAGAGCAGTTCGAGCGTATTTGAGGATGTGGAGATGGCACACGATGAGGTAGGCTAATTACATTATTTAACATTAAGATCGTTTATTCTAAGCTTTGATTGCTTTAGTTATTCTCTGGTCCTATGGCAGAGAGCTTGCCTACAAGTCTCTCGGCTTTTTCCCATCGTCGACAACGCGCAGATTCGACAGCAAGCTTCGCGTACTACAATGAAGAGGAGGACGAAGCAGAGCCTAGGTTTATGTATGGTGAAGATGGCGCTGTGCCATTTGATATCGACGAGATGCCGCTTGACTTCGAAGAGGAAGAGGAAGAAAGTAGTTCAGGAGTCGATCTCGAGAATGGCGATTCGTACGATGATTATTCTATGCGAAGGAGATCTTCAACCCAATCGAGGGGCTCTATCCATGCCAGACTTCTCCGAACAGATAGTGGCGTTACGGATGCTAGCGGTCGAGGGTACAGCCGAGTCAGCCAGAAACTACACATGGTTAACGAGGATCTTACCATTGTGATAGCTGGCTTTCGTACGAGTAGACCTGGCTACACTACATATGTTCTTCTGTGTGTTGTGACGTTGGGACTTGCATACCTCCTTCTACGATGGCTTCCCCGGTGGCAGGTGAAGTTAATCGGCGAGCCATGTCCTCTTCATGATAGCCAGTGGGTAGTACTTGAGGTAAGTTGTATTGGAAATTCGTATGCGTTTGGCGCTATGCTTACCATACCATAGAACCAATGGGGTGAAATGACTATACTAGACGTGCAAACGCAGCCTTACAACCGTCCCCTTTCAACCGTGTTCGGTTCACCCGAAAAGATTTTTGCCCAATTGCTGGGAGATGATGATGATCCGTTATTGCCCGAGCTCCGGGTCCTCAACTATCGATACGTACGCTTCTTCTACCATCCATTGAAGGGTAAATTCGTTATCTGCAACGGGTGGAAGGATCCTACATGGACTCGTGTACGAGCACTTCGGGCTGGCATTGATGGCGAGGAGAAAGACCACAGAGAACGCGTCTTTAAGACGAACCTCATTGATATCGATCAGAAGTCCATTCCTCAATTACTTGTAGATGAAGTAGGTTGTTGTTGGCGAAGTATCAGTATACTATATGAACTGACATGCTCTAGGTTTTCCACCCATTTTACGTTTTTCAGATCGCAAGTTTGATCCTTTGGTCATCAGATGAGTACTACTATTATGCTATCTGCATCTTCTTTATGTCTGCAGGTAGTATAATAGCAACCCTAATGGATACACGCGCTGTTCGTCTTCTTCCACCACAAAAATATGCATCATCACTAATCTCCATTAGACAATGCGACGTCTTCGCGATATCTCCCGCTTTGAGTGTGACGTACGAGTCCTTCGCAACGGTTTCTGTAAGTAAAAACGATCATTTTAGCTGTAGAGTATGGCTGATTGTCTCTATAGGGGCCCACGTTTCTTCAAGCGACCTGGTTCCTGGTGATGTATATGAGATTAGTGATCCTAGTCTCACTCAGTTTCCTAGCGATAGCTTGCTCTTAAGCGGAGATTGCATTGTCAATGAGAGTATGCTTACAGGCGAATCTGTGCCGGTTTCTAAAATTCCCGCTACCGACGAGACACTTCAGATTATGAATCTTGGTGCCTCCACAATCTCCCATGACGCTGCTCGTCATTTTCTCTTCTGCGGGACAAAAATCATCAGGGCAAGGAAGCCACAAGACAATGGCGATGATGAAGCCGTTGCCCTCGCCATGGTTGTGAGGACCGGCTTCAATACAACCAAGGGTTCGCTCGTCCGCTCTATGATGTTCCCCAAACCGTCCGGATTTAAATTCTATCGTGACTCTTTTCGATACATATCTGTTATGGGATGTGTCGCGTTGCTTGGATTCGTTGTATCCTTTGTCAACTTCATTCGCTTGGGGCTGGCTTGGCATGTAATACTTATCAGAGCATTAGACTTGATTACCATTGCTGTTCCGCCAGCCCTTCCAGCTACACTTACTATAGGGACAAATTTCGCTCTGGGTCGCCTTAAGAAGAAACAAATATTCTGTATCAGCCCACAGAGAGTCAACGTGGGCGGGAAGCTGGATATCATGTGCTTTGATAAGACGGGTACGCTCACCGAAGATGGCTTAGATATTCTTGGTGTTCAGCTAGCATCTCAGTCAGCAAAGCGATTTGACGACATCGTCTCAAAAGCGTCAAATTTGGTCCCTAGCACAAGTTTGAATGCTGGTCCTGGGGATAAATATGACATAACTCGTGCTGCTTTGTTTACGATGGCCACCTGCCACTCTCTTCGCTCCGTCGATGGTGAACTTGTTGGTGATCCGTTAGACGTCAAGATGTTCGAGTTCACGGGCTGGACGTTCGAAGAGGGTAACCAAGGTGGTACCGATCAGGAAGATGATGAGCAAGGAGGCTTCTCTCCTTCTGTTGCTCGCCCTCCTATGGTTCCCCTTTATGATACAGATGGATATGGGACTGCCGAAGGCCAAAATGTAAGTCCCACTGCTTAAATGATCTTTGAGTTCGCCTAATCTGTTTTCAGGTACCAATTGAACTCGGAGTATTGAGATCTTTTGAATTCTCCCAATTACGGAGGGCCAGCGTCATCGTGCGGGCTTTCGGCCAGCAAAGCGGAAATATTTATGTCAAGGGTGCACCTGAATGTATGCGGGATATATGTCGACCGGATAGCTGTAAGTTATTTTAACCTCGGAAATTGTTTTGTTGCGTCTATATTAATATCCTACGTAGTCCCGGATGATTATGATGAACTCCTATCTTACTATACTCACAAGGGATATCGAGTCATTGCGTGCGCTACTAGACATATCAAAAAGCTGTCATGGGTAAAATCTCAGAAAATGAAGCGCGAGGACGTTGAAGCCGATCTTAATTTTGTTGGCTTCATCATCTTCGAAAATAAGCTAAAGCCCACGACAGCTGCAGTGCTTAAGGAACTCACAGAGTCAAATATCGGCTCGATCATGGTTACGGGCGACAACATCTTGACGGCCATCAGTGTCGCCCGAAACTGCGGACTTATTGAGAAAGATGTGCATTGCTTCGTTCCTCATTTTGCCGAAGGTAAGTCGCTACGAACATCCTACATTCTTCATACTCGCCCATAGGAGAAAGACAATATATAAGTCTAACTTATCTAATACTAAATCATGAGAAATTTCCCATACGAGGTTATTGACTGCTAACATAAGACATACAGGGAACTCTCGCGATCCTAATGCTCGTTTACAATGGGAAAGCATAGACGACCAAGCATATCAGTTGGACGACCGAACTCTACTGGTAAGAGCCCATATCCTGACTTCATTGGCAATTCAAGCTAATTTAAATGATTGTAGCCTTTACCTGCTCCCGTAGACCGTGATGCTTCCTTACCATATGATATAACTAATCTTAGAAACTACTCTCCTCGCAGTAAGCGGTGACGTCTTCCGATGGATAATTGATTTTGCTCCAAACGAAGTCATGCAAAGGGTATGTAATATAGCTTTCTTAATCAATCTAACAGGACCCTCCCGTATCAGGCGAAGAAGCTAAAGAATTATTAGATGCTTGTACGAGGCAAAGTCTTTGCACGTATGTCTCCAGATGAGAAACATGAACTTGTAGAGAAACTTCAGAGCATAGACTATTGCGTTGGATTCTGCGGTGATGGAGCGAATGATTGCGGTGCCCTCAAAGCTGCCGATGTTGGAATATCACTGTCTGAAGCGGAAGCATCTGTTGCCGCCCCATTCACGTCGAGGGTATTTGATATTCGATGTGTTCCCGACGTAATTCGGTATGCTTGCCCCTCCAGGCGTGAATATTGAACACACCCATGTCGCTAACGTTATATCCAGGGAGGGACGAGCTGCTCTAGTAACTAGTTTCAGTTGCTTCAAGTATATGAGCATCTATTCAGCTATACAGTTCACTTCTGTCAGCTTCCTTTACGCCTCAGCTTCGAATTTAGGAGACTTCCAGGTAGGAATACTCACAGTAACATCACGCTTTACTTGGTGGCTAACTGATTTCTAGTTTCTCTTTATCGATGTTCTCCTTATATTGCCAATTGCTATATTTAGTGAGTAAAGCAGAAAATATGAGATGAAGCGAAATTGCTAATCCGCATACTAGTGGGCTGGTCTGGCCCGTTCCCAGTTCTAAGCAAGAAGCGACCGACAGCGAATCTAGTATCAAGAAAGGTTCTCATACCCTTATTGTGTCAGATGGCCGTCTGTATACTTGTACAAACTGCCGCGTGGCTTATCGTCCGGGAGCAAACTTGGTAAGTTCGCCTCAAGAAATTATCTGTAGTATAGTGCTCTAATGCGAATATCATAGGTATATACCCCCTCAGGTAAATCGAAACAAACCTCACATCAAAAATTCGGAGAACACAACTCTGTTCCTCGTGTCTTGCTCGAGTACATATTCATTGGTGTGGTTCTTAATGCTGGCCGACCATTCCGACAGCCCATGACTCAGAACTGCAAGTCCTCTATACTCTTGTGTTTATCCGAAGAAAATGCTAACCATCCATATAGGGCCCTTCATGGCCACTATTGTTACGGCCCTAGCCATTACTATATACATGATTTTTATACCAGGCCACTGGATCAGAAATCTGATGCAACTGACCAAGATTAGTTCATCGTTTAAGCTTACACTACTAGGATTGGGCATGGCATATCTAGTCGCAGCATGGGTCGGGGAGCACTATATCTTCTCTGGCATTGCTCGAGGAGTTGGTGTGGTGAAAACGGCCATCACTAAAAAAGCGAAGAAGCGGAAGGAGTATAAGATCATATTGGAGCAGATGAAGGCTTAACCTTTACCTGAAATTCAGCTCCTTTCTTGAGCTTACCAAGGTTAGTGTCAAGGTACGGTAAATAGAACCGTTGTTGCACAAAAGAGAAAGAGGATGTCAGAAGAGGCAAAGCCCCTGGAGCCGATTATATAGCGGTACGCGATAACCACGCTGGCGATCCAGCGTGGCACGTGATGGCACCGTAATAGTTGGAAAATTGGATGTATGGGCACTATGGTGTTCTCCAGGTATAGATAGAATACTTTTAAGAATAGATAAATAGTGTGCATTATTATTGTACATACGGAATAGAAGAAATAGTATACCATCAAAGCAAGATTGTTCCAATGTGTTAAGATAATATAGTGATTTGTCGGTGACTAACTTATTATATTGTCGATTCACGGATTGACAACTAAATTACTATTCGAATAGGGTTCATGCAGTGAGATGAAGAATAGATTGTTCCCATTCGTCTCGCGGTAAATATGAAGCAGTCGACTACAGCTACTACCTACCTTATCTGTTCAATAATGCTTGAACTGCAACTCTTATACTCACCCGTCAGGTACGTTAGAATTTCACGGTCATACAATATGGCATACAAGGGGCTTTCATAACACGAATAAAGAGTAAAAAATAGGGTATCTATTCCAGAGTAGGGTCTTGCCGAGCCTCTCATGCATTACCGAACTATTTTATTCCGAGCCGGCATCTTTGCCCTCGCCCGCAACACCGTTCTCAAGCTCCAGCCTCGTCCTAGGCACCTCGAACACGACAGCACCGTTTTTGCCCCCCTTGATTTTCTTCCACATGCCTAGGCGGTGGTCTTTTCCCACTCCGACTACGACGCATAGACCGTCTTTGCCACGCTCGCCCCGCTCGAATAGAGCAATGTCGTTGACTATACCCTTGACGAGCCACGAGGCGGCTGTGGCCCCGTTCATGGTGTTGGTTGTTGTCTCTGTGTCTTCGGGGGTGTCTGCGGTAGATGGGTTTCCTAGGATTCCTGCTGGCTCGATTTTCCTCTTGTCGTCGCTTAATCGCCAGACTCGGACGTACCCGTCCCAACTACCGCTCAATATGAGGTCGGAGTAAGGTAACGTCCGGAGTGCGGTGATCCACCTAGGTTGTGGAGGCGGTACGACTTTGGGGGTTGGGGCTATTTCGGCGGATGCTTCCGTCGGCTTCAATGGGTTTTCTAGGCCGTGAGCTTGTGCTAAGATGAAGAGTGGCTTCTTCTTCTGTATGCTCCATAAGGCTAGAGAGCCGTTATCACTGCCCGTGATAAAGAGCTCGTCATCGATCATTGCAACGCGATCCATGCTGCCTTCGTGGGCCAGCGACCGCGGGTCAATCTCTGGCTTCTGCTTCTTGTCGATCGACCCACCGCGAAATACTAACTGGGTCTCTTCGACAACTTTCCATAAGCGAGCTGTTCGATCTCGTGCACCTACGCTCACGCAACGTTCTTGTGCTAGGGCGTCGATGTCGACGACCTCGTCTTGGTGACCAAAGAGAGTCTCGATGTATGCCAGCTCATCTAAACTCCATACTTTCACGGTACGGTCTTTAGAAGCTGAATATAGTTGGTTTGTACCCCGTCGGAACGCTAGACCTGTTACGGCGTCGCGGTGGTGTGTAAAGACGCGTAGGGGCTTCAACGACTTGGCGTCGTAGACGATCAGGCGCTTGTCCGCACCGCCTGTGACGACGAACTTGCCGTCTTGAGAAGCTGCTACACATAGGATATCGGCTATGTGGCCTTGATAGTTCTTATCATTTGCTTTGGACCGATTCCCCTTCCGCAGTGCAACCTTGGTTGGCTGTCGACGCGGAGGAGCAGGAGGCTTTTTCGGCTTCTTCTTGGTAGTTTGCGGGAATTGGTAAACTGGTAAGTCTTTGTAACTTCCATTTGACCAAGCATTGGTCTTTTGAGACCGTATACACGTATGGTGCGCATATAGCAATAGATGTAGTTGCGAGCGTATTACACCGGAAGAGAGTATGGGACGCCCGGTCGATAGCAAGCTCTGAAGCAATTTTCCTGTACACTTTCCCTTTTGTTTCGGCTACATCTTCTGTAGACGCGCGTTGCTATTATATCGCGGTCGATATCTTCAGCATTAAAGCCCGTCTCGTCGACTTCTTGCCGAACGTTGTCGAGATATCTTTCTGCAAGTCTTAACCTCTTCTCTGCTGCTGTTTCTCCCTCGTTTTCCGATTCTGAATCAGAACCAGGCGCATCTAGATGTGCCGCGCCATCTTCGCTCTCAGATTCACTACCTGATATAGACTCATCTCGTTCGACTCGTTTTCTAGGTGCAGGTGTAGGTTTCGAGAGCGTCTTCGAAGTCTTAGTAGTCGCGACTCGTTTTTTAGGTCCGTCTATAACAGGTGCTCGTTCCTTTTTTCTGAACGCCAGGAACTGTGAAGAATGACGACATTGTTGTGTTTTACAATGTTTTATTTTAATCAATTCGAACGCGTGTTAGTCGTCTCGTGGTCTTAGAAAATTTCCATCTTTGAAGCAAAAGACTTTAGTTCGTAGCTAAGAAAAAAAAAAAAAAGTTCAACGTCTGCGGGACACTGACAGGGGACCCTAGGGGTACAAAGATACCTATGCGCTGATATGTTCAGTTATGTGATCTAACCATTGGCTTTAGGTGATCTCAGAGCGGGGCGCGGCTGAGGAGCTGTGGCTAGTGCTGTCCGACGTCGACCTCCACTAGATGATGTTCCAATTCTGAAGCTCTAGATTTGGCAGCCAGCTGCTAGGCTGTAGCTACCTTGCGCGTCTACATAGTACACATTTGCCTACTGCGCCAGCGATTTGAGAACAAGAGCTTCTCTTAACACTACAAACCACATTTGAGTCTATCACCCCAAACAAATATCCCAAAATGTATGCCGCCTATCATTATAAAATCCTAACTAAACAGATAGATAACATTAGCCAACCTAGGGAGGTATTGTTAGGAATCACCGGCAAGGACTTTACCTTAATCGCAGCTTCTAAAGCTGCGATGCGGGGAGCAACCATCCTCAAAGCCTCTGATGACAAACGAGATCTCTCAACAAGCATACACTAGTTGCATTCTCCGGCGAGGCTGGAGTACAAGTGCGTCAATTCTGGAGAGAATGGGCGGCTCTGAAAGCTAACTGGCGCTAGTCCAATTCTCTGAGTATATCCAGGCAAATGCGCAGTCTATTCGATGCGAAACGAGACAGATTTATCACCTACGGCGCTGGCACACTATGTCCGCGGTGAGCTTGCATCAAGCTTAAGATCTAGAAAGCGTACAACGTCAACCTGCTACTTGGAGTGTGTCGACCCCATTACCCACAGCCCAGCTATTCTGGCTGGATTACCTTGCGGCTCTCGCATCTGTTCCTTATGCTGCCCACGGCTACGCACAATACTACTGTCTATCGATTCTGGACAAGCACCACCACCCAGATATGACATTTGTACAAGGACTTAAGGGCTCGAGATGTGTACAGACGAACTGAAGCGACGTTTACCTATTGATTTCAAGGGTATGACGGTCAAGGAGGTTACAAAAGATGGCATTCGGGGATTGAGTTCAACGACGACAAGATTGTTAAGTGTGCATAAAGGAATATGATTTTCTAGCTGGCAACCCCACGTGTAACATTAGGATTCCAGGCTGGACGAGAAATCGCACAATAGCCTAGTAGCCATGTCACAGGCTGGCCTATCAAATCTATCAGGTCGGTCATAGCTGTGACCATCCAACATCTTTTCAGTTACCACGTATATGGTGAGGGGTTCAAGTTATTCATCACCATAGAAAGCCCTTAAGAGATAAATGCTAGCTTAGGTAGCCAAAGGGGTATGATAAAGGGTAGCTTAGTAACATGGATAAGATATGTGACGCTATGATAAATTCATGAGAATACATGAGTGGAATGATAGGTCCCATTCGATAGCCTCGCACCCAATAATGATGAGACTGTATAATGAAGATATACGATATACGTTGGTCTTATATGTATCGATAGGGTCATTATTCGAATCTGGGTTGAGTATATAATCTACGTGCATAAAGACATAGAGACTCAACCCAAGCGCGGATCGTAACTCTAGAGGTTCCCCCCCGTAGTCGCATTCGGCAATCAGGGACTCCTGGCTGAACTGTCATTTATATTTAACTAATAATGATCCATACAGTATACGTCTCTCTCCACCATTCGTGGAAGCTGTCTTTGAAGCAATTTTCCAGGCGGTGTATTTTGATTTTTGGGCGGTGAGACTCCTGCATGATGCTTCACCCGTTCACCACGCAGGCGGGCTTCCTATTGGAACACAGCAGCCTCGTTGCAGGAGAGTTACATCCGCCTTCCCCTGCTAGCCGCCAATGGTTAGGATGTCTGTAGTCTGGAGAGTTCCGAGCCTTATCATTACTGTGGTACTATGTTATGTTGTAAATCTTAGCTCGAAAAAAAAAAAAAAAAAAATCATTAAGCGTCCAAATCAACGATTTTTGATCATAATTTAGTCATATAACGCATATAACGGCAGCTGATGATCCACCGAACCCTATTACGTATGCATAGCAGCATCTTGAAGAGAGTTGCAACTAGGGCTGCCAGGGGTTGCCTAGTTGTCTTGGGTTTGTAGACCCGGGATTTTGGTGGCGACATAAATCAGGCACACATCATCGAATTGCCTAACAAATAGCAACGTGTACCTCCGATTATGTATGCTTGCTACGCTTCCTATCTAAGCTGAGAGAAAAGGTTGGCATGTTGGGTGAAAGTCAGCTAAAGGATGCGAAGAGTGTGGTAAGTGACCCCCCCATCGGACCATACCGAGATTCGGATAGATATAGAAGGTGTTCACTCCACGGGGTGAAAATGATCAAGTTAAGACCTATGTATGTAGTTGCTACTAGAACGTATTGAACTTGAGGTATCAAATTATTCATATTTTTAGGTAGATACTTATTTTTAATACATACCTAACACATGCTATGAACAGGTGTAATAATAACTTCTAGAATATACGAGATAATTCTATTACGTAGCAATCTTATGACGGGTAGTTGGCCAACTTGAACTTGGTGCATGCTTGAGCAATCTAAGGTTGCAGTAACGAAGTTTTCTAGGTAGAGATTTGGGTTAAAAGTGCTGCAGTAGAGGTTGTATTCTAGCCGATTTAGGTGAGACTTCTCGACTGTTTATTTGTACATATGTAACCCCCAAGTTTCGATTGCTCCAAGGCTCTTTCCTCACAAAGGGAGGCAAAGGGAATAAAAATTGTCGCAGTTACCCGAACCAGGAAGGGATAGATACATTACAGACATATAATGTATAGAATGTATAGAATGTATAATAAACGCTGTAGCCAAGATAGACTGGGGGCAATCGCTAAGTACTAGTTACTTAACGTTAGCTGCTCACATCCCACTTTCCCTGATACCACTTATGTTGTAATTGCATATAATTGCTAACAATTTCCCCTTTAGGTATATCGATACCGAATAATTGCCCCCATCTCACTGGTAAGTTGACTACTATTGGCAACTACAGTTGCAGCGTGCCTACCCAGTCTAGTCTAGGTACCTTAGTCACGGACCCAGCGCTAACGCGTTCTCGATTTTCGACACAACTTCAAAACTTCCTGAATTTTTTTTCATCTGATCCGATTCTTCTTCTCCCCCACAATCCCTTTGCCATACCCAACCCTCAAACACACGGCATAATCACATCCCTCCCCCCTGAAAAAGCATTCTGTGTTTTTTTTTTCTCTTCCGTTCAGGGCCTTATTTTTCCTTGAAAAGATCTGGTTTTACTTTCTTTTCTCAAGGGACGTCGGAAGGCATCTATTACTAGACTTTGGTGTGTGATCACTTACAGGTTCATACATCGTATCTGAGCAACGACCCTGCATTTGATTCTCTTAATAATATTGAGAGAGAAGGTGCATAACGTCGTAGTTTCCTCTTCTACCGGCAATTAATACCATCTTTGTTGGTTCCTTACGACGACATCAGGTTTAAAAATTTTTAAATCTGCCCGTACTACCTTACCTCGCCTTCCCCTTCTCTTCTTCTGAACTCGTTCGTTCTTTTGAGAGAGAATTAATCGGCTGGGTTCCGTACGAGAAAATTTTCTTCGACAAACACATACATCAACGTACAATACCTATCGCATATATCATCTTGCAAACACTACGTCAATATGGCTGATCAACTTAACATGGGCGGTTTGAGCCTGGGTGACCAGCAACAAGCCTCTACAGGTCGTTCTTACATCCCGCCTCACATGCGAGGAAAGGTCGGTGGCCCTGGTAACGGTCCTCCTCCTCCCATGGGCGCTGGCGGTCCTCCACCCAACATGAACGGTCTCAACAGTAGCGCGTGGGCTGGGTAAGTAATTCGCTCTTCATTATTATACTTATACTTAATTGCAACCCTTGTCAATGCATTATTTCGTTCAAGTATTGAACCAAGCAGAATTGAGCATTTGCTAATATTGAATTTATAGTAACAACAACTTCGACGCTCGACCCGCTCCTGGATGGACAACCGGTCCCGATTACCCGCCTCCTCAGCAACAGCAACAACCGCCGCCGCCTCAGCAGCAGCAGCAGCAACCTCGTCAAGGAGGCTGGAATAACCGACAGTTCGATCGTAATGCCTACGGTAACCCATCTACTGGTGGAAACAGCGGTGGTGGTGGCGGCGGTGCCTACGCTCGAGGTTCTGGCGACGGACAGTGGCGCGACGGCAAGCATATTCCTGGCCCCCCTAACCCCCGCATGGAACGTGAGCTATTCGGTACGCCGGATGACCCTTCCAAGCAGCACACTGGTATCAACTTCGAGAAGTACGACGACATCCCTGTCGAGGCCTCCGGCCATGATACTCCTGACCCCGTTCTTACTTTCAGCAATCCCCCGCTTGATGACCATCTGATCCGCAACATTGAACTAGCTCACTACAAGGTTCCGACTCCCGTTCAGAAGTACTCGATCCCCATTGTCATGGGTGGCCGAGATCTGATGGCTTGTGCCCAGACTGGTTCTGGAAAGACTGGTGGTTTCCTTTTCCCCATCCTCTCCCAGGCCTTCCTTACTGGCCCTTCTGCCGTGCCTGCCGGTGCCCCTGGTGGTGGTTACGGCCGTCAGCGCAAGGCTTATCCCACATCTCTTATCCTTGCTCCAACTCGTGAACTGGTCTCTCAGATTTACGATGAGTCTCGCAAATTTGCCTATCGATCTTGGGTCCGACCCTGCGTGGTGTACGGTGGTGCTGACATCGGCTCTCAACTTCGTCAGATCGAGCGCGGCTGTGATCTTCTTGTCGCTACACCCGGCCGTCTTGTCGATCTCATAGAGCGAGGTCGCATCTCTCTACAGAACATCAAGTATCTAGTTCTGGATGAGGCTGATCGTATGCTGGATATGGGTTTCGAGCCTCAGATCCGTCGCATTGTTGAAGGCGAAGATATGCCCGGCGTTCAGAACCGACAAACTCTCATGTTTTCAGCCACTTTCCCCCGGGACATTCAAATGCTTGCCCGCGATTTCCTTAAGGACTACGTCTTCCTTTCAGTTGGACGTGTGGGCTCAACCTCTGAGAATATTACTCAGAAGGTCGAGTATGTTGAGGATAGCGACAAGCGCTCTGTTCTTCTAGATATTCTACACACTCATGGCGCTGGCCTCACCCTTATCTTCGTCGAGACAAAGCGCATGGCGGACTCTCTATCCGATTTCTTGATCAACCAGAACTTCCCCGCCACGTCGATCCACGGTGATCGCACACAGCGTGAACGTGAACGTGCTTTAGAGATGTTCCGAAATGGACGATGTCCTATCCTAGTTGCCACTGCTGTTGCTGCACGTGGCTTTGGATATTCCTAACGTCACACACGTTGTCAACTATGATCTACCTACCGATATTGACGACTATGTCCACCGAATTGGTCGTACCGGTCGTGCAGGTAACACGGGTCATTCCACAGCATTCTTCAACCGAGGCAACCGTGGTGTCGTACGAGACCTCATCGAGCTGTTGAAGGAAGCCAACCAAGAGGTTCCGGCGTTCCTTGAGACTATTGCTCGAGAAAGCTCTTACGGCGGCGGTAGCCGTGGTGGACGGGCTGGTGGCGGCCGCGGCCGTGGCCAAGGTGCCAACCGCGATTTCCGAAAGTTCGGTGGTAGCGGCTTCAATGGCGGCGGCGGAGGCGGCGGTTTTGGTGGCCCTCAGCAGTCCAACGGCTTTAGTGGCGGCGGTGGTGGTTACAACGCTCCTCCCAGCCAGGGCTACGGCGGCGGCGGAGGCTACAGTGGTGGTGGCGGCGGCGGCGGTGGTGCACCAGGCTATGGCGGCGGTAGCTACGGCAACCCTGGCGGAGCAGGCGGCCAGGCTTCCTGGTGGTAATTTTGATGATATCGTCAGGCGCGCCGATATATTCCCTCTATTCCGCAACCCGCATGCGGCGACGGAATTGGCACATTTGCAATGCGGTACATAGATTTCACGGACTCATCTTCTGTTTTTTTCCAATCGAGTTACGCAAGGTTTTCTTTTTTTTTAGTTGGCATTTCGATACTTCCCTCGACATACTCCTTTCTACGGCATACCCGACTTCCAGCCTTCAATCTGGATCGGCAGATACGAGTTCTACGTGATAGGACTCTGGCATACGATAGATGGCATCTGTCTTTATTTCGGCTGCTCTCCTCACAACTTGATACCCATAGAAGACTGCGAGGGGGCATATGCGAGCAGCTACGTGAGACGTTTGGAGGTCAAATCAGTACCTTGACCAAGCATCCTTCGGGGATATTCATCACTTAGAGTAGTGCCGTGCTACAGACGCGGCGACACCTTACGACGATGACGATCTTCCGTTTCGATGTACCCGTATTTGCCTTTTGGAAGCCGGCCGAGATTATTTCTCGTTTTCCCATAGAATGGGGTAATGCGTTTTCGCATGGCCGTGGAATTGTGTTGATAGCATATTCATTCATAGACAAAAGTGGATTTCTCGGCTCTCTGGTTGGTAGGGCTCTTACTCAAGAAGGCTCGCCATAGCGAGGGAACCAAATAGAGGGCAATGAACATAGAATGGTAATCTTCGGTGGATCGAGCAACAAAAAACGGCGTCTCGGTGAGCAGGCATAGGCTCCAGATCTCTCCAAAGTTAGGAGAGTAAGTAGTAGTTCTGGAATCTGCTCTGACGATAAGGGCATAGGGAATTATTTTAGATTCCATCTGCCACCAATGGTAGTGCTGTCGCAGACATTGGCTGAGACGCTTTCAGGCCCTTTGAGGTTCTTCGCGCTGTGGTGGTCCCGTTAGAGGATCCATCTACGACGGACTGAGAACTTCCAAATAAAAAAAAGTTCTTCTTTACTACAACTATTAATGCATCGTGAAATTGTTCAATTTATTTCTAGTGATATGAAATACTTGCCAAATAGGGTTTCCTCATTTATAGCTATTGTAAGGTGTAAGGTAACGTAGGTATTAATGTAAGTAAATGAACTACGTTGAATACTTGCCTACTCAGGTAACACTAGATAGATTTTATACATCGTAGGGTATGGCGCTTCACCTTAATGATCTTTTTTCCTTTTTTTTTTTCCTTTTTCTCGTCTAAGATTTCCCCTAATCATTATTATCAAAGTTAATAAGAAAGAATCTATGGAAGTTACCTGTTAATTGGAATAGTTACATTGAACTTAAGTAACTACCTCATACCTAAGCTTCGTTGAGCTAGCCTTCTGTGGCGCTGTGCTGTGGCTAGAGCCCACTGCTACCTCCTGGTGCGATGACCCACTGCTACCTCGACCTAATGCATTTAATTGATAAAGTTAGCCTACGTAGGTACGGATCCGTGCTACCTACCAAACTGCTAGAGCAACCGGCGCCCAGTAACTTCCAGGTATGCAAGGTACCTACATACCTCTCTGAATAAGGTGACGCGCCGTGAGCAGGTACGGCTTGAGCACTTTGATTCCAACACAGTTTTTTTTTCCTTTCCTTTTCTTTTCTCAATTTCAACCCATCGACCTTCGCATCCTTCATATTGCAAGGCTTTGTCATTTCATCTCAAACTTTCAATTCAATAATGCCTTAACGATAGTCTGGCAACCCTTGCCTTAATTAAAGGCACTTCTTCTTTCTTTACGTTCCTTAGACACTTACCATAAAACTTGTCGCCGACTATTGTCCTACAAGATCGGCCTGCACTACTCTCTTCATTTACCTACCAACCTAACACCCTACATCGTTTTCAATCCTCATCCGAATTTACGATGGCTTCAAGAGACGGAACGCCAGAGCCAAGCCGCTGGTCGCGCGCATCCAGTGCAGCCCCAAGAGATAGCACACCCGGCGATAACCTCGAGGCTAGCATTATCAGATCTGAATCCGGACATAGCAGCAAGCGACCCAAGAATAAGTCTACTGGTGGCGCAGCAGCAGCATCCTCATCATTCCCTACAGTAGGCAAAATCAGACACCTAAAAAAAGAGGATGGAGAGCCACTGTGGAGAAGAGATATTCAGTACGACTTTCTCAAGTCCGTTTTCGATGATGACAGAAAGGTTTTTACCAACAGCTACGAACCTGTAGGAGATGGCAAGGAGAAGCAGAGCTTTGCCGACCTATATATCGATACGATGGCCAGAAGCAGCAAGACGAGTAAGGTTCTTAGGGATAAACTACTTAGTGACAGGGAGGCCGCAAAGAGCATGGCTATGGTGTGCTTGCTTGTCAACGTGGGTCGCATGAATACGACGCTTAACTGTAATAATATTCCTACCGCTCGCTTGTATCACTATCGCTAATGACATTTCCTTAGTTTTCCCCGAGATGCGAGCTCAACTTCGAACATATCATGCTATCCCGTCCTTACAAGCCCATCAAGATGCATCGGCCTATAAACAACTCCAAGATGCGCCGAGATTGAAGTCTATCTTGAAAGGTGCCGCTGAGGATCGACCTGAACCACATGAGCTCGGAGAGTTTAAGGGAAAGGACCCGCCTCGATCGAACCCGGTGAACCTCATCTTCCTCATATGCCAGCAAGCATCTTATATTGCAGAACTGCACTTCCCTCCTGGTGGTGAATTCCATGACTTAATTATGAAGACCAATTACACGAGCAAATCCCGTGCGAGGGCATTTTTATGGCTAATGTGGTTCTATCTCGAGTCAGACTTTACTGAGGAAGGCTGTGAAGAGAATCCATTTGGCCCTGGTGTCGACTATGGCACTGAAGTGGCGAATCAAGGCGTCCCGCGGATGGAAGAAATGACGGCAGACGAAGAGGATCGCGAGAATATCGACCCGCACGAAGAGATTGACTTCGGTCGTGAGAAGCAAAATCATAGAGCCAAAATAATAGCAGCCGACCAAGCCTACTTAGCAGACCATCAGAGTAAGCGTGGCTCTAGAGGACGGGTCATGGCCGATGAAGGACCAACAGCCGCTATCCTCCCTCGGATACGCCCATCGAAACATGAGTCGGATATGGATAGCACACGATCCACTCCTCCACCAAGAGCCTTGTCGCGCCTTGGTGCTAACAGTACTGGACGACGAGGCGGGGCATCCCTGAAGAATTTGATATTCGATGGTTCTTCACCTGCAGGGCCGGGATCCCACGTTATTGAGGGCATCGTTCCCCGAAAGCCGCGCCCTCCCACAGCACACCAACTAGCAGTAGAGCGGAACCGAAACCAACGAGTTGAACATATCCTCGGTCGCGGGCTACGCAAGCAGCATCATCGTGCGCGAAAGGCGCGTCGACAGGAAGGTGCGATTATACGTGCCAAGCGTCGTCTAGCTGCCATGAAGGATGCCCTTGTAGACAGCGATGAAGAGGAATACATGGTATCGCATAGGGAGCATAAGCACCTCTTCATAGACCGAGGTTTTGGTGGTCTTTGTCAACTTCACCAAGAAGACGACGACTTCGGCGAAGAGTTCGCGTCGTACTCAGCGGCACTGAGAAGAACGGATCGACGGCTTCGACGCTGGGATGGTCGACCCGAATTGGGCGTCGTACTAGCCTCTAAGAAGCGTACTGCAGGCCCACCCTCTGATTACGCCTCACCTGACCCGCATGGCGAACGTGGCAGGAATGGCAGCCCGGAGAAGGCAAATGCAATCAAGATCAAGCAAAACGGCAACACCAATGGTGATGTCACAATGGAAGACGCAGACGACCTAGATCCTATGGAGAAGGAACTCTTAGGTATTGATAGCGGCGGCGAGGAAGGCGAAGGAGAGGGCGACGGTGATGGTGACGGTGAAGGAGAGGGTAAGGATGATTCCGAGGATATCGATATTATTGGTAAGGCGTTACTGGGACTTGATGGTTCGGATGGCACGGACAGTTCGTAGTGCTTTTACAGGAGGTGGACGTTTGATTTCGACATGATTGATCAACACCATTCATAGTTGACGACGCGTTATTGCTATTTATTCTACGTCTTCGGCGAGCTTGGTAAAGCTTCGCAAGACACTTGTACACCTAGGTGATTACGGAAAAGGATGGCTATCAGGGGTGGCTTAGACGAAAGAGCTAACAGTGAGCTTTGAGCTAAATGATAATACGTGAGATTTTTTTTTTATAAAAAAAAAAAAAAAAAAAAAAGCGAAGAGAAAAACATGCTCTATTGGCTCTTTGCCTTAGACTTTTGATCTAAGTGATAGGATGCAACGCCCAGGTGTATGATAATGCGTCCCTTCGAGTAGCAGTATACTAATCCCCCCTTGCAACTTAGCACAGTAGATATCTGATGCATAGCTTGATTAGAGAAAAGAGGATAGCCTCTATAATACTAAGATCGACTTTTGATGATTTTAAAGACTTACTCCGAGACCCGTTACTATTAGACTAATGAATAGTAGTTAATGAGTTGAGTGGATTATAATTGAAGAAGCAGGAATACCGACTAATACAGGTCCTTTTATTTTCACTTATCAGACCATCATTTTTAGGGGCTGTAATTTACAGCTGGGCAAGAGGATATTTGTACATGTACATGTACCCAGCTACACCAGTCGCATTTCCGTTGAAATATGTAAGACGTAGCAATTGTGGGATTTTGCAATTAAGTGAACCATGTCTTGCATTTCGAAGATATCCGTTGGGTTTAATGACCGGGTCGTGTAGCGATGCGGCTCTCATCTCGTACACATGTACATACAGATCCTCCCGTAGTTAAGCAAGATTCTAAGTAACAAACGATACATATTTACATAGGATCAACTTACTTAATCAGAGTCTAGCTGAAGTGAATGTTGTCATTTGTAATCTTTCTCGCAACATGGGTATACGATGCAGAAATTACGTGGGTTAGGCAGATGAAAGCCGCGTATATAGTCAAAGACGTAGAGAGGTAGTTTTGAGTTGTATTATAAATCAGCAATTCTTATTGCAAGTCTATTATGCAAGAGCTAGTCCTAACTCTGCAGTAGTGCGAGCCTAGAACTCGGGATAGAATTTGTTGGCTCGGGACCGCTCGCGGATACGGTGTTATTAGGGCGTCCGAAGTGGCGGATCCGAAAAAGCTTAACTCTTCCCCAGATGAAACAGCTGGTGCGCAATAGATACATATGACATACATCGTAAGTTAGTTAACTAATAGGAGAAGAAACTTCTAAAACGCCACTGGAGACGAAGCGCGGCGCATTAATAATGTATATTGCCGGAGACTTTAAGGAGACAACTAGACGAGTGAGAAATGTTTCCGTAGGTCTACCGACTGCTAATAAATTTTCTAATGCGACAATTACTATTGGATATTCTTAAGTCGATTCCGGAATTCGGATTAGTACGGCACGGGTTTGAAGACCGGATAAGGTTAATTTATATTAACCAGGAGTTTTACGGAGATTATGAATTTTACGAGGTATGTACATATTCGCAGGAGGAATAGAATAATGAATGAGATGGAGTTTTTTTTGTTTTTTTTTATCTTGACCGACATTATGACTACATTCTTCCCGCCAATGCGTCAGTCGCGCAAAACCTTCCTATTCGTGGTGTCAGATAGATAGGTAAGTATGTATGCAAGTGCTATCACCCATCTCTGAACACTAGATTCGTATAGGGGTAGATGTGGTTGGTAAACAACTACCGGGATTGGCTCAACTAGGTAGCGAGCTCGTACTCAATTCCGAGAGATCGGATAGTTGACTTGAGTATAGTCGTATTCCTCGCGGCAACCTCGAATCGGTGTATTACCTACTTTATCTTTTTTTTTTCTTTTTTTTGTACTATATGTAGGTTAGTAATGTATGTACATAGGTAGACTGCCTACCTACCTAATGTAAGTATTATATGGGACCTGGTTCGTTATTTCCAAGTGGAGTAGTATGCCGGGTAGTATGTAAGTGCGGCTAGCGGGGCCGATGAATCAAGGCATCATATTAAGGTAAAAAGGGACCTGGGAGGTCCTTCCCAACCTTGCCTGGTTTGATAAAAAAAAATGTCGGAAATTCTAATTTCTTCTACTCCCGCTTACATACATAGCTCTCAGTCTCTCAGCTCCTCTATCTAGTCTAGACTGGGTAAACAGTCGTGTAAGTGTGTAACGGAGAAGTGACCGGAGTTTACTCTCATGTGTTGGTAATAGACTATTACTACTACCAGACATCCCCCATTTTCACTTGCCGCTTATATTACTTTTACTACTACTTCGTTGCTACCTTATTCTCCCAAGATCAAGATCATTTCCAAACGCTACTCTTTGCTTCATACTCAATAGATAAAACAATTCATTAAAACCTATCTCCAAGATCTTATCCAAGGTATAGGATAATTGTGTAACAGCTCACTTATAATTGCTATACTTACGTCACTCTCGCATTGTCTTTGCGAATAAGTGCTAGGCCGCTTTTTTTGGCTATAATATGGCAAATGAAGCTGAGGATAAGGAGACAAAACCCGTCGATCCACTTACAGATGTCAATAACACCGCCAACTCTGAGCCGGCCTCAGTCTATGAGGATCCCGACGAGGAGATCCGTAAACGAGAAGAGTCCGATGAGAAAAGAGCCGGCCGCGAGGAATTAAAACACACTCAAAGTTATGCCACCGATACAAGCGCAATCACTCGTACAACCTCGAGAGCTTCCGTGCCTATAACTAAGAAGCCATGGTATAAAACACCAAATCCGCTACGATGGGGTTCGATACCCCCTACTCCCAAGGAGCGCCAAGTCTCGAGGGAGTACAAAGCTAGCTTCTGGAGTAAACTAACATTTCAATGGATGGCTCCCATGATGGATGTAAGAACTCGTACTGATATGTCCCGCTTGGCCTCGCTGTATTGATAGAAGTATTTAGGTCGGGTATAAACGACCCCTAGAACAAGATGATCTCTGGCTAGTGAATCCTAATCGGAAAGCCGATAGGATGACGGGTAAGGCGAGAGAATCGTTCGAAAGACGGAAAAATAATGGTGACAAGTACCCCCTACTCTGGGCGCTCCACGAGACCTTCTTCTGGGAGTTCTGGGTCGGTGGTTTCTGTCAACTTTGCTCGTCCATTTTTCAAGTCATGTCTCCTTTCACTTTACGTTACCTCATTGAGTTCGCCCAGCAAGCCTGGGATGCGTCTCAGACCGGCTCGCCACCGCCGCAAATTGGCACAGGAATAGGCCTAGTTATCGGCGTAACTGTCATGCAAATTCTACAGAGCTTGGGAGTCAACCATTTCATATATCGCGGTATGATGATCGGAGGACAGACGCGCGCAGTCCTGATCAGTCTCATCTTCGAGAAGTCTATGGTGCTCTCCGGCGGGCAAGGGCTGGAGGCAAAGAGGGTATCGATAACTCAACAGAAAATGGCCAGGGAGAGAAAGGAAAAGAGAACGCAGCCAATAAGACAGAAAAATCAGAAAAGGACATGAAAGGAGATAAGGCAGGTATTTCTGGTGACGGCACTGGCTGGAGCAATGGAAAGATCGTGAACTTGATGAGCGTTGACACCTACCGTGTGGACCAAGCCAGTGCCATGTTCCATCTGATTTGGACGGCACCTATTTCTTGCATCATAACTCTTATCGTCTCCTGATTAATCTGACGTACAGCGCTCTAGCCGGCTTCGCGCTCCTCGTGATCGGTATTCCGGCATTGACTAGAGCAATCCGCTTACTGTTCCGGCGCCGTGCTGCTATTAACAAGATAACGGATCAACGAGTAAGCCTAACCCAGGAGATTCTTCAATCAGTCCGGTTTGTCAAGTATTTCGGGTGGGAAGGGGCTTTCCTTGAACGCCTCAAGGATATTCGGACTCGAGAGATCCACGCTATCCAGGTCCTCCTTGCTATTCGAAATGCCATCAATGCTGTCAGCATGTCGCTTCCTATCTACGCCTCTATGCTTTCATTTATTACCTACTCACTCACCGATCACGGTCTCCCAGCCGCACAAGTCTTCTCGTCCCTCGCGCTCTTTAATGGTTTGCGTATGCCCCTAAATTTGCTCCCCTTGGTGATTGGTCAGACAGTTGATGCTTGGTCGTCCCTCAAACGCATCCAAGATTTCATGCTATCTGAAGAGCAAGAGGAGGATGTCATATTGGAGCCCGAGGGGAAGAATGCAGTTGAGATGCACAATGCTACCTTTACCTGGGAAAGGACGCCGAGCCAGGAATCTGAAAAGTCAATGGTTGCTGGCGGGGACAAGAAAGGCAAGAATGGACCTCAGCAAAAGGGCGCGAAGCAAAATCAGAAACCAGGCAACAATAATGGCCCATTGGAAGAGAGTGCCGAGGATACAGCAAGCACGCTTGTGGAAGAACGTGAGCCGTTCAAGCTACAGGAATTGAATGTTGAGATTGGTCGGAATGAGCTGGTTGCTGTTATTGGAACCGTCGGGAGCGGGAAGAGCTCCTTGCTTGCTGCGCTTGCTGGCGATATGCGGAAAACATCAGGTGAAGTTGTGCTGGGAGCGTCTCGAGCTTTCTGTCCGCAGTATGCCTGGATTCAGAACACGAGTGTCCGAAATAATATTCTCTTCGGGAAAGAGATGGATCGTGAATGGTACAAAGAGGTCATCAGAGCGTAAGTCATATTGAACAATGTTGAAGGAAGGCAAATACTAACTTGTTACTAGCTGTGCTCTACAACAAGATTTGGATATGCTTCCCAACGGAGACGCTACCGAAATAGGTGAAAGGGGAATCACCATCTCAGGCGGACAAAAGCAGCGACTTAATATTGCCCGAGCCATCTACTTCGATGCTGATATCGTGCTTATGGACGACCCGCTCAGTGCCGTTGATGCCCACGTTGGTCGACATATCATGGACAACGCTATCCTAGGTCTCCTTAAAGACAAGTGTCGTATCCTTGCCACGCATCAACTTTGGGTTCTTAATCGCTGTGATAGAATCATCTGGATGGATGGCGGTAAGATGCAAGCGATCGACACATTTGACAACCTAATGGCGAACCACTCGGGTTTCAGGCACCTAATGGAGACAACGGCTTTGGAAGAAACGAATAAGGAAACGCCGGCTACCGTCGAAGAGAAGACAGGCGGCGATAAAGACAAGAAGAAAAAGAAGCGTGGTCAGGGGTTGAGCAAGCAGAGGAGCGAGCAGTGGCAAGCGTCCCATGGTCTGTTTATACCGGTTATATTCGAGCTTCGGGGAGCATTCTCAACGCTCCTCTCACGTTAGCTGTTCTTCTCCTTTCCCAGGGCGCCAATATCATGACAAGTTTATGGCTTTCCTACTGGACGTCAGACCATTTCGGCCTAACAACGGGGATATATATCGGCGTTTACGCTGGCTTGGGCACGCTACAAGCTATGCTGATGTTCGCCTTTTCTATTCTACTGACCATATACGGCACAAATGCTAGCAAGACTCTTCTCAGACAGGCTGTCTCCAGAACCCTCAGAGCACCGATGTCGTTCTTCGACACAACGCCCCTAGGCCGTATAACGAATCGGTTCTCCAGGGATGTCGATGTTATGGATAACAACTTGGCTGATGCGATGAGGATGTATTTCCTCACGTTAGCCATGATAATAACTGTGTTTGCGCTGATCATCGCTTTTTTCCACTACTTTGCTATTGCGTTAGTTCGCGCTTGCTATTCTATTCGTGCTTGCGGCATCGTACTACCGAGCGTCGGCAAGAGAAGTAAAGCGCTTCGAATCAGTACTTCGATCTATCGTGTTTGCTAAATTCGGAGAGGGTCTTAGCGGTGTGGCATCTATCCGCGCATACGGATTAAGGGATCGTTTTATTGGCGACCTTCGAAACGCCATCGACGAGATGAATTCGGCATATTACCTAACATTCTCAAACCAGCGGTGGTTATCCGTGCGTCTAGACGCTATCGGGAACGCGCTCGTGTTTACCACGGGTATCCTCGTGGTCACGTCCCGATTCGATGTTTCACCATCGATCGGCGGTCTCGTACTCTCGTACATCCTATCGATCGTGCAGATGTTGCAATTCACGGTTAGGCAGCTAGCCGAGGTGGAGAACGGAATGAATGCCGTGGAACGCCTCCAGTACTACGGCACACAGCTCGAGGAGGAGGCGCCAGAACACACGATCGACGTCCGTCCTACGTGGCCCGAGAAAGGCGATATTATCTTCGATAACGTCGAGATGCGATATCGTGCGAATCTGCCCTTGGTTCTTAAGGGTCTGAGCATGCACGTCCGTGGTGGCGAGCGTATAGGTATCGTGGGACGTACCGGAGCCGGTAAGAGTTCTATCATGTCGACTCTCTTCCGCCTAGTCGAGATTTCAGGAGGCCATATCTACATCGACGGCCTAGACATCTCCACAGTCGGTCTGCATGACCTGCGCTCCCGCTTAGCTATCATCCCGCAAGACCCAACACTCTTCCGCGGGACGGTGCGCAGTAACCTGGACCCCTTTAACGAGCATGCGGACCTAGACCTCTGGTCCGCGCTCCGCAAAGCAGATTAGTCCCCGCCGACGCAAATATCGACGACAAAGATCCCTCGCGCATTCACCTCGACAGCGTAGTCGAAGAAGACGGATTAAACTTCTCGCTCGGACAACGACAACTAATGGCGCTAGCACGTGCCCTGGTCCGCGGGTCCCAGATCATCGTGTGCGACGAAGCGACGTCTTCGGTGGACATGGAGACGGATGACAAGATCCAGAAGACGATGGCAGTCGGGTTTCGCGGCAAGACGCTCCTGTGTATTGCGCACCGGCTACGCACTATTGTCGGGTACGATAGGATATGTGTTATGGATGCGGGACGGATTGCAGAGTTGGATTCGCCGATTGAACTTTGGAGAAACGGGGGTATATTTAGGAGTATGTGCGATAGGAGTGGTATTCGGGAGGAGGATATTTTGATGGCTATGAGGGGGCTCAGGGGGGAGGGAGAGGAGGACTTGAGTGAAGATATAGGGGAAGGGTCGAGAGGGAAGAGCGAGAAGGATGATGAGATTTAGATGATGTAGAAGGCTGGACGAAGTTAAAATGATGGGTGGTGATATGATACAGACGGGATACCATACGATAGGACGGGCCTTGGATAAAAGTTAATAATGTTGGGTAGATGTGGTATATACCTAGGTAGCGATACACGGATATATATGAGGTTTGAATATTAATATTATGTCTATCTATGTGGTTTTAGGTGTGTTGAAAGGGGTGAGGTTGATGCTGGGCTTGATGTCCATGTCTTATATATAGGTACTTAGTACGTACTAATAAGACTATGGTGTTAGGAATGGTTGAAGGGATATGAGAGTGTTTAGAGGAAACGAGTAAATAAATGGTTTATTTATTTTCATATAAGGTCAACGTGTAGATAAATAGGTAGATACGCACGAAAGAAACAAGAGGGTCAGAGCGGTTAGAGACTTTAGGTACTATAGATAGCCACCACGTGTAAAAACCCAAAGACGCAAGGGATAGTGCTCGACTTGTTTCGATCTTCGCCTTGATCCGTTCATAACGCAAGGGCTTTCTTGGTATCATGTTTAAGTAGATTGCTATAACTGAGTATCTTATATTTGTATATGATTGCTGGTAGTAGTATAGATGTTTTGGGTCAGATATTATTATTGCTTTAAGTGGTTTTAAATAGTTGAACTATACGGAAAATATAAGTCGAGTAACTACAATATCAAAAAGTATTCAGTTACTATTATTCAAGCTTAGTTATTTAATACGTGCCTAAGTTCTTCTTATATTTCAAATACTTAGGCAAGTAAGTAGTTGATTACAAAATAAGATTAATATACATGTATATAGTTGTCAAGTAGTAACTATTCTTATACTTATATATATCTACCTTATACCACTTCCAATATCACGACTTACACAATACCCATTTTGAGTAGTAGCTATATCGGAATATAAGTGCCTACCAGATCTTAGTGCGAGCCATCCCGTATACATACCTTAGGTACCTAACCTAGGTACCTTACTTGCTTTTCTACATCTACCTAACCCAGGTTACACGGGATCCCGCATCCCATCTGCACACAAGCGCATGCGCCATTCCTGCAGCTACCCGTCCGTAGATACGTATATGCCTACGTACTTGCTACCTACTTCCCTCCGATAGGTAACCTGTCTCGCTGGTCTTTACGTTACTATATATATAATATATATATGTACTTCCTTACATTAGTAGATCAGATTAGGTAAGTACCTACATATATGTATGGAGCACCTGTGTACCTCTACCTGTGTATCTGTATATCTACCCGTCTCTCCACAGCATATGCACATACATACATACATACATACATACCCAAAGCCAACACCACATCCCTTGAATCCGCAAAAAAAACTCCACATTTAGCATCACTGCACATACAAGAACCGATGAAAAAAATGTATTATATTGGATAACAGCCCTCAAAAGGGGAGACTACACCACACCAAGTCCTATCCTACGTCTAGTGTTATCTCCAGCTGTAGCGACAGATCGGTGACGTAGTTAGCATGTAATCTCTGCTCTTTTCCTCTCCCCCTTTTTGTTTTTTAAAAAAAAGTATGTAATAAGTAGTACTAAAACTATGCTATACTATACTATACCGTAGTAATAGATATAGTAGCATCAAGGTCGACCCAATGTTGCCTTTGCCTAAACTCCAACTCTAATGCCCATTACACACACGTACACACGTACACACGTACGCGTTCATTTATTTTACAACAAGCAACGATACCTAAACAAGCCGGGGTCCGAAACCGAACGAATATATTTGTCTGCTCGATCGATCGACGATTGTCCTCACCGCCGGATACCCAATCCCCTTTCCCCCCACAGCTTTACAAGGATTGGTTCGTCTGGCCCCGTCCTAAATCATTGCTCGGAATAATAAAAGCTTTCCCTCAGCGATATTCTGCGTGGAAGAATTTGTAAATGCCCAAACACCTTAGCCTTCCCTTTCCACACTCCGCTGAAGCAGACCCCTTTCCAGATATCTAATGCCGGGGTTGTGATGAACTCCAGGTGTGGTGGTGGCTAGGTGGTGGGAACTGATTTTTCGGGTCGTCTAATAAATCTTCCAAGAAAGCGCTAGGTGCCCGTCCACTGGGTGGTCGATTTAGATTCAGCGAGCTCGCGCTCATGTTTCGTTGTGCTAAAGCCCCACGGGGTGCTAGACTGGGAGACTCAGGTGGAGTGTGTCCAAGAGGTCGCGGGTAACTGTGCGAATCAGGCCGTAAGTTCGTCAGACTGATATTATGGCCATGGCCCTGCGGAGAGCCTGCCCCGGCGGCATAGAAGCCGGAGGGTAAAAATCGGGATTCACGATTACCGCTGGACGTAGTAGGAGCATGGGGAAAAGAAAATTAGACTGGCTCGGGGTTTGCGAAGGTATAGGTCCCCGCGTTGTTCTTCGTATGCCACGGCCTGACCCGCCGTTACCAAGCGAAGCCGAAGATACCTGGTCGGTATACTTATAGAACGGAGGAGGTTGCGGCGGAAAGGTAGCCTTGTCGTTAGCAAGTTGCTGAGCCAGTGCCGCCCTCTTAACCGAGCGGATGCAGAAGACAGGCGACAACCGCGCGCCATATCAAGACGGCAACTCCGAAAGCACCTAGGATTGCCCCGACTGCGATGAACACGGTGCCTTCCGGCACGCTTGACGGTTGCATAAACGGGGCATTCTTCGTAGGAGGAACGGAAGGAGCGGGATAACTATATTGGCCAGGGATAGTAGGAAGCGGTCCATCATCATCGGATGAAGTTGAAGTGGTAATAGGTGGAGGAGTATCGGTGGACGAAGGCTCCGTTGTAGTACTGGCATCGGTCGACGTTTCCGTCGGGGTTTCCGTCGGGGTCTCAGAGGGTGTCTCGGATGTGGAAGAGTCTTCGTCGGGGTCCGTCTCGGTGTCTGTCTCCGTTTCCGTCTCCGTAGGTGTTGGTGTTGGCGTAGGAGTAGGAGTAGGAGTAGGAGTTGGGGTTGGGGTTGGTGTAGGAGTTGGCGTCACGTCACTCGTCGTATTATCATCATCGTTATTCCCTTGAGCGATGACGTTAGAGGCGAGAAGGGCGACGAGAGCGAAGAGAAACGGTTGCGTTCGCATGATGGGCGAGTTTGCGAAACAAAACGACGAGAGAAGTAATTAAGTGAGGGAAGGTCTCGAAGTCGTTTAATATGCGCAATCGCAAGCGCACGGGGAGTATAGGTGATGGGCACTATTTAAATGCTATCGGACATAAAGTTTACTCTGTTGTGATTGTGGCTGAGCGAAGGCACGATGATATGGAGTTTCTCTCGTATTTGGCCCCAACTCAATTACGCAAAGGGAACAAGGCGCCCCCAACTTGGACACGAACGAGGGTTTAAAAAGAGGTCAAGTTACGATTGGAAGTTTATTAATATAAAAAAAAGAATGTGGGTTTTAACGACGGACGAGAAATAATGTTGATTAAAAAAGTTTATGAGTTTTGCATTGTTGTTGTTTATTGCAGATTTCCTTATAATCCTCCCACCACTTCGTTTCGCTGATGTTTGGCGAGATGGTGGATGGTGGATGGTAGATGGATGATGGGCAATAAACGATGGGCGAATGGGAGATGGATAATGGATAATGGGGACGAGGGACCAACGAGAAAAGGAGGAGAAGCTAAGAGGATACCTTAAGCAAAAAAAAAGAGCAGGCACGCTCCATGCCCCAATCTGCCCATGCGAATCTAACCTAACCTAGTTTAAAAATCCAAATTGAGGGAAGACGAGACGAGAAAAAGGCTCGCGTAAATTATCTAAGTGTACTAGTACCCTATTAGTACACATTACTAGCATATCTTACTACATAGTACCTACCTAGATAGGATACCGCATGGCTGGTTTGACTTTTAACAAGCGCCGCCTAAATTATTTTAAAACCCCATCATATCGTACATAGGGGTCCCGACTTGATGGATAGTACATACAAAGTAACGGTACATACGTACCTACGTATAGATTTACATGCGCAAAGCACGGCATCGGCGAATATGGAAGCCCGCAGCTACATACGCTGTGCGACTCGGTAGTACGGCGCACAGCAGCTAGCCACCCTGCCCCCCGAACGCATCTATCGGAGTATATATTAGAGGTATGTACTACTAATGTACGTAATTGCTCAGTTGTATATATGCCCGTTGTAATTCATCCTCACTTAAATATGGACCTGATCTAAGATTTCCGATATACAACACTTTTAAATTCCACGTGGTGGCTTTTCGTTCTAGACGTAATTGTAAGACATCCCCGGTCAATCTTTAAGTGAGAATAAGAAAAAAAAGGCCGGCTAAGACGCAATCATCAAGTGGGCTGGTAGGCAAAATGTATTGGTACATGCGATGACTTACATAAGGCATATACTTAGGTACATTATATATATACATCAACGCATGGGGAACGCGCGCACTGACCAAGTTTAGACGCCAAGATTAGTACCTTAAACTTACCTATAGTGGACAAGGTCCATCCGGCAAAACCTTATGTAATACATGGCGGTTAATCTGATATTCCATTTCCCAGGGCGGTCAAGATTTTCTATGGGCGGCAGATTTATTATCTTGATACTCAGACGCCTACCAACTTTGACATTGCTTGACGTTACCCGTTCGAATTCAAGTCCCTCGCGTCTGCGTTGAAGTATACTGATCTAAGACAAATCGGAAATCCATCATGGGTGTCGCAAAGAAGACGCGCAAGTTCGCACAGGTCCGTTCCCTCTCATCATCACCTTAGAAAATACCTTATCGATAAGCACCAAACAGCATCACCACCACCACCACCACCATCACCACTACCAGTACCACCACCAGTATGTATACTAACCCTCCACCCAGGTCAAGCGCATAATCTCGCGCCGCGACGCACGCCTCAAAGAAAACCAAACCAAAGCCGCCGACAAAGCCGCCGCCGCCGCAGCATCCAAGCCCTCGGCCTCAGGCGACATCGTGCGCCGCGAAGTCCCGCAGCTCCCCTCGTCGCTCTTCTTCCAGCACAACGAAGCATTGGTTCCGCCCTACAGCGTCCTCGTCGACACCAATTTCCTCAGCCACACCGTGCAGCGCAAGCTGCCGCTCCTCGAGTCCATGATGGACTGCCTGTACGCGAAATGCACCCCCATCATCACCAGCTGCGTCATGGCCGAGCTGGAGAAGCTAGGGCCGAAATATAGGATCGCGCTGAGGATCGCGCGCGACGAGAGGTGGGAGAGGTTGCAGTGTGATCATAAGGGTGTTTATGCTGATGATTGCATTGTTGATCGCGTTATGTAAGTCTAGTCTAATTCCGAGGTTTTTTTTTTTGGCCGGGGGGACGGGGGACGGGGGATTGGAGTGGTTGTGTGAGGTGTTGATATAAGGGAGGTGACTTAGTAGCTAACCGCAATCGAACAGGAAACACCGCGTATATATTGTCGCAACCAACGATAAGGACCTCTGCCGCCGGATACGCAAGATCCCCGGTGTCCCTATCCTAAACGTAGCTCGGGGAAAATACGTGATTGAGAGATTACCCGGTGCTCCTCAATAGTCAGGATCTACATAGGAGGTATAATACGATGCATAGCTATTTTGAGGCTTCCGGCGTTAAGGTAGACATTATTATATCAAGTAAGGTTGGCTTAAGGCATACCAGACGGCGTTATAGGCAGATTTAAAAAAAAAAACAGTCGATTTAATGCAAGGAATGCTACAATACAGATTAAACGTTGCTAATTAGACGTGCATGCTCAATAAAATCATGTTGAATAGCGGCAATGCAATTATTATCCCCATCTCGTTTCGGGGGGTCGAGGCCACCTAGGATGGGTTTCTATGTACACTGATAACCTCGTTCCGTTGAAGGGTTTCCTATACCCAACAGCTCTCGTCGTAAAAGAAAACCACCGGGTATAAATGGGTGGTTAGTTACCTTTTTGATTCTATAGTCCACGTTACTGCCACACGCACACACACATGAAATGCAGTCATACCGTGCCGTTCCACTTCCTGAAAAGGGCTTGAGAGAAAAGAAAAGAAAAAAGGCCGTACAAGAACGCCACTGTCCCCGTCTCCGTTGGAGAAAAACAATCGACTACTGTACACCCCTTTTTTGTTGCGCCCTTCGGCAAGAGCTTACTCCTTAGATGCATATATATCAAGGCGGGACATCTAGAGGCGCGCCGCCTTGAGATGAAGAGGATCAAAATGCAGTGAAAACCGCCCCGCGCCAGACAAATGTGTAACAAATACGCCGCTCCAATATCGGACTGGAGGTCATTAGGAGGACTAATTGAGGAAACCTTTGCAAGCTGCAGTTCCGCAGAGGCAGGGTATACGATCCAAGCTTCCTATTTCTCGCTCAAACTTGTAGTCGTATGTCAATTCCTCGTCTATAGAAGTTTTTGTTAGTATCATGAAACTATTATATCAGATGGGTATCTGCAAACTTACTCTGAGCAATGTCTCGTAACGCGTAGATGACAATTCTCTTACTACCCTCCACCTTGATAATCTTGGCTGTACAATTTGGCATGCAGCTGTGGTTGATGAAACGTGCAATGCCACCTTTCTTCGTTGCGTCGATGACTGTGCTGTCGTCGATACGGAAGAGGTAGCTGCTACCAATGCCACTCTTGAGATAACGGTTCTCCCGAATCTCGGAAATGGACTGTCGAACTTCCTCGCCGACATACTCGATGATCATGTCATCCTTGTTGATGTTTTCCATCGCGTAGAGACCCCAGTTATGAATGGGCAGAGCGAGCAAATTTGACCGGCTTCTTCCGCTTCTTAAGCTGATTGAATCTAAGAACCTCCGAGTCCTGACCTAGAGTTCTCTTTTGATCGTTCAGGTCGGCGACAAATCGGCGATTGTTGACACGATTTGCTCTTGAGTTACCCTTTGCTAATAACTTCTCTGCTGCAAGCTTTGCTGCTTCTGCTGCAGCAGCGGTGTCCTTGCCGTCTTTCTTGGCAGCACGGAGCTGTCGCTCTTCCCTTGCCTTTTGGACCTTGATGTGATGAGGAAGATATTTAGACTTCTCTGAGTTGAGTATCTTCTTCACGCCTTCCGTCCGAGCACACCCAGTAGGGTTTGGTACGTAATAACCCTCAATAGTAATGGGTTCGTCCCGGGATGGCTCGTCAGCGTTAAGCTCCCGCACGCGACTGTGCCTCCATACCCAGAGTCTGGGATCGCCGACATCAACAGGCTTGAATTTTTTCTTTAGCTTGCTAACATCAGGGTGATCATTTGGCTGGAGCTCAATCTTTGACATGGATTTAACAGACAAAGTAAATGGTTCTGGAAGGGCCATTGCTGGGAGTACCGCGTCAGAAAAGCGATCATCCTTTAGAACTGGCTTGTCTATTGCTTCTTCCATGACTGGTTTTTCTGATTGCTCTTCAGGCTCTTGAGTCTCTTCCTTGTTTGTTTGATCTAGAGCCTCCTCAACATATGCTTCCTGTTGTTGCTTCTTCATGGCCTCACGTTCTTCAAATAGCTGCTTCTTAGTCTTCTTCTTGGGTTTTGCTATAGTCACCTTCTTCCTTCCTTTAACAGGCTTTTCGGTCGGTGTGAGCAGCTCGGTAGCATTGAGACTCTTAGTATTGTCACGTCCAGCGTCGGGCATAGGTACGTCGTCAGTTGGACTTGGGAATTCGCTCTCAAGCGTATCAATAGTAACACCAAAAAGCTCTTCGTCGGACTTTTTCTGTCGCTTGATAGCGGCTTCGATATGCAAGTCGAGTTTCCGCTTCTTTGCTCTAGTGGGTCCATCGTTGACGGGGAAACTAGCATCTGTCATGGAGTCTTCGTCACCGAAGCCGTCTTCAAAGACATCGTCCTCTGTACTCAATCGGCTGCGAGGACGCGAATCTGGCTCTTCAACATCGCGCGCAACAGAGTCGCGGTTCTCGGTTTCATCTTCGGATGCCTCGTCATCACTATCTGGAGGTTGCAGCCGATGGTGAAGAGAACGGAAGGCATTGTGTACCACAGAAGATCTCTTGCGCGCAAACGGGTCTGTAAACCCATAGTTCCGCTGGGCAGCACCTTGACCTTTAGCTTTCCTAATACGGGGCAGAGCTGTAACATCGAGACGAGCAGTACGGCGTTCGATCGGGTCGGCTCGAGAATTGGGGGTACTAATCGGAGTTTCATCGCGCTCTTCGACGCTGACAGCAAGTCGGGATGAGCCAGCTGGGTTCTCAAGGTTCAATCTTCGCCTTTTAGCAATATGATTGTTCGGGTCTAGAAATGTAAATAGGGCAGGTATGGCGACTTTAGTCCTAATATGTCTGATTAAATGCTCCTTCATCTCACGACGGACAACTTCAACAGCCTCAAGTACGGGATCAAAGTTCTTCGCCCTTTGCTTTTTCTCTTCTTCCAAAACTGCTTCTTCGTCGCGACGTCGCTCGTCGCGGGGTCTATATTGGGTTCGTCTCTATAGCGGGTATCTGCTAATGGTCTCTTTTCCGGCTCGCTTCCTCGTAGGGGACCGGTGAGTTGGAAGATCCCGATGGAGTAACTCCATGGAGCTTCATTGCCATAGTATAGGTGAAGAAGGCACTGCCATCTGCGGACCTAAAGCACCGGAACGCCTCGTCGCGACCGACCGAACGTAGTATTGGGGAAGATTATATAGTAACCAACGCGGTCGGCTCGTATGTCCTCGAATTGGAACGCCTTCAGGCGTTTTTTCATATGAGGTATCGTTGTAACCATCACTGGAACGCTGGAGTCGGGAACGAAGACGTATGGTTCGCCTTTGAGGGTAGCTGGAATAGGTTGCATATCGACCAACGTGGAATAAGCCTTAGGCTTCGTCGGGGGTGCCCAGGCGGGCTCTACTGCTCCTATTGAGGGTCGTTGTCGATCGGCAGCAGGACCTCTCGGGGCAGCAGGAGGCGCTCGGCTGAGTAGCTCGGGAGGCATTAGCCTTGGACCCGTAGGTACAGGCGGCGTAGCAGCTGCACGCTTCGCTTCGACTTGATCCTTCTTAAGAATAGTCTCGAGCATGGATCTACTTTTCTTGCCATCCCGGTCAAACTCTACCTTTATATGGTTCGCCTCAATCTTTCTGCCGTTCATAGCTCTGGCAGCTCTTCTCGCGGCATCGATAGCCGAGATGGGAGGCCGTCTTGGTTGCTTCGAGTCTCGGTATCGAAAGGTCGCAAAACCCAGATAACTACCTGTATGAGGATGCATTTTATTGCTACTCTCAGCAATATCGCCAAACGAGGTGAAAATGGTCACAACCTTGGAGAAGGCAATCAGGGGGTTGAATCCGCTAACGACGATCTGGGTTGGCGGCCCAGGGCCAATGGAGGTGGCAGCATCATACGGGTAAGGCTTGAGATTATATGGAGTTTGGCGTAGCCTAGCCTTAGGTAGATGGAAGTCGACATTGATATAGTCAAGCCAGCTACCCTTGGATAGGCGAGGGTCTAGAGGGGGAGCGTCATCTTCCTATTCAGTGTATTAGCCAAAGTTCTCACGCAAAGTAGATGACGCTCCCCCTCCATCCATATAATATATTATACGTACCAAGCCGATATTCTTGTATTTGGGTTTCAATGTTTTCCTATCGCTCGAAGACAAGCTCTTGTCGGTTGAAGGATCGTGTATGCACTTGGTTCCTTTTATAGTAAGGTTAGGATCTCGAGCTGGGAGGCGCTTGACGGCGCTGGGAAGACTAGACGACGACCCCGTGGCCATTGTGGGATTCGTACTATCAGATCTGCTGGTAGTATTGTGAATGGCGGAGGTGCGCTGCTTCGCGGCTTGTATATGTGGGGGATTTGTGGGCGAGCCCGATATAGTAAGAGGAGTGAGGTTGCTGTTGGATGCGCGTGAAGAAGCATTTAAGGCAGCGGAGGAATTGAAGGTGGTAAAGACAGAGGATGCGGTACTCGCATGTGAGCTTGCGGAACCAACACCATTGAGGATATCCCCTTGCAAGGACTCGGTATCATCTGTCGGGGGATGTGCGGCATCAGACAACGATGAATCGTACTTGGCGCCATCGCGGTGAGCAGGTGTTGCCGTTTTGGAATCATGTTCGATAGCTTCTGATGTCCTCGAGGACTTCTCGCGTTCCCGTTCATTAGCCTTGTCTCTGGCGGCGCGAGGAGCGTTAGGAAAGAACTCCTTATAACCAGCGCTAGGAGCCATGATTCGGAGGGTCGAAGTTGGCGGCTTCGACTATCCACCGACCATCATATCTCGAACCGGTAATGGTCGAAAACACCATTCATTTATGACGCGAAAGGAGGGTGTATGATTGATGTACTAAAGTCGGGGGTGGAGGTGGTAGGAGGATACGCGAAACTTTTGCGTCCACGCGACAGGATCGGAGATCTGACGTGTGGACTCGTCAAAAGACAAGTATCTGATCTTGACGATGTGGAAGGCGAATAAAGAAGGGTATATGACTAAAAACTAGCCCAGTACGGTCGCGAATAGATGTAGAATGTGTGCCTATGAAATTTACACCGGCGAGGTCGAGACTGGGCCTTAGTTGAAAAAGGGCGGGCGGTAGATGGAGAATGAAGAGGCTGATGCCGAAAAGTTGAATTGGCGGTTGATGGGCAAAGCCAGATTCTGATTTCAGGGATGGGGCCAAGTCCGGGGGGGATGGTAGCCACACCTGTGCCACATCTCTGTTCTGTTTTTATTCTCAGGTCTATGAAGACATAGCTGCACCTGTACCTACATGTGGCGTTGCTAGGCTACATTAGGCTACACTAGGTACGTGCATAAGTCTGTATTGGCAGTAGGAACTTCCCCCTTATGCATTACAACGTCACCATTATTTGTTATTTGCTGTTGTTCGCCTGCATGTATCGTTAACAATTATCGAGAACGAATAGAATCGGCTTTATCCGTCAGATCCAGAACCTGATGCGACTCCTTTTTACCTAGCCAGGCACCCGTCTCAAAGTGCTTTGACTATCTACTATTCAATATGCATCTCTGCCTTCAGGGGCTGCAAGGGTTCTATCAAGGACTGTTCAATAGAAAATTGTAGCCCAATTCAACTAAAGCTTGTAAGTAATTACTAGGTACACTGGTATTATAAAGTAAGATCTTTTAATATCAGCTTTAGGTTAGATAATAGACGAATTCAGTCAAACAAGAACATATGAAGAGTTGTCTGATCTAAATTTACTCATTGGAACACATGTTAATAAACATAATCGTAATTCCTATCTTCTACCTAAGTATCAGTCATTCAAGCCTCCACGTCAGCTAGACACACGGCCAAAACATTTGCTATTTGTAGATTATAGTTGACGTGTGGCTCAGTCACTTGTCAGGCTTCTAAACGGAAACATCAAAAAAACTAAAATAATACAAATACATGATCTGATCTTATTTTAGAAGTTCGCCTAGTCCTTCGACGTCAAAGTGATTGCTAGCACAATTTAACTAAAGAGTAAACCGAGCGTTTACAGGGCCAACTTAGAACATAGGTATATTCGTTAAGGCTAGCCAACCTAGCTTATTGAATGCAACTTGACCTAGGACAGGCATTTGAAGGAGTCTCATTAGATAGTATAGGTAAAATACTATAACCAACCGCCTTAATGAATGAACTATCAATACAAGAGCCTTAATACTGTTAGAGGCATTTTTCTGCATATAGTAAAGTCTAATGCGCACGCGAGCAGACGCCAACCCCATTTCATAAAATCAAACACCGACTCCTATCACAATGTGAATAATGGGGAGCCTCTAATCCGCAAGTTTAAACTCGAAATCTTCATCCTCGTCTACGCATGGACCTTTAAGCGTACTTCCTGTGAGGAGATCGAAGTCATCGTCATCGTCATCCTCCTCGGGGTTGAAGATGGAGAGGAATGGAACCCTCTCCTTCCACTCCTGATCTTCAGCCGCGACTATAGCTTGTGTGTGAGCGTATCGAGCAGGAGTAATAGTTCGGTCAGACTCATTTGACAACGTCGTATTAGTACGGGCAAATCCAGTCTTTGATGCAGGTCTTTCGGGCTTCGTGGTCCCCTGAGCAAGTATCGCAGCAGTAGTTCGGCCCTTGTTATAGCCAATTGTAGTTCGTGAATTTGCCTCGATCTCCGTCGATGTTTTCCTAGGGAGTGCTTGGGTCTGAGTGCCGGGTTGTCGTCTGAAGCTAGGTATAGGAAGGGATGTGGTCTTCTTGGCTGGGATTCTACTGACTTCCATGGGCCTTACTGCCTTTCGTTGTAATGACTTAGTCGTGTCATCTATCGATAGAGCTCTGGCAGCCTTCTTTGCTTGAATAGTGGATGGTACCCTATTCATCGCCGTTCTCTTAACCCCGAGAGGTGCTCGAGTTGGAACGAAGGTTGCCTTCTTAGTGGTCTCCGGTTCCTCTTGAATACCCCACTCAATGCTGTCGATATCTTCTTGGATGCGCCTGTCGCATTCCTCCATGGCCTTTCGGTTTCTCTCTTCCAACTCTCTGTCAGCCAACGAGACGCCATTCTCATCGAGAGGGTTAAAATAGTGGTCATAGTAGCCCTTGAATAAGTTCTCTGGTTTTAAGGCGTCAAATTTGAGAGCGCCGTCGGGGAACACGTCAGACTCGTAAGGGAGTCCTTCGGTTTAGGAGGACAATATTCAATCTCCTCCTCGCTTAGCAAATCCGCTCCTTCAGCGTGAACTACTAACTTCTGTAATTCAGCTTGCGGCTGCTTCTGCTTGGGTCGAATAGTTCCCGGCGCCTTGCCTTGAGACTTCTCTAGTTCGCGAACGGCGCTCTTAACAGTAATTGCCTGCGAACCCTTCGCTTTTGCGTTGGTGGTCTTGTCACCCAGAGGTGCTCTACTACGCGGACCTACTCTTATGAGTTAGTCTCGAGAGAAAATATGACAACTTCGAGGGTCAAACAGCAGCAGGGGCGCATACCTGAGGGCGTGGCAAGATTAGACTTATTCACACTTTTACCTCCTTTAGTTGTGAGGGTATTCTCATTGCCTCTTGATCTGCCACCGAGGATGCTCTTGGCACCACCGGCACCATTTTCGTCGTTCAGAGGGACTTTAATAGGTGTGTTCGCATATCTTGTACCGGGTGTCTTGGGCTGGAGTTGGCGCTTCGCTTGACCTTGCTGCTGCTTCAGAGCAGCACCATTCTGATGGCTAAAAGCTAAATTTTCTTGATCTCGAGCCGCTAACATTGTGGGCAAGGTTGACTGAGAAAATAAGTGGTAATTACGCTACTGTTGTTACCTGTGAACTGGATGTGATGTCGTAATTGCTGTATGTTTACGTCTGTATCGTTGAGGAGAGCCGACTCCCCATCAGCACAGACTTCTGCTTTAGCAACAAACAAAATCGAATGATTGGTAGCGTAATGTGAAGTTGGAGAGTAGTATTCGGCGGTGGACATTTATTGATGAAATGGATCCATTGTTTGCCTCGTCCTCATTTCTTAAGGGAATGGTTTGAATGTTGTTCTAACTTTATTTAGGTGGAATGACAGTTGCCAAAGCAACGAAGGTTCAGTACTTAGTGACATAGGCCCCTTCCATTGTCATGCAACATTGTACAGTGTGAAACTTAGAAACTTAATACAGTACGTTTCTCACCAAATATTACGAGCTAGGCCCACATGTGACAAAGCTAGAGGCACTGTGCGCCCAAAACAAATCATGAGACGGGTCCCTCTATCCCCTATCGGTCACTTTCCAGGGCAATAGGGAAGGCGGGGCAATTTAGTACCAACCCACTCGCCTTACATATGAATTTCCACGACTATCCATTCATCTAGTTCTGGTTGATCAATTATTCAACAAGCTCCTTTTTCCCTTATTCTCTTCAAAGTCTCTAGCCTCCCTTCGTTGTCTATCTAATCCAGCACATAACCTATTTCACCGTTCATCCCCGTAACCCTTTTTGTATTTTCCCTTTAGCTTTACTTCTAAGCACCCATCGCAAAATGGCGGACCGCATCAGAGAGGTAAGTTGGTCTATCTCTCAGATTTCCCCCTTTACCCCACCATCAAGCAGAGCGCGATATCAAAGGGGTACTCGGGACCAAACCACAAAGTCCAGCAACGCAGCGTTATGAAGCATATTTTTATATTTTAAACATGAATTTATAAATTTACCATGATATTAACATTTATCTTTTCTTGTAGAGAATGAACCAGCTCCGTCTGGAGGCTGACGAGTCTGCTGCCAAAGTCGAAGAGTTACAGACTAAAGTCAAGGCTCTTGAGCAGGAAAACCTCGCCAAGGAGCAAGAGATCACCTCCCTCTCCCACAAGAACGGTCTCCTCGAGTCTGAGAACGAGAAGCTCGACACCACCATCAAGGATTTGAAGAAGACGGCCGATGAGGGCTTGCAACATGGTACGCACAACGAGACTCTCCAACGAAGACTTCAGCTGCTTGAGGAAGAAGCCGAGGAGGCAGACAAGACTCTTCGTGAGACAAATGAGAAGTAAGTCGCAAAACGTGCCTGAGAATACTTGGGGGGTTTACGGGGTGCTAACAGTCACAAACTACAGGCTCCGCCAGACTGACGTGAAAGCCGGCCATTTTGAGCGCAAGGTACAGGCGTTGGAGAACGAGCGGGACCAGTGGGAGACGAAGTACGAAGAGATGTCCAAGAAGTACCAGGGTCTCCAGAAGGAGTTGGAGGACCTCCAGGCCGAGATCAGCAACATTTAGGGCGGTATTACTTTCGTCGAGACCGGTGTCGCGAGACGTCGAGACTATGCCTTAGAGGCCAAGGATTTCTTTTTTATTACCAGCACTGGCACTATGTCAACTTATACGGCGGAGGCCTGGCTTGACCGACCGACCTTACCGACAATTTTGAAAGGGGCAGAAATGTCGCGGTGGCAGTTGAAGAGAAGTCAAGTTTAGGGCATGTTTATTTGGTGGACGTTTTATGTTGGTATTTGCTGTAGCAAAGCCCGAGACGGATAGGGAATGCGCTAATCAACCACTTGGTTTCTTTCTAATCTTGGCTGCCTTCTCTTTCCTCTGGTTCAGTTGCCTATCCGCCTTGGACTCGTATCTGAACTTCGGTTTCTTCTTCTTGGGCAGCCTAGCTTTCTCCTTGCTTCCTGGAGGAGCATGTTCCGAGTCTTGCTTTGCTGTCTCTTGATCCTCGTCGCTCGAGTCCTCCGGTTTAGTGCTCGATAATCCATCCTTAGATACACTGACCGACTCTATTGTGACCGTAGTATACCGCTCTTCGTCAATGTATTCTTCCTCATGATCGATCGGTTCTAGTGCAGGTGTATCTTGAAACCCTCCCCATTCGTCTGCTTCATCGTTTGAGGCTTCTTTCTTCGCCTCCCACGTAACCTGCCTCTTGTGCTTGCTTTAGGATAGCATTGACGTTTTGGACATGCTCTTCGACTTCTCTTTTTCGATCATCCCGTATCTATAGAAACGACTCGTATTAGCGACCTAGTAGTTTTGGACTTTTTTTAATAACAAATATACTCCAACACACCTTCTTTCTAATCTCGATCTTTTCCTGTCTGGCCCTCCTGAGCAGCCTGTTCCTGTGCATTCTTTATCCTTTGTAATTTGCGCTTATGGAAGCCGGTCAGATAATCGGAACGAGCATCGTTATCAAATTTGATCTCTTCGATCAAATGCTGAGCCTTGCGTTTCTTCGGTGGCGGTACGAGTAAGCCCTTCTTTGGCCGTGGGCGCGCAAACATTTTATTTTTTCCAATGCGCTAAGAGAGAAGACAAAGTTGATCAAGAATACGAGTAAAGAATAGAGAGTTTGATTTCAGATTGGAGCAGAGTCTGGGCAAAAATCTAAGGGATATCAAAGCGAAAGTGTTGATTGTAGCTAGAAGCCACTGTCATAATAAAATTTAGCGACTTGGACCATTGCGTCCAGTTCGTTAATCTATCACTATCTGATTGGCCCCGCCTTGCATATTTGGCGGCCTGCCTGCTAAATTTCAGCGCATTTAGGGCCCCTACAAGCCCCCAAATGACGCCGTAACCTACACCCGGAATTTCATAGGCCGGAACATGCCGCGTCTCTAAAACAGGTCAAACGCCAACTTCCAAAGAGCTTCGCTTCAGCTCAAGCCTCGTCTTACTTCATCTATTTAACCATTAAATATTCTCACAAGACGTCCAACATCACAATGCGTCTTTCACGGTCTGCCACAGCGCTAGCAGCGTGTTGCGCTTCTGCACATGCCTTCTCAGACTCCTCCCCTATCGTTATGTTCTCAAGTGCTAGGTACGCTACACGACTCTATCATCCCTTCGCCTCGCATAAACGATGTAGCTAATCGCGTGTACTTACCAGCCTGGATGTGCCGGCCAATGGTGAACTAATACAATCGAATTCCGAAGTCCTTGCAACTCCCAAAAGACTCTCAAGAGCTGCCCGACCGATCGATATCTCATCGTCTCCCAGCCGAACCTCAACAGGGCCAACTTGGTCGGCGATGCAGTACCGAATCTCCTCCGTTATAATAACAAGGCCCAGAGTCGCTACTCGCTCCCGGAGGTAATTGGGGAGTTGGATACGGACGATGTGGTAGCATTCGTTAGGAAGTCCTGTGAAGGAAGGCCGCAACTATTTATCGACCAACTCGAATTAGCTCCTTTACCGTCCGTTAACGACGCGCACACGTTAGGGGAAAACGGTAAATATAATTATTGGGCTCTCCCTAAGGATATAATGCTGATGGTATATAGATGACGAACTCGGTATGGTGCTCGAACAGTTCGATAGGGACGGTTCTTACACGGTTATCTATGCTGGTGCTCCACGAAAGGAGGCTCCCCCGACCTACACGGCCGTGTTCCAGGATGGCGTACCTGCGGAATTGAAGAGAGACGTACACTCTGTTCAGCAGAGAGCTCTTAATGACACCAGGAACCTACCTCTATTTGAGAAGTACCAGTACTTCTCGACAGGTTAGTTCATTTACCTATTGCAGATTCGTTCCCATACTAATTAAAAAATAGGCATCTTCACAGCTCTCATCGCTTTAGTCATCCTTCTATCGATCCTATACGGTGGTATTGCCGCAGTCGCTAGCCTCGAGGTCCCCTACGGCGCATTCGACAAGGAGATGGGTCCTGCCGCGCATAAGAAGCAGTAGGCAGAAGATGCACGTAGGGAAGCAGTCCAGTCGGTAGAGGTATCAAGGCTGCGTGTAATTTGAGAAGCGTGTACGAATTACTATTGGGTCATCGGAGTCCGGGTAACGGGTAGCATCACGGAAGAAGTCGAATCAGACTGACTTCACCAAGCAAGCAAGGTATACATCGATATCATTTATCGAATCGGAAGGAGACTGTAGTGTAGATATAGGTATATGCAACTAGAATTGACCACGGCTATTTACTTTTCCTTTTCCTTTTCTCCTCGCCCCTTGTGAAGGTTCTCTCCGATGTGCCTTGTGTAGTTTTCGCGCCTCAGCAACTTAACTCCGGAACGCCTACCCAAGTCTTATGTGATTGCAGTCGTCTAGATAGACTCCAAATAGTAGCACAGTTCAGTGCTTACTTCCCTTGCCTCGCCCCGTCTCAAGCTTCCCCGTCCTAACAAATGCCAATGATGTTAAACCAAGTGGCTCGGCAAAAGAAAATTGGCGATGCCCTCACGGACGGCGTACTCGTGGCCACAGTTGGCGCACACAAGCTTGCCCTCCATGATCTGCGTTTCCATGAGTAGATTGTGCAGGTCCTTCATCTTCTGCTCGTCGCCTTGCAGCTCTTCCACTGAGGGCGCCTGGGGAGGTAGGGCTGGGAAGCCGAGCTAAAAAAAAATAAAATTTAGTTCTAGATTCAATAGGCCCTCATTTACTTTATTTATTCGTAGGTTTATGAAGTGATTTAAATAGAGCTTAAGAAAAATTACATACTTCGGTAGCCGTTGTAGACAAGGCGGTCCAATCGATGCGGGGCAGTACGTTGAGCAGTAGTTGAGCGTTCACCTCAATATCGTCCTGCACCAGCTCTGCATCTTTAGGATGAAGGGGATATGAATTTGAGGAGCTTTTGCACGCCTTGACCGCGCAGGCTAGGAAATTTAGACTGAGGACCTTCATCTCGGCATAAGAAGTTGAGGTTATGAGACTCGATAAGAATTTTTTCAAGTTCTTAAGGTCTAGAAATTGATCCGGCGCAAATAAAATTTAACGATTTTTTTTTTTTACAAGTCACACGTGATGGAGACAACAATAAGAATAACATAACGAGCACAACTACGCTTTATAAAATAAGACATCATTTTGATCAGATATACCATATATATTTCATTTGAAAGAGTAAATAACCACAAGTCTAAGCCATTGTCTTCTCGTAGGCAATGTCGTCCCGGTCACCTCTCTTCTTTGATAGGCGAATGTAGAAGGCGATAGCAGCGAGAATAACACCGAAAAGGAGAGCCTTCTGGAAAACGGACCATTCAGCAGAGAGAGCAGCAGTCTCGTCAACTACAGGTTTCTCCTGTTCGGTTGAATGTCCCGAAGCCCATTCGGATTCTCCTTGATTATCTGGAACCAGGTGGTAGACGCATCAGTAAGAAAACCACGGAGGTAGGCGGGACGAATACAGTGGTTTGGGACTTGTGCTTTATAGCTCAACGTGGATACCTTCAGGCGGCACCTCGAGCTCTCCGCTCTTGGCAATCTTGATTTCCTTCTCTGGCTTGTCGCCGGGCTTAGTCTTGACATTCTCAATCTTCTTGACAATGTCCATGCCCTCCAACACTTCACCGAATACAACGTGTCGGCCATCCAGCCACCTAGTATACTGTTAGTTTATTACGATACTCTTACATCATCTTCATCTTCATTGTTAAATTGGGAAGTCTTACGAGGTGATAACGGTGGTGATGAGAACTGAGATCCATTGGTGTCCTTGCCAGCGTTCGCCATGGAGAGAAGACCCTCCTTGGAGTGCTTTAGCTTGAAGTTCTCGTCGGGGAACTTCTCACCGTAAACTATAGAGGCAAATAATTAGTACATTCTCTCCCCCTCAGTAAAAAGTAGTATTAGTACTTACTCGACTTGCCACCAGTGCCATCACCCTTGGTGAAGTCACCTCCTTGGATCATGAACTGCTTGATAACTCGGTGGAAAGTAGATCCTTCGTAACCGAAGCCCTTCTCGCCGGTAGCAAGAGCTCGGAAGTTCTCGGTGGTCTTGGGGACGGTCTTGCCGTAGAGACCCATGACAATTCGGCCTAGAGGCTCATCACCGTGTGTAATATCGAAGTAGACCTTGTGGGTGATCTTAGGTCCCTTGGTGGCGGCGGCCGTCTGGGAGAAGCAGATGACACTTAAACCCACCAGCAGCAAGGCGCTGGCGAGAAGTCGGCGGAGGTTAAACATGTTTGTTATAGAGACTGCCAAGACCAGTCAGGCAGATTGAAAAAATCAATTGAAGTATGATGATGGGTAAATGCCTAGGGGAAATGGCACTATTTCAAAGACAAGAAATAGGAAGAAGGATTGGAAAGGACACAGAAGCTCAATTAAAAGGCGACGTTTCAGTGCAGGAGCTGTCGCAACGTTTAGACCCCTGAACCATCCAAACGGAGCGACCTAACAAGCCAGACAAATAGCGGCGGTTGAATGCGGGGTCCACTACACTAACCGGTTAGAAGACTATCAGCTTATCTACTATGTAACAAAGGAGCTTACCTAAACTCAAGAGGTACATGTACCGATAACATTTCTCAAAGTCACGATTAACTAATGATTAGTATCGATGATCTAAACCAATTATGCGCAATTGGTAGAAATATTGAAGTCTCGATCTGTCCGTCGCAAACTTGGAGGGGAATATTACGACCATATTCAACAGAGGCCCTTGCCAACTTTGCCCAAGATGGTGAGCTCTCCAAAGCCCAAATTTTTACTTACATACCATGGAATATAACCACTAACAAAAATCAGGTGTTTATAATGGGAGTAAACTTCCACGAGAAGAAGCTCGTCAGGGTAAGCTTCCCTCCAAACCCACCACCCCGTAAGATGAAACCGCAATCCTAACCCAAGAAACCGCACAGAAAGCCCTCGAGAGTTTCTACGGCCTAGGGCCGCAGCTATCCGCGCGCATCATGGCCAAGTACACAATCCACCCTCTAGCCCGGATCGGCACAGTCGCTCCCAAGACAGTCACAGCCCTCACAGCCGAACTATCGACGATGACGATAGAAAACGACGCCAGGAGGATAGTCCAGGACAACATCAAGCGGCTGCGAGATATGGGCACGATTAGGGGAAGGAGACATGCTATGGGTCTGCCGGTGCGCGGACAGCGGACCAGGAACCAGATCGAGACGGCGAAGAAGCTGAATACCCTCGAGAGAGGAGGCACGTACTCCAAGATTTAAAAGGAGCCTTAGATATGCTATTCCTGGGGAAGTATTTCGCATGGCATTGCGGAAATAAGCTGTTGTTGACCCTATTGAAGTCATTAGGGAAAGGCGTTAATGAGAGGTTTGCAACGCATTTTCGGTCGTCTTTAACCAGGACCTATTCCGGTATATAAGCCGAGGGGCATTGTTCCCATGTACATTTAAATATAAATATTTAAAGATTATATTTCAAGAGGACTAAGACGTTACTTAAACTTCTAGGCTGTTTATCAGACAAGCCGATCATTTCTCATAAATGTCAACTACGAATGATAGGTAGCCAATGGATTAGTATAATCAAAGTGGTGACTACCTACATACGCTATTAAAACTTTATATACAAATTGTACTGCTCCTTTACTCGAACAAGCCTGATAAATCATCTTCCAATACTGGCTCTCCGGCCGCTTGTAGTTTCGCAGCTATTTTCTCAACATCCCCCCAAACACGTAGTATGTTGCCACCTACGACTTTGCTGGCGTCTTTGTCCGAAACCCCTCGCCGCAGCAATTCTGCCACAAGGTCCGGATATTTAGACACGTCAGCCAACCCCTCAGGGGTTGCTTCGATGCCATCAAAGTCGCTGCCCAAACCAACATGGTCGTACCCTATTAGGTCGCCAATGTAGGTGATATGACTGACCACTTGAGAAAGAGTGTTATTGCCAGGGAAGTACTCAGGGACACCGTTCTCGGCGCCCTTGTCGACACAGCTGATAAAATCAGGTGAGAAGTTTACTGTGAGAATTAGCGAGTTATATTATAGGACAATGAGGGGATATACATACCCATGACGATCGAATTCTTCTCCTTTACAAGTTGAAGCACATCATCCGGGACGTTGCGAGGATGCGGGCAGATTGTGTAGGCAGAGCTGTGACTGAACATGACGGGAGCCTTGCTACCTGCCCATTCTTCGCTACCGCCTAGGACGTCTCTCATGGTATCCGCGCTGACATGAGATAGATCGACTATCATACCGATACGGTTCATCTCGTTGATTAGCTGTCTGCCCTTAGGGGAGACACCATTCCATACCGGGGGGGCTTTGTGGAAGGGGTTTTCCCAGAGAGCTGCATCGGCAAATATGTTTCCGCAGTTATGCGTCAACGTAGCATAGCGAACTCCCAAAGCATAGAAGCGCCGTAAATTGGCTACCGAGTTGCCAATCTGATGGAGACCCTCGATTCCTAGGGGTGAGATGAATTTGCCCTTCTTCTTCCAGGCTGCTACCGCAGACTTGGAGTCTACTGGGATCCCGGAGAAGTCTTTTGGATAAGCATTCTGGAGCCGGGTCATAAGATCAATTTGCTGTAGGGTCAGTTGGACACCTAATTACTACTATCAGCTGGTAAACTTAATAGGCCAGTCTCAAATACTAACTAGGAGCGTAGTTCTCATCTGAGTAATCTGTGCCGTTCGCAGGACACGGCGTAAAGACACTCCAGAAAGCACCTCCGTTTTGTCCTTCTCTCAACCTGGGTAGGTCGACGTGCATCGGGAGCCCGCCCTCTTCGAATGGCTTTGAAAATGTCTCATTGTAAATATGGTTATTATACATAGCACGGATGAAGATAGCTAAGTCATTGTGTCCATCTTAGAGGCTATTAGTTGTTTACGCTTATCAATTGAGATATGGAATCAAATCTACCTATCAAGGGAGTTTTCGAGAGAAGCTTCTGAACCCTCTGTTCAATAGACTTAGGGCGTAAGTGAGATGAACAAGGAGAGCTTGGGTGGAGCAGTGCGTATAATATTAATCCGATAAAGAATATCGAGGCGATATTCGCATTTGGCTTCTTTACGCGTGAAGATTTAGAACAAACGGGAGTCGCGCTCTCGACGTCAGGAGTTTTTCTTTTCATACATGGTGTGGAATGAACTCTTCATTGGTCCCATTTACGTCCATGTGATGGAAAGAAAGATTGGAGGGTTGAAATATTGAAAGTGAGATCAAATATGCTAAGTTAGTTGATACCTACCTAGATAGCTTACCAAGCCACTTTACCGTATTCAATATTCTGGTTCTAATCGGAGCTATACTGTTACAGTATAATACATACTTACATACCTTACATACCTTACATAACATGTGCACAATACAACATTTACTTCGCAACGGAAACCGGCAATTTGCGACATGATCGAGGTCATGGTCATAGTGTAAACCTCGTCAACTCGCAATTCGCAACTCGGCACGGGGTTGAAGATATTAAGTACTAAGTTAGTTCCAGATCATGAGAATGATTTGTTGTTCTATCAGCTGGTTGAAATGTCTAACATAATTATATCATGCACCTTGGTGTATATTCCTGACCGCCTAATGCACTATTTTAAGTATCAATGTATACTTAATTACAGAGTACGAGGGAAGTTGTTAATTATGTCGATCATCAAGAGGCCTCTTTATTATGTATGGCCTTACATAGTAGTTGCTTACGGGCCTCCGTAGGGCTCGACAAGGCCGATGCCCGAAAAGATTAGATGAAACGAGTTGTTACAGGGACGCTTTTACTTGTTTTAGGTACTTGCCTTTAGTGGCTTTAGCTAACCTAATATGGCACTTGAACAACGATGTAACTTGTCTGGTAGCCTACTTACTTTCAGCCCATACGTAATGGCTTTGAGGTTGAATGTAGGTACCTCTTACCTACCTAACGCAGGTAGTAGTAACCAGCATAGGCGCTCGCAGCAGGCACGCAGCAAGCAAGCAAAACCGCAAACAAAAATAAAAGGAAACCCCCCGTCGCACCAAACCCCCCCCTGGAGCACTGGAGGGGGTCTGCAGGTCCAACCTTTAACCAATGAATTTTTGACCTTCATACGCTTTTCGTGTCCGAGCTTCATCTAAAGTGCTTTATTGGCGAGGAATTCCGTTAAAAAGAGGCTGAGACAGAAATAGATGGAGCCATTCTACATTCTGTCTTAATCGCCCATTCTTTCTGTATATTTCGCATCTGATCTTGTTGCTTTGTAGCACATCAACAGCACCACAATAGCATCCTCCTTCATTCTCCTCATTTCCTTCTGTAATAGTGACACGACTTCCCGTTCTGTGATACCCGCCGCCGACATCCCGACATCTAATCTTCTTCGCCCCTCGGCCGTCTTTAATTCTTTACTGGCTCCCTTGTTACTACTGGGCTCAGGATCGCATAGCCAGCCAACTTTGCGTTCGCACCTTATTACGTCTCTCGTCTTCGATACAAGACCCTGCTTTCACCCGATTTGAGTCAGTGTTAGAAACCCCGACCCGGCTACTATAAATCGATATTTTTGGAGGACTGCGTCATCACCATGCCGGGGTTCGCAGACTCGTTTTGGTCCACAGACTATGCCGCAGGTGAGCGCGAAACAACTTACCTAACCCGCCCTTTATACAAAGACTAACCATTTTCAAGGCTTGGGCGTCCTGTTCACCAAACTCCAGCAAGGAGTTCAGGAGAACAAGCAAGTCTTGACGATCGCTCGAATGCGAGCCGAAGCCGAAGAGGTCTACGGCCAGCGGCTTGGGGAGATTGCGCCCGCAGCCGACAAGATTACTGGTGGCTTCTCGCGTGATGACGGCGCGAGTGTGCGAAAAGTACGACCCACATATTTTCTCTAGATACGGTACAGGAGCCTCTAGCTAACCTTTGTTCTTCCATGTCTAGGCCTACGATGGCGTCCGAACCGAGATGGAGGATGCTTCAAAAAGCCACAAGAAGATCGCACAGGGTATTCGAGACCTGGTTGTGAACCCGTTTGCGCGGTGGTGCGACGCTCACGAATCTCGCATCCAAGATTCCCAAGATGACTTGCAAACTCGTATAAAAGCCCACGATCGCCAAGCCGAGGTAGTCAAGAAGCTACGGAGTAATTATTTTAATAAGTGTCGCCTGGTTGAAGACCTCGAGGAGGAAAATAAGCTAGCCTTCCAAGACCCGGAAACGAGCCCCAAGCTGAATCAGAACATACCCGAGATCAAGGTATCGCCTAACGAAAAGGAAGAGGAGGAAGATGACGAGATATACGAGATCGGCGATGAGACATACCAGACGGAACAGGTCAAGAAGATACTATCTCAGATGTTGAACACTATAAAAATGGGCGAGACTAAAGTACCTATCCTGGGAACATACCTCAACACCTCGTCTGGTTCCGATATAGTTGAGTACATGCAACGGCATATGGGTTCGACCAGCATCAGCTACGCTGAACGGATTGGACAGGATTTAGTGTCGAACGGCTTCCTTCGTCTGGTTGGTAATGTTGGCAATAACTTTGCGAACAGCTCAAAATTCTTCTACCAGTGGCGACCGAAGGCATTCCAGCTAGCAGGTGTTCCGGAGAAGAAAGCGACGTTTGGAAGGACGTTTTCTCTACCTTCAAATCCTGAGAGCGGGTCCGACTCCCCGTCGTGGGCGCCGTTAGCGAATACCTGTCGGGCTGGAATGTTCTTGGTAACCAACACCCTAACGAGACCCCTCCGGAACGTCTACGTCGCGAGGCTAGGGAGGCCGATGATAAGTATAAGGCTAGTGTTCAGAAGCTAGATGAAATGCGCTGTGAGCTAGAGGAGGCTATCTTCGTGCACTTAAGGTTCCTCGAGCGCTGCGAACTGGACAGGCTAAAAGCCATCAAGACGGTCATTCTCGATTTCTCGGGCACCATTGGAAATGTCATCCCGAGCTTACAGTCTGCGGTGGACCGCATGGTTCTATACCAGGAGACGGTTCAACCCATGGGAGACTTGAGATATCTCTTGGAGAATTACAGGACAGGTCGCTATGCACCCCGGGTTGTCACGTATGAAAACTACTATAACAAGGTTGACGAGCAGACATTCGGCGTAGATCTAGAGGCTAGGGCTAGGGCGGATAAGAAGCGCGTCCCAATTATCATCACAACGCTGCTGACGTATCTGGACAATCACTACCCGGATCTTGAAGGAGACGAAGCAAGGCGAGGGGTCTGGCTTGCGGAAGTTCAGCTCCCGCAAGTTCATAAATTGCGTACCAAAGTAAATAATGGCAAACCCTTTACTGCCGACGATCTCGCAGAATTCGACGTTCCCACCGTTGCGTATCTGCTAAAACTATACCTCTTGGAACTCCCAGGTATGTATTTAAATTATAAGACGATATGACAGAGACTGACAAGGGACATAGATTCACTAGTATCCTCTCATGTATATGAGATCATTAGGACTATCTACCAAACGCCGACGTCAGAGACTACTGACGACTCACGCGTCGCTGTTCTGCAGCAGACTCTCTCACAGTTACGACTTACGAATATCGCTACACTTGACGCATGTATGAACCATTTTACGAGACTAATAGACCTAACGTCAGCGGACGAGCAATACGTACAGGAACTTGCGACATCCCTGGCTCCTTGCATATTGCGTCCGAAGACTGAAACCTCGTTAACACTAGAGGAGAAACACACATATCGCTTGGTCCGTGATTTATTTGCGCACAAAGACGCTATCTTCAGCGAGCTGAAACGTATGTCAAGCCTCACACACTCGGGGTCAGTTAACAACAACCGACCCCGAGCTATCAGCACAGACGAGAGCAATAGGAGAGCCCACATGGAAGAGAGGCAACGGGCTCTGCTAGAGAAGGCAGGCCCACGCGGGCGTGCTACTAGTCCAGCTCAGGACCCCCCATCGACGTGATAGGAGCACGGGTGGACCTGAAACCCGATTTCCCATCGCCAGCCCAACAACAGCTAACGAGCGCCAACGGAGCAGCCTTGGCAGCCTCGGTACCGTGAAGAGGTCCAGTCTCGAGGTTCCTGATGGAACGGGACAACCGCCGGTGGAGGCAAACGGAAGCGCTAACGGAGACTCCCCCAAGACGGAACCCGAACACATGGTTTCCAAGCGAGATAGTCTAAACCGAAGCAGCGCTAGGTTCGTCGGCGGCCGCAGAGTCACGACCTCTTCGACGACAGGAACTGGGAGTACACCTTCCACTCCTGTTAGTAAGGCGACGGATAGCGGAACCCCTCCCCACGACCGCGGTGTGCAACTCGTCGACGCACCGATGGACGACTAGTAACGCGTGAGCTGTCCATATACCTAGGGTCATATGAGCCGGTACCGGAGACCGCAAGGTAATATCTTGACACGCATCTGGCTAGTCGGCGTCTATTTTTCCAGTACTAAGAAAAGGGTTTCATTTCCTCGCATAAGGGGAAAAGGGGAAACTTGATGGAAGGACTTATCGGCGGAGCCGCTTAGCCTACGTATAATGTAAAATGTCCCTATACGCATGTACAAGATTGTTGTTGTTGTCGTCGTCGTTGTTCTCGTTGCTGCTATTTGGTGTTGTACTACGTATCACATACCACACACACATACCCGCCTACGCCTACGACGGAAAGATCCCAAGGCTCGACTAAGATAGGATGGTTTAGTTCGTCTATTCTATATATCAGCTCAGCCTAGGCATATCCCGTTTCACTCCCACCCCCCGCGTCATTTCTTTTGTCTTGTCTTACTTCTGGTTTTCCAACTACTATTAACTACTATTAGAGCGCGTTTACAAAAATTTTGGAGGGTGGATAGGCAAAGCAGGCAAAGGGGCATGTTGGCTTGCTCTCATACGTTTTGTACGTTGATCATGACATACCTAGGTTACATGGTTGAATTGAATTGAATTGAATCTTAAGATGATTACTTGGTTATATTTATATTCATATCAATTAGTAGGTTCTGCGTTTGCTTCTTATGGTTATACTCGACACTTGGTTGTAGATAAGGAGGAGGTAAAGTGAAGGACGGTATTAGAATAATATGATCTTTAGCATCTATTTTTGAAAAAGTGTCTAGATTTGGTTCTAGCAATACTCATAGTGATATTTCTTCTATGTGCTAGGTAGCCAGTACGAATGTCTGATTTACTATTCATACTACCTCTATTTATGTATTTACTTATTTACTTATTTATGCATTACACTTCCCCCCGTCTTCATGCCGTATTCGTGTCATGGATCTCAGCCGGCTTTGCCTTTTTCTTCTTCGGTTTAGCCTTGACCACGTCTCCAGCGGCATCACCCTCGTCTATAGGTGTGACCTTCTTCTTTTCTTCTTGACCTTGACCGTGGAATCCCCTTCGCCGTCAGGATCCGTCGTCTTCGGCTTCTTGGCCTTCTTCTTCTTAACGACGGTGCCAGCGGCATCGACGCCCTGGGCGACTTGTATGCGCTCATTTGCGCGCTGCATCTCGAGGCGTAGACGCTCGACTTCCTTCATGGCCTGCGCCATCTCAGCTTCCTCGCGCTGCTGGGCCTCGGGATCGTAGGCGCGACCGGCCGGGTCATCTTCGAGGCTGAGCGCGCCGATGCTGGTAGAGTCGACACCGAGAAGCGATTGCTTGAGCTTCTTGCTACCGGCTCGGGCCTTGGCAGCGGTGTCCGAATTATTTTCGGAGTCGTAGTTCTTTGGCGTGCTTAAGCCACTGCTACCTAGATTTTCATCTGCGGCAACAACGATCTTCTGCCGCGGCGGACGGCGGGCTGGTTTGGACGCTACATGTCGGGAATGATCGACGCCTGCGCTAAGTTTATCGAGGTCAAGTTCCATGATAGGAATCGAGTCGACATCTAAGTCAGGACCATTCGAATTTTGGAGTATATTATGTATCGGCGTTGATGATCTCTGAATAGAATTGATTTCTCCGATATAGAATGGATCATCTCGGTTCCTTTCCAGACGCTCGGCCTTTCTTTTGGCTAATATATCTGCATCCAAATAGGTCTCCTCGGTAGGCTGCTGGTAAGAGCTGGCAGTGTCCTCGCGAGCATCTGCCAGCTTGTTGATTGCTGGCTCGGAGGCTATACTCGTCGCGGGCGGTCGTTGATAATAATAACTCTCAAACTCATCTGACTCGTCGACTGGTATTGATATTGAATCAGCAGATGCGAGTAAGAAGTTGAGGTTTGGATTTATAGGTTCGTCAAGGTCTAACCCTTCTGGAAATGGGACATTCTTCTGGGCTGTTTGAGCAACCGAATTTAATTCCCAACCAGCAAAAAGGGAGGGTATTGCTTGGGTGAGTAGCAAAGGAGGATCTTGGTGGACGGTTTCTGTCGAAGCTTCCTGACTAGATGCCGCTTCCGCAGTAAGTTTTAGCAGTTCTATGAACTCTACTGCTCGTTCTTGAACCTCCAGGTTTGGATGCTGTACTAAAGTCTCGAAGGAATGAATAATGCGAGCCATCAGGAGCGAGATCTTGGATTTGCGCTCAGGTGTCCAAGGGGTTAATTGGTCTCCGGCAACCAACGAGAAAATTTTCATGGCCGCTTGAAGGCAGGCTGCAAGAGACTCTGGTGGTGAAGTCCCCCGGGATAGTTGCAACAGTGCTCCAAGAATATCGTCTGGGGAAGATAATTCTGAACAAAATTCACCGAGAATCCAAGCAGCTGGTTTCAATGTCCCCGAAGCAATCGTGCGCCCAATTCTAGTCTCGCTATTTAGTTGAGATATAATCGACTCAGCGGCGCGAACGCACGCGGGACGAAGCGCCTGGACCTTGACAGCAATATTCCGTAATTCGTTCCCTATTTTCTCAGATATATCACCGCTGCTCGACCTCCCAGGTGCAGAAAGTAAGTCCACATCGTCTGCAGGTCGTGGTAACAGAGCAGTCCGAACAAGCTGCGTCAGTATATCAATATACCACTCGAAATCTGTTAAGAAGCCGTAATTATTTTGAGAACACATATTTAGTATTCTGTTGATCACATCGACCTTGTAATCATCTGGAAGCGGCGGGGATTGGCTCGCTGATTTTGGAGCGGAATCAACTGTCCTCTCAAAGTTTTCGTCGTCTGAATCCTCGGAGCTTGGCCCCGAATGATTCGTAGCCCTGCGATCTCCTGAAGACAGCTTGAGTTGTCTCATGAGACGGCCGACAATAGACACGAGATTGTCGCCGCTGACCATGCCCTGCACAAGGTCTAGCGCTTTGATACGGATAGAAATGTCGGCACTGTCTATACACTCTAGAATGACGTCTTCTTGCTGAGCTACAAGCCAAGGATGAGTTAAAACAATTTGGTTGAAGGCGAGCAGCGCCACATATTTCACTATATGCCCAAAATTAGTAAACCAAGTCATAGGGGTCAAGGGGCAAGCTTACAATTTGGGTCACCATCTACCATAATCATTCCTCGAAGCTTAAACGCAAAGAGATGCGATCTCCTCTCTCTCCCTCCGCATCTTCACCACTTCCAAGAATCCCCCCTTGAATAATTCCGCTTATACATTCGTATAATAAAGACATGGCAGGGGTTGTCTGGATGATCTCTGTCAGAGGTGGTAACAGTTTGCGAACAAGCCTCGGCTCGAGGGGCGTTAATGTAGCAAACTACTTAAAGGTTAGCTGAGATCCAGGTATGACCGAGACGCTATGCTGCCTACCAGCTTGATCAGTTTAATTGCCATTCCAGTTGTTACCGCTATCGACCAATAGCTCAAACAGCCGGGGTGCCAGAGGAAGAAAATCATGGGGCCGCCGCCATCCCAGTTCGCATATAACATTGATAATTGCAGCCGTTACGCTAGGGTCTTCAGCCCTATCCATAAGTCTCTCCTTTATCTTCGGCCAAGCAGCCCGTAGGGTTTCAGGATAAACCAAGGCAAGCCTGTATAGCGTGACAATCGTCTTCTTGCGAATCGCGGGGTGGGTATGACTAAGTCGAGGTAGGAGATCAGATAAAACGGATAGGGCGAGTGATGGCGTAATGACATGCGGAAGAGTGACAATCGGAAGGGCGATGGTGGTAGTGGATGCCGCCGTCAAATCCTGGAAGACAAGTTCAGCATATTCGTTTTGTTGCGTCTCGGGAAGTCTATCGCAAGACCTAACCTCATACCTTCTTGAGGAGATTTGTTGCCAGCATGAGGACCTCAGTATCAGGACGGAAGCTCTGAATTGCGCCAAGATATCCTACTCGTTTTTGGTGGTATTTAGGAGAAGCCATCACCTCGAGTACGTTGAAAGACGCCCATGACATATCGTGCCCGAACATTTCTAGGTAAACTAGCTTCAACAAGGCAGTAGCCTTGAGATCTATAGAAAGAAGGCATAAAGTCAGCTATAAGCCTGGTGTATTTATAATGGGAGGTAGCTAACCTAAGTCCTGGCTTCGAATTTCGGAGCGGCATTCTTTCAGGCAGTTTTGTATATACTCCTTCTCGTTTCCCTTATGGTTCCTCAGACCTCGGATGAGGTCGTATAAGGATTTTTCGAACCTACGATGAGATTGTCAACGGACTCTAATTCACACGAAACCATGATAGTATAAGGTGGGCTGCATACATGGTTGTTGATAATTTCGGAAAGGTGATCAACTATGAGTTAAAGGCTGCGAGCTCAGAGTGCGCCTCGGACCACTCATCATTTTGACAACGCGACGATAACTTGGCGATATAGAAGTGTCGTAGGAGACCTGTTCATCTAGGGGGGTTTGTGTTGGCGGATAGCTACTAAGTATGTATTTCGCAACATAGATTAATGTTGATAATGTTGATAGTGCAAGTATCAATGAATGAATATGCCCCACGGCTTGGGGGAGCACGCACGTCAGCGGACCATTTAAGCTAAGGCTAGGTACTAAGGTACCTAACCCTTTGTACCTACCTCCTAGCCTTAGCACTTGCTAGACCTGGAGGCGGTGGGATAGGTACCTATTTAATACGGCAGAACATGACTTCCGGCCCGTGCACCACAATCTATCTACCTTGTAAGGATCTCATAAGGATCGGTAGGTACGGGGCTGTAACTACCTACTTACTACCTCTTAGGTAAACTTAAATTATCACGAAACCAGATCTTTAGTTTCATTCTAACCGTGTCTTTAATATCCACCATCTTACTTAAACCACTCTAGATACCTTTTAATAACAGCAACATCAGAGTGTAAAAGAAGATCAAATACCTTCTCAAGTCAACATGTCTTCTTCCCTTCTTCATCCGCCCAGTCAGTTGCCCCCTATTGTAGCCTTGCAGCATTCACAACAAGCTCCAGCTATACTTGGGAAGTCTACAGGTGCTATCTCAACCTCTCTTTTCCAATCTCTACTCTCTGCCCCCGAAACATCTGAATTATGGACTACATATGAAAATCTCTTATTATCATGTCTTCGGACTGGAGACGACGAGTCAGCCCATCAATGCCTCGCAAGACTAGTGAATAGGTTTGGCAATGACAACGAACGTATCATGGCCTTGAAAGGTCTCCTTAAAGAAGCCGATGCTAGCGATTCCGCTACTTTAAATGTTATCCTGAAAGAATATGAGCAGATCTTACAGGACAACCCAACTAATATCGTGAGCTTTCTTCCTCGTGACTCCTTATATCAAATACTAATGTGGTCCATATAGCCCATTTTAAAGCGCCGCGTGGCCTTGTTGCGGTCTATTGGACGGACCCCTGAGTCTGTCAGTGTTCTGATATCGCTTCTCGATATCTCCCCTACGGACGCAGAGGCGTGGGCTGAGCTTGCCGACCTCTATTTTTCACAAGGACTATACTCTCAAGCCATATTCGCGCTTGAAGAGGTTCTTGTTCTGCAGCCAAATGCTTGGAATGTTAGTTTCCCTATTTTCCTATCTTAATTTCATCCGTGCTAACTTTAGCTGTGTTAGGTACACGCTCGTCTGGGCGAAGTATTATTCATTGCTGCAAAATCGTCAGATAACGCAGGTCAATTAGGCGAAGCCATAAAACGCTTCAGCCGAAGCATTGAGCTCTGCGATGGCTATTTACGAGGTTACTATGGTCTTAAACTTGTACAAATCCCTTTATTGCTTTTCAAACAGAAAATTCACTAACTTGAATTAAAAAAAAAAGACTACGAAACAGCTTCTGGATGACCCATCCAAGGTATCACAAGGCCGGACAACTTCTGATGGGTTTGCTATACCCGATTCGGTTACACTTAGCAAACTTGATGAAGTGGCCACCGAGAAACTCGCAGAGATAGTCCGACGCAGCTCATCAGGCGAAAAAGGTTGGCAGGGTTACGATGAGGCTGAAGTCAAGGCAGCCAAAGAGCTTCTCGAGAATGATACAGCTGCGGTCATCAGATGAGAAGCTACCGTTATGTTCTGAATATTACACTAGGGATTTGAATAGTTCTTCCGCGACGCTCGCCTTAGCCTCATTCGCGTGGCAGAGTGTCTTGCAGGAGTTGCAAGTCATTGGGGGACGAATAGGGAGAAGCTCCATTTGGCATGCGCAGAAGGGGGAGAATCGTTAATTGGTGCCCTAGGTGGATTTCGTATCTGAAGCGGTGGGACTTGGGCAGGCAGACGTGTCCACTAGTCTGGGTAATACTGGATAATGCCGATTTGGCCAACAAGTACCCTGCCGGACGATTGTTCCTACAGTACGAGTAGCACGTGGCTCCAGTCGCGCAATCTTCGTCGTTGTGAATCAGAAAGGCGGCGTTGCAATCGGATGACTGAGAATTTATCAAGTGGCTCGCATTCTTAGTGCCTTACTATTCGGCATGTATATATGTCTAGATGCACTGTAACCATTAAGTATCATATTATGATATTTGGGCAGCAAAACCGCCACATCGGGCAGCGTCTAGCCATAAACTAATCGGAGTTCCATAGTTAGAGACATCTAAGACGGGTCCAGCCGTAGACAAGTTTCTGCATCCATCCTTCACTTCCGAATTGGTTGCGGTAAGGTTGCTGTTCCTAATGCCTCTCGTTCGGGATTGGCCCTCTCAGTAAGGTAGGTAATGAATATGTCTTGAGCACGCTGGTAGTTTGCACATCGATCTACGCGGAGGTTAGAGCAGCAAACAATGCTTCGACTCCATACTTCCAAATCCAGCCATGTATCTACTAATAACAGGGCGCTTACGACACCACGTATTATGGCTTCTGGAGACTAGATGATACCAGATCCGTCAAGGCCTGTGGGTGAGCGAAAGGTCTTATTAGTAGAGGCGAACAGCCACCGCCCGAGTTCTCGGCTTGAGATCTGAAGTATGTTTCAAGACGACATAGGAAGGAATACCTCCACTCGCTATTTCTATCTTATAGGAAAAACGCTAGTCTTGCTCGACCTCCGGAATTGGCGTCTTAAATTTTTCATAATTCTCCCCGGTGACCAATGGCTTGCGATTCAATCTCAAAGGTTTCAGTTGGACATGTGTTGCCTGCCAGTGTAAAGTACTAAGAAGACAGCAATCAGTTTATCGAGATTGATTCTTGGGAACAATACAATGTCCAACTATCCTCGCAACGTCCGGAGCAAATTGCTTCGGCAGAGCCCCGGTCAACCCGATATGAAGTCTACCCTATACTGCAAATATAAGGGTGAATAGCCCGACAGCCAGAGATTAAGAATCCGGACAGAGACCATACAGCAGAAGACGAATTTTCAAAATGAAGGGCACCAGTTATGATAATGCTGTCGTGTTCGGTGTAAATCCAAGGATCTCGATCATTGGTGGTCTGCGGAGCATGCATCGGCCCCAGCAAAGCGCAAGCGGTGTGGGCCAGACTTTCTGCTGCGTGCTGCGTGCTGCGTGCTGTGCCTGTAGGTATTTCTTCTGTTCTCAGCCTGCGTTGCTCGGCCCCCCCTCTCGACCTCTAACCATTCGCCCTTCCTTCTTCTAGACTATTTTGTACACAGTACGACTTATAACAAATAAACAACCATCGGGACCTACTTGAATGCTACCAGATTCAAATTGGCTCCGGAATATTGACAAGTTTAAGATACCGCCATCATTCCTTTCCTTTTTCTGCCCATATTTTCTCTTTTGCTGCCACATGATACTATCTATACATAGTTATATGCATACCTATATACCTACATACATACATACATACACACATATACACATACAGACGACACCGGGTCCCTCGTACGAAGACAAGAAAAAGAAACAAGAGAGAAACTCGACTCTCACCGGAGCATACCGTAGCTCAACTCTAACACAAAAAACTAATGTACGTTAATTATTTTGCATTCCTCGGAAGTATATACGTATGGCACCGGTTCTTATCTGGGTAGTCGTCTTTCATCTTTCAAACACCCAGCATTGTCCATGTCCTAGGCTAAGCTAGTGCTGATGACCCCCTGTGAAGGAGGGATCTACAATACGTCTGGGATGAAGATTCTAGAGCATTGAGGCCTACATGTGCGCCGTAGTACGGGTACGTGTTTATGTGTATAGTGTGTGTAGGTGAATGCAAATGTAGTATGGTATTAGTTTTTGGCCCCTCTCTATCTATATGGGCTGTGTCACCTGTCCCCGTTCCCCGTTCCCCATCAATCTACCTCTGCTCGCTTGGCCCCTCGCTGACGATGGATCGTGGGCTCTAGTATTAGTGCCACTAAGTATTATAAGTTCCGGGCATCCTCCCTGTTCCCTGCTTTTTCATCCTTCCTAAAGCATAATAAATATAAAAAGTGCGGTCGGTCGTACCTCGATCTGCACGCTCGAATTTCGAAAGTGCTGACCGCAAACTTTCGTTTTAGCCCTTAGAGGCCGAGACGATATAATACGTCTCTCTGTGTTTACGCCGGCAACATCAAAAGTCTCCTCCGTCGCATTCACGATTTAAAGTTGTACCTTCCAAACGGGTACCGACCGATAGCAACCGATAGCCGGAGTTCCCAAGTAGGGTAAGTGTGTCTCGCATCTCTAGCACCTCTGACACCTCTCGCACATTCCATATTCATTACCGTACCTTCCTACCTTGCAGGTATAGCCTTATAGCCTATGCGCATACCTGCTTCATTCAAGGGCGAAATTGAATTGCTTTAAAACTGTTTTATTGCATACCTCTCTGAACCGAGATCAATTCACATCACAATTCACCAATTCACCCCGCTTGAATTTGGCGCCACTGTCAATTCCACAACTTTTTCTAATAGAAACCCAATTCGATATCCCTTTGCGCCCAACTGAGCCAGTCTTATTGGAATACCGGGATCCCCTAGATAACTTTTTTGACATTTGTACTGATCACTTGTCACGAGAGACTTGTCTACAAAACCCCATCCAAATTCCTCATTTAGATTCATTCTCGGATTGTTCCGCACGATAGTACACTACGCTCTATTTACATTCACCTTACTGTGCGACCCTAAAGAGAGAGATAAAAAAAAAAGCCACAGGACAACGGTGGATCAAAATTGCTAACAACACTGTCGCTAGAAACTTAGGTTAATCTACACCATTATTCTTATACTTGTTATCGGAATTCTACATACCAACGGCGACGCCCAGTTCAGAGAGCTGAGCTATAAATCAATTCAAACCCGCTCAGTGAGGTTGGCAACTTCGGCTACCGCCTAATCGCTAACCTCCCTTTGCTCCGACTTTCTTAGGTAGATCGTCGAGGGGAAGGGGTATCTAGACGCTAAATTATCACCAATGTCGTAAGTAGCGATAGTCTATTACTTATTCAATTCGCCATTGACCTCCTTATTTAAGTCGAAGATACAACATACGCAATCCACGCCACAGCGGTCCCATCTCGGACGAAGTTAGCTACTCAGAAGAGGAGGATTCAAGGCCTAGTGGAGGATCATATAGTCACGGACGAGAGGTTTCGGACGAGGACTCTTACGAGAGTGAAGAGGAAGAAGAGTTCGACGACGACGATATTGATCCAGAAGATTCAGCTTCTACTAGCCCTTCAAGACGCCACCACCCAGAGGCTCGTCCTCATCGCGCCCCATCCCGTGCCCCGTCTCGCACGCCGTCTGGACAGCAGCACAGGAGTGTTACCCATAGAGTACCCTCCCATTACGATTACGATACTTATCGGCAGGCGCCGAACCCCTCTACCAGTCTGGATTCAGAATACGATTACTACGGCCGGGGTGCCGCCTACCCACCGCCGGCCGGAGGGAACCAGTATTATGCCGGTGGCCGTGGCGCTTATCCCCAAAGCCACGTTGGCGGCTATGCTCCCCCTTATGGTGGAAGTGGGCAGGTAGTGCCATACGGACCGCCCAACCCTTACCAAAATCCTTTCGCCCCGATGAACGGAAATGCTGGTAACTATTTTAATAATGAGCATAGGTGGCCTGGTGGTAACGAAATGATGCCATTTGGCGGAGGTGGCGGTCAGAATTACTTCGGTGGTCAGCCACAGTATCCTATGCCGCACGGCATGGCACAATATCAGTGGTCCCCTCCTCCGCCTCCACCGACGGACATTGGCGGTCCGTCTCGAACACCTGCCCCAGCTCCAGCTCCAGAGCCCCCGAAGGAGGACCCTGAGAAGGAAGCCATGAAAAAGAAATTAGCTGAGATTGAAGCCGAACAAAAGCGGAAAGAACAAGAAGCTAAGCAAAAGGAGCTCGAGGCTCAAATCAGGATGGAAGCAGAGCTGGCATTCCAGCGAAAAATGGAGCAGATCAAGAGGGACGAAGAGATTCGTGCTGAGGAAAGAAAGATTGCTATGGAGAAATTGACCAAAGATATCGAGGATGCCAAGAGGGCAGCCGAGAAAGCCGAGGCGGAGCGTGCCCGCAAGGAAGCAGAAGCTCTCGAAAGAGCTGAGCGAAGTGCCCGTGACAAACTCGAAGCGGAACAGAAAGCCGAGGCGGAAAGGAAGAGGAAAGAGGCAGAGGCAGCCGCTCTTGCAGAGGCAGCTCTTCAGGCTAAGTTACAGGCCGCTATCAGGGCTGAAGCCGATGCAAGAGCGGCGGCGGCGGCCAGAGCTGCTGAGGAGGCTGCGCAAAGAAAGAAATTTGAAGAAGAGGCCAAGGCAAAAGCTGAGCTAGAAGCCCGCAAAAAGATAGAAGCTGAAGAGGCGGCCAGGGCAGCAGCCGCCGCAAAGGCTGCAGAAGAGCCGCGCGAGCAGAGAAAGAAATTCGAGGAAGAGGCTAAAGCAAAGGCAGAGTTGGAAGCTCGCTTGAAGCTGGAGGCCGAGGCGAACGCTAGGGCTGCAGCAGCGAAGGCGGCGGCGGAAGAGGCGGAAAGGCAGAAGAAAATAGAAGAAGAAGCCAAAATCAAAGCTGAGCTTGAGGCTCGTAAGAAGATAGAAGATGAAAAGGCAGCGGCGGAGGCAGCCAAAGCAGCCGAGGAGGCTAAGAAGAAGGAAGAGGAGGCACTGAAGAAGAAGCTCTTAGAAGAGGCCAAGCTCAAGGCTGAAGAAGCGAATAAGAAGAGCCTTGGTAAGGACAAGGCGCCGATTCGGTTCAAGGATGCTGTGGGGAGAAAATTCAGCTTCCCTTTCCATATATGCCAGAGCTGGCAGGTACGTCAAAAGTCTTATTTTTTTTTTTTTTTTCGCTTGAGGTCGGCATGCTAATTTACTCTCTAGGGCATGGAAGAGCTCATCAAGCAAGCTTTCAGTCATGTCGATGTTATTGGTCCCCATGTACAAGCTGGGCATTATGACCTTATTGGTCCGAATGGCGAGATTATTCTCCCCCAGATATGGGACAAGGTGATTGAGCCGGATTGGGCGGTGACGATGCATATGTGGCCTATGGATCGGCCGGCCATGCCTCAGGGAGGAGGAGCTATGAGATCTATACCTGGTAGACCAGGGGTCCACATGGCTGGTGGCCCATTCCCTCCGCAGGGTCTTAGGCCACAAGGCCAACCGCGCCCGGCAGCCAATGGTGGAATTCCACCTCCGCCGGGTCATCCGATGGCAATGGGTGCGGGCGGTATGCCTGCTCATATGGGGGGACGGGTTCCTTTCGACGGACGTCCAGTTGGGGGTCCCGGCGGAGGGATGCCTCCGAATATCATCCAAGTTAACAAGCCTCCTGGTAAGAAGCCAACCAAGAAAGTCCAGAGTGGCGTGCTTGGATGGATAGGTGGAGGAGCCGCGAAGCCCACTAAAGGCAAGAGGTCAGTCGCCGCGTCCATTATGTTTTTTGTTACATGAGCTCACAACTGAATGTGTAGTAGTAGAACTAAACGATAAGTTATAATCCATTCACGTGTGTTCCGAGGATACCTGGGCAACTCGATCTAGCCACTGTCAATTTCCACTTACTCCCGTGCCTTTTTCGCCAGGCACCAGTCCTGATTTTTATTCCCATCACCAATTTATTTTTTGGGGAGTTCTGCGATGGTCTCCAATAACAGATTCTGCATTATACCCCGGCTCGAGACGACTTCATTGTTTAAAGCGGCATTTTCCGCGGGCTTTTTTCTTCGAGCACGTATTATGGACGAAGTAATAATTACCACGGAGAACCAATATTTATTCGTTACAACTTCGATACCGGTAGACCTGTATCATTTCTTACTACTACCGCGTGTTTACATCTAGGACTATATTTTTTCTCTCACATGAGGTGACGATGTCTCACAGGCTAAGAATGACGAAATGTATGAGGAGGAAAGGCAAGTACATGGATGTTCTTTCAAGACGGCGAGCATTTTTGCCTTGTTGAGATTTGTTTTGAGAGGTTATATTCTCGGATGGCGTCGTGGTTGAGAAAGACTGGGGAGACCAAGACACATCCGGACTGATCTGTTACATATTTAAATTAGGAGTTACTATAAGTTTTGAATTAAATTTTGAGAATTTTGTTCTTAGGACTTGAGTTGATATGAAGATTTATTATGATTTTTGGTTGTCTAATTTTTAAGATAGTGTACATACGTAGGGTCTACATAGACAAATCAGTCAATGTTGGCGGACTCAATAGGAGGAGTTGCTCAGCAGAGAACTGATTCGCGGTCTTCTGTGAATGATAGGAGTATGGTACATCATTACATCGCATCGCATTAATAGGCGCGGTTCGGGATATATCAAAAATACAATCCCTCACCGCACGACCCCCGGATCATTCCTAGTCTCCTTCAGCACGCGCTGGGCCTGCTGCACAAACGCCTCCACCATAACGCCCGCGACCTTATCGGCAACAGCCGAGCTCACAGCCGTATACAAGGGGTTCGCGAATTGGTACTTTATCGTGAGCCGGACGTCACTCCAGCCATGCTGGAAGCGTTCTTGGCGGACCGCGTCGCGAGCCGGGACTACCGTCCATCGCGTTACTAGGCTCTTGAATACGCCCCGGCTGCCGATGTCCGGCCCGGGGTCTGTGAGGCCGTGGCTGCGCAGCGAGGAGGCGGGGATCTCGGTCCGCGCGTCGCCGCTTATAGCTTCTACGATACCGAGTGTGGGCACGCAGAATAGCCGGCTCGTGTAGGTCTCTTCGAAACCGCCCCAGCCGGCGGTTAGGTCGGCTTGGGTGGGCCAGCGGCGGGCGGTGGTGGTGGTGTGTGGGTTGCCGGGAGACGAAGAATTGGGTGAAGAAGACGGCGTTGGTGTGGGTATGGGGTCGGTCCAGCGTGTTACGCGCGAGACTTTGCAGTATGGTAGGAAGCGCACGTAGGAATCGACGTCGGCGATGATGTCGTAGAGGCGCTCGTGGTCGTAGGGGAGGCGGCGCGAGGCGGTTAGGATTTGCGGCTTGGTGGGGTCGGGGATGGAGATGAAAGTGCGCCGAGGTGGGTACGGGTTTGTTCGGAGGGTAGATAGCAAGCGCAGTGGACGTGGGAGGAGGCGTGCTGTCGCCATTGGAGACTGGGGAGCGAGGAAAAGTCCGGAGGGAGCCCAGGTAGGTAGTTCAAGGTGGGTTACGTTTATAAGCTATGTAGTAGGTACGAAAAGAGTGTTGTAAATTGATATGTAGAAATCTCAGAAAGTCTATAAATCCTGCATTTTAAAATCACACCGTCGTATAGCTGTCTAATTTAGGTCTATGTTACGACACAAGGAAAAAAGTAATATACAACAGAATCGGTGCTCTTCTAGCTAGAAGCGATAAGTATAAAAAAAGGTGACGTCGAATTTCATCGCGGGCATCGGTGGATTATCGATAAGGAAAAGCGCGCTACTAGTAAAAGCCCCACCCCATTCTGTGCTTAAATTTTCGTGGAATCTTTTTTCTTCCCAACCCAATTCTTTACCAACTCGTTTTTTTTTTCCACGGGCTCCCCCAATATCTAGCAAACACACCTTTGCGGTGATCGACGAGAGGACTAGTGAAAGGACTCAGTTGACAAGCACCGCATTTATATATCCCGCGATGGCTTCTGCTGTCGCAACTACCACGGCAGCATTGCCAGATGAGGAGCTGCTGGTTAAGGTTGAAGCGTTGACCGTGCAGGATGGTACAGAGGCTCCGTTGCCTGCCCACAGGAACCATGATCCGCAGAATAACTTGAAGAGGAGTGATCCTTTTCAGTTTGGATCGCGCTACCTTCAGGAAAATGATGATGTCTTCGAGTTCAATGCTTGGGATCATGTGGAGACTGACGACACTTATAAGGAGTATGCTGAGCAGCAATATGCCATGCAACGAGAGTCGCCAGTCTCCGATTTCGACAAAAGTGAGTAACATAGCCTTTCCTATCACCTTCGGTGTTGTGATGATACCATCTTATGCATAGTTCATCTGAATCTCTATGATGACCACATACATCAATTCTTTCGCTCCCATCTGACACACCTTACCTTTACAATTTCAATATTGCTACGTTTAGTAGATGCAACTGCTAACAAACGTAATCATAGGTAGATTTAATTCCGACCCTGCTAAGTGGTGGAATCTATTCTATAAGAATAACACGGCCAACTTCTTCAAGAACCGTAAATGGTTACAACAAGAATTCCCCGTACTTGACAAGGTTACTGCAGAAGATGCCGGTCCAGTCACAGTGCTAGAAGTCGGTGCTGGTGCCGGCAATACGGCGTTTCCCATCTTGGCCAATAACAAGAACCCCAAGCTAAAACTGCATGCTTGTGACTTCTCTAAAAAGGCTGTTGAAGTGATGCGTAGTCATGAAGAGTATAATACCGACTTCATGCAAGCCGATGTATGGGATGCCGCTAGCGAGGACCTACCACCCGGCCTCGAAGAAGGCAGTGTAGACGTTGTCCTTATGATATTCATATTCTCTGCCCTATCCCCGAAGCAGTGGGAGCAGGCCGTGCGGAACATTTATCGGGTACTCAAGCCAGGCGGTGAGGTTTGCTTCCGCGACTACGGCAGAGGTGATCTAGCACAGGTTCGATTCAAGAAAGGTCGATACCTGGAAGAGAACTTCTACATTAGAGGGGATGGTACCCGGGTCTACTTCTTTGAGAAAGACGAGCTGGCTCAGATATGGACGGGAACGTCTGCTATTATAGATGATACAAAAGACGATGGCGAAAAGACTGAGCCTTCGGAGTCGAAGGTACAGGATCCCTTGTTTGATATAGAGGAGTTGGGTGTTGATAGAAGGATGCTCGTAAATAGAGCCCGGCGGTTGAAGATGTATCGCTGCTGGATGCAAGGTCGCTTCCGTAAGAAATAGACATGATTTCACAACATTTATATGCGTACTAAAATGTGATTTTGTATTGTGTTTTTCAGTCTAAATTAACGATGTTATTTTTATTAAGTCACTTAGGCCGTAGATATATCCTACGCACTCAGCGTATCAACCAATCTCGCCCGTTCATCTCTTCCAAACCCAATACCATCCAAATAATACTCAAGATTGCCATACTTCGCATCCAAGTGCTCCTCAATCCTTTCCGCGAAATTATCCGCCACACCTCCCCACTCCGGCGAAAGACCAAGTTTCTTGATCTCATCGAGTCGAGCGTCATAGTCGTCTGCGAGGGCCTCGCGTGACAGCTGGTAGTCGTACGTGATTGAATCCGATGGTACGCCGAGGATCATCAACGCTAGGGCAACGATAAGGCCGGTTCGGTCTTTGCCTAGGGCGCAGTGTACTAGAAGGGGGAGAGATCTGTTGGATATTAAGGCGCGGAGGGGCCTAGGGGAAGGGGGTTAGTTTTTTGTTTCTTTTGGGGGGGAGGGGGGTTGGTGTGTATGGAGGTAGTAAGGGGTGAGTAAAAGATAGATGAATAGAAACACACACACAGAGAGAGAGAGAGGGGGGGGAGGGGGGGGGGGGGGGGAGAACTTACCTCAGCGATCTCAGGGCCAGACTGGTCTAGCGTTACAAACCTATACCTACGAGACCCAGCGGCTGCATGACTTCCCGGCCTAAGATGCTAAGAGCTTGATCGCGGTAGCCGAAGGATAAGAGGGCGAGTATTTTGCTACGTGAAGGATATGGTTTGTTAGCAGGTAGGTAGCTATAACCAGAATTATATAGTGAGGATATCCATCTATTCGACGATGGATATTGTTGAGGACAATAAGGCAATCAACTCTCATATATATATTGGTCTACTGGAAGAAGGGAAGAAGGGAGGGAAATGAAAGGAGAGGAAAGGAGGTCTTACAAGGAACTCCACAACTTAAGCTGTCCCGTGAGAAACGCCTCGAACCGCTCCCCCGTCACCTTGATATTGTGGTGCTTCACGCCGGGGATCTGTCCGGGCACGAGGACGTTGGTTGGACCTACTTGGTGCTTTTGCTGTTCCTTTCTGGATGGCCTCGAAACTGGTTAGTATCCGTGGCGTACCAGTAGGGGGAGAATGGAGGGTTATAAGGGCGGCCTACTTATTCCGGAGATCCACGATCGTTCGGATGCCTAGCTGATTTCTGATTCTCACGCGGTCTTTGGCGGTTGCTTTGTCTAGAGTATAGGTTAGTACGGTGATTGGTGTATGGAGGCAAGCAGACAAATAGGGGATTTTTTCTCTTACCCAGTCGCGCGGATCGGAAGAATATGCCTTCTCGGACTACCCTGAGTTGAAATTTTAGTTGTCCATGTTTTCATTAACGCTTACGAGGTGGCTTGGTCTGTGATATCTTACTTCCAGCCGACATGGTCGTTGATGGTCTTTCCGACGTCTCGGAAGTTGTCGATGTTGTCAAAAACGATGGACATTATGTCGTTGGTTCTAGCGACGATGTTGATATTCTTAGATGAATAAGCGAACATACAATAAATCAGGATATATTTGCGTGGTATCTTAGCGAGCTGGTTCTATGAGATACGTTGTACGTTATATAGTTGTTGACTTAGGACCTAGGTTTATAGAGTTGTTTGATTGTAAGTGCGCTCAACACTATAAATAGGTTACCTCCCTATATAGTTGGTAGGTAGGTACGCCTTGACCCTTCTCTGTTTTAGTTGATGCCGACTTAAACATCTATGTACGTTAATATTTTATGAGGGTTTCTCAATCATCAAACTACAAGTCATATTCCCAAAATTATAGTTATATGAACCTTTACCGCCTTCTACAAAACATCGAAGCTAGCGGTAATATATAGATTGAGATCTATCAAATAGAAAGACACTGAAGCTAATATTGGCTCTTAAGAAGCTCTGTAATAATTTTATTGATGGGCGCTGTCCTTCTTCTTCACCAGAGTCCTGTGCATGTGTGTTTGAATAGTTACGGTTCACCTCATATTCGAAATGGCTCCACCCCAGTGCCGCAATCCGTACTTTTTCTAGCGATGGCGTGAAGGCAGCTTTGTTTTCTAACATCCCAATTAACCAAGCGGGCCCTGAAGTCTCGGTACGCATCAAATGGTCGGCTCTCTCGCCTTCACCATAGCAAACCTCAAGCACCTGTAAGCTTCTCGGTAAGCGTTTCCATGGCATCTCTAAATGCTTCTTCAAAAGTAACGGATGAAGAATAGCCAAATTTTTCAATCTGCTGTACTGGCGAAGGTCGACTGGGGAGTCTTCCTTATAGATGCGGCTTGTCTCGCTTGCTGTAAAAACAAGTGTTTCTAGCGAGTCTACTTGGCTTGCTATCGCTCGTTCTAGCTGCCCGCGGCTAAAGTGGTTTCTAGGCCGTCCATTATACCATTTCGGGTCAAAATCATACCAAAGTTCCTTAAGGGCCGTTGGCCAGCTTAAAACTTGCGCCAAGGGTTTTCCGATAAGTGCGCATTTCGTCAATCGAAGGACTTGGACGGATGACGTATGGACATAATCCTGGTTTTGTAACTCCCAGCCCTCCGTCTGTTTCCACCAGTTCAAGGAAAGTGTGAATATTTGGGAGGCAAAACAGAGCTCGCACATCTATTTGTGAGGTACCGGCACGGCAATAGACGTCAAGGTCGACTGATCTTATATAAATAGCTAGATGGGGATGCAGCGACAAGGTAGAAGCAAAAGACTGAGAGAGGTTTTCGTCGAGAAATAAGGGAATGTGCCGGTATAAAACCCCGATGGCGATGCCGTAAAGCCGGCGACATACTAATAGAACCGGAAAGAGACGCCTTGCCAGGGTTATGCCTGTTCTACCGTTATCATACTCCCTGCGGAAAAATGGTCGGTCATCTAAGGAAGCTGGCAAGACTTCGGGAGTAGGCTGGAAATACGAAATGATCTCAAGAAGGAGCTCGTCCGAGAGGCCGAGAAGATGGCTCATGAATTCTTCAGTATCTATCTATTAATAGTCTAAAGAGCATTCATTAGATGGAGAAAGGGGACCTCAGTACGTAGGTAGGCTAGAACACAATAACTTAAGAGGTTAGGTAGTTAGGCATATAAGGCATACGATAACGTGGGGGAATCACATATTTTAGTTGGTTAGATACTTTGTATAAATCCTCCAATACAACGGCAGCTTTTGATATTCATTTTTGGTTTTAAACGGCAACTGTAACCAATATCGATAACTGTCGTATCTACATCAAAACGAATTACTTAATCAAGATTTACGGGGCACATGTTGATGAATAGAGGCTGGTGTATGACAATGACGTAATAGTTATTGGCATCCTCAAAGCCACGAGCGATGATGAAGACAATGATGAATCAATCATACATCCATAGTTCAAGCTACACAAAAAAGGAATTCATGCATAGCTGTTAACATCTTATTTCCATTAATAGGATTATGTCCCCAAATATATCCTTATTCATCTCTAGACACCAAGTATTATATACTTGTATATCAGGGTAGGAATCTATACTTAATATTCCTGGCATACGATTCCCAGCATCATCACACATGTCTTTGTCGTCGTGTAAACGAGCTATACCTAAGTAGTTGATCTGTATCTCTCGACTCATCATACCTACATCATCCCACCTTCGATAACTACCAGAACTTATTCTATTCATCTTTTTTTTTTTTTCATTCTCCATTCTTTCTCACCTTAAGCTCACCTTCATCCCACCTCCACTCACGTCTCCAATCAACCAGATCTCTCAATCATCTTATCTCCAATCAAACCCGGCAATTCTATGCCGATCCTTCTAAAAAAAGAGAAAGAAAGCCGAGAAATCTAGGTGAGGTCGAATACGACTATACGCGTATAGATGCAGCTGAGCGTTCGTCGTTCTCAGCCACATAATATATAACATGACCACAACCAATGAGATGGAAACACAGGGGGGTTTGGGGCGACAGCTACATGATGACGACACCAAACCGACAGGTAAGCTTCATGTCGCAGACTCTCTTTTTCTATTATCGTGACTTTTATTTATTATCTTTTTTTCCAAAAAATGAAATTACCAAAAAAAAATGCTGCCATCCTTTTTAAATTTATAAACGATAGCTAATTCTTTGTTAGTTCACTCGGGAAAGCTCATTTATGCAAAACCCCAAGACCTTCCGAGCTTCCCGTCTATTGGCCTCTCAAAAAAGGATCCGCAGCGAGTGCAGCTGCTGCTTTAGGTTGGGTCTCCAATACATCACCTGAGCTGTGGAAGCCGGACAAATCCGCTCCAGCTTCAGCTGCCGCCCTCATGGCGAAAGATTATAAGCTGAGTCCCGCCTGGGAACCCGTTCCTAGCCAGCACAGCGCCAAAGCCGCCCTTTTCGCGTCACAATCTGCCATGAGCGTCACCAAGCCCGCGAAATCCACAACTCCCGATCCTGGCCATTCTGCCGCAAATCTTGCTTTCAAGTCAGATCGGAGCGTACCTGGTTCTGTCCATGGGAGTCCTTTGGAGCGTCACAGGTCGTTACTTGCCGCGAAAGGTGCTATGGCGAACCGTCAGAGAGCGAAGTCCTCGCCGATTCCTAAAGAATCGTATCCGGATGAGGCAAATGCTGCTGCTAATGCCCTAAGTGCTGCGACCAAAGCTCATAGGCCAATTCGGTCACCGACAATAAGCGAAACCAGCGAGAATGCCGGTTCTGTCCCTTACACTAATATGAACAGGCAGATGTTCACATCGCGACCACCAGTGAAATCCGAAGTTGACGATCAGAAGAGAGCAGATATCCTTCATGCTTCTGCCGTCGCAATGGCCAAGAAGATGTATACTCAGCAGCAAAAAATGATTGATGCCAAAAAGGCACATGATAACGCTAACCCTCAAGAGAATGCCGATGCTTTTAGCAGCATCAGCGACGATGCACAACCTATACAGCTTACTACCTTGCAAGATGCGGCTTACAAGCAAGCACAAGCACGTCTAGCTAAGATGCACGAAGAGCACTTCAAGGGTCGGGAATATCAGGAGTATTACGGGGCTAAGCCGCTCACGCGACGATTTTCAATCAGGGGTAAACTCAGGAAAAGGGCTTCGAGCGATGGCGATGTTATTGAGGACCGGAGGCGATCACAGCAGATTAGGCAGCAGATGTCCTTATTCTCCAGCAAAATTTCTCAAGTCGACGACAAAAAGCGGCAGCAGGATCAAGAGGTATTGCTTGCTGCAGCTCAGAGGAACGTGCACGAACGTTTGAAAGGGATGGACGAGAAGATATCTGCCGAGACGGGAATGGTCCACCCGTCCACGCCAACACAGTGGGAAATGAAAGCACACGCTATAGCCCAGGCTAAGGCCGAGCAGCGCATAGGTCAGAGGCACGGACAGATCGATATTGGTGCCGGAAAGTATATGAGCCAAGATGAGATCGACGCAATCGCCGCAGCGAGGGTCAGGCCTGTTTTAGATGAAATTAACGAAAGGGTTGAGGAAGAGCAGGCAAGGCAAACAGAGTTACGTCTCGAGATGGAGAAGAAGAAAGAAGAGGAGGAGATCGAAAAGGCTCGGCAAAAAGAAATCCAGGATATCAATAAACGACTTAAGGGTCAGCTATGTTTCGTATCCCCGAGGTTTCATGCACCAACTAACAACTTATACAGAACAAGATAAGCAAGAGCAGAAAGAAGAGGGCAGAGGAGAAACACGAAGCCAAGGCGAGGAAAGAAGAAGAAAAAGCAGCTAAGGCAGAACAGAAACGGCTAGCTAGAACCGAGAAACGCAAATCTACAGCTGAACGATCCGGGGAAAGTCAAGATGAGCCGGACCCCACAAGTGGAACAGTAGTTATGAATACCGCGGGCCAACCCGTCAGCATGCCTCACCAGAACCGGAATTCGCCGCCGCCGAAAACGCTGAAGACGGAGTAGTGGATCGGGAATCGGTGTCACCCGGTGAAGGGTCGTCGAAAGGCGGCGTTAAGACATGGTTCAAAAACCGCTTTTCTCGAAGCGCGAAGCAACCGGAAGACAAAGGCAAATCAGTGGAGAGGGGTTTCGTCGGCGGGGTCGCCCTAACGGGCGTTAATAGCTCTACGAGCATAGATAATCGTAGCGCTAGCGTACGTGCTGTTGCGATGGCGGGGCGCGGACGAACTACTAATCAGGAGGACGAGGCTTCCGGCGCGGCGATGCCGATGAGCAGCTCGAGCGATGATGAGAACGAGTATTTCCGTGACGAGGTGCGAGATCAGCCCAAGACACCGTTGACGCCGCCTAGGCCGCTCCGCTCGTCGGTTGCGAGTCATAGTCCCAGTCGGGACTCGAAGTTTGTGGAGATGGTATGAGGCGAAGATTATTTAAGGCATGCTATTTTATCACGATATACACATTTTGCGCGCGGGTGGGGTTGTTTCTATGGCTGCTTTCAACTTACGGTTATCTATCTATGCTTTATGGGATGATCAGTCTACTTATTCCCTGGAATTCAAGAGAATTTTGGCTAGTTAAATTGGGTAAGACAATAACCGCAAGGAAGGATATAAGAACTTTGGTTTTTCTTGCACAGGGTTGGTTTGTTGGGTTTACTTGTTTGGCGTTGGTTTGCGCTCTACCTTTATGTGTAGGGGGTGGTGGTTTTATCAAACATATTTATATAACAGCGCCAATACCCCCTTTTCTTAGTTGACATTTTGAATCCTATACTGTCGATGTTTGACTTCTACATTTTGTACCCAAAATCTCACAAATGACACTTGCTAGTTCTACTAGGTTCACTTTCACATTTTACCTTGGAAATTACAAATGAAGGTTTTCAACACTGGCGTTTGAATTAAAGATAGCTGTATTATCCAATACATTCCTGTCGCTACCATACATAATGGTGTTATACTATGAAAATGCCGCTATTGTTTCTTATCTATCTCGGCCATGGCGACTAGACTAAACCGATGCATTGACGTTCTAACCGCCTAACTTGAACCCTCGGAATAATAACTAATGAGGAGTTATCATGCAAGATTTAACTTGTGCCTGGTTGAAAACCTAGATCTTTTTACTCTAATGGAGTAACCGAACGCCGTGACAAAATGTCGTGCTCCTAACCCTTCTAATCCTTGGTATCATCATTATCGTGATCTAGTGCCACCCCCAAACTAGCTCGGTACATTGTTCTATTGAAAAGAAAACTATCCGTAAATGCTGTGAACAAGCAGAGCCTCCTAAAAGTCTCTCTGGTCTGTTCTCACTTTGTGCTGGTGGCCGTGGCTGTCTGTCAGCGTCCTCTGGCTATCCTGGGTATGCCTATCCCCAGGTAGGACACTGGGATGCGTTGCATAGTAGGTCTCCTCCATCCGTCGCGTGGGATCCCCGATCGGGTGGGGGTTGTTCCGCGTAGTGATAGCGGGATACAAGTCGATGTAAAAGGAGAAGACGTAGAAGGAGAATACGAAGGCAATGACCCACTCGATAATAGCAGATGTGTTATGGTTGCCCCTAAAGTTAATCACGCCGAAGGCAATCGCTAGACCCAGCTCGACAACGACGAAAATCAACTTGACCCAGAATGAGATGCGGAGAACGCGATGTTGCCGGTTTTCTACGGAGAGATTTCTGGTTAGTTTTGGTTTTAACTGAAATAAACAGTATGTGGACTTACTATGACCAAGACGTTGATATTCCCAGCAAATGAAGATGGCTGAGAATAGATATCCTGCAATGAAGAGTAGAAGGAAAATATCGTGTAGTCTCGGGTACCGGAGAGTATCAAATCCGGACAGACAAGTCAGACCAATTGTACCAATCAAGGCGAAGACGATGCACAGGCCGCTCAGCACTTTTTACCAGTGGAAGTGTTGGGCACCAGTCGACCTCGATGCCGTAAGAAGCGGTCAGCCGCAAAGGATAAATCGAGAAATATCGTGGTGATGATGCATCCTGCAACAAACAACGGCTTGAGCTTTGAAGCGCCGACATCTGATATATAGGCGATTGTTTGGTCTTCCGTCATAGAGTCATAATGAACTCGGTTTGTGTCTATGATCCAATATAGAAGAAGTCCTAATAATGTTGCCAACCACATGAGGCCGGATATGATGGGAAATACCTTTGCGATAATGTTAGCTGCGTACGAAACGTCAATTAGGATAATTGAAGGCTTCTTTTGCTTACCCAATACGACAAGAACCGCATCGTGGATTGATTTCCTAAATTTCGTAATACTCTATAATTCCTCTATTGGTGGCAATGTCTAAATGATTATGTAGGTTATAAGGGAAAACAACCTTATAATAAACGAACGAAAGAGTTAAGAGAATACAATACGATACACAGCCCGGACAATAAAAGGACACGAGGACAATGAATTGCGACGACAGAAAAATAAGATTGCGCGTAAGTATAAGATGTAAAAGATCACGTTGTTGACGACGAAAGCAAGCCTCAAAAAAGATCGACGTATGACTTCATTCTACAGATAAAACTTAAACTCGGGCATCAGGGCGCCACAAAAATTTGTCTCCGGGACCTACGGGAAAGAACAAGGTCCGGCTTAGAATTACCAAGATAGGATTCGTCATTAGCGTAAAATGGAGGCTGGTTACCTATGATAGGACTTATATGAGCTGACTCGGGGTCTGTGGGAAATTAACAAGCCGACTCGGGCTCTTCTGGAGATGTGATGTTTTGCTAGCTCCTACCGCTTGCGATTCGAATCAAGAAATGGTGACGTCAATAGAGACTTGCGTGGAATGAAGATATACCAAAAACTAAGATAAATAGGTACGTACCTAACATTTCCATAATAAGCAAGTCATATATGGGTCACATCATGCTGTGCACACAGTAATAATCGGGCTGTGCATAATAACTTAAAAACTGTATGGTGTAAATATAATATGGAGAATATAGGAAAGATCTAGCCAACCATGGTGCATCGCATCTGCAAGATCAACATTCACCAATCACACTTAACCAATCCCTACCTTATCTTTATATTCGGGATCATAGCCTTGTCTCTTTCTTCCCAAGGCTGACAAAGAACCACTTCAACTATTACAACCTTCTGTTCCTCAGTTTTGAATAAACGAGGACGAAGGATTATATCTCACGATGGCGGTCTCGCCTGTAGTTGTGCATTCTACGGATGCTCCACCGAACCCTAGATCTTTATCGTCGCCTCTCAAGACCGTAACTTCAGCACAAGCATCATCCAATGGAACACCCGTGGTCTCAACAGCTGCACCGAATGTAGTCGCAGCAGCACAAGCAACCTCTCTAGATTTGGCTGAACAACTTAACGAGGAGGAGAAGCGCAAATATGTGAAGGGTATGTTAGGCAATTTATTTAGATGACTTAGAATAGAAGAGCAATACGCTAACTCGAGATCCCTTTGAAGGCAAGAAACTCGGTGAAGGTACCTACGCTAACGTCTACCTTGGTTTCCTTAAAAGCGATCCGACGAAGCTGGTGGCTATAAAAAAGATTAAGATACAGAAGGAGTACACGGAGGGGATGGCACCTGATGCCGTCCGCGAAATCAAGCATTTACAAGAGTTATCACACCCCAACATAATAACGCTGCATTCCGTCTTCTCTTCCAAAAACCAGAACCTCAATCTTGTTCTGGAGTATCTCCCCCTCGGCGACTTGGAAATGCTCATTCGTGACGTGGACCGCGTTAGATATGGTGCAGCCGACATTAAGGCTTGGATGGGTATGCTTACGAGGGCGGTGTGGTTCTGCCATGAGAACTTTGTGCTGCATCGTGATATCAAACCCAACAACTTGCTTATCGCCGCCGACGGAGAAGTGAAGCTTGCCGATTTTGGTCTGGCCCGAAGCTTCTCGGATCCGTATAAGCTAATGACGGCGAACGTTATTACGCGATGGTATAGGCCTCCTGAATTGTTGTATGGAGCCAAGCACTACTCAGGTGCAGTAGATATCTGGTCTGTTGGCCTAGTCTTCGCCGAACTGATAATCAGAACGCCATATATCGCCGGAGATACAGAGATGCGGCAGATCAGCCTTATCTGCACCGCCATCGGTACGCCCACGGAAGAGAACTGGCCGGGTGTCACCAAGCTACCCGCATATACTACGGAAGGAGAAATCCACCCTGTACGGGGAAGAGAGTACTATATGTCGTTCTTCGGCACAGTTGGCACCGAAGGCGTTGACCTCCTAATGAAGACGTTGATACTCGATCCTAAGAAGCGTATTACGGCCCTGGGGATGCTAAAGCACGAATGGTGGAACAAAGACCCTAAGCCCACGCGCAAGCAAGATTTACCGAAGAAGTCAGGCGGGCAGGAGAAAATCGGCGCAGATTTGAAGAGAAGGCCTGGCGTAATAGATGACGATAAGACTGCGAAGGTTGCTCGGAAGCTGGACTTCGGCGCAGCAAAATAGAATTCCGAAGGGCAAAGGGAGAGATTCTGGCGACTTGTAATGATTACCGGTCTGGCGTTTAGGAGTTTAGAGGTTTAATTGAAGCATTAGAGGTTAGGCGCTTATGAATGGATAAGGCATTTTTGTAGGATAACGAATTACAGCATGATGATTTGGAGTTTGATATAGCATGTGTAGAGCCTGCGGTTATGGCTATGGCTATGGCTATGGTAATAGTACATAAAGTACAGAGGTTTTTCATTTTTTTATATGTCCAGTTACACTACCCGTAATCTACAACTCGCCCCGTTCTCTCATCTCGCGCCTCTCGGCGATACGCTTCTTATACCGGACTTCGGTCCTTCTCCTCTCACCACCGTCGATCTTGTGGCCCCGTCGGTCCTCCCACATGCCCTCCGTAACAGACACCCGGACGCCCTCGCCGCCCTTAAGCGGCAGCGCGTAGGGGCCCACAATAGTCTTAGCGCCCGTGACTTTGTACCCGCGCACGCGGGATATCTCGTCCAAGCCACAGTCCTTGACGGAGCGCCCCGCCGGCACGTTCACCACGTACTTGTGCGGGTTGACCGCATCCCGATCCGACTCCAGGATCCGCAGGTCCGCCTTGCCGTCCTCCACGTGCTGCAGGTCCCCTCCGATCCCGTATTGCCCCAGGCGGAACCGTTGCCGCCATTGTAAGAGGTACCGTCGTGTGCGCGGGGGCTCGACGCCGAGCTCGCGGAGCTGGTCCGATGTTAGTGAGAACAGGGCCTCCCAAGTGGGGAACTTGGAGGCGTGTTGGCTTAGGCCCCGGCCGATTACTGTCAGTAAGGTCTGCACGTCGGGGACGAAGGGCGTGGGTGAGGGGATTTCTCCGGCGGGCCGCGTTGTGGTTGAGGAGGATGCGCGGATGGAGGATGTTGAGGGCTGGAAGGCTGCTCGGGGGGCTATGGGCGCTAGAGCGGTGCGAAGTTGTTGCGGTTTGAAAAGGGGCTATAGTGTGTTAGTAGAATATATATGTCATGTCTAAGTAACATGTCGTATATAGGTAGGTAGGTAGTTGTATATATAAGTCTTAGTTATAGTAGATGTATGTTTGACTTGCCTTTAAGCGCACCATCTTGACGGTAATATACCACGCTCTATCCTAGTCTTCAGGTCTTAGATGAGGTCCCCAGATAACCATACCCTTGCAATAATGGGTAAATAGCTAGAACTACTTCGCAGTTCCCGTATATCCACGGCGCAGTTGTAGCTTAAGCAGATAAATGGATAGATAGATAGGCTCGATATTGAAAATTCAATGGAGAGTCGGCAAGGGAAATTTGTATCCTCCGATGGGTCCGTGTAACCCTAGCGCCCATCGATGCGGGATGTGGATATATAGTAACGTCTTTAGGCTTAGCGCCTGTAAGCCTTACTGCGCTTATGTATGAGTCAATAGTGGATCGTAGCTCTTATCGGGATAAGAACCACCTGTAGCTGTGCCCCTCGATGAAGTTTAACTCGGTTGGCCCCGCGAGTTTGTCTGTTTGTCCGTCTGCCTACTTCCTACTTCCTACTTCCGCAGCCTCAACAACTTTTTCTCCAAAGTAAAACCGCGTTTCCGAGTTTACCGCGCCACTATGTGTTAACATAAACCCCCCGTATGTTATTTTCGTGAAACCTTGCAGGTTATTCCTTGTTAATAACAGGTAGTTCGTGTTATCGCATTCACGCCTGTCGTCTCTTACGCCATGGAGCGCCCAGGCTTATCGCAAGCTTCGAAGACGTCGGTTAACCGACAAAAGGGTCCTGTTCAAGCCCAGCGCGTAAAGTCTAGAGGTATGTGAAGGTCGGGTTATATTGAAATAACACTGCTTACCTTGTTCAGATCCTTTTCCTACGGATTTTCTCACTTTCTTGAATGCGCTTCCGTCCGATAGCGCCTCGCGCAATGCAACTGAACAGGTTGAACCCCCTAGAAAACGCCCTCGAGTCGAACGAGTCGAACGCGTCGAAGCAATCCCCATCTCAAGAGAATCATTGACTCTCAAGCGACCGGTCCAACCCGATGTACCTATTGATGAACTAATCTTTCGCGTGAATGTCAACAACCACGTGAAGCTACACCATGATGAAAAACATCGCCTCTTAATTATCTCTTCCAATGCACGATCTTCTTACGGCGCGTTTAAGTCTGAGCTGGCCTTAGGTCGCCTCAAATTCTCCAAGAGCACATTGGCAATATTTAATGTGATGAGCCGCAGCCGTGACGCTGACGGTGATGAAGGTGCACTTTGGGTAGGCGTCAGTGTTAGTCTGGAGAGGAAAAATAACAGAGACCAACTCCAGCTCTCCCTTCAGCTGAACTGGAATTCATCAACATATTCACTACGAAATTCCGCTCAGCGCGCTCTTAGTCAACAAGTTCTAGATACGTTCTTCAAAGGTCAACCTCGAGAGCAAGGTGCTGCCAATGAGAAGCTTTCGCCTCAGGCTTTCTACGATGCGGCGTTTGTTCCAGAAAATGATCCCGTAAATTCATTACCCCTCTCAGTTCCTAAGTTGACCTCAAAGCTGTTCCCCTTCCAACGTAGGGCACTGCAATGGCTTTTGAATAGAGAAGGTGTCAAATGGAGTGATCGTTGTTCAGATGGAGAGCCTGGCCTAGAGCTGTTATCTCCGCCGTCAGCCAACACCTTGCCATTGTCATTCAGCACGGTAAATGATGCAGACGGGCGATTAGTATACATCAGCAATCTCTATCACGTCATTACTAGAGATATTAACACGTTCCGTAAGAGTGAAACTGTTGTAAAAGGTGGCATTCTTGCCGAAGAAATGGGTTTGGGGAAGACAGTCGAGACCATTGCCCTTATCTGCATGCATAGGCGTGATAATCTTCTGCACTTGGACAGCAACCCAGCTCAGAACGAGCGACCAAGCGGTGCAACATTAATTGTCACTCCAACCACACTCAAGAACCAATGGGTCTCTGAGTTTAAGAAACATGCACCACATCTCCTTGTGATGGTGTACGAGGGCATAAAAGGTGTTAGTGATGAACAACGATTAGTCTCGGAACTAGTAAATCACGACGTTGTCATCACGACTTATAACGTCTTGCAGACTGAGGTCCATTATGCAACAGAGCCCCCCAGTCGTTCCATGCGACATGAAAGAAAATATCACCGCCCCAAATCGCCGTTGATTCAGATCTCCTGGTGGAGAGTATGTTTAGATGAAGCTCAACAAATCGAGAGCGGCGTTAGTAGCGCTGCCAAGGTTGCAAGACTGATACCTCGTATCAATGCTTGGGGTATCACCGGAACGCCGGTCAAGACGAACATCAAAGACCTATGGGGCTTACTGCTTTTTCTTCGATATGAGCCGTTCGCCTCCTCTTTGGATATATGGGAGGGACTGATATCGACCCATAAGGAGTTGTTCAAGCCTCTCTTTAACAGCATTTCCTTGCGACACACAAAGCGCGTAGTCAGAAGCGAGCTAAGCCTACCAGCTCAAAAACGGTATGTTATAACCATGCCTTTCAATACAGTCGAGGAGCAGCACTACCAGTCGGAATTCAAGGATCTCGTGATGAGGTTTGGTCTCGACGAGCACGGATCACCACTTCAGAAAGACTGGGACCCTGAGAGTCCGTGGATAATCGATTCAATGAAACGTGCCCTCTCTCAGCTCAGAAAGTCAATATTGCATCCGTCCCTCGGATCTGGCCGTCTTATTCGGGCAGCAGATCAGAAGAACAAGGGCCCGCCAACAATCGAAGAGGTGCTAGAAGCCATGATTGAGCAATCGGATTCTTCGATTAGAGCAGAACAGCGTATTTATTTACTCAGTAAGCTAACGAGAGGTCAGCTTTTGGAATACCGCTCCGAGGTGGATGATGCTGTTATCCTTTGGCATGAGGTAGTAGATGAGATCGAAGTCCTAGAAGAGGAATGCCGAACGCAACTACAAAGCGAGTTGGAAAAGGCTAAACAAGCAGGTTCTAGTGACGTGCTCATGGAGGACGAAGAGGGCAATGCCGAGAGTGGTGATGATACCGACGAGAAAATGGCGTTCGGAAAAGTTAGCGAATGCCGGCGTAAACTTCGATCTATGCTCGATCTCCACCACAGAGCCGTTTTCTTCATCGCTAGCGGCTATTATCAGCTAAAGACGGAGAAGTTAATTCCTGATTCGGAGGAATACGAACTGGTGGAGGAGAAGGAGTTCTCCATGTACAATGAGGCGAAGAACATTCGGAAAGAGATTCTACGTGAGGCGCGGACCAAAGCTTTATCCTGCATTACTAGGATTCGAGAAAAAGCGTCGTCGCAATCGTTCACTGAGGTTCCCGAAGTTAAGCTGCCTTCATTTCAGGGCCTAGAGAGTAGGCGAGTTTTGGACAACTTCAAGGTGCTCGCCAGGGCTCTCGATGAGCAGGCAGACTTGATTGACGAATGGCGGGAAGCCGTTATTCAAATGTTGATCCGGCCGCTTGTAGACGAAGAGGATGAAATAGAGCTTACGGGTGAAGAATACGAGGACTCAACCAAAATTCAGGATGAGCTGATGGTATATACGCTAGTTTTGAGAGCCGTGATAGCCGACAGACGGGATGCGATGTCCGGCCTGGAGAATGAGCGAGTTAAGTACGATACTCGCTTCGCGGAGCGGCAAGCTAAAGCTGGAGAAGGCCACGCCCCCGAAAAAGTTCTTGTCTTACTTCAAGAACGCGATAGAATCAAGCAGTACTATCGAGGAACCTCGTTCCGAGGCATCGTTACGGATCTTCGAGAGTTAGCAACGAGACTCCGCCATGATATCGGTAACGGGAGCAGTCGTGCGAGGGTCGAGCTAGATATCGTGGAAAGGCATCTAAAGCTGACGCAAGAGCAGAGCAACGCACAGAACAAGGCGGCGACGGCTTTAGAGCGAGAGTTGGACACTTTTACCGCGGCGATGAATGCGCGCGTGGAATACTACAGGCAGCTACAGAGCATTTCTGATAATGTTGCTCCGCTTGAAGCAAGCCAATTCCTAGACGTTGATGATAAACTTGAGGTGCAAGGGAGAGAGTATGAGATGTTATGGCGAGAGAGAATCTCAAAGGGGAAATTTACCGCAGCGCTGCCTAAGTACCGTTACCGTAAGATCCCTCTGAATCAGGATATACCGACTCTGTTTATATTTATACTGACTTAATTCACAGTCGTCCATCTCAGAGAAGCGGGTCTGAATTCAGAAGAAGTCTGCGTTATCTGCCAGAGTACTTTCAGTCTTGGGGTGCTTACTGTCTGCGGGCATCACTTCTGCAAAGAGTGTATAATGGCTTGGCTTAAGAAAGCCCACATTTGCCCTGTTTGCAAGATGAAACTTTCGGCATCAAATCTTCACGATATTACACTGAAAAAGCAAGAGTTGAAATTCCACCAAGAACACTCGCAAGAGAACTCGCAAGCGTCGGACGAGGCCGGTACGCTTACCAAGTTCAAGAAGTTGGGTATCTATTCCGAATTCAGCAGCGATAAACTCGACGCCATCAAGACTATCAATCTCAACGGCCCTTCATTCGCTACTAAGATCCAGACTCTAGCAAAGCATCTGATATGGCTACGTGTTGAAGACCCAGGCGCCAAGTCTGTTATCTTCTCCCAGTTCGGCGAGTTCCTCGAGATCCTCGGTCGAGCTTTCGACCAATACCAAATCGGATATTCTTCTTTCAAGCAGAAGAACGGTATCAACACGTTCAAGGAAGACCCCGCTATCGAATGCTTCTTGATGGATGCCAGAGCGCACGCTAGCGGCCTTAACCTCGTCAACGCAAGCCACGTGTTCCTATGCGAGCCCCTCCTCAATACGGCATTGGAACTCCAGGTGATCGCCCGAGTAGACCGAATCGGGCAGGAGCACGAGACGACGGTATGGCTATACCTAATAGATGGCACGGTCGAGGAATCCATCTATAACCTTTCCGTCCAGCGCCGTCTGGAACACCTGGGCCAGAGCACTAAAGGAAAGGAGAAGGAACAAGAGTCTGGCGCAGAGGTCTCTGACCTCAATCTGGAGGCGGCGAACTCTCTAGAGCTCCAGCAGGCCGCCCTATCGAAGCTCATGAGCAAAGACCAGAGTATGGGAGAGGTGGTCGATCAGAACGACCTCTGGCAATGCTTGTTCGGTCATGTCACCAGGAACGAGGCCGCTGCCGACGAGCGGATGAACGATCCTGCTGTCATTGGCTTCCTTTCTGGTGCGGCAGCGGAGGCTAGACGACAACAGGGCTAAGTAACGGTTTTTGATTCGGTGTGTAAATACGTACGTCCCTAGCCCTGCAATTACCCCCCGGTACTTGACGATGTATAAAGTAAGCACTTAATATTACCCCTGTATGTACGATACGATACGATACGATACGACACGGCACGAGGCGATGCGATATGTAAGTTTAGGTCACTTCACGAGAGTGTCTTGGAGTTCACACGACACGATACGAGCAGGGCGTTACGGATTGCATTGCATGTTGAGGCGCTGGCTGGCTGGCTGGCTGGCTGGTTGCTTGTTTGTTTGCTAGATTTGCTAGATTAGCTAGGTTTCGTCATGTTACGATAATACGATGATGCTACGATGTCTACGCTCGTAATTAATTAGATAGGTACCAAGGTATGTAATTGATCAATCAATTAAGGGAAGCAAGCAAGCATATTGCCTAGACTCGTTTCTTCACCATAGGAAGCTTAGCGGTATTAGCGACATTTCAGCTTTGGCTGGTTTTAGTTTCTTCGCTGCGAATCGTGGGTTAGAAAGGTACCTTATAATTGGATTATCCGCTAGTAGTTGGCGTTGTGGTTCGTAGGTAAGGCGTATTTTATAATGGTTGGCTACTCCTAGGGTAGAAGTAGATAACGATGTTACATACATATATGTATACTACCTAATGTATGTAAGGGGACGGAATCGATGACTGTAGTAGGTAAAGTTAAAGTAAACTAGCTTCAGGGCTGAAAAGTAGAAGTGAAAAAATATGTAGGAGAAAAGAAGGGAAGGGAAGGGAAGAAGAGCTGAAGCCAAACCCTTGCCGTCTTGGCTAAGGTACCTAAGCTTTCAAGCTTTCTCCCTCCTGAAGCTACCTCCCGCGCGTCCGGCTGACGGGTAGCTTATTACAAGGAGGAAGAGGATTAAGCTTAACTTTAAATCGCGTGCTTTTGCGGTGCCTATCTCTATTTAGGTAGGTACCTAGGTTATTGTTTTGCCCCTCGGGGCGTAGGGTAGGTTTTAGGTTTTCAGCTTGTCGATCTGATCTGCATGTGGGGGGGGGAGGGGAAGAATTGGCCACGCGAGAGGAGGGATACATATACATACCCGAGACATATTGTTTTGGGGTAGTAGGTGAGTAAAGTGAGTGTCTGAGATGTGATGTTGTAAATATATGGTGGGGGATGGGAGATAAGGGTAAGCTGGCGTGGTGAGGGGTGTATATATGTAGATGGATGGATGGATGGGTAGATACTATATACAGATGTATATATGTATATATGTATATATTAATATATTAATATATGTATTAAGCCATGAGTTTATAGTCTATATTGCGTTTAGTTAATTCTCGCGTACTTATACACTTACACACTTATACACTTACATACTTAGACATTTCTACTAGTTACTATATCAAATAGGTAACTAATTAATATAACCCACCACTTATAATTAAAATAAATCAGGCAGGTATGTTATGTACATGTATGTAGGTACGTATAGTTACCAGGTATACAAAACTGCATGTAACCACATTCTCTCTCCCCCCATCCCAAGCCACAGGCTGACGACTACGACCTTCGACAACCCCTGAGACGCATTCCGTCCCTTTTCAGCTCCGGCCGCCTTAGCCTAGCCTGTCCCCCCTGTCGAACCGATTAATTTACGACCGCGTGGGCAGCATGTCGTGCGCGCGCTCGCCTAGGTAATAGAGTTACCTATGCTGAAGGGGGGCGTTCCGTTGCGCACGTGGGGATTTGCCTTCTAGAAGCCTTCTCTGTTGGTGATCTGTCGAACCTGGATGGATCCCTGTGTGTCTACCTACTTACCTAGGTATGTATGTAATGTATCTACCTACCTAAAGCAACGAAGGTTTTGCTTTTCTCTTTTTTAGATATATATATATCTCTATATATGTAAGACATACATACCTGCATTAGATTAGGTATGTACACCTACCTATCCGCCCGCTCTTCCGGGTATTCCCCAATATCCCGGACGGCCAGCTAGCCGATGACAGAATCCTCTCGCGTACTGTAGGTGCCATAGATGCAGAAGTAGTGGTTTCAAGTCACCGCGTGGTTTTTTTTCTTTCTTTCCCGCCGTGCCGCTGTGCGACATCCGCAGCGGCACGTACATGCGTAAACGGGGATAGGCTAGGTACATAACGTAACCTAGTAAGCTCTATTAGGGTAGTTGGTTTAGAGGCTTAGCTAGATAGAGATAAGTCTATTATGACGGTATGTCTTAACTCAAGATGGCTTGGGCTTGATTGTGGCTATCGTGTCGTACGACGAGGCTCGCGGGGAGGAGCGAGTCCATCGCCGACTTGGTGTTGTACGTACGCTGTAAGTCTAAGTCTAAGTATAGACATAGGCATAGACGTAGACATGGGCATAGGCATAGGTATAGATAGCCAACTCGTTCGGTAACTAGAGGAAGCGTTACACCTAATGTAAACCTCGCCTTGTCTTACTTCTTTTTCCTTTTTTTTCTCACCATACCCGTAGGAGAGTTACGTTACGCAGTCTGAACACATAATTGATATAAATAGTAATATTGTATAATTCAGACGTTGAACTAAGTAAATAGGTATATATCCGTAGAATGACGATGACTAACTCGACAATAATAATAGTAATATAATACAATACAATGTAACATTAAAACGGGGTATTCTAAACAGAAGGACTCGTAATATGTAGCAGTAGTAGTAGTACACGATGAATTAGTTAGTTCGTGGCGGAAGAAAAAAGCAAAAATAAATCAAAGCAAAGCAGAAGAAATCATTGCGGCAACGCTGTCTAACAAATCCTCATCCGTCAGTACTTTTTTTTTAACAGTCATTACCATCCATTTGTACTCCAGCCAACAGAATCCAAAACCCAGAACCCCTCCAAGATCTCCACTGCTACGGACAGAGCAAGTAGCGAGACGGAGATAGGGGGTTGACAGAATATCTTAGCCCCCCCCTTGTGTCACCCCTTTTCTCGCCTCCGTGCCTAAGTCCGGTGATGATGATGTTGATGACTATACCCGCCGCTATTTGGATCGAAGTCGTAGTAATACGGCGGTAGATCTTGGTATGCGAAATCGTCACCTCCGCTGCTATTTGTCCTACTCCCGTAGTTGACAGTCTGGTATTGTTGGTACGGGCTCGATACCGCATAGTACTGCGCCGCGTCGTCTTGCCTCGTTGTCGTTGGTATAGTTGTTATTATCGCCTTCGCCGTCGCCGTCGCCGCTGCCTCCGCTACGTCTGCTCTCCGTCTCGTAGCCCCCTGGCTAGAACATGTGTCATACGAGGCTTCCCCAAGGCAGGCCTGAGAGGTCCATGCGTCATCTGCTGCGATTTCGTCTGACGAAGGGAGGCGGTAGCTGCTGGCTGCGTTTTCTAAGTCGCGCGACTCCCGTTCTGCCTTTTCTTTCTGCTCTCTGGCTTTCTCTCCTATTCCAACCTGTTAGTCTAGTCTGTCTTGGAACTAGAGATATATTTTATTCAGTTACGTACGGAACTTTCGCTGAGCTAGTCGATTTTGAATGCGTCTTCGCTCCTCAGGCTCTGTGACTTCGGTCCAGTCGTCTGTCGAAGGTCTGGACCTAGGCTTGGGAGACTTGTTGGGAATCGATTCGTGTTTCTTGGATGAGCGTGAATTCATCTTGTCTCACTCCTACGTTTATGTTCTAATCTAGGTAATTTTAAGTTGTGTTTCTCAAGCCTTCGAGAACAGGCAGGATTGCTTATGTCGTAGTCAGTATTGCTTTTCGTAATGCTTGCTTATATTCGGCTAGTAGTTAAGGTTGATATTACTAGAGTCAAGTGGAAATATTTGAATATTAATGAGAGAAGCTTGGTTGGGAAGGAAGATGGGTGCTGGATCCTTTTAGAACTCGCTTGTGCCGGTACCTGTCATATATAACTCCCGGGATATAGATAGGCAGAGAATATAAAAAGTAAGGCAAGTGACTACTGGCATAGATGGACTGTATGGAAGGGTTTGGGGGCCGTTCTGGTCGGTTGACGGAATGTAACTTGAAAACCACTTATAAGGCTGATGACAAGGGTATGATATCTCACAGAGCTTTTGCCTAGATGGGATATGGGATGACGATGGAACCTTCATGGTACCTTTGGCGAGGCCCGGTCCAGACTTGCGGGATGACCATTGAGGCTTATGGTGTCTGTCTATATCTATCCATTCGAGTCCATCCACTCGAGTGGGCTAATTGATGTGGCTACTTGGTTGCGTGCAAGCAAACGTGATGATAGTATGTAGTATGCAACTATCGGCGAGGTAACAATAGAGCAACCTGGACTCAAGCCACTGCTGCAACCCCGACTATGACGCGCAGGTTGATAATTTTGGCCAGGCAAGACTTTCCTGCACACACACGCCAATATTGCGTCAAGGTAGTAAGGGAGGAAAGACATCATCAGGTAGGAAGCCACTAATAAGCTACTATGGTAAGAAGCTATTCTCAATGGGGGGTGGCATTGTGCATCGTCCATCGTCCATCGTCCATCATCCATCGCTATATGGAGCTATTGGATCGCCCGCATCTCGAACTAGGAAACCCTGAAAGCCGACATATCGGGAGCACAGGCCATAGCCGTCCATCCTGGTCATCCTAACTATCCTAAGGTAGTCATCCCGGTCGAGAGTCAGAGACGAGCGGTTGAAGCCCGGGATATGAATGGTCGTTAGGGTAGAGCCACGGTTAGCTAATCTCGACTTTCTAAAAAGAAATACGATTCTCGCTCAGACCAATCATGGCTTGGGTTTTCTTGGCATTTATGAAGGGGATCGCTTTTTATGTATATGAATTTATGGTGCTGACGATGGTGGGGAATAAGATATGTAAAAGTATGAAAGGTATGTAAATTGCGTCGCTAAGGAGGTGGTTAGATCCGTCATTCCTCAGATTTACCGGTCGAACGGGGTGAATTCCGGCGAACAACTTTTGACAAATATTGCTCGATGGTCTTTGGACTTTGTCTGTGGGGGAGTAAAAACGGACGGGGAACCCTGTATTGCGAAGACGACGTCGACGTTCCTTCGAAATGTCTAAACCAATAAAAAATCGGTGTTAGACGAAGATACATAAGAGGTCTGTCTGACGGATCGAAGAACCCTCATCTGTCAAAGGAGTCTATGATAATCCCTGGGATAGGATAGGATAGGATAGGATAGGGGTTGCTATGATTTACCTTCTCACGGCGACCCACACACCCGGTATCCTAGCTTAATTTTCCTATACCGCTTTTGTACTTCATGCTACCTATATGAAGTGTAGTTATATTATTTAGTGAGTCTTTAGTGTCTCGTGATGTTATGTAGGTAGTTGTAAGTGAAGTTTTGAATAAGAAGGCGGCCGACATAAACTAACTAACTACCCAAAGCTTATCTCACTTTTAAGCCATGTTTCGGACTCCACCGACTGGTGACGGAGACTAGGTATGTTAGGTATGTATTTTGACATGGTTCCGTTCGGTTCGGTGGGGGGTTTATGAAGAGGTTTGGATTTCCATGTTTCCATGTTTCCATGTTTCTAAGGACTTTAACCCTCGTGCGGCTGAAATCCTTCGAGCCAAACTGTTGATCTCTTATCCTCTTTAGAGAGGTTGTGAACCCCTGTTAAAAAGGTAGATTAACTGCCGTATTCGTGCTTCTACAAGAAGATCGTCTTGGGTCTCACAAAAAGGTACCAGATAGTGCAAGGGTAAGCCACGCCCTAATTGCATACCCGTAGACCGTAGACCCATTCGGGTTCAGGCTCAGACCAAAGTTCCCCATCCCAGCAGTTTAAGGTGAGTGGGGGGAAATCCTTACGGGACAGGGGTTTCTAGAATGCGTAATTACTGAAAGGAGGGGACGCTTTGCATCTGAATCCGTGAGCTTAACGGGCTCCGTACATTACACGGAGGCCACGAGACTCGATAGGCTGTGTACACATATGTTTTTATGTGTGGTCACACTGCATTCTGCGAGATGACTGAATTTTTTTGGGCTCGCTTGCCCTGGCAACACGAACGCCATGCCTTTTTTCACCAATTTAGGTAGCTTCTAGGATTCTTAACATGACGAACATCATATCCTAGTCGCTAGTCGCTCACGACTAAAGCATGCCGCCGAAAGCGACACCGAGCAAGGAGAGGAGAGTATGTATAACAGAGTATGTATAACTACTCCTTACACCTGCAATACGATTATTGATCGGGGGACTGTGTACCTCGCGGGAACCTATAGTTCATGTACATAGGGTAATAGGTATATTACGGGGATGTCGTCCATCAGCTAAGAATAGACCTTTAATAAAATATCTCCGGTTGCGAACGGATGGAGTTCTGCACCGTGGAGGAGGTATATCATAGTACCATGCCTGACTTGCGGTGAGATGCTACAAATTGCTTTCGTCAGCAGCGTACCGCCCGTAATGTGCAATATTTGGTCCTTTCTAGACTTCTCCAGTGCTATGGCTATCCGTCAAGATCGAACATCAACTTTTCAAACCGTCCTGCAATATAAGGGGGCCAATGGTTAATCAACACATTACATAAACAAGCCATGTAAGCAATACCAGGCCTAACTAAAAGACCAATCATTCATCAAATCGATTCACCATACGCATGTGGTTAAGCTCCTTGGCATCTGCCTATGTTCTGCTCTGACGTCCCGTACTAATGAGTCAGACGGTGAAACATCTAGGATCAATATGCCCCTAGGGCTTAGGCACGTATGATAGCCGCCTGTTCCTAGTATAATAGGTGATACTTCTAATACCGAGCTCTTTTCGCATGGCCGCTGGGTACATGGCGAACTTGTCAGCTTTGGGCCATCGCGGTACTGGCAATGGTAACCAGGTTACGAAAAGTAACAGCAGTAGTTCCCATTGTCTAGCTTATTGGGCATCACACCGCTTTATTGCAACACAAACCCCGACAATAATAACTATATGGGCTTTTTCTTGGGTGCCGCTCTTTTATATCTGCTCGTTATCGTAGGGCTGAGTACGATCATGGGGTAAGATTCGAAATATAATTAACCAAAGACAGTATAGAAGATGGTGCCCTATTGCCCGGTATCTCACTTGTAGTACCCGAAATGTCGGTGGCAGATCTGCCACCCAGTCCAATGGTAGTATGCAGCATCTAAGATGCATGTATCATCCCGACGATATGGTTCGCTTCTAGCCGCCGGAATATTAATTCCTTGAGCCTGTTGAAACTTTAAAGCCCAGTACGAGATCAGACCGGGTTTTGATTGTTTGAAGTGCTTTCAATCGGCGATCATGCCAGATTCAACCATGTAGATGTATCCGTTTCTTCGGAGTAGACGTTCTTACAAGAACGACTCGTCTTGTAGCCGGAGTTACTGGCTTGACTAGTGCAAATAAAATGTAAGTTGGTAGGTTTTTAGGCTTCAAGCAACGAAGCACACTGCTCCTACATGACTTGACACTCGAGTCCGTACATCGCTCTCTCAACATCCCTCTTGACCTGATACCAATCGGCTCTTCTTTCGGCAAACTCGTATACTTCTTCGGCGCGAAATATGCCCCCGAATCGGTCGCCATCAGCTATGATGGTCGCCATTTCTTTGGCATGCTTAGCATCGATAAGGTATATCTGGCTTAGTTCTCGTAGGGCTTTGAAGTATGCTAGTAGATCTGGGTTCTTGAGCGTCCGGATATATTCGAAATACATGTTCATATCCGCGATGAGTTTGATTGCGCCTTGGGTACTGATACGCTGTCGTTTAATATGTTTACACGCAGCCGTAAATAGACGCAGTCCGACTTCGCCGTTAAACACGTCTAGCATGGTCTTCTCCGTGCTCCCTACTAGCATCCTCGTGTGAGAAGCTACTAGATCGGTAATGCGCCTTGCAGTTGTGGTTGGGCCTATATCAGGATCCTTAGACACCCCAACCTCTTGCGTGGAGGGTGACGGATTGAAGTCGGTAGGTAGCTGCGTTGTAGCGCAGAGATATTCGACTTCATCCATTAATACGTCAATGCCTTTGTTAAGGCCTGCCGCAACATTTTCGTCCAACATCTGCTCAAATTTCTTTTTCGCCAGGCCCGCAGGATCGAGGAAATCGTTTCGGTCGGCAATTTTTGGCGCAGCAAGTTGCTGCTCATAAAATACGTCAACCATTTGTGAGATGATATCGCCAACATTGACCAACTCGATAAACGTAACGAGTGGTGCCACTCCGGTTTGGCTATGATCGCTTATTTCTCGAGGATTATACCGGGAAAGATGCTCCACGGCTTTTGCAAACCCGTTTTTAACATGTGTCTGACCAAGGATCTTGACTAGGACAACGAACATCGCTTCGCATTGCTCTCGAGCTTCTTCGCCCGCCTGACCGCCCAGCGTTACAAACTTCGCTGCTCTTCCAAGGCTTTCTTTCGCAGCATGCACTAAATCGAGAGCGACTTCGATACTGAAAAGACTTCTAATCCCTTCAAGCCGGTTCGCCATGAGCGCAGCCTTCGCCTTGAGTTCATCGGTGGGTGCTTCGGAGGGTAGAGGGCTCGCGGTACGTTCTGAAGCATCGCCAATTCCAGGCGTTTGCGGTCGGGATGATGCAGGTGTACCAGCCAATGATGGTCGAAGTGTGGTGCTATTAGTAGCCGATGTTGTAGTTGCCTTGGTAGTTCCAAAAGGTAAGACTGTAACTGGCATCATTACTACTTTCTTAAAGGAACTAAGGAAGTCGTTTTTGTCGGCTTGTCGATTGAAATTGCCCATATAAAATGACTCGACCGTAGCCTCTTGCTCCGAGAGCTTCTGCTCCCAGTTTATAACTTCGCGCTCGGCATGCTTTGTCAAGCTATCCAGCTCCTCTTGCAAGTACAAATCTAGGTGTGGCTCAAACACTCTCAGGGCTATCTCTTTTGCATGGTCTTCTAAACTTTTTTCGGAAGAATCTTTTGGTGGAACAAGTAACCGAACAAATTCCATGCACTGCTCGAATAAGCCAGACACCGCCTTTAGGTAGGATGGCATGTATCGATCATGGCATTCGTCTAATAAGGGAGTAACATACTCCATGATGATTTCTTCTCGAACTTTGTCCACGAAGAACCAGAAGACAGTTGCCGGCTGAGGGAATATGCGGCCAATCACGTCGCCCTGCTCGTTTACTCTCTTGACAAGCGAATCGAAGAAAGCTCGGGAAGGCTCCAGAGTAATGCTGTCCTGGGGAGCTTGGTTGATACAATCCATCGGATTACCTATAACTCCGCGGTCGTTGAGAATTGGATGCTTGTGAACGAAGAGGTCCATGGCCGCGTTGCCCTCGTTTAGTTTGTGCAACACATGTGCGTATCTCTTCATCCTGCCATCAACATCCCAGAACTCGTATCCCTGCTCAAACTCTCTTAAGACTGCGCTTTCGAAGAGAGTTGTCATATTAATGAGTTTAGCCTCTCGCTGCATATAGCCCTCGGTCCAGTCACTTTTGCTGAAGGTCTGTAAATTAGACAGCATCTGTGCTTGCCTCTCCGGATCTCGAAACACCTTGAACACGATTGGTTCGGTATGGCTCTTCGCTCGTGCTAGATCAAAATAAAAGGGTGCTAGAGCCCCATAAACTTTGCCATATTCTTCCCTGGCGTGACCCCGTATACTCTTCACATTCTTGAGTATATCAAGTAGTGCATCTGGATCTTCGTAGGGCGACTTAGACTGTGACTGGTTTAAACTCAGCGTCTCGAACCCGTCGAGCTTCGATTCCTGGAGTTGTAAAGCTTTGTCTTCTTGAGCTTTCCGGTGCTCCTCTTCTAAAGCTGCATCGAATATAGTCGTGCTGACCTGCCTACCCGCTATCGAATTTGGTCCGCCGTTCGCATTTGGCCGCCCCGCAGCGTCCCGTTTTCTCTTCATAGCTTCCTCAAATCTCTTCCTGGCCTCCAACTCGTTCCAGCATCCCATGCTCTTAAGTCTCGCTACCCATCTCGTGTCATCGTATACCATCTCACGCATTCGGGCTGACGTCCTTGCAAACCGAAGAAGGTCTGGTATCGGCAAGTAATCGAGTATAGAGACGATGATTTCTGCCATCTAGGATTAATACCTATACAGCTAACGGGAAGGATAGGCTTCGTGCTTACCGGCTGGTAGAGCTGTTTTCGTATCTAACATCGATGTCGCTCGCAATGTACTTAAGATACTCGCCTTAGGCGTCGCGCCATATTGCGACGCTCGCTTGAATGTAGACATTGTAGCTAAGGTGTTGTAATAGATCTACGGGGAATTAGTAAGGTAGCACACGGCTACATGAGGTAACCCTATTGTGAAATTAAGAAATATAAGAGTAGTATTGGAGAAAAGAGCAGTTTGACTGCCATGGAGATTCTGATGTAGTATATGGACGAAGTGTATGTAATGTATACAATTCCAAAATGTGCCCCTTCAACCTGGCGGTCACAACTATTATGTACATGTATAAGATGAACCCACCTTCCTTTAGTTAACACTAACAACTAACCTACCGCGCTAACTACAGCTACTAGGTATGTACCTATGTACTAGACAACTCTAAACCTGATGTACTTAAGTACTTCTTCACACCGCCCTTTGTCGGCAAAGTACTCCCCGCGGCAGAATTCCTCCAAATTCGACAACTTTTTTTTTTCTGGGTCCGAAGTCAATTGCAGCTAAGTAGATCTTTTTTATGGTTCACACCTCTAATACATAACAAGTTGAGCAGATTTCTCGAAATTTCATTTAGGGACTCACTGTATTATCCCATAATACTATCTCAATCTAGTATTCATTTTTAGTGGATTTTAAATTCTTCAAAATGGAAGCTAGCGATCCTGCTCCCTGGAAGAAGCTTGACCCGGAGAAGCTTCGTCGCGATGCTGAATCCAAAGGTAAACGGCATTGCTATAACTACCCAAGACGTAGATTACTAACATACTTCAGAGGCTAAGCTTAAGAGACAACAAGAGCAACGAATCGCAAGATCCGAAGCCCGCAAAGAAAAACGTCATGCCAAATCCGAAGCTAAGCAAGCGCGAAAGGCAAACGTCGGCCGTGCTGCTAAATGGAATGATGAACGCAAAGCAGCCGACAAGTTGAAGAAATTGGCCAATCGGCCGCACAAGCAAGAGAAGCGACGCAAGCGACTACGCCTACGTGCTCAGAAGTTGGAGGCTCAAGCTATCAAGTTGATGGCCGAGGCGCAAAAAGCCAAAGCCCGCGCCGATCTTCTAGACGAGCAGCGCGAGGTAAGATATCTAACTAACCGTATGGTTATTATTTACTAACCGTATTATTAGAAAGAGGATGCCGAGAAGAACAAGGTGTCTCGTGAGGTTGAGAAGATGGCAGCTGACTCCGAGGATGAGAACTATATTCCTCTGGATGGCCGCAAGCCCAAGCGTACTAAGACAGAGGAAGTAGATAGTGAAGATAGTGACGACAGTGAAGATAGTGAAGCTGATGCGCCCCCCAAGAAGGAAAAGAAGCACAAGAAGAAGGACGAAAAGAAGGCAGAGAAGAAGCGCAAGCGCAAGACTGAAGAAGACGACGAGCTTGACTCTAACAACTCATCTGATACTGATGCTGCGGGTGGCGTGGAGCTACCTAAGGAGGAAAAGAGAAGAAAGAGAAAGCTAGAGAAGGCCGCTGAGGAGGCCGGTGCTCAAGAAGAGGTTGAGGCGCGAAAAGAAAAGAAGGACAAGAAGAAGAAGAGAAAGGAGAAGGAACAGGCCGAGGAGTACGTGTCGCCCGCCATAGTTGAAGCTGGAGGGAATACTAACGGCGGCGAGCAGTGGAACGCCCAAGCACTAGATGGCGATGACAAGAGGAAGGAAAAATTCCTCCGCCTTCTCGGTGCCAAGAAACCCAACGGTACGACAGACACACAGGGAGTCATAGTGCACCCTCGACGTCAAAGGCGTATATCGACCGAGTCCAACACGATCTAGAGCGACAGTACGATATGGGAATGAGGATGAAAAATGAAGGCCAGGGGCAGAAGAGAGGTCTCGGAGCATGATTCATCGTAGTTATGTATTCATACGAAAGGGCGTTTTGAAAGGTCAAGGTTTATACCATCTGATTTGATCTACTAATAAGCACTAAGCCTACCTGGCTGCTTCCTTGATGTCAATTATCAACCAAGATATTGACAATGCTAGTTCTATGCATTTTTAAACACATACCAGCATGTATATTAAACATGGCTTCATTATACGTGACCGTTTTTTAATCGTAACGCAGGCTTTCACACTCAAGCCGTTAGTTAAGCCGTCTACTAGTTATAGCATTTTAAAACTTGTACATAAATCTAGCAATGCGTCTAAAATAAAACTGACCTCCCTTAAAACACGATTCTGTTCTTGTAGAGCAAGCGCTCAGGTATCATATCGATCTCCTAGATGACTATACACGTATACACTTTGAAGACATTGTAAGCATTCCTAGCCTTTCAACTTCTAACCACACCTCCATCTTATACCACATGACTACACGGATCATCCCCACAAGAGTACTCTTCTCACCCGGACTCTACTTTGATAATTGCAGTACATATTTGCATTTTTCAACGACATTGTTATCACTTATCGGAAGAAGATGCGCGAGATGAGCTCGAATATGAGACCGCCGAAGACGATGAAGCCGAGGATACCTGCACGCGAACAAACACAACCCCGTTAGCTTTCTTATAGGACTCGACACGGTCAACGTCTGGGAATAGGGGACAAGTAGCTTACCGAGCCAGAAGGGAGAAACAGGCGACTTTTGCACGCCCTTGGTGTGCTTCTTAATATCGGTCTCCGACTTGCCGCGACGGGCGTCCTGGTCTTTAGTGAATTTAGCGTTTCGCCTTCGCTGCTCGAGGGTTTGGGCCTAGGAGTCGTAATTAGCAGTGTATTCGCCGCTGCGCATAATGCTGGAGACATACCATTTTGTATGTGGATATAGGGGAAGTTGGTTGGTTGGTTGGTAAGTTGTAAGTAAAGGGGCAGAAAGCCGAAATAGAGGTTTGTATGTAGGTAGGTATGTATGTATAACGCGGTCTCGAAAGTTGGAAGGGAACCGAGGGAACGGTATCGTCAATTGAAAAGGTAATACGAAAAGGTATGCTACAATTAATATAATAAACTCAAAGGCGAGACCCAGACCCCAACCTGACGCGCGAGTTTAAATATGTATTTATAAATGACAAAGCGATAGTCTTTCCAGTGGGATCTGAGAACAGATTGTTCAAACTCAAGAGTTGGAGATGTATTCACTTTCCCATATGGACATGGTGTCTGCAAGTTACCTTAGGTAGGTACCTACTGTACCTACCCCTTTATCGATAACGGAAATAGGTAGCTCGTTCAACTCGTTCGACAAAAGTTAACTTAGGTACATGTAAGGGACCTACCCGTTTCGACACGAGCGCTGCTGCTACTACTTACCCCAACGGGCTAGAACTATATTTTCCCCGGTGGATCAGCAACAGCAGCCTCACCAGACAGGGGGTTTAAGAACAAGGTTCCGCTCAAGCCACTGCTGGTGGGGTAACTATATACATACTTCCATTGAAGAAGCTTCCATAGGAGGTACATAGAGTTTCCGTCCCTTCGAACAGACCTTAAACTTAAGCTTCGGATGCTACTAAACTTACGCAACGTCTTTCTCCTCACACACGTTAGCTATAGTTAGGTCTTGTCGAAACTAACGAGCTCGACTCACGATGCTCTCCCGAACAGCGAGGCACCTCGCGCCCTTCCGCACCTTCACAGCGCGCGCATCGCGCCATCCTATCCCCCTCCAACAACCCCAGCGTCCGTGGGCACGCTTCTCCTCGTCCTCTCCCGGAGGACGAGAGGCCCCGTCTCCAAATGTCAGCCGCATCTCCCTCCTCGTCCCCAAGGGAGGGTATCATTTTTACTCCGCACCTTAGGGAGGAAAAGCTCACCTCTCCCAGGCGCAATTCTACAAGACCTTCGGGCGGCCCATCGCCAAAGTATTCCTCGTCGCCGTCTTCACGTACCAAGTGGCGTACTACTTCTGGGTGCGCCTAGAGCAGGACGAGACCCGGGCCGAGATGCGAGGCATGCGCGCCTTACCCTTACTCTTACCCGTCACCCCGCCAAGCTAACATGAGCAAACCGCAGCCACCATTTCCGATCTCGAGGCCGGATAGAGCAGCTCGAAAGGCACCGAAGAAGTAACGATGTGCTAGGTCTTTAACGTAAGACAGATATCGTCACGCTAGGTTCGCCGACCAGGGTGTATCCGCAGTAGTAATGGCATTCACGTGAAATTGCCACGACAAAATTATTAGATCTGTTATTCTTAGCCGGATATGAGCCACGACCTATGCTTATTTGGAAAGCCTTTACAGTAGGTAAATAGAACATATCCAGCACATCATGACGCAAATATCTAATACTACAAAGGTAGCTTAATAATTCGCGCAGTCGCGAACACGACCTGTATATTTGACGGTAGTGTGAAAGTGTCAAGTATCCTTCTTGGAAATGAAATATGAGATGATATCAACCAAAAACGCCCATACAATGCCATTTATGCGATGCCTTTCGCCTGCTCTCCGTGAAACATGACCTTCAATATCGCAAGCCAACCTGAGCCTAGGCGCCCAAATCTAAGTCCTAAACTCCGACTCTCATACAAGTGTCGTTAAAAGTATGCCAATTACGCCGACAAGACCAACCCAAGAGGGCGAAAGCATGCCTGCGCCTCCTATGAAATGCGCAGACCCGGGGTAATTACACGACAAACTATCATCCCTCGTCTTTTCCGTAGCTAGTTTCGAAGCTATACCTGCTCCCCGGTCGAGGACAACTGAATCCCATCGAAGCCGGGCAGCTCTGGACCAATTCATAACACAAATTTTCACAGGGTAGCAATTCCTTGTATGGGCCTGGCTGGACAACTTCGTCAATCTTAGGGTTACGAGACGAATTGAAAGCCTTGGAATCCCCGTGCTTCTTCAATATCGCCTCATCCACCGTCGTTCCATTTGGGAAAGGAGCCGCAATATTGCGCATTTGAAGGTAGTGTCGGTCAGGCGTCGAGAAGTCCTCGCAACGAGGAATTGCTACCGAACAAAGCCATCTCCTGTACGAAGTCTTACAATCCTCGCAGCCCCTGGCTAACGAGTATCGGGCAGTTGAAGCGGCCTCGCAAGGAGTCTGCTGTAGAACTTTATCGAAATTATCCCACATAGACCGTACGTATTCATCGTAAAAATTTCCAAGGGCCGTAGCGTTAGGAAACGTGTTCACGTTTCCAGGGACAGCATATTGGGTTTGTTCGCAAAATGTAAGGTTGAAGATAAATGTACATGCGCCATCTACGTTATCGTTAACGTCTTATCACTCAAGAACTCATGCTGTACTTACTAGGTTTGGTTGAAAAAACAGTCGGTTGAAATATGATACCACCACCTATGGTCGAAGATTCTTCCTGGCGCGTTTGCAGACTCTTTCCCGGCGGACGAGCAAGGATAGCTGTGTAGTTAGAGCTAGCGTTAAGACCACTAACGTAGAACTCCTGTCGGGTCAAGTTGTCTTCTCCTCCATTCTTCAACCCTACTGTCATCACTCCGCTACTTCCATCTGCAAGATTCCTAATCTGAGCATACGAACTTAAACCGCAGTAGGAGTTACGTAGCCCTCTGATGTCCATATTGTTGTCGTTATGAGCGAACATGACATATGGTGGCGCTGTGATCACTTGACTTGTCACATTATTTAGATACCCAGTTTGTAGTAGAGCCGCCGAAGCGTCGCTGTCAACCCATACAAGATTATTAAGATCGGTATGATTGCCGTGAAACGAAAAGTAATATTGATCAGTAGAAGCGACGAGCTCGAAATTGTATTCATGTGAAGTGTCAAATTGCTCGGCCGAAACATCTGGGGCAGAAATGCTCAAGTAAACATCCTTGTCTATAGATGTGTTAAACATAACAGCCCCCTCCGTGAAGACGATAGCTTTCTGTGTATTGTCGCTCTGCTGCGGCCCTGGGGAAGTATTATCAGACGACGTCGAAACGTAAAGAGTGAGTTGTGGAGGATCCGGAGCTGTTCGATCTGACGAACGGCGCCCAGGTTGCAAGCAAGTATTTGCGGATATCCATAACGTTTTAGTTGTTGTAGTAGTTGTTGTGGTAGTTGTCTCTTTCCGGCGTATAAGTTCTGGCTTAATAATAGTACCGTCATCCTCATTCTGATCTTCATCACCGTCCATAGTCAGTGCTTGTGATTCATTCAAACTTCTTCGAAGTTCCAGCAGCTCATTTGGGTCCCGGGCCGCTCTACTAGTGACCGACGAAGCTTGGAAGACATACGCCATCGTAACACCAGGAGCGAGATTGGATTTTTTCATTTCATTGTTGGCCAAGACAGTCGCACTATCTGGTACCCTTCCTATGATGCTTCGGTCGAATAGCGCAAAGTCTGGCTCGTACGCTGGACCTCTGAGGTCTAAGGCCTCCGATATATCCACAACATCGAGCTCGTCGTATGACAATTCGTGTACGTCATGGTCGGCGATTATAGGATCGAACTCAACAGCGAAGGCGAATTGTGGTGAGAGTAGAATGACATAGATAACAAGCAAAAGGCAGGAGGCTATCAGAGATGCTGCCAGCCGCGATTGCAATGGACTAAGTTGCATCCTAGAAGCATAGCCCTTTCGGGCATCTCACAGAATATAGGGTTGTGTCCCAGTAGCAGCAGATAAGTCGGGTTGAAGCTTGTTGGAATCTGTCAGCTAGAAAGGATTACGCTAGGCGCCGCGGCGTTACGAAAATGGAGTTTGTTTGTTACTATCGGTTATATTTTACGGGAATAGAATGGTCGCGTAATATCGGAAGACTGTTTGCTAGAGAATAAGGACAATTGTAGATACAATTGGTGGTAGTTATCAGCTTATCGAAAAAGGAGTGGACAATGTGTGAAGTAGTAAAGTAGTAAAGTGGTAAAGTCGTCGAGGAATAGAGTTTCACAAGCAATGCTGGGATATTGATAGGTGCCTGCCCTGAAATCCCCTGACAGCTGAATACCCGCAACTGCGGGTCTAAACCATACATGTGCAACCTTGAGACAATCCAAGCCACAACTCCAAACCTCTTAACCATTAACTTTCCCGTAACACATACGGTAGTACCCGCCTATGCTACGCTGTCAGGTTGTGTATATAAATTTATCAGCAAATCTTATCAACGTAATAATAAGCCAATGAGCTCATATACATACCTAGGTATTCGTAAATATTCTCAAAATTGCATATATATACATACCTAGGTAATCAGCCACAAATATGCACCTATATATGGATCTAAGGTACCTAGGTAGGTACGGATATACATGTACCCGACATATTGTATGTCGCTTATCATGCAGGAACAGAGGTAGCAGTAACAAAGCGGTATCTGATTATCGGGTATCGCTTTCGCAATCGCTTCCAGCTTCCCAACGCTACACAAATCTGCATCCCCATACACTTTGAAATCGGGTGAACATGCCGTTTATTATTTATTGGGAACAACAGACCCAGTAGTTTGGTTCCGAGATTTGGCTTCGGTGTGACAGCCTTACTCTTATGAAATCTTATGAGGTTAATAGACTTATAAAAGGTCTCCTTAATCCCCCATACTCGACCTCTCTCTTTCTTCAACCCGTAATAATTTTTCGAGGACGAATGAAGTTAGCACTGGCCCACCTACACCTAGGTAAATACGACAGTAGCCACAGGCCTATGAAGATGGATTGTGGCAAACAGGCTTATCGTGCTGTGCCGTGCCGCATTTGGATCGGTCCGTTCGATCCAAATGGATTCACGCTGATGGACATTCCCCCATCTCTAGTCGGCATCGTCAGTTGAATAGCCTCGGGCTCGCAATGAATCAATTCAGGCTGGCATCATAACTACAATGAACCAGCGGGGACGCAAGACCAAGTTTAAAGATATTCTTAGTGCTAACGTGGTAGCACAAGTCATCGCAAGACTTATAACTTGCTAAGATCAGGCCTTGGCGTTCTCGAAATTACTCCAGTCTTATCGGTATGAACGACAGTAGCACGCAAGAGCACAAGCCACGCGGTCCGCGGCTCTATCATAAAAAGTCTCGTACCGGATGTACGCGATGTAAGCAGAGACGAGTCAAGGTTAGTTAAGGGGCTATGGCGCATTTCGCCTACAAAGCCATTACCCGCTTCTGGCTGAGGGGTTCTCTTGGCCACAAGTACATCCCGTAGAATATATTCCTAACTTCCCGTTGTAGTGTGATGAAATTCGACCAAGTTGCGGCTCTTGCTCAAGACATGCGGTTGAGTGCGTATATTTGACTACGAGTCAAGCGTCTTCGGTAGCCACTGGGAGATCAACGTCGGCTACCCGACATGATAGTAGGCCAATCAGCCATGCCACAGCTTCCACGGCTTCCAGTAGCAAGTTAGCATCTACTTACGACGTCGCTTCACGCCCGTCGCCAGTGAACAGTCCTCCGGGTCTTTTCGGCAATGATATTAAGCCGGTGGTGTACTCACCAAATGGCCCAGGATTTTACTCCTCGCCGTCTTCATCTTATGTTACCCCTGCAGATGACAGCTCAGATACCGATATCAGCCTACCCGAGGGACCATGGCGACGATTCTGGGAACTACGCTTATTATACAATTACTATACGAACATGTCGCAACCGTTCTCTATACCACAAAGCCAGGAGATCGCACACATGTGGCAACACGAAATCCCCGAACTAGCCACACGCATGGCAGTTCAGCAAAATCGATCCGCCTTGCTTTACGTAATATTTGCTAACTCGGCTTTATACCTCTGGACGAAAAGCACGGATAAACAGGAGCGAATCGAACTTATGAAATTGCAACAGGTTTACCATATCATGTGTAGAGAACAGCGGCGCGATATCGATGAGTTATTGCTAGGGATGTCTAAACATGCTCTATTCGTCTGCTTCACTAGTATTCGGATGGTAGCACATTCGATAGGCCTGGTTCAAACAATGGCCGTAGATCCTTGGGAGCCCCCGGTCCAGTGGTTGCACATGGGACGAGGTTCGGGTGATATACTAAACACCGCCGAGGGGCTGGCCGATCCAGAGGACGCCCAGAGGATAGCGGCGTTTGAGAAAGGGCCACCTGATTTAAGTAATTATAAGGAGTTGATTACTTGTGATCATAGTTCGCTCGACTGGCTCCTAGAACACCCCGCCGGACCTGGATCGAATGCGGCACAAGAGGACCACGAACTAGACGATGAAAATGTGAGATGTGTATACGGAAACGCTATGTCGTACATATGCTCCGTACACAGAGCACTTGCCGACGGTGAACGAGATTTTGCTGCTATAAGGAGGTTCGGCCGCTTTGCTGTCTACGTGCCCCCGGAATTCACCAAATTCATAGAGGAAAAGAGACCGAGAGCTATGGTGATATTGGCACATTTTATGGCCTTGTGGATAGGCTTCGAACACATATGGATGATCGGCAAAGCTGGCGAGTTGCAGGTCAGGGGCATATATAAGGCTTTGCCGATAGAATGGAGCAGCAAGCTTGACGGCCTGGTTGCGAGTTTTAAACCGCCGGAAGTAGGTAGGTTAAGTTAGATCTTTACCAAGTAGCAAACCCTGGCTTGTAGAGTAAGACATAGGAACATGCTAATATGCTATTTATATAATTGCTATTACTGATATTTTAGTCGTCATATTATCAACTTATATGCTTGCCCTAGGGTATTATTTTTTACCAGCTCGTCCTCACAAGACCATTTGAAGGTGAACTCCTAGCATACTATGTATTTATGATGTGATGTCGCATAGTCTAGTAATAGAAATTCAATTTAAAGGAAAAAAGAGTTTCTAAGTTTCTATGCAATATAACTATAGTTACCTGCTCCTAAACTTCGGGCGGGCCGTACCTAACCGGAACGGCTAAATGTGGACCGGGCTGAAGCCTTACCTACCGGTTGTATAGAGCTCTACATACCTAAACTTAAGCTTCAACACCTCTAAGCTAATTCAAGATTACCTAATTCGACATCCATCTAGGTACCTATCTACCTACCATATCAGTATCAGTTTTCCCAATACGCGGGACCATGGTCAGTCATATCAAAACACACCGACCCGTTAAGCGCGATCATCAAGCTAATGACGTAGCCGCCAAAACGCAAAGCCGCAACCACCGCCGCCGCCGCCGCGCCGAAAGAGAAACAGTCCAAATTAGCTAAAGAGCACAATATCTCGGCGCGAGAGGAACGCGAGATAAAGGAGGCGTTTGCGCTGTTTGCGGAGCCGGCGGAGGGCGAGAAGGAGGGCGTCATACCGATTAAGGACGTACGGCGGGCTATGGTGTAGGTTCTCTTTCTCTTTCTTTCTAGCCTCTACATCCTACTCTACTAGGCCGTATCACCATCGTATAAGGTACAAGCTAACAGCACATCTCAGCGCCCTAGGCCTCCCCCCCAGCAAACCCGAGCTAGCCGAGTTCCTCGAGATCCTCGACCCGGAGGACGAAGGATACGCGTCGTACGAGCCGTTCGTCGCGCTATGCGCGCTGAAGTTGCACGCGCGGGAGTCCGGGCCCGCGGCGGAAGAAGTCGACGAGGCATTTCGGTTGTTTACCGGGGGTGGGAATGGTGCGGGTGCGGATGAGGTGTTGACGTTGTCGCATCTTCGCCGCGTCGCTATGACGCTCAAGCAGGACGTCGATGACCAGTTACTTAAGGACATGATTCTGGAGGCGAACGGGGGAGCGGGAGTGGGTAAGGGCGTGGGGAGGGCCGAGTTTGAGGAGGTTATGAGGCGCGCGGGGGCGTGGAAGTGAGGGCGTGCGTGTTTCGCGGAATGGAAGTGAGATTTTGTTAGGGACACAGACGGGATGGGATGTGTGAGTGAATGAATTGGTGGGCGCCTATAAACACCTTTCGTAAGATTCCGATGGGATATGTGCATTTATCATTTTTATGGGCGGAAATTGGGAAATGGACATCCGCTCACCAACTTACGAACTTGGCAGCAAGGTAAGCATATCCCGTGCGAGGCTTCTCTGTTTCTATTTTTGCTAACGGCGGTGGATAAGGCAGTAATAGAATGTACGATAGGAGATAAGGCAAATGGGCCAAAAGTTCGTTAATAAAGTTCAGCCAGCAGTGGGTTTTTAGGCATTTGACGGAAAGGTTCAGGAGCTGTGGGTTCCCCCTAAAGATGCTGTTATAAAAGAGTATATCTAGGTAGTTACCTCTATTAAACTACAAGTTATGTCATCTAGCACCTTATTTCACACAACAGGCTACTGTTTATTCTAGCATATTAAACTTCTAATGAGATAAGTGACATGTTATAGAATTGCTTCGGCATGTACATACATCTATCACCAAACCACCGAGTCTAACTAAGCCTTTGCCTTTGAAAGACTGATAGGTATTCTTCCAAATCAACAATAGTATCATAATGAATTTACTAGAGTACAGCAACACTATAATAAAGAAAGGGCTATTCAAATTACCAAAAACTAGATGTATTCTCGGTGTGATAGAGTCTATTATATTTATATATCGAGACCACATACCTGCACTTATGCTCGAGTTACAACAGGACAATGGAACCCAAAGTCCTATTGCAAGTCTAGCCCATGAAATTGTCACTCTTGTATGTAGCATCCATATTTCCAAGAGATTTCAACAATTGTAATCTACTTATATCCACTGTAAACGCCAAAAATGCAGCCCCTCGTACGATCAATGGGAAAACAAGATGGCTTGTATCACGGAGGTGAACCGTCTAATATCCGCAAAATGTGCGTACATGAGTCTCGCAGACTGTACATTAGCAGAAGTCCAAAAACTCGCTAATGCTTTCCTTTCTCGTATGCCATGTGCTATGTTAAGTTGACATTTACTCCGATGGAGGGGCCTCGGTAGCAGCGCTCTTAGCTGCGGCCGCCTCCAGGGTCTTCTTTTGCGAGTCTATGACTGCCTTAAGCTCGGGAGGCGGGTTGAAACCGGGGTGGTCCGAGTGCTTCTTGTAGAAGTAGTTATCGGACTTCGGCGTTAGCTCAGGAGGTAAGTCGTCTAAGACAGCTTGTAGTAGATTATCAATGGACTTTTGCTTAGACGCGTCGCGGTGCCAGATGGAAACCAGGTGCGAGTTGAAACGCACGGAGAGGCCAACACCACAGATCTGGTCGCCTTCCTCCAAAACCTCTTGTAGCTTTTCGCCGATGGCCATCAGCTGGATGCGGGTCCAAAAGTCGGGGCCGGAACTTTTAGGCACGCGAAAGGTCCAACTACCACCCAGCACGTTACGGCGATCCTCCCAAATAGGTTTGAAACCGCTCTTGAACAAGTAGATAGACTCGCGCATCTTTATCTGGTCTACTGGGGTATTGTTGTTGTATCGCCAAAAGTCTTGGACCGACTCGATCTGGGTTCCTAGCTGTTCTAGCGATGCCTGGTAGTTGGCATCGTCTTCCTTCTTTTGATCTTTAGCTTGTCTAGACGAAAACACTAACGTTAGAAAAAATATCTATTAAATGAGCGTGCATCATATTAATATCTTACCTATCAAAATAGACGTTCCAGTAATGCTGGGTGGGCAGAGGGCGCATGGTCTTGAACAAGTTGCGCTTAGCATCGTCTCGCTGCTCGGCGGGCGAGCTGACATTCGGCGAGTTCGCATCGGTGCTCTGTGAGAGGGAGGAAAGCCCTCTGGTAAACAAACTCGGTCGCGTAGCCATGATGACTACAGGTTAATGTTTTGTTAGCTTGTAGACACAAGAGTAAAATGTGAATAAAGCCCCTATCTTTGTTAGAGGAGGGGTTGGAGAAGCTTCAACGGCGGTGATGATAGTGGGGTTCAACGCTGCCAAGACTTTTTGTTCCTGGTCGTAACACCGTAACACCGTAGCAGCATGTTCTTGCTAACAACTAGTTGGCTTTAAATAGATGCTACGGTTACACAACTACACCTACATCTGCAGCCTCACAGGGGAAATGGACACTTACAATCAGAAGATGTAATATACCTTAGATAAGTAAGTACTTCTTGAATAGATAAAGACACGACTTATATATTACTCTCGGCAGACAACTAAACACTGTCAAAAAGAAAGAGTAGGTAAAAAGAAAGAAAAAAAAGAGTAAGAGGAGTAAAAATAAGTCGATAGGTAGTTAACTAAAATATTAAAAGTCCCCAAACCATGGCTAACGTGATAACCAAATGACCCTTTCAGCTATAGGGTACGGAACAGCCAATACAGTACTTAATATGAATCAAGGGGTTGCTATTGGTTCTGAAACCGACACGGCTGGGTTTCAAGAGCCGCAATTCGTATGATCGCTAGCACGCTGTCCGACCGCACTTACCAATAGTATCAATTACATGACTGCAGTTGCCCAATACATATAGGAGAATTGAAGAAAGTGCATCTACGAGTTCCAGATATGATACCTAATAGGTACATCTAACTGAGCTGAATGAATTACTAACGCTAGCGAGAACTAAACTCAGCCTCGCCTTATCTTAAACATCCGCCCCTGTTCCAAACCTGCACTGCCAATAACGCCTCGGCTTTTAATAACCAAGACATTCGCATATGCCCTTATTAAAGATTAGAGTAGACACATATTTCAAATAACGCAACGAGCCAGCCATCCAGATCTATATGTATAGGTCTAATGGGCAGCTTATACACGCCTGCTCAGAAACATCTCGTATGGTTGAGTATCATGTAAATTATAGGGGTTCACTACAATGATCATTTCGCTATTTTCTCTGAGTAATGCCAGTAAAAGTAGGATCGCTTATAAACTCAATGGCTATGAAATGTCTATATATGATTAGTATCAGGTTATTATCTAACTAATTGAGAGTTAAATATAACTACTGGAAAAGTCTACCCCTTTGGCTATCCCATAACCGCCTATCTGCGTCTACTGCAGTTCTTCTCTTAACCTAAATAATTATACCACATAGTTCTACTGTATCTAATGTAAAGTAAGCTTGAAGATAGTATTTGCAATTCTAATAATCTCTTCCCCTTAGTCTTGTTGGCCTATTAACAAGCCGCATAGTAATACTGCTCTAATACTAAACGAACTTGTATACATACGTATTACATTATCACACTCTCTATAATTATAAAATTAATAGATGGGGGGAATATCCCATATAGTTACCATAAGCACATTTCCCTATGCCTCTGTATATATAAAAAGGCTATAATAGTATTTATCGCCTCAGTCGCTCGCCAATATCATACAACTCACGTCATTAACAACAGCTTATTAAAACCAAGCCTACGATTTCAGCTAATAAACCTAATAGTGGTATACACCAATGAATATCGGTTGTACTTTAACCTAGATGCCCTTCGTACTTGGTCTTTATATGTTTATAGGCGTATATCGTATATCTTGTACAATACACACACATTTCAATATAGAACATTCATAGTTGAAAAACTTTAACTAATTAATACGTTCCTAGTGTCTCTCTAAGCCTATCTTCTAGCTCTGATATACATAACCAGTATAACAAGACTAGATCCAGAAGACTTTACTCGCCTCGAGGTCATTGGATATTAGTAGGCTCGGCCCTCAGGGTTCCTAATACGCAATCAAACTTTCGAGACATCATCATCAACGGCCATCAAGGTATCCAGCATTTACGGACAACAATATTATTACACTTATACCCAACATTTATCCGCTTACAAAAACGCCTCCTTTTGAGGCATTGGCTAACCAGCTACCAGCCTATGAGTTAAGGGGGCTTAGATGCATTAGGTAGTTTACCTAGGTACTCAACAACCAAAAGGACAGTCACATACCAAGGGAGTCTTCCTACACTACTCACTTAGCTAAACCATAACTACCGGCCCCCGCTAGAAAAAATCCTACAGTTCACGAAAAGGGGCAGTCTACTATACACATAGAAGTAAATCTGATATCAAAATAACGATAGTAATAATAACAAGTCAACCAAGATCCTTATTAAGGATCGGCTAAGCTTGATTATAGTATATATGTCGCATTAATGGCATTAGATAGATATATTTGGATGCCGTATGCTCTGAGCATAGTCTGTTTATACATATATTATATTCACCGCGGTTTTTAGCCGCCGCGCGCCTGACTTAATATTCACTGGTCTTATTTAACGTTTAGTTAAGTAATGATATTTAGCTCTAATAGCACAGAGTGAACAAACTAGCTCCCCTCAGCTGTCATAGCAATTTACGAATACAAGCATCATATCACCACACGGTAACCTTGTTCATTTGATTTTAGTTTGAAATTTTTGAATTGGTTTCATTGATCTTCTTGTAGTTATGATAAAGATACAAATCGTAGAATTCGGGGGATTGGCAAGTAGACCTGCCGTGCAGCAACTATTCGTAGACTCCTATCAGGTTTATGTCTGTTCCTCGGATCGGCTTTTCCTCGAGTGACCTTAATAACGCCCCCCATCTCGGCTGAGTACCCTGCCGAATGACTTCCTCCCCAGACCTGCGGAGGACGATGGAAGACTGTCCTCTTCGTTTCGCCTCGATCGCCACCGGCTGTTGCCCTTATATAAAAACAATGGAACCAAACGACCTCAAAGGAGATCGAGACGACCCCGACGGCTGGGCCGTCAACGGTTTAGAATGACACTTTTTTCCGGTGAACCTGTTGGGACCCCATAAACTAATGAAATGAAGTGTACGAGCAATGCAAAACTGCCAAAACGGCTTGCTCGATGGCATGGATAAGTGAACGGCTATTAAATCTAGGCCCTGTTCTCGCCAATAGCGAACCAAGGGGGCTAGACTTAATCAACGCCACACAGTCACCATGATGCTGGTCAAAACTTATGAGGCGGTCGTCAAAGCCTAAATAGGCTTTACGATGGGACCGCCACGCCCAATTGACCTCAAATGCGATGAGATTTCGAGAAAAAAGGGGAGGGGGCTGCATTTCGTAATAATCCGTCCAATAGCAGCCAGTGACAAAGGAGAGCCATAATGCTGAGCAAAATCAGTGGTATCAGAGCGCAGACGCCATGTTGGTGCTATGCTTGCTTTCGCGATGCAATTCAAGTCATGAATCAAATCGATCAAGTAGAACATTTATGCTGAGAAAACGCCATGTGAAATGTAATGACGTGAGATGTGGATATGGAATAGAAAGGCATGATCATTGCGAAGTGGCAACACACCAGTGACGGTGGAATGCCCAAGCACTCTTTTGGCACTCCTTGCTGCAGTACTTCGTTCGACGGCATCGCCGGCACTTAGCAAACTGCCGCGTGTATTCCTCCCATTTACCGCACTGGTAGTATGCACATTGTCGAATGCCACCTCGGGTATCGTCCTTGCGGCAGAGGTTACGCATCACGACCCCAGCCCAATATTGCATATCGGTACTGTGATACCGTACTGTGAACTTCTCGACCAATGGGAATATGTTGAAATCGTTTGGAAGGAGATATTCTTCCTCATATTCTTGCTGTCCCAATGATTCTGCCGTTATGTTATCACCGTCAAGTAATTGCAACTCCTTCCCTATTTGAAGCCGCGGCACCAGGTGACTCTGTTGGAAATATGACCTCAAATTGCAGTACTTTGAAACGTATGCCAGAAGTTGGAGAGACATTAATACATCTTCCTCTCTGGGCATCGCTGCTAGCATCTGCGGGTTCGGAGGGACTGGGCGATCCAAGAGGTATCGTGGTACACTTGCATGGTTAGGAAGAGATGGTTGCGGAGTAGGCACAATGGGGCGGTTGGGAGAGAGACCCATTGCCGGTCCGGGAGTCGGCGTGTTATTTGGGAGACTGCCGTCTAGAGGGGTTCGATGCGTGATGTTGAAGGTTCCTGCGTCTGGGATCTCGGAGACGGTCGGCGTTGTCAAGTCGAGGCAGCACCAGCTAGAGTACTAATCGCCTTCTTCCATAGCAATGTCCTGGAAACCAACCGAAGGCTGGATGTCAGCAGTACCAGACATCTCGGCATCTTGAGACTCGTCTGATTGCACACTATCAGTTGCATTCAAATCATCCGCATCCGTGGTCGAGTTCTGATGACGTATGGAAGGGCGTCGTCTAGATCGGCCATTTGGTACTAGTTCTGAGGTAGGTCTAACCGCCGGCGAGTGGGTTTGAGGCGGAGGTAAAGGAGTGGTAGGCGAAGTAGGCTGCGATGGTAGGCCAGGGTGAAAAACTGGTACCATTGATGGTAGTCGGTCGATGTCTCGAACAGGACGAATGAAACCATCAACCGCCTCCATAGTCGGGACCGCACTCACCAAGGGCTGGATCACCTGTCGCGACGGTGATATAATGTTCGGCCGACTTTCTTGTCTGTGATGATGATGATGGTGGTGGTGGTGGTGATGATGGTGATGATGACGGTGGTTAGGGAAAGCAGAACGATCTGGAGGAGAGGTTATAGGGAATGATGGGATAGCTGGAGCAACCTCAGTAGTAGCCTGCTCAGCTGCAGCCGCAGCCGACGTGCTCGCAAAAGAAGCCGCTGCAACATCGATAGACGGCGGTGGAGCATTCCGATGGAGGAAAGTCCTTTGGTCGAGGTCTAAACGACTAGACCGGTTTGCGAAAGATGATTTAAATGGCGGCTCCCGATGGCTATGACTCCGGTGTCGCTGCTGGTGGTCAGCTATCTGTTTCTGCTTAGCCTCTTCTGCCTTTTCGCGGCACTTTTCGATAACCTTAATATAGTTATCAAGTATAGTCGCGATAACGGGAACCATATCAGCCTCGACCACCCGAGTCCTCACATTCTCAGTTCCTCTAACTCCTATGTTGACTACACACTGGAAGGCTAGATTCCACTTCCACATATCCATCATATCTTTGCTCCGTCCCTGTTTCAATATGCATACCAGCCTCTCGATCCCTCCGTCGACGGTTAGGATATCCCGAATGCGAGCCGAAGAAGTCGTAAGATAAGCGAGATGATTGAGGGAGTTGATGAGGGGGAGAGTGGAAGTGCAATCAAGTGCCCGGCGGTCGTATAAGGCGGTGGTGATGCCCACCGACGCCTTATTGACGTTGGGGATGCTGAAGTTAACTTCTCTCATGTTGAGCGATATAGAATTTCAAGAATGATGATGATATCGGCAGAATTGAAGAAGGGTGGTGCTGTAGGATGGTACAGAAACGCCGATATGTGGGTATTATGGCTGGAAGCGGCGGTTGCGTCCTTGGAAATGACCCTTCTATATACGAAACGCAGACCACCTCTTCAATGGGTCGAAATGGACGCGTAGAATGTAATGCGGGAAGTTAATGCAAAGTACGGAAAAGTGCCAAGTTCAGTTCTTTCTGTACTTGGGCAGCAGAATTTGGAAACTGATGTCCTTGAAAAATGCGTAATAAGAAAATCAAAGTCTCTTCTGCTGGCGCAATTGTCAATGGGCTGACAGAACAATAGAAATCGAGATGTAATTTGTTTCAACGATGGGGTTAAGGCGTCGGTCGGATACGTTTCTAGGATTTGCGGCAGGTATAAAGGACGAAAATAAGAAGATACGATTAATTGGGAAATGAATTCGGACGTTCGATCGTGACTCGACTGTCGAAGTTGGTCAAATGCCTCAGACCGCTGTATTTCTTAGGCAGTATTAGATCGTTCCGTGACGGACAATGTAAAACAAGTTGGAGGCCCGAATCTCCAGCGCGGCGGACTCTATGAAAAGACGGATGTCTCCATCCAGATCGAAAGATAGGATTAGAGACGAAACGAAGAGGAAAAGAGAAAAGAATCGCGGCGTTTAGGAAAGAGGGCAGCGACTCGATTCAGGCGTTATGAGATGGTTGGATGGTTGGTGTATCGGTGGGAAAAGATGGCTACACTACCTGAACTAGGGGGGAGAATTTTAGAGTTGGTAATAAAGGGAAATGGTTCCGCTCCGGGTGCAAGTTTGTTGCAAGAGAAAAAAAAAAGAGGCGAGAGGCGACCGGGTCTGCCAAGTTAGGTAGGCTGGTAGGGGCTGCCCACTGCAGCTGCCACAAGACGAACCAGGGTTCAAACGCTGTCAAGTGCTGCCGAAGAAGTCGACTTCCAATTTTTTTCTGCTAGGCTGTTTGTAATGTACAAAGTAGAGCTCACTTGGAACTGCAGGCACGCTAATGTCCTTAAATTCTATTACGGTAACTTATCCACTGATCCGGTCTGGGCTGGCCGCTAAGATTAGCATATACCTGACTTGCATACTTTACATGATGCCACAACCTGCCATAATCACACTTCTTTAGTAGGTCTGTACCAAATATTGTGCCAAATTTTTTTTTTCCAGAGTGTTGGGTCGAGACTCGAGTAGTATTGCGGCGAACCCGACATGACATAATTCTATAAGACACAGACTCACTCATATACATATACATATGGAGAGTAGTCAAGTAGCTTTACATATACTAAAGAACAGTTCCTCTTAATGAATCGGTTCACGATCAAAAGTCTCCACGTTTCTTTGAATCTGGGGTCCTTTGTTCTTAATTTTGAACTGAACCGCATTATTATCACAACAGGCAATAGACGGCGAGCTAGGTACCTAGCTACCCTTGTTTTCTAGGTACGTGTTCCACTGGAGCGGGAGTGCTAATATTTAAACACAGGTACCCGTTAAGGAAATCTGATATAACGAACGACACTCGCTTTGACTCTTATAAAATTCAACTCAATTAATCAAGCCGAAATTTATAAAGTAAGAATGACATGATAAAAATGTCTAGATGCTTTTATTACGATCTATAATATTCCATAAGATCACGGTACAATATGAGATATCTTTAATCCACTATTAAAGACTCAAGGGTATAACCACTATTGGTGGACACTGGCGATATCCGACAAATTACCATCAAGACTAAAGACTAGAGAGCTCCTATACGTGCCAGCTACCAGGTATGTTTCGCATACAGTTGCACGAATGAACCATATGTTGTTTTTCGAAACTACCTACTATACATTTTTCTAACTGGAGGAAAGTGTACCGCGATAAGCGGCCTTTTCTCAATTATGCCGTCGTGGCGAAAATCTCGAATTTACAATAGCATCTGTAATTCAGCACGTGCAAATCCAAAACCACCCAACACATCACGTTACGGCCTAAGCTCTGTAATATTTTTTTTTTTTTCGAAACAGCGGCCGGCTATAAGCGTATACGGGTGTATTCGCATCTCCAACCTTAAATGACGAATAACTACTATTTTAGTTTAAAGAATTCAACTCATCTCATGAGTAGCAAGATTCATCCGATAGAAACATATCAGTTTATGGCGTTCTACGTGAAAATCAAGCTTAAACGTTAGGGAGGTAGTTCAGATGCAGGGACTACTACAGTTGACTTGTCGCTCGCCGAGCCCGTCCCCGCTCGGAGAATCCTCCACGATTAGGGACCGGAGACAAGACACGGCCGAGAAAGGAGGTTGGCAGTTTCTCTATTGGGTTTGCATCGTAGACACCTTGCTTATATTAGGTAGTAATAAGCCGCTAGTATTCTGAAATGGTCTGTGTGTTTTTGTAATGAAGCCGTGTCCGCGCTGGCGGGTTCTTACCTATGATTTCCGACTAATTACGGTCTACGTATTCACTATATATTACCTAGTGTAGAGCAAACATTCGGTTTGTTCTGTGCGTGGTCATTTCTTGCTGCTATCGCGCTGGCACGCTCAAGCTTTTAAAGCATGGTCTCTTGTCTTGGCTTCCCCGACCTCGCCCACTAAATAAAGGATTTGCAATTTCCTTACCTACTTTCTGCTTATGATATGCACTCGTATCATACGATCGTCGACTATACTTATATGTATAACTAGTTGGTTCAAAGAGACCTTGATTTTAAAGAGTGAAATGTAAAATATGAAACTTCGAGCAGTATTCCCCCCTATTCCCCTCATGGTCGTACGTAGCTACATAACTAGTAGGGAGGCGAGTTATTCTTATGTGGTAGTACGAACTGGGAAGACAAAAGGGAGGAGGCATACATAGTACATAGTCTAGAGCATCTAGGGTTGCATCTTAACACATACTACTGTATGCGCGTGGCATCGCGTCACAAATTGGGCCTTGGCACGGACTTAATACCTGTCGTTCAGCCCCAGGTCATTTATAAAAAAGTACAACCAGGGTTTTTTCCGTTGGGAGATTGAGATTTGAATAGCAAACGGCGCATGTCTCCTTTTTCATCGGCGTTGGCGTCTTTAATACTATCTGTAGTTATATAACTATAACTATAGTTTGTCTTAATAATAGTTTATTGACGATTCAATATTGGTTTGTTGTCTTAGAGGACCGTGTGTCTCCCCATAGATTCGGTACCTGCATACTAAAAGGCAGTCGTGTGGGTAAGGGGTGTATAAGCAATTAAGTTCAATATGACGGAACGTCCGTTATTAAAAATACCGGCTCAGCCCGAATCCCGAAAGCTTCCCTTTTACATACTCGCATAGGTATCACGCATCATTATGGATCCATCGAGTCAGTAATGTTTCTACATCTACCTCCTATTACCAGGTAGTATTTTTTTAAATTCGGTTAGAATGCACTAATAAGCCATCGTATCCACGTTTAAAGTAACGGCTTATTGAGATCGATTATTGCTCACGTGGCTCAAGTTGCCTCACCCATACATACATACATAGAGTAATCATCCTTGTATAGAAACGCCCGAACTACCAACATACAAAAATACGTAATACCTATGCCGCAGAAGAGTTCAATTCAACGACTTTGAACAGAAGAATTCTCCTAATGGTCCATTTAACGCTCGTCAGTAAATACGGTAGATCTCAGAGCGCCGTAGTGGATAGCCCCCCTTGACGCAGCCGAGCGCACCTAGGCGATCCTCTCTTCCTGCTTACAGGATACGATTGGTCATGGCAAAACATTCTCTACCGCCTTCCTTACGCCTCCTTGCGGCGCCTACAAAGCCAATTGGCTACCCTTAGCTAGTCCCGATGACGGACTCTGACAGTCTGATCAGCCGCGCCTTAGTCACAATAGCAAGTCTGCCAGTTGGTAGTTATTCAAGGCATTGAAGTTCCAATATCGTTTTCCGCTGACGTCGGTGGCATCTCCAGGCGAGATGTGGATTCATATACGTACACTATGATGGGGATAAGCTAAGCTAAGGTAAATGTCCACCACGAAATAAGATCCCCATGCGCGCAGTGCGTTCGGACCTCTTCTTTGCATCGGTGACGGACCCAACGGTCTTACGGATTTTCGGGAACGATACAACTACCACAGGGTTGGCTCAGGCCAAACCAGCAATAGTGGAAGCCAAGACCTCGTGAGCGACTTTCATGCAATGGTTCAGATCTGACGTTACATCCAACGAGCCTCCCGTCAGCCACCGAAAACCATGCCGTCCACCGAGTTCGTCACCAGAATGCCTGTCATGGTTAGGTACTGGTTCGCTACGCGAGGCTCTGTGCGGTACACCAAATTTGATAGCGAACGCAATAGCTACCATTCACTCATTGTGAATAAGAAAGCTCTCTCTCTCTCTCCTCTAATTTAGACTCACGTTCTTCAGCAGTACATACTGAAACCGTTGATGTGGGATCTTGATATCTTATGCATCCATGAATAGGGCTAAGCGGGATGAAACGTGATTTGTCTCGATAAGATTACCTTTTTTTTTTTACATGGGAACGGCGGAGAGCAGAGCCCATGTTCTCGGCACAGAATCCCGATCAATATTTCTACATTCAGTAACTCTAAAGACACAGTATAGATCGACTAAAGAAACAGCACATCCACTTTCACGTGAGATGCGCCAACCGTGCACCCGACCATACATTTGATACATAAATACTTAGGTAGATATTGAAATATTTATAATACTTAATATATATTAATTTATATAACTTTCCCAAATCCGGTCCAAATCACGTGCAACCAAGTTTATTTATTGGATGAACAAAGATATTACATATAACATAAAAAAATATTATATATATCATAAATAAAGTTATTATTAATGATATTTAATATATATTTTAATTGTAAATTAAAATACGTAAAAATATATATAAAATAAATAAGTTTGTTTTATTTAAATTACATAACCAACAT